CTGTTGGTGAATACTTTCGTCATCATTTTAATGTCTGAATTAAGTAAAGAGATAGGGTGGAAGTTCAGCATTTGTTCAGTGGCTTGCCAGGTTTTGGTAAGGTGGAGACACGCACTGACATTATTTCAGAGGGTTAGGGCAGAGCTGTCCATTATGTCTAAATTCAAATAACTGCACTGAGGGGACATGAGAGAACTTGCTATAGTATAGGAAGGGTTAGCAACCTATGGCACTTGCCATGCATGGCACTCGAGGTGCCTTTGCACGGCACTGAAGTTTGCCAGAGCCAAATAGGCTCTGGCCTATCAGGAGTCCCAGTCTTCAGATACCTGCTAGTGCAACTCAAGCGATGATTGCAAGAAGTGATCTCTAATCATTTCCTCTCAGCACTTGTGAATGGAATCAACACCTATAGAGCAGGAAGCAGCAGCTATCGCAGCTCCTGCCCTTGACCTGTACATGACCATCCCGGTCCCCAGGGAAGCAACCCACACTGATAGATATATGCAGGAGGCCTCCTCCTCATACAAATAATACAAACACATCATCACTGGCAATCCACATACATTCACACAACCCCACAAACAGCCCCACACATACACACAACAAACACACAATGTGACATATCATCTAGACCAGGGCTCAACAAAACCCAGGTGCCAGGTCACCATGGCAACTAGGAATTTTGGCCTGGTACCTGGTTATGTCAGCCCATTCCCTGGCTGGCTGGCTGGCTGGCTGGCTGGCTGGGGGAAAGTTAAGGCAGGCAGCCAACTGGGGGAGAGTGGAGATGGCTGGATAGATGTAAGGAATGGAGGTGGTGAGGGAGCAGTAATCTTCTTGCTCTGCTTCCTCACGTGGTATCACTAAATGGCACGAGGGAGCAGAGAAAGAATAGCTTGAAGATGACAGCAGTCACACTGGCCCTCAGGGAAAGCCAAAATGTAAAGGCTTGTTGGACTTAAACTGAATTAAAATAAATACATTTGAGAGATAATATGTGTCTGTCAGTGAGTGTGTGTTTGTTTATGTGTCTGTCTGTGAGTGAGTGTGCAGGTTTAGGTGACCCCCACCTACATGACTGAGATAATCAAGCTTAATTAAAGATCTTAGATCCAAAGGAAAGCATTGGAAGGCTATTATGCATACACAGGAAAATGCTGTGCCAATCAGCATCTCATATGGGGAATATTCAGCACATTCATGCAGAGCGTGGAGACGCTGAATGTAGGAAGTACTTGCCACTGATTTTCAATGAGATGTTAACTTGCTCTAGAAGATATTATTTTCTGTTCTGTATATTAACATTTAACAAACACAGAAGGCTCCTCCAGATTCTAGAACGCTATTAACCGCACAGAAATTCTATATTAAACAGAGTTTGAAATAAAGGAAGTTTAAACATTAGGTGTCTCTTTACAGAAAGAGTTTTAGAAAGGCTATGTAAAGTCACATGGATGGAGGTGTGACTAGAGCAGCATGAACAAAGTGATTTAACTCCTAAATAGCAGAGAATTGAGCTGCGAGACTGCAGGAGCATGATCTATACACGAAAAGTAGTTAATTCACCCAAAGTTGTTTTGTTGACTATAGTGTCCTTTTGGATCTCTAAGAGAGCGCAATAATGCCAATGATCTATTGCATTACCTCTGAGGCTTGTCATTTAAAATAAGATGCTAATGAATTATTGTCATAATATTTACCGCCATACCATAAGGTAATTTTAGATACCTCTGAGGCAGGCCTGGACTGGCCATTGGGTAAACTGGGCAAATGCCCGGTTGGCTGCGATGGGCATGGGCCAAGGCCAACATGGGAGGTCAGAGGATCTCTCCTGCTGGCCCATGCAGGACCAGCACTATTCAAGCGCCAGCCCTGCTGTGTGCCATGACAGGCCAGTGGGGAGATCAAAACCAGCGGGAGAGAGAGGACCCAAGGGCTCTAATTGCAACTCCGCAGGCAGTGGTGTACTAAGGGGGGGTGCCATGACTGCCAGTCTCATGAGTCACCACCCATCAATTCTTATAGTGTGGGCCGCGGCACCTTTGTGGCCACACTATGCTGCACTGACTGCAGTAATAAAAAGGAGGAGGGGAAGGAGTGTTGCAACATCGCGCAACATGACACCGACGTGCGCCGCTGCCTCCTGTCTACCTTCATGGATCTCCAGGAGCGGAAGGATTCGATTGACGTGAGGCACCAGTGGTCAGAGCAGAAAAGGTCAGCGCAGAGGCATCATCAAATATGAGTAGAGTTTTCATGAAGTAGCCTGGGGTGCAGAGTTTTTTTTTCTTTAATAAAGGGGGATTATGCACTTCATGTTAAGGGGGTGCAGAGGTTTTTCTTTTAATTAAGGGGGGTATGCACTTTGTGTTAAGGGGGTGCAGGTTTTTTTTTTATTAAGGGGAGTATGCACTTTATGTTAAGAGGGTGCAGGTTTTTTTATGTGAAGGGGGTATGCATTTGATGTGTAGGGGGTGAATGAACTTTGTGAAGTGGGTGCAGGGTTTTTATGTGTAGGGGTTGTATGAATTTGATGTGTATGCTGGGTGCAAGGTTTTTCTGTGTGGGGTGCACAGTTTTTATGTGCAATAAATATTCTTGAAACATTGAAAAAAATTTGTGGGTGTATTTTTTTATATTTTTAAGGTGGAACACCAAACACAGGGTCCGCCCCGGGTGCCAAATGCTCTAGGTGCGCCCTTGTCGGCAAGGGTCTTCCTTTTGCGACGGAGCGTTGCCGCGCTTACTATGGCAACGCTCTGAGGCCAAATCTTGCAAGAGGATTTCACTCAGCACTCTAAATCTCTTTGGTGGGTATTGGAAGAGTACATATTTGGAATAGTGTATAAATTCTCTATTGTGAAGATACAGAATTAAGTATGGCCCTTGAGCATCTAAAATTTTGTGTAGGAGTTCAAAGGTTACTGCCTTATGAATATAAAAAGAGACTCTGCTTAATTTGGACTGGAAGGTAGCATGAAACTGGTTAGGGAAATCCTGGCTGCCAAACGAAGGTATTTCAGAGCAAAGAAAGTGCATTTCCTGTACACATGTTTACAGATTGCTTATGAGCATCTTAAAGGTGCATATGTCTTACACATTATGGAAATATATTCTCATAATCAGCAACGATAAGGCTAGTTTCAATAACATACTCCAGTAGTGTGCTGGTGAGTAATCCCAAATGCCAAACATCGAAATTAGGCTAGTAGATTATTGCTAGGCTTAGAGTGTAGACAGATACATCGGTTTGAAATTTCTATTATTTGTGAATGTGATAGGGATACAGATTGTTTGTCTCCTTCACTGTACAACCTACAATATATGGACCACAGTGCAGGGTATGGGTGTTCCAAAGAGTTTCAGATTTCTAAGAATGGGGAAAGGGCAGTAGTAAGAGGCAAAGCCAATGAGGAAGTAAAACAAACATGCCCACCAAAAGGACTTGGTGTCAGTACATAGCATGTTTTGGGATGCTTAAGCATTAGGTTCTATTCATTCCTAAATAGCCATAGATTGCAAATAGTGTAATCATTGTATGAGTGACCTAGAAGGATATACATTCTGTCAGTGAACTTAGGTAGTGTCAGCATTGCAAAAAGCGCAAAGTACATTCTGGAACAATCCTTGAGATCCATGATTTTGAGTTGTATTTCCCGTTGTTGGATTTTGTCTGCTAACGAGTTGTGGGCTTCCACAAACTCACTCAGCTTGTCCTCCACGTGTGTCGTTTGAGAGGTTTTCCAGGGAAGACTGTAGGAATGCATTAGTAATGGGATCTCCCTCACGAGCTGAATCTGATTCAGAGACAGAGGGAACCATATTCTGGATCCATTCTTGAGATGTGTTTTTTGGCCAACAAAAATTAAACGGACACTACAGGCACCAAAACAAACTTTGTGTAATGAAGCAATTTTGGTGCATAGATCATGCTCCTGCAGTCTCACTGTTCAATTCTCTGCCATTAATTAGTGAAATCACTTTGCTCATGCAGTCCTAGTTACACACTACACAGCCTTCTTAAAACACTTCCTGTAAAGACACACTTACTTAAACTTCCTTTATTGCAAATTCTGTTTAATTTTGAATTTCTTATCTCCTGCTTGCTTAATAGCATTGTAGACCCTGCAGGAGCCTTGTGTGTGTGATTAAAGTTCAATTTACAGAGCAGAAAATACAAACTTCTAAAGAAATTAACATGATTGAATACATTTTTCCCATACAGGCTCTGTGAGTCACAGCAAGGGGAGGTGTGGCTTGGGCTGCATAAACAGAAACAAAAAAGTGATTTAACTCCTAAATGGCAAATAATTGAGCAGTGAGACTGCATGGGCATGATCTATGCACCAAAACGTCTTCATAAAGCTCAGGTTGCTTTCATACCTATAATGACCCTTTAAGCCTACTGACTTGGTTATCTTGGTATTGCTTGGACTTGTGCTAATGTGTCTCCATGGGGTTTAAAAACCGCTTGCTTGGCAAAGGAAGTCACTTTAAATATTGCAATGCTGCATCCGGCTTGGCGGAGCTCTTTACAAGCGTTCATCTTGCTCGGCTTCTGGCCATGCCCATAAATACTGCAACTTTTAATATAACTCATATTCACACCTAACAAAATACAAAAATAGATAAGTTCATACAACCATTTGCCATCTTTTTCATTTTTACTGCAACTAGCTTTTCAAGTCTCCTTTGTTTTTATAGGACTCCAATACAACAATCATTTCACTCAAACAGACTAGACCAGTCATTTCACAGAACCCTATACCCTATGTAAATAGTCTAGAAGAGATTGAGGTGATCTAGAAAGCTTGCATTTATAACCAAATATAGTGACAATAGTAAAAACATTTATAACCAAATATAGTGCCAGTAGTTTTGTCAACAAAAGCAAAGACTCACTGATTATTTTAATTTTCAAGCCCTTGTACATTCTGAGGAAAGTCTCTGATGACACCGGATTGAAATATAACAGAATGACAACCCTATTTCAATTTCTCACTTATCTATTCAGAATCAGCCATGGCCTACTGCCAGCACAAAACAGGAAATAAAATGTCACAGCTGGATGTCTGAAAAAATATGTCATTTTATTAATTTCCGTAGAAATATAACACATTTAGAGTCTTCATCTTAGGAATCCAATCTTCTGTCTCTTCTTTCCCAAACTTTCTTCCTGGTTTAATACACTTTGTAGGGAAACGTGCAATGATTTTGCAACACGCTTTCCTGTCTGCAGAGAAAAAGAAAGTTTAAAAAAGTGAAATACACTTTGAGAGAATAGACAGTTATACAGGGATTTCACAGCTCATATTTGCAATAAAACATCTTAAACAAGTGAAAAGAACATGAGTATAATACACCATTAAAGATTTCAAAAGGCATCATAAATACACAATGATATAGTGACATTTGTAAATTCTGCATAGAATTACTAGGATGCAGTCTACTTTGTTCTTAGTTAGGACCATATACATCCTTCCTGGTTCTCGCTGCTGGTTTACTGCAACAAATGTGCATTAATTCCCAAAGGCAGTATCGATACAAAGCTAACAAGGTAGACAAGATGGTAAATGTACCAACTACGCAATCTCTTCAAACCTGAATGTTACAGATTTGATGCCAAACAAGGTCAGCTGACCCATTCATCGCTCCAAAGCCAATAAAATACCACTAAAATTAGTATTAATATCTATAGTCAAGGGAACATGCTTGATTATCTCAATTGGATTTATTCACTTAACAGAGAAAGGTGGTGAACATAACAGAAAAATTCAGACAAAACAGCTTATTTGGATAGATTATAGAAAGGATATAGAACAGTGAACTGTGTATTAACTGCAGTCCAAGACGAACTCCCGCACATCTCAGGCTACACTAGGACATGTATCCTCCTGTACTCCCCTTACAGCTTAACATACAATACTTAACATTAGGGGTCTAAATTATAATACTAGAAATATCATGTATTATAACAAATACAAGATGGCAATAAATATTATGTTTTGCTCTCATCATAACGTTTTTGATATTTTGCTATTCTTAAGCCAGCAGAAAGACTTCAATTCGGACCAGAACTGGCACCCGGTTGATGAGACGATATGGTTAAAACTGTACAGTCTGGATGGTTGGTTTCTGGACATCTGCAGTTTGATTTCAGGAAGGATTGTGGAAACATGATTGCTCAGGATTGCTGCAGCCTAGAAGGACATAGTCTCACGTGATATGTACAATAGTAAATTAGGAAGAAGAAATCCCTAAAAACTGTACTTAAGAATTCATTCTACTTAAAAAAATTAATAAACACATTTTAAAATCAGGACTTAAAGGACCACTCTAGGCACCCAGACCACTTCAGCGTAATGAAGTGGTCTGGGTGCCAGGTCCCTCTAGGATTAACTTTTTTTTTTTTTTATATAAACATAGTTTCAGAGAAACTGCTATGTTTATAATAGGGTTAATCCAGCCTCCAAATCCTCTAGTGGCTGTCTCATTGACAGCCGCTAGAGGCGCTTGCGTGACTCTCACTGTGAAAATCACAGTTAGAACACGCAAGCGTCCATAGGAAAGCATTGTAAATGCTTTCCTATGAGATCGGCTGAATGCGCGCGCAGCTCTTGCCGCACATGTGCATTCAGCCGAAAGGGAGGATCGGAGGAAGAGAGCTCCCCGCCCGGCGCTGGAAAAAAAGGTAAGTTTTAACCCTTTCCTCTCCCCAGAGCCGGGCGGGTGGGGGCACCCTCAGGGCACTATAGTGGTCCTTTAATAATAATTGAAGTACTTTTCTTCTAGCCAGGCCTTAAAGTGTCTCTGTCACCTTCTGGGTCTTTGCATATTTAGCAAAGATCACAGATGATGACTGCACCGCTGAGAGTGTAGTGGCCCTGGATGCAGAGGAAGGTAGTTTTTACTCACCTGAACGTGTCCCTCGTAGTCACCACAATCTTCTTCAACATCAGGTGCTTCATTTGCAATGAGACGACATCTGTTCTGTACTCTTGTGCATTCGAAAGAGCATAACTCTGGGGCATCCCCCAAGATCCCCATAGACAGACCATTTTCCACCTCAGCGAACTAAGCAGGGGTAAATATATACCGTATTTCTTTCAAGCAGAACCAATTCCCTTTTAGTACAATAACTATATTACATTTGACTCCTTTCCATCTTCAATTTAAATTGCCTTTCAAACACAACCAGACTTTGTTCAAGAGATTAACAACTGTCTCTAGTCTTGAGGGAAATTTACTGTAGAGCTGAAGAAGTTCATTAATATTAAAGAATAAATCGAGAAAATTATCTCACTTCTGGCACTCTGCACCTGTAATTTTAATAATTTGCACAATGTATTTAAATTGCATGTGTGGAGTTCTGAATAAAGATTTTCTCTGGAGTATAATCATGATTATTAGTAGAACACTGTATACACGTTGAACATCTCATTTGATTCCAATGATTAAATAATTCACCTGGTTATTCTAGATAAAAATAGAAGAAAAGCAAAATAATGTGTGTATATAAAGTCAGAAACAACCAGAATAATAGGAGGAGGGTCAATTAACCACAATAAAAATAAAAAATAAAATAAAAAGTATACTTCGGCGATTCCGCCGCCATCTTTGCTGGCCGCGCTTACAGTGGGCTCTGCTTCAGGGAAATTTTATCCGACGGTATCTGACTCACCAGTGCTGCATCGGAGCACCCCAACAAGTGCCCGGGCACTATCACACACTGCTCTATCGAAGAGACACTTTCCGGAGACCGGAGGACACCCATTTCACCTCACACCACCGCCGGAAGTCAAGGCCTATGTGATAGGCTGCAATAACCCTTGCAGTCTAGCCCGAGTGATCGGAAATAAGCAGTACCACATTACCTAACTGACTGCTGTCCCAAGACAGGGGAGAATACTGCGACATCTGCTGCAGGGGGAGGAGTGCCACATGCGATGCTAGCCACATGGGAGCTGCGAGGGGACTGTTCCCCTTGTATATAAACTTTAGTTCCTTCTCTGTTATAATAATTATTATTTTTTTTAAATATATATGTCCATTTTTATTTTATTTTTTCCATTGGCACAGCTTCAACCAGCTCTATCCCCACAGCTGTACCACAATCTGGTACTGTTCTAGAGAACCATGAGACGTAATGGTCCCCTGTGTGATGCACGTCACTAGTTCTGCCACCTGTACATTCTCGCTGAAATACTCCCTCACCACACTGGTACCAATGTCCATTTACCAGTTATATACAATTATTATTATATATATATATATATATATATATATATATATATATATATATATATAATCTACTAGGTAGGGGGTCAAAATGGCCCTTGTGATCAGGCTTGAGAACAAGGCTCCCTTTAAGCACAGCTAATCATAGTCTCTATTGGAAAATTATTGTATGAAGAGCTGTGTCCCAAGTTACAAAAAAATGCCCTTGGTTTAAACCCCACACGTACTCAAAGAAAATAGAAAACGCATGTACAGTTTTCCTAATCAACAGCACACAGTGTGCTGCTTAGTGAGAAATTTATAATGTTAGAGAGTAACAATAGTTAATATGCTTAAACCTCCAAACTTTCACTACTTGCTATCAACACTGCTATTAGTTACAGCTTCTGAACTGCTTACGACCAAGCTTAAGCTTCTCTCTGTGCTGGCAGTAAAAGCTGAATTACATTATAGGGTTACCCTCACTGCCCTTCTCCAAATCAAAATAGAAGTAAGCACCTTGCTAGTCTATACAAAACGCTAGATTGCCTCGGAGCCACTTCCCAGTGCCTCCCCACTTGAACTGAAAAACTAATTAGAACACTTAAAATCCCAACACCTAAAGCCCTAAAATCAAAGTGAATCAAATAAAGAACCGCTCCCAGCGGGAGACAACCAATCCCGAGCGAGAAGGGGGCGTGTCTTGATACCGGGAGATGAGAATCTCCTCTATCAGCGTGCAATGAATGTATGCCGCTGACCCGTAAAAGCCCACAGTGTATTCATGGCAAGAAAGTATTCCAACATGTCTACATTAGCAATCCCCTGCTTCATACAGATAAGATGCAAGACCTATTATTGTACTTTTCGTCAAAGATTTGTGAAGACAGTCTTCTTGGACTGCAGCGTGTCTATTTTATAGGAACTTATCCATGAAGCACATTCCCATATTTTGATGATAATATTGGATTATAGAGCTCAGTAATGTAATACAGAGAATTAACTTTCATACCTAAGGGCAAGGATACCTTTATCAATCTAATGTAAATCCAATTCGTATACCACCTAAAGTAAGACAAACACACACACACACACACACACACAATGGAATTTTTTCTTCTCTCTCTGTGTTTAAGACATTAAAGGTCTGTGGTGTTAATACTGATAGTATAAAATTATCTATATTAAAGAAAAAAGAAGGGCATCAGCCCCCTCATAGATTACAATATTTACATTCAGAACCAATATCGAATATCTTAAGAATTAGAAAGAATACAAAATCAAGTAGGTGATGTATAGCCTTAAGGGGTATCCAGTTCTCCCTCCACCATTGGAACAGGGAAGCAACTATTACAAAGAATCATAATAGATTTGGTCTGATAAAAAGACTGAAACTTGATGATTTAGCGGAAATAAAAATACTCTATACATAAATTTAATAAAGATGACGTCATAATAGACTACTGGATATACTAGATGACAAATGTAAGAAAAACATGAGAAGATGACACAACCATTTATAGGAATGGGGTATATGTAAACCCTTCATTCAAACCTGCCGGTGCTAGAGTCTTGAATTTATAGATCCAAAAGGAGTCCCTTTGTTTAAGGAGGCGGTCTAGATTTCCTCCTCGTTGGTCTAAATTGACGTGTTCAATGCCTGCAAAACGTAGATCCTTGGGCAACCTGCATGATATTCCCATAGATGTCTAGAAATGGGTATAATCATGTTTATAACGTACTGACCGGACATGTTCCAAAATTCGTAACTTAAACTGAGCTCTATAATCCAATATTATCATCAAAATATGGGAATGTGCTTCATGGATAAGTTCCTATAAAATAGACACACTGCAGTCCAAGAAGACAATAATAGGTCTTACATCTTAACTCTATGAAGCAGGGGATTGCTAATGTAGACATGCTGGAATACTTTCTTGCCATGAATATATTGTGGGCTTTTACAGGCAGTAGGTGTGCACATTAGATAGCCGGGTCAGCGGCATACATTCATTGCACGCCGATAGAGGAGATTCTCCTCTCCCGGTATCAAGACACGCCCCCTTTTCGCTCGGGATTGATTGTCTCCCGCTAGGGGCGGGTATAACAATTTGGCGCAAATCATTTATAAACAGACACTAGGGAAGCCACTCTTACTAGCCCCGGACGAATGTGCATACTGTAGCGCCGAAACGTGCGTCAGGCATAACGCTTATTTCTTTATTTGATTCACTTTGATTTTAGGGCTTTAGGTCCCTTATTAGCCTGGATATAGAAAAGGCATTTGATAGTATTACCTTGCAACACTTGATTCGTATATTGAAGTTACGCTACTTTGGAAACATTTTTGTAAATTTTGTAAAAAACTTACAACATAAACAGACAGCCTGTGTAACCACAAATGGCCATTGGGAGCCAACGGCGCCAAAATATTTGGGAGTCAAAATTCCAAAAAACCTGGCTCTTATACTAACTGAATATACAACCTATTTGAACAAATATTTTTAATAAGTTTACTCATTGGCACAAACTGCCCTTGTCCTGTATAGGCAGGGCTAATCTATACAAGTTAATTAGTTTCTCTAGACTGCTATATCCCCTTCAGGTCCTCCCCTCGCTACTCAAAAAAAAAGATGAAGCCCTATTAAATGGGAAACTTAGGCAATTTGTCTGGCAGGGATGTAGAGCACGTACTTAGTTTGAATAAATTAGATCAACACAAGGCCAATGGAGGGCTAAACCTACCAAATAATACAGTTTTGCAGCTCAGCTGGACTGGATTCAATTCCAGCAAAGCTTCTCGGAACTCTCTCTAGAGTCGTTTCTGGCAAGGTCAGATTCACTACCGGCCCTTCTCCACAGACCACATCATTTGCTCCCTATTCATTTTAACGAATCCTCTCTTAATTACCCCGATCAGCGCTTGGAAACAAGCAAGAGCTAAACTGGGCGATAACCCCATCTACTCACTACACATACCATTCAATCAGAACCTCAACTTTCACCCTGGAAGTCAACACCCGTTCACCTCATGGGCTGAACAAGGGATCGCGGCTCTTCAGTCCTTTATCGATTATGATGGCCAGAAATTCCTAACACTTGCAGACCACTGAGAGTGTTTATGGGCCTTCCACTCCCATGGTTCGCCTACTTTTAAATACACCACTATTACCAGACTATCACACAAACTTTTACAGTTGCTGACTGGGAAAACCCCCTGGATAACATGCTGTGCTCATTGAGCTCTGCCTCTTACTCAATCTCCAGGGGTCGGGGCATCAGGCCGCTTGCCGGGGGTTTTGATAATATCAAGCGGTCCAATACAGAGAATGACACCACTATTTGCTATTTGGACATCCCGGAGGAGTGGTTTTGTCCCTCCTTTCGGGTTTGCAGGAGATGTGCTCAGTCCATAATCTTTCAGACTATTCAGGTACTCACTATATAAATAGTGGTTAGGGTCAGACTAGCCTATTTCTTACAACGATTTTTGGGAATGTACATTAACATCCTCAGATACACTAAACAGACTGCTTATTATCTGCAACCTAGTGGGACTGTATGTTTAAGTTTTATTTTATTATTTTGTTTCGTTATACCAACTTTATTCCAAGTCGCAAAAATGAATACATCGTGGCCCGCTTCTGTCTGGGATAAAATGGCTGGATATTGGCAACGTCCCACAGTGAGGGGGTGAGTTCTATGGAAGTGGTTGCTTTACGTCCCTGTGCGCTTTCTATTGCTGGCAGGTTCAGAGCCTTGAGAAATCGTTCCGCTTCTGAAACTTTTGTAAGGTATATTCTCTTTACGCCATGCTGCACCGACAGCTTCCGTCGCGGTCCCCAGCAGTATCTGACGCCATTGTCTCGTAGTAGTTTTGGGACCATTTGCAGGGATTGTCTCCAGATCATTGTGTGTCTGGAGATATCCTTAAAAAAGGAGAGATTTGCGCCTTCTAAGTGAAAGGTAGGTGACTCTCGGCTGCTCAATTGTAGGAGCTGTTTGCTCTGAAGTAGCTGGAAACTCAGGAGCAGGTCTCGTGGCGCTTCAGCCAGAGCTTTGGGAGACTTGGGGATCCTGTAGTAGTGATCGAGTTGTATAGTTTTTGCCCTGGGTGATGAGAGCATTGCGCTTAAGAGCCTTCTGAGATAATGTGGGACCTCTGTGTCAATGTCGTCTTCGGGAACTCCGCGGAGCCTTAGGTTGCGCTGCCGCTTAGAGTCCTCCAACACAGCTATTTTTTCTTCCATGGTTAGGGTAATCTGTTTTAGTCTGTTAACCCTGTAGGTCTCTGGTGATGCACCCTTCGTCCTGCAGGGACTGCTGTCTGGTAGATATAGCCCCCATGTCTTGGCGGACAAGCGCAATGTCAGCCGAGAAGTATGCCTTCATTTCAGCCAGCAAGTTCTTGATGTCTGCCTTGCTGGCCGGCATGTTCTCCGCGTGCTGTGTAAGGCTGGCACACCTGTTTACTGAGGCCGTCTCTGTGTTGGCTGTTCTCTGTCGGAGTATGCCACGATTGGCAGAGTCTGGAGAATCCTCTGGTACAGCCGGATTCCGAGTCTCCCCTCGCAGGCGCCATTTTGGTGGGCCGCGGCAGCGGTGTGCTACGGAGCAGGGCACCAATATTTAGTGTAGGATGCTGCTTCGCTTTTGCGGAGCTTAGTTTCCCCCCCCCCATCTCTTCAGGTTCGGTTGGGTAGTTTTGGGGGTGTTGTGGGTTTAGTTATGCTTAGCTTTAGTGGGTCTCCCTCAGGAGCTCTCAGCATGTACGTCAGATCAGGTCAGTGGCTAGTCCCACCCCCCAGTGGCCTTTTTATATTCTTCCGCATTTCCTGCATTTTAGCTGCGGTCGTGGAGGGGGATATTATACACCCTGGTGGTTCAGTGGCTTTGTGCAGGATGTCAGGGGGTTTCACATTTCAGATGTGGTGGCTGGGACCCAGGACACGCTATATACGGTTTCTGGCAGGTGCTCTATACAACGCTTGTGAGCCAGGTATGCCGCGTGTGTAACGCATGGCAATGCTTTGAAGTCTTGTGGCTCGCAAGAATTGTAGAGAGGACCTGCCGGAAAAAGAAGCTAATGTGTTCTGGGTACTAGCCGCCCACTCTGCAATGTGAGTGGCACCCTGGGCGGACAGCCCCTCTCACCAGTATCAGCAATATCAGTATCATTTACACTGATATTTTCAGCCAAACCAATAATTGGTTGTTCGCTATTAAAAACATGACTTGCAAAATGTAGGAAATTAGAAGAGTTAAAAAAAAAAAAAAAGTCTCCAGCAATTTTTACAAATTCACTATTTAGGTGTAAATTAAAATAAGACATTTTATAACTCACAATCTGGTAAATAAACTCTAAAATATATTAAAAATAAAATATAATAAAAATAAAAAATATGGTAGCAGAAAGAATTTTACAAACATATTTTATACATTTCCTTCAGATCTTATATTCTGAGTGCATTTTAGAAATATATATTTTTTTCAGGTTTTAATGAAAGTCTTGGAAATGAGTATTCATAAAGAAAATAAATATAATTTTAATCTTTTATTTTGTTTTTCCATCTCATTTATCTGAAAGAAATGAGTGCTACAGTTGTGGGGTGGTTACCCACTGATGAGTGTGAAGTCTATTTACCCTGAGGAGCCCTGTACGCCTACGAAGCCTAAAGGTTGGCTGAACATCAAAGGAAACAGTGGCAGGGCCAGAGTTAGCTGTCACGGCTGTAGGCGGTCTCCTCTGGCCTCAATTTTAAACAGCTGGTGAGTACAAACTGAAACACTACAGTGCATAGTTGAATGCATTAACGCTAGTGTAATTAAGGGTATGGAAAACATTGCAATATGTAGCTAAACTATTTAAACATCTCAATGGTTTGTTTATTTTGCAATTGTAGAAGACAAACTTTTCAGACTCCATACTGTATAAATATATTTACATACTACTCATATACTGAAAAAGGTATCAAGTAAGACAGCTGAATTTGTCTCTTCACTTACAGTTAAAGGGATTTGTATCTGTTATGGTTATTCTGATGCGGACCACTTTAACCAATACAGCACATGATAATCATATTAAGTTGTTTTTTATTTTATTTGTGACTACACTGCAATTGTCGAACAAACAGGACTATCACTTTATCACTCAAATTAATGTCTGACCTCCTACTTAGCCATTACTTCTATCCTCCTATCCTGTAACCTAGAGGTTTAAAGAAAGAAAAAAAAGTCATTCAAAAATATGCAGGAGCATCTGCTAGTAGCATTGTGGAATGCTCGTGTTGTTTGCAGACTGTCATCTGCGCATATTTGCGCTGATACACACTGGAAGAGAGAGAGTCACGTAAGTATCTATATATAATTAAAGAAAAGGTTACCTGTGCTCTCTCCTAAATCCCTATGTATATTTAAACAAATGGAGGTAATTTAGTTACTCCAATGGCCATTGTAGGGAATGCCCGCCTGCCAACGTCAAGGCAGACCCCCTCAGATGGGTCCTACATTGACCCTTCACCTTGCTTCCTTGAGCTTCTGGCAAAGATATCTCTAATGAGACAGAGAGGGATATTTTGTATATACATCCCTACATGCTTATTAAAGGACCACTCTAGGCACCCAGACCACTTCAGCTTAATGAAGTGGTCTGGGTGCCAGGTCCAGCTAGGGTTAACCCATTTTTTTTTATAAACATAGCCGTTTCAGAGAAACTGCTATGTTTATAAATGGGTTAAGCCTTCCTCCAAAGCCTCTAGTGGCTGTCTCATTGACAATGCTTTCCTATGCGACCGGTTGAATGCGAGCGCAGCTCTTGCCGCGCGTGCGCATTCAGCCTAATGGGCGGAGAGGAGGAGGATCGGAAGAGTCGAGCTCCCCGCCCAGCGCTGGAAAAAGGTAAGTTTTAACCCCTTTCCTCTCCCCAGAGCCGTGCGGGAGGGGGTACCCTCAGGGCGCTATAGTGCCAGGAAAATTAGTATGTTTTCCTGGCACTATAGTGGTCCTTTAACCCTTGATAGGGAACACATGGGATGGTCGGCAGCATTGTAACATAGCTGTGTGATACAAAAAGGGAATACAAAAAAAAAAATATGTATGAATATATCCACTCAAATTAATGTTTGCCCTCCTACTTAGCCATTACTTCTATCCTCCTATCCTGTAACCTAGAGGTTTAAAGAAAGAAAAAAAGTAATCCACAAATATGCAGGAGCATCTGCTGGTAGCATTGTGGAATACTCCTGTTGTTTACAGACTGTCATCTGCGCACATTCGCAATGGGAGCAGTGGAAGAGAGAGATTCACGTAAGTAATGTGTTCAAGTAGAGATTGTAGCCGTATTAGTCCAGTGATGTAGATGTAAAAAACAGATAAAATTCTTATCTTGTAATACCTTTTTTTATTGGACTAACAGAATTTTTTAATGACAAGCTTTCGGGAGAACCTCCCTTTCTCAAGTCTGAAGCATTTCTGAGCAAAATGACACATAGAATTCAAATTTGAGTTGTGATACAGGGGTTAAAGCGACATGAGTGTAGATAAGACACAGGTTTGTTAGAAAATAGACACCATCTTAGCAGAGGGTCATAAATATCTTGTTGAAGAGCAGAGTAGGGGGGAGAGAGGGAAAAGAAAAACAAACAAGCAGACAGTGCACAGTATGGTACACTTTATACATGCACACACACAGAAATATGTATATGTGAATGCATAAACACATGTACATATACACATATACATACATGCACATGGACTCATATACACAAATATAAATGCACAGTAATATATATAAGCATTCATGCATACGAGTATGGGAAAGCATAGGTCTACACATAGTACTTTGTATATAGATAGAATAAACATATAGGAATGCATTTTAAAGTGTTGGTACATATGACAGAATAGTAAGATAATGCTGGGAGAATGTTCATGTAAAGTGTTCATGCAAAGTGTTACATGAACACTCTCCCAGATCTTTTTACATATATATATAATTGCTGGTGACTACCTACTCAAGGCTAAACCGACAAATACTTTATGGTTGACTGATTTCAATTAAGCAAAGCTCAAGAGTCTTGCTAAAAGAGTTCTGTACTGTTTACTCCCAACAAAGCCTACTGCATTAAGGGTTTTTGTTACATAGCCATAGATATCAATATTCACTTGTGTTCTCCCAATAGAGAAGACATATTTGTCAGAATGTGTCTTGGATTTTCATAACTTCCCATGTCATGGGATTTATTACAATACGTAGGTGCATGAACTGATTAATCACCTTTGCATTGTACCCCCATTAGCAGCCTCTGTGAAGAATCAGGAACCCAAAATGACAGATTTAAAAGGCAACAATAGTGCGCTCAATAAGATATAAAATAGTAGATTAAATATAATAAGAATAAATACTCACAAACATAGAGCAGGCTAACTTCTCTATGACAACAGCATAGATGGTATGATCCCCACCTTTGGAGTAGAACAGGATAAGTTCTACTCCATTGATAACGCCTTTTATGGTGAAACGCATTTAAATGTTAGATTTTTTTTTTATTAATAAATAGATTTTGGTCACTTTACCACTTGTGCCACTATCTTTTATTATTTTATTTTTTTTTATCAACCTGGCACCTACAACTTTTATCATGTTCTACACCAAAGAATCCTAGGTGGGGATCATATCACCTATACGGTCGTCATAGAGCAGTTAGCCTGCTCTATGTTTGGGAGTATTTATTCTTATTATATTTTTTATCTTATGGAGAGCACTATTGTTGCCTTTTATTTCTGTCATTTTGGGTTCCTGATTCTTCTACCACCAAGAACACTCATGTTATATCCTTTAAGTGGGGATCATACCGCTGTACACTTTACACACCAGAGCTGGCTTAAGCTTTACCAAATTTGAGTGTAACCCTATTTATTTCCTATTTTACCTATACTCAGTGAGATTTAATGCACTATTGGCTTCCTCATTTTCATATCGCCCTTCTCTGCTTATAAGGACACTGGTGAAGCATAAAGAATATCCTCGTCTGACTCTTACACCTAATTGGTTTCAAACATTTGACACAAAACTTTGTGGATTATATAGAGATTGTGGCGAAACCGACCTCGCCACTGGGCATTGGAGAAGACTGATTGCCAGCCTCCTGCCATGTGACTATGGCCCCTGGGATATATTGCCCTTTAAAGACATGATTTGGGCATAATGGATTTGTGTGGTGCTGATGCTGGCCATTTAAGAACCATCTGGGGATATACTGTGGAGTTACTGGGTGGCCACCATTTCATGTATCAGAGGCACATGGTGAGAAAAATGGATGAAGCACATGGTGAGAACAATGGATGGCGGCCATTTTAACTCACAGACAGAGTTTGGACTTTTCTACACGGTGCCATCTTGCCGGTATTTGGTGCACAAAGACATTGTGCAGTAGTTTTAAACTATACAACAGGGGACACATTATACAGTAATTATTTTTCATATAGCCTGTATATGTTCCGCGGAATCTGCATTAAACTGTATCTTCCAAACTACTTAACGGATCTGGGTGAATTTTGGATATGTGGTTCACCCAGATGCCCCGGTTCCGAGGATATACTTTTATGGGGTTATTGCATGTTTTGGGGTCCCTGTGATATGTTTTATAATACTGTATTTCTCTGCCTGTGATAATTATATTAACCATTGTGTTCGGTAATCATATGATTTTGTGTGGGAGTGTCTGTGTGAATTGTACGGATTGATTGGTTGTATTTCAAAACCCTGTGGGCAGTACTAGGTTTGTGGATTGTGAATAAAAGAGGCTGTATGTGCCAGTACAGGCAGTTCTGCTTGACCTCAAAACGAAGTGTCGTCTCGTTATTGGGGGAATTGGATTGTATGCTGATTGCCAGGAGTGTAAGCTGATTGTATGCTTTTCCTGTTCAACTGCTTACAGCATTCATATGCTTGAGAGCATTCGTATGCTTCTCCGGTTCGGTGGTTGTGGTGTCTGCTGCAGTGCTTGGAGTCCTCAGGAAGCGCTAGCAGCATCCTTCAACGGAGGTACCCAGTCGGGGTGCCAGGTGATCCGTTACAGAGATATATCTATATTACACTGTTGTATTGTGGCGCAGCCCTACCCTGGTGTTCCTGTATTCAATTGTCTTCAAGGGTATTTTGAGGGAAACACTTGCATAGGGTTGCTGCCTAACCCACAATGTTTAATTTCTATTTATTAGCGCTGACCCTTATTGTTGTTGTTTTCTTGCATAATTTTAGCTGCCTGAGAGTCAATAAGTGAAACTTCTAAAAAAAATTAATTATAATAATTTGGCATATGCAGGTAAGATGAAAGCTACCTTTTCTGTACACACTAAAACAAGTTCATACTTGTGCTGAGGAAATATTACATAAATTATCTACAGCTCAACTTAACTAAGTTTAACATATAGGCAACACCACATAGATCTTTGACATGTCAAATAATTAAGAAATGTACATACACTTTAGCAGCTCTTCAATTAATAAATCATATTGAAAATATTGTAAACAACATCAACAAGTAATATATAGGTCTAGAGTAGCAGATAATTCTCATCTGTTATAATGCTCTTCCTGTACATGTTGCACACATGTGTATTATGCTGAAGACATTTAACTTATTTTAAAAAAATAAAATAATAATAATAAAAAATAAATAAATAAAAAATAATATATATATATATATATATATATATATATATTATACACACACACACACACACACACACACACACACACACACTTTTCTTCCTACCTCGATCATTTCAAAGATGCTTTCTGGATCCAGACTGCCACTGCCTAGCTTTCTCATGAAAGTTAGGATTCCTGTACTGGTCACTGAGACAAGGAGACTAGCCAGGGAACAGGCTTCCTCTTGTAATGTGGCATCTACTACTTGTCTGTGTCCAATCTTTATGTAAATGAAAATATACATATTAAAATAAAATTAAAACAATCCATAATTTTAAATGCAAAATTTGTATCCTTTAACAAATAAATTCACATATGGAATAAACATATGGTCACAATGGTAATGCTAACGATAGAGTTGGAATGTAAAGGAAAAAAAAGGGAGAAGGGGGGAATTCATTGTTGGACAGTGAATGACATTATATGGGATCCTTAAAATGAGCCAAGACTCCCATAATTGAATCAAATGCAATTAAGGAGTGTGAGATTATAATACTTATGTACAGGTAACTTAGATTACAAGAGAAAGTAATTGTGTATGGAAATGCCAACATAATTAAAATATACACATTTAATTTCCATTTTGTTCTACTAGCAACCAATCATAGGGTTGCACAGTTAACACCACTGAATTTACTGAATGTTAAAATACCACACAAATGGGATTCAGAGGTCCTCCGCAAATGATTTTTTAACATCACATATGTGCATTTGGCACCGAAATGCCAAAGAGAAATTTAGCAAATATCCCTAAAAACATTAACAAAACGTGTCAATATTTGGACGTACTCTGCTTAATGTGACAATGCAGGGGACGTTAGCAACATTCAGACGCATGCAGTCGTAAGGATCATCTGATAGCTCAAAATCTTTGGCTCCTTCATCATCTTCCAATATTCGCACTTTGGGAATCCTAAATTCCAAAAATTAGTTTCACATTATTATCACACTTTGTTTACAACTATGGAGGAACAGGTCTTCATTTAAGAGCAGTATTTTTTCTGCATATATAATTTTTCATGGAAACCTAAAGGTTATCCTCTGTAAGGATCTAGATAAGGTTCTGAGAATGCAATGCATGATGGACTTCTGTATACTGGCATTGGTAGAAGAATATATATGAACTCAGAGAGAAATTTAATGAGTCTCCTATACTGTGAGCTGCAAGAAAACACACAGAATATGCCATCCCCATAAAAACAATCATATAAACAGATTAAATAAACATGTCAAATATGTATTTGGGGTGATAAAATGTATTCCCCTCAATGTAAGCTAAAGTACATTATGTACAGTTAAAGTACATTTACTACCAAATATGGACGTTTTTTGTTTTACAAATACTGCTTTTAGTTATACTAAGTCACTCCTTCTGTAACATAAAGGATCTCACTTTTAAGTAAGCTTGCACGTTCTAGATAGAACTATGATAATTGTTATTGACAAAGATTTTTGTTCATCTGCTTTTAACTTTGGAAGCTTGCCCATCTGTCCAACTTTGCAGGTTTGAACATTTAAGATCACAGGATTGCACAATTTCACAGCCTTCTGGATTGATTTTCTTCATACAGTATAATAATGGGTAAAAAAGAAACATGTGAATTTTATTGCTTTCAAATGCTTAGTGGACTCCAGTGAGTTGATCACAGAAATATCTTTATTGTCTCCCCGACCCCCACTTATCTGCCTGATGTTCACCAGTTATACGTTATATGTCTTAGTGTTTCACACTTCAAAACTGTTCTAAAAAAAAATATCAAAATGTGTCAAAACAACAGTGGGCTAAAACACATTAATATAAGTTTTATTAGAATAGAATGGCATATATGAAAGAAAAAAAAAAGATTACATCATGTAATAATCTGAATGTAATTTTAGCTGTTTAGAGCAATAAGTTAAATGAAGTTAGGGAAAGGAAAGGAGAAAAAAAAAAAAAAAAATGCCCAACCATTCATATTTCCCATAGTGTGGCTGTTGACTCAAAAGACAGATCATTTTAAATAAATTCTCATTATTAATAATAAGACTCATTGATAACATTAAAACATACAAATATGTATTTAATGATTTCTGAATCTCTTCATATGGTTTGACAGAAAACTGGAGAATGGCTCCCAAAGACTTTGAGTACTTCAACTTCTACAATCAACTCTAGAGGTTATTGTGCTTAGAATATACCTTTAACATGAAATAATAGAAGGGTCAAGTGCCTGGACCTTGAAACAAAGAACAATTCATACCTTGCATTAAAAAGGGCTGCTTTCACAGCTATAGAGATTGTATCAAATAGGTTTCCACCACACTCCAAAAGCTGTAAGAGAAAAAAAAAAAAAAAAAGCAACTTACAATTAGAGAAAGAAGTGTTCACTATAGTTTGCTGTAGTGTTTATAATGCCAGCAGTGCCCTGGCACTCTCCCAGATGAATTTACATGGGTTTGACTGGGCTCCATACTTCTAGATTATCCTTTGAGAAAAGTCAGTTTAACATGACTGGGCTAAGTAGGGCCACTTATTAGCCATTTGTATCAGCTGAGAAATCTCAGACAATGTGCGAGGTCCTGGATTGGCCAGGCTTAGCTCAGTGAATGTATTTTCTCCTGCAGGATAAGACCAGATGCATTGCAGGTGCCCATTGATCCAAATATGTTGTCAAACTGTTCTTCAAACATTAGACAAATTAAACTGTAAAGGTGCCAGGGCACTCCTAGTACCATAACTAAAAAGCGGGCTGTAGTGGTTATAGTGCTTTAAATGTTGCATTAAAGATTTAGGGAAATCATACATGACAATCCCCAAGTCACCCCAAAGACAGACAGATAATTTATTGCATGAAACTATAAAAACGTTACCAAGACACATTTACCTATGCAAAGGTTTCATACAGCAAGGTTGTAAGCTATACCACATGGTAGAAATTACACAATTGTGTATTTCTTTTTCACGTAACATTGTTTGAAAACACAAATGACAATTCTGCATGATTGGTTTAGAACAAAAACTATGATAATTTTTCGCTTTTTCTTTTACAAGTAACAGTGACCTCAGTGATGCAGTGCCAACCATGAAGAGACGCCAGCACAATGAACAATTAGAAGACGAGTCAGATGGTAAATTTGTAATGTTAACTCTCTGGTAATTACAGAGATCCTAAATCAAGTCTTTTATAGAAGAACAAAGATGTAATTTCCATGAATCTTTAATTAGCAGAGGTTTGTTGTGCAGGAATATTCTGAAGACTGAAACCGGGAGCAATTGATTTAAAAAAAACCCTGCAATTAAGTTATATCCACTGCTTTATATAGAGGCTGCTTCCAAAGAGCCAGTCTATCAGCTATTTAAACATAGTCATGTTTAGATAGAAATGTATTTTTTTTTTTAAAATCACTTGACTTACCGACTGCAATATTATAACTAAACCACGAACCGTAAGGTATATCAACAGCCTGTCAATACTGTCAATACTCCCCAAGCCGGAACATACTCGGCGCAGAGTCAAACAGAAAGGGCTCCGGAACCTCCATGGATGGAGCCATCCTGCTCAGCCTACCACCCGGGTGGCTATTGTGCTTCCTCCCCAGACAGCAACCTATGTGCCTCACCTTAAACAGACGCTTGATCCGTCCCGTGCTGGGACAAGGAAGAACTGAGGTGGGTTTGCCGGGGGGGAAGCCCTTTAAAAGTGTAAAGGAGAGGGACATTTCTTAATTACCTATCTTGCAGATGCTTGTCCCAATTATGAAGCACAACCCAAACGTACTGTCACCATATGTCCAAAAGAATATAATATACATATATATATTGGAAGGCATGGCCTGAAGTTGGTCAGACGAATAGACTGTTTGAGGTCAGCATTTGCATGAGATCCACTTCCAGGTCATACAAGACGCCATTTTCGTTTCACCTTTGCTCAATGAAGTCTCCTACTCCAAGCTGTGTCCAGGAATCCTGCAGCAGGGCTTTCCGTTAATCCAGTGGCTTTCTCTCCGGTCAGCATCGCATTTGGTGTCTCAGGGACTCTCAAACCGTAAGTTGACCCACCTGGATTAGTTCCCACAGCGTTCAGCACAGCACGGGTCCTCACTTTACGGTTTTGCACGGTTATTTCGTTACCTTATACTCACCTAGCTGTTCATGTAAAATCTGTTTTGGTTAAAATCGGTTCGGTTAAAACTACAAACGAAATACAATTTTTCGCCTACACACTGACCCCTACCGGTCTTTTGGTGTACTACAGGCTTCTTAGACAATCGCATTTCATGTACAAACCAATAAACAACTGCATTTTAACCTACACACTGACCCCTACCGGTCATTCAGTGTACTACAGACTTCTCAGACATTATTGCATTTCATGTACAAACCAACGAACCACTGCATTTTTCACCTACACACTGACCCCTATCGGTCATTCGGTGTACTACAGGCTTCTCAGACATTATTGCATTTCGTGAACAAACCAACGAACCACTGCATTTTTCACCTACACACTGACCCCCTATCCGTCATTCAGTGTACTACAGACTTCTCAGACATTATTGCATTTCATGTACAAACCAATAAACCACTGCATTTTCACCTACACACTGACCCCTACCGGTCATTCAGTGTACTACAGGCTTCTCAGACATTATTGCATTTCATGTACAAACCAACGAACCACAGCATTTTCGCCTATATGCTGACCCCTACCGGTCAATCGGTATACTACAGGCTTCTCAGACTTTATTTCACTTCATAAGCAAACAAACTAACTACAGCATTTTCACTTTTATACTGACTCCTATCTGTCAAATGGTATACTATATATACTTCCTTACAACTCATGCTTGCTATGATATAATCATTCCTGCATACCTGCCTACATAGGCATTTAGATACGTTTACTGACAATACGCATACATTTACCCAAGAATGCACATACTATTTAAAGCACTATGCAGGATTCCAGAGTCTAATACGGAATATTTGTATGTTTACACGCTTAAAATATAAGTCCTTCCAATTACGTATTTTCACATATTAGGTTATTCAGCTGCCAGTCATGGTTCACTACACTCATGTTTCGGGGTATAGTTGTATTCCCTATCACACATGATATAACACTCCCGACAAGTTAATTTCCTTCAAACAGGGGCATTACAAGCATACAATAAACATTGGGACGGAGCACTTTTCTCTATTAAACTTGCATAACACACATATGGGTATACGCTTTTAAATGTCTATATTCAATTTTCATACATTGTTTTACCCGTCCGGGATACAGGTATTAATAACCCTTACGACCAGTAAGGGTATCTATTCATACTACCAGGTACATACACCTGCTCATGTGGTATATACATACATTTTCTGTTTCCCCCTGGGTATATCCTTAGTGTACTGGCAATTAGGGACTATAGGTTTCCAATAGGTATTCTCCTTTCTTGGCATCTATGCCTGTTGTATAGTGGTCCCGCGAGGCCAACACCCTGCCTCAACGCTTGGAGGCAAACACCCATCGGTCCACTCGTAAGCTAGCCGCCTCACATGGTATATAGAGAGGGCCTCACCTATTATTCCCTTCTCCTTTTTTCTGGTTACAGTCACCGAGAGGCCAACATCCTGCCACTACGTTTGGTGGCCACAAAAATCCCCTCGCGCCATTGCATAGATAGAGCCTCACCTGTCACCAAACAAAGGATTAATTGTTTCGCCAATGCGGCTTTAGCTAGCAAGCCAGTACTAGCACACTGTGGGTTCATATAATAATGGCTATCTTCATGTTTTTTAGTATGTATCAAGCAGGTGGTAAGGATTTCTCTCTACCTAACACTCCAGCTAGAGTCAACACCCTTTCACTTGGAGAAGATGTTGCTAGTCCCACACGACAATTTTGTCCCAAAACAGCGGACGATCACGTTTCAGGCTCCGGGCTCTAGCACCTCTGGTAGAGAACTACCAGAGACAAATTGGATCGTCTCATGCTCTTTGGCAAATCGCAGATTGGCAACAATTTCCATGTTGGCACATGTAGTTTCAGTGCATGCAGACTGTTGCAGATATGTTCTCAATATGTCCGGGCACATGCAAAAAACCATGTATACCAATAAATGTACCCTGAACCTTACTTCACGTCTGTAAACATTATGCATTTCCAGTACTTTCTAACTCATCACCTTTCCAGACATTTAGTTGATTTCCTAATCTCCAAATTTTAAAGGCCTTCTGTACAAGTATTGCCATATACTTTTGGGGGAATCTAGAATGCCCTAACTTGCAGTCATCACAGCAGCATACAACAGCTGGCATTACACTCATGGCTCAAGAAAAGGCAGAAAGATTTCTACCTGTGCCTCTCCGATCTACACCATTTACAGCGTGGCGCAATCCCATTGGGATTGTCACAGGGAATCTTCCCTCACACTGTAACTGATCACAGACTTATCTGCACCTCACGCCTCGGCTACCCCAAGTCTCAACTCCCTCATACCCTCCGAGGAGTTTTCATTACAGTATGCCACCATTGTTCATACTATTACAGCTATCACTCAAGAGGGGGTGAAGCCTGGTTAAGTAAAATTGATATCACAAACGCATTTCAGATTGCCACCATCCACCCTACACTGGCACTTACAGGGCATTTATGGACAGCAGTTATATATTTCTCCTCCCGCTTAACTTTTGGGTCAAGAGCAGCCCACAATCTTCAATATATTCGTTGAACTCTTTGCTGGTTGTGGTTAAACATATCCAAATGCCCCACAGTCATACATTCCCGAGATGATTTCTTGTTGATCAAAGGGAACGCCTTTCCCTCTAGAAGCTTCAAGAAAGGCATTAGTATGTCTGAACACTTGGGTGTCCCAGTATTCCCTAAGGTCACAGAAGACCCAGACACTATCGTTACATTCCTGGGCATACAACTTGACTCTGCATTCATGCCAACAAGTTACCAAGTGAGAAATAGGAACAGTCGCAACAATACCAATTACCACCTCCTGCTTGGTACTTGCAACCGCATGGAACTACAATCCCTACCAGGTTTCTTAAATTTTGCCATGCGCATCATACCGCAGGCCACTCTTTCATCTAAGACCACTTTGCTTTTTCCACACTCCCGCATGATGATCAGGGGCTGTCCCTAGACAACCAAGCCACGGCAGACCTACACATATGGTGGACTTTCTTAACCACACATAATGGTAAACTATTGTGGCAGCTGGCGTGACAGCCGCCATTGCAGGGGGGTCATGGATTACATGAACCTCGCCAACATAGCCGGGCTCTGACTAAACTGGCCTTGTCCACCAGCACTCAACACGCTTGCTACAGGGTTTTCCACTTATACAATACGTTTCATGTCGGACCATCACTTAGATAGCTGGTTTGAGGTTTCACCACTTATGGCCTTCACCTCTTTTTGCCACCTTAAGTTACAAATTCTCACACAACACGGTTAAACTTATCTCACGGGCATTCAACACTATACTTATTTCTCCTTCCCAAACAACAAGGGTTCCTATCCTCCTACCCCATCCATACATTACTTAGAGACATAGCCAAGCGGACGTTCCCGCTAAAACTAAATACTGGCCATAGACATACAATGTTCAAACCATGTCAGAACCACTCGACCATGCACCTTCCGAGTCACGCACCAATGCAGTTATCAAAACTGCTACCTATCTAGCCTTTAACGGCTTTCTCAGGCCCCAAAAAATAACTCACTATCAGCGGCCAACATCATAAACAAGAGTGCCTGTTGACCTCTTATCTTCAAAAACACACAGACCACTATGTCCGGTCCCTTCCTAAAACTAAGATGAGTCAGATGGGCGAGCCAGTGCATATAACCTACTACCTTACAAGCAATGCTGGGTTCCCGGTTAAGTTACTGGTTATGTTCTTGGGCACGCCACCATATGCACTACTGCACCATTACTGTCGCTGTACGATACTGTCCTTACCACAGGTAAGTTCATGCACTATGTCCACCTACTCATTCACCGGGCTCAAACTAAACCCTAGCGACTACTCAGGGCACTCCTTTAAGATAGGAGCAGCCTCCACTGCCTATAGCCAAGACATCCCCGCACACGTTAAGACACTGGGCAGCTGGGAATCAAAGGCTTATGAGACTTACATACCACAGCCGATTCAGGAATTAGGAAGCTTTCATTAAAATGTCTACCTGATGGTTAACAGATGCACTATGATCCTGTATAATGTTTTGCATTAATATGTCTCTTTTTGCCCACTTTTTACCGGCCTACAGCATACGTCGGTTTCGGCACACCTCAACCGATTATTCCTAAAGCTACATCTCTACAACCCATCTTATTCTATATCATATGAGAATGCCCCGAACACACACATATATATATATATATATCTCACATGATCTGTGTTCCAAGGTTAACCATCTCAAAATAAATATATATATATATATATATATATATATATATATATTTATTTTGAGATGGTTAACCTTGGAACACAGATCATGTGAGATGTGAATTAGCGGTCTCATATTTGCCCACAGCATGGCTGAGTGTCATGAGAAATGTAGCTCACAAACATCTAGGGTGTCAGGGTTTGTCAGCTCGGACCTAGAATCTTAAATAATTCACAAAAGCTGGATCACTGCTAGATCTAATCAGCAATGCACATCAGTGAGACAGAGCAAGAAAACAATGGCCTGAAACTCCTCTCCCCTGGTGTGGATAGAAAGTTCATCTTCATGGAGATATAACACTTAAATGGTTATTTACGTAGCTATCTGACAAATGTAGGAGCAGTTTGGAGGCAGGTTATAAAATTGCAAGTCTTAAATCATTTTAAAAACACAAATGACCAGCAATAAGAAATGCCCACTGGCTGAATGTATTATTATTATTTTATTATTTATATAGCATCATCAGATTCCGTAGCGCTGTACAATTAATAAATGTCCACTGGCTGAACAAGATATACAGTTAAAATAAATAAAAAAAAAAAAAAACTAATGCTGAGGGGTGGGCCTACCTCTCCAGCAGCTTCTATCAATGTGTGTTGGATGAAGGGGATATCTGCGTAGGCTTGCACAACTTTTTACATTGTATATTTGATATATTGTATTCGCCTATGCAAATCATTCTTATTTGGATGAAGGGGTCAACATATAGTTATGCAGGTCCATAGTACTGTCTTCAAAGGAACATTAGTCTCAGTGCTATAGAATGACCAGTTTACATATTTCACTATTGCCACATCCCATAGTGTGAAGGTTGGCGAACAACAGGGTTATACCCATATTAAAACCCTCTATCCACGTGAGGAAGAAGACACAGAATCTCCCTGTTGAATAAAGGAATTCGCTAAAGGTAGGGAATAATATTAGTGTATGTACATTCTAATTGCAATGTAATATTTACTCCTTAGCAACGGTTTAAAAAGGGACACAATCACCAAAACAACTACAGCTTATTCGATTTGTTCTGGTGAATATAATCATTCACTTCAGGCTTTTTCCAGTAAACAATGTTTTTTGTTAAGAGAAAATGCAGTGTTTAGCTTACAGCCTAGGGATACCTCCACTGGCCACTCATCAGATGGCTACTAGAGGCGCTTCCTGGAACAGTGCTGTTCAATATGCAGCACTGCTATTCAGTGTCTACACCCTATGCATGGAGACACTGAACTTTCCTTATTGAGATGCAATGATTCAATGCAGCTCTATGAGGAGATGCTGATTGGCCAGGGCTGTGTTTGGCTGGTGCTGGCTCTACTCCTGATCTGCCTCATTGACAAGCTCAACCGATCCAATGCTTTTCTGTGAGAAAGCGTTGTGATTGTCTTTGAACACCACTTCTGATGTCAGCCAAGAAGGCAGCTCAGGGGCAGAGCCAACAGCAGCAGACTGGAATAAATGTAAGATTTGTCTATATTTAGGGGGGCTAAATGGTGTTTTTAACACTATAGGGACAATATATCCTTTATATATCCTTTATTTGTACAAAGGTACAGTAAATGTTTCAGTCCAACTTGGTCTTGAAAAAAGTCCAAGTCTTGTCCTTGCCTGGGTACAAATCACTTATGCCAATATATAAAGTATCAAGGAAGGTGCACTCACAGGACTTTGTAAATAAATCTTGAAGTTTTAGTGTGCAATTATACACTAGAAAATGTGTTGACGTTTCAGACCTCTATGGGACTTTTCTCAAGAGACAGACACACACACGCACACACACTCTCTCTCTCTCTCTCAATTCAGGAATTAAATATCATGTGATAGTAATAATCGCCCTCCATCCTCCAAATCCATGTGAGAAGTCATATCTACTTTAATTCTGACACTAATTATCCTTCTGCAAGAATTAGTTTACTTACCAAGACATCAACATAAAGAACCCAGCAATGCTCCCTAGGCTGGATACAGAGAGACTTGCGGTCCAGGCTACTTTTGTTGTCAAATATTTTATACAGCACATGGGCTATCTCTGTGCCAAGCTCTTCTCCTCCACGTCCTTCAAACTCTGGAGTGGCATTTGCGGAACTAAAATAAAAATACAAATATGAATATATGAATTCATGGAAATAATTGAAAAAGAAAAAAAAAAAAGTTGGACACAAACTTAGAAACAGTAATGAAGAATATGTAAACACAGAATTTCTAATAGAAAGAATTCCAGGAACTGTTTGATGTAGAAAGAGTCATTTCAGTAAGTGGTCTAAAGGTGGATTTGTTGCTTAACAGGACACTATAGTCATCAGAACCACTACGGATTATTGTATTTGTTCTCGGGAGTATAATTATTCCCTTTAGGCTTTTTGCAGTAAACACTGTCTTTTCAGAGAAAATGCAGTGTTTACATTACAGCCTATGCAGACCTCCACTGGTCACTCATTAGATGGCTACTAGAGATGGCCCCTGATCTGCCTCCTTGACAGTGACAGTAGCAGCCACTCCAATGCTATCCTGTGGGTAAGCATTGTGATTTGCTATGAATAACACTTCTGAGGTCAGCCAAGCAGGCAGATCGGGGCAGTGCCAGCAGCAGCAGACTGGAGTAAAGGTAAGATTTTTACTATGTGGGGTGGCAAGGAGGGCCAGGGAGCTAGATAGTGTTTATAACACTATAGGGTCAGCAATACATCTTTGTGCTCCTAACCCTATAGTGTTCCTTTCAACATTTACTACAAGAATATAAAATTAACTTTAAAAACCGGACCATAGCTTTAAATGTTCCCCTTTGTATTAGTTTTTGCGATATTTGGTTTAAGCATTATTGACTATCAAAACAAAAAACAAACAGTTATGGTAGATTTCCAATAAAATTTATTTTTAGTATGCTAAAACAGCAATCCACAGAATTATAGTATAATGTAGGTATACTAAAGTGTGGAACAAGAGGGGGTTGGCTGCACTCACCTGAACATGCATAAATGGGGGTGCTGCTGGGGGCCAAATAATACAATACACAAGATCCAGAGCACTCACCTATCCACTAAACAGCAACTTCAATGTTGAAAGATTTTTTTTTTTTAAAAAACACCTAATGTTGGCAAAAATAATGGGGGTTTAGTTACATTATATGATCATACATTGCATAAGCCTGCCACAACGTCAATGTACCCCATCTTTTGCAGGTCCTACACCAACAGCCTAATGTCTGCTCTTATGAGATTAACCCACGTACCTGCCAAAGATGGGGTGGGACTGTGTTAAATATTCTATAAATACCAAATAATTTAGTGTACAAGCTCAATGTCATCTACATGCAGCACAAAATACATAGTACTTTATAACAAATAAAAAACAAAAAAAATGGAGGTTTAGTCCAGGAGTGGCCAAAGTAAGATAACTAGGTGTTTATTACACTTCCCTATGATGCTTTGCCTCCATTAAAGCTGGCAATACATCAAAGAAGTTCTACAATAGCTAGAGATTTACATTTGACCACCCAGTTTTAGAGCATTCCTTAGGTAAAGATTAATCACCTCATATTATTATTATGATATTTATATATCAAATTCCGCAGCGCTTTACAATGGGTGGACGAACAGACATGAAGTTGTAACCAGACAAGTTGGACACACAGGAACAGAGGGGTTGAGGGCCCTGCTCAATGAGCTTACATGCTAGAGGGAGTGGCGTAAAATGACACAAAAAGGTAAGGATAGTATTAGACTAATGACAGTTGCAGAAGAGGAATCAGTCAGGAGCCATTAACAGTTTAATTGATACGCTTTTATGAAGAAGTGAGTTTTTAACGATTTTTTGAAGGAGTGGAGACTGGGTGAGCATCTAACGGCGGAAGGAAGCGAGTTTCACAGGAACGGTGCAGCCCTCGAGAAATCTTGAAGGCGAGCATCAGAGGTGGGAGTACAGACAGAAGATAGACGTAAGTCTTCAGCAGATCGTAAGGGCCTAGACGGGACATACTTGTGTATAAGGGAGGATAGATAGGTGGGAGCAGCATTATGTAGCGATTTGAAAGCAAGAACCATAATTTTAAATTGAGCTCTATATTTTATAGGAAGCCAATGTAGGGATTGACAGAAGGGTGAGGCATGGGAGGTGCGGGCGGACAGGAAGATGAGCCTTGTCGCGGCATTCATTATGGACTGTAACGGCGCTAGTTGGGAGCACGTAAGACCACTGAGAAGCGGATTACAGTAGTCAAGGCGAGAAAGGACAGTGGAATGGACCAACACCTTAGTCACATCTAGCGTTAATTAGGGGCGGATGCGCGCAATGTTTTTGAGATGGAAATGACAGGATTTGGCGATAGATTGAACATGAGGCTTGAAGGAGAGGTCGGAATCAAAGAGAACACCTAGGCAGCGAGCCTGCGTGGTGGAGCTGATGGTAGCAACGTTGACTTGGAGGGAGACAGACACAGGAGTAACAACACTTGAGGGAGGAAAGACCAGAATTTCAGTTTTGGTCAAGTTTAAGGAAGTGGGCAGCCATCCAGTTAGAAACAGCAGAGAGGCAGTCAGAGACACTAGTCAAGATGGGCGGAGAGAGATCAGGAGAGGACAGGTAGATTTGCGTGTCATCTGCATAGAAATGATATTGGAAGCCAAAGGAGCTAATGAGTTTACCAAGGGAGGCAGTATAGATGGAAAACAGTAGGGGACCAAGGACTGAACCTTGGGGGACACCAACAGAGAGGAGTTGGGAGCAGAGCTTAGCGCGGAAACCAGACTGAAGCGGGTCTAGCAGAGAGTTGGACTCGAGGAAGACTTTCAATCTCGCATACACAATTTTTTCAAGGATCTTGGATGCAAAAGGCAGTAGTGAGATAGGACGATAGTTGGATGGGGAGTTAGGGTCAAGATTGGGCTTCTTTAGAATTGGGGTTACTGTTGCACGTTTGAAGGGCAATGGAAATATACCAGAGGAGAGAGAGAGATTGAGAAAGAGAAGAAGACAGAGTACGGATGAGATGCGAGGGAATTGGATCTAGGGAGCAGGTGGTGGGGTTAAAAGCACACTCCAGACCACTAAAGCACATCATCTTGCTGAAACACCTTATGCGTGAAGAATGTGTCATTTTTAAATTTTTTTTTATATAATGAAAATTTCAGGAGAAATTGACAATTCTAAATTAACCTGGTTACACCCCTCTGGCCTTTAAAGCAGACAACAGGTCCTGTTACGTTCTGGTTTGGTTAGCTTATTTCACTAAACCATTGCACAGAGTACTTAGCTTGCAAAGACTTCTCATTGAGCTGCATTGGAAAGTCTGTGATACTACCGTCACATCAAGTTAGAGGGGGAGAGATTGCAAAGGCAAGAGACAATAGATCTGCAGTTTTTGCAAGCTCTTTTTAGATATAACTCCAATGAAAAAAAAAAAAAAAAAAAGTATAAATAAATGCATGCAAGTTTTCATTTGGGGTTTATCTACTAAACAGCGATATTTTGTATTTGGGCAGTGAAGTGTGCCTTTAATGGAAAGTCCAATTATTTTGAGCAGTCACACAGCAGAGTTTTCTAATAGTAAACTTACTGCTCAACAAGTTAAGGGACTAAGTTCTATATATGAGTTTTAGCGAATACACCCATGTATAGATTTTCTTGCACAGACAATGTAGGAATACATTTTGTAAAGGCAGGTCAAAATAATCTAAATAGAACAAGCAATTTCTGACTTAAACACATTTGTAACACAGTCATATTACACTCAGTCTTCTATCTTGGTAATGCTGTGCTAAGCTATTCAACTCATAACAGCACACCCATAATTAAAATTAAATTACACTTGTATGCTGCTATTAAGCATGGGAAAACAAAGCGGCAAACAAAACAAATTATGAACACAAAGCAAGCATTGGAGGAAGCAGTTGTGTAGGCAAGCACGAATATCTGATGTCAGAGGAACATCAGCCGTAGGTCAATGGCTAATTATTATTTATTAATTCAAAACGTTTTAGACAATCAAAAACATAAAAATATAGGCAAGGAATAAAAAAAATAAAATAAAGGGGAGATCACAGCCCTTCAGAACACCTATACATGAAAACCAAAGGCTCACTATACAAATTTACTGAACGGGAGTACAACAGCTTGCACACTGCCAGTTTAAAATAATCACTGAGCAGTAGAACAAAAAGCTTTAAGACAGTGAACAAAGCAGTGTCACTTGACAGAAATATGCTGTATTATCACTGGCTCCAATCCATTCTATGACATGTCTACACATCAATATTGAATTAAGAACTCGCATTCAGGTGTGTGTCTTTTGATGGATGCTTATTTATTGAATTTGAAAGGAGCAGTGTGATCGGTACACAAGCAACATTTCTAGAGATATGGTGCTCACCATTAAAAAGGTGGGTATAAAGTAAAAGGTTAAAAAAAATAAAAATAAACATTTTTTTTACCTACTCAAATTCTTTTTAGTATTCATTGCCATACCCTTGATAAAACGTACAAATTGACATTACATTTTAGCTGCACTGTAGTTCGTAGAGAATATTGCAATGCATTTTACATCACAACAATGGCCATGTAAAAAAAATTGATAAAAAGTAATTTTTTTTATCAAAAAGTGGAATGATTTAATTAAGAGTGGCTTGGTTCAGAATATTTGAGCAACAAGAAGGTTTCAGTTGTAATTATATTATTATCCTCATGAAAAATTTACTGAGGGTTGAAATCCAAACTTCAAAAAGGAACAGTCTGCTATCAAAAAAAAATAATCTTTCAGTGCTTCTATTTTATGTTACAGACACCCATTGACTTTCCAAAAAAAAAAAAAAAAACCTTCATAAAACGTATCCTCTATAGAATTGGATGCAGACAGAATAATTTAAAATTTGCCAGGGTACATTATCTTACTGAAAAAGCCCACTGGCAACCATGGTCTGCAATAATCCCTAGGTAGGTGGTATGTGTCAAAGTAATATTCACATGAATGCCAGGACCCAGGGTTTCCCAGAGCATAACACTGCTTCTGCGGGACTGCCTTCTTCCCACAGTACAAGCTGCTGCAATCTCTTCCCAAAATAAATGACATATACGCACCAGGCCATCCATCTGAACTAAAAGAACATGTGATTTATCAGACAACCTTCTTCTATTGCTGAATGGTCCAGTTCTGATGCTCATGTCCCCATTGAATGAGCTTTCGGCAGTGGATACGGTGCATTATGGGCACTGACAGTTCTTCGGCCATGTAGTCCCTCTTCTGTGAGATTGTACCAGGCTGGCTAGCCTTCACTCCCTAGATGCATCAATGACCCTTGGGCGCCTATGACCCTGACACCAGTTCAGCAGTTGTCCTTCCTTGCACTATTTTTTTTGTACGTACTAACCACTGCATACTGGTGATATCCCACAAGACATGCTGTTTTGTAAATGCCGGCTCAGATGTCGCCCAGATTAACAAGTCAGATGCTAGGAAAACAGGGCAATCAAACGACAAGTGGGATACTGAAACAAATAATTCCTGAATACAAAAAGTGAGAACTTGCTTGACTGCAGACTGAATGAGAATGTATGTGGAAACCGTGGATGATAAAGAGTCCTTCATCTACACGAACACCAAAACAGCTAATTACTCAATGTTTATACATTGTCAAGAGGAAGCTAGTGTTACAACTGGAATTAGATGGACTACACAAAGCATCATACATGATCTGAACTTCCGTGCATAACAGTAGGGATCGACCGATTACCAGTTTTACAGATATTATCGGCAGATATTCTGTATTTTCTGCAATATCGGTATCGGCCAATAGAGATACTGATATTGCCGATAATACATACCAGGACCGCCGGGCCCATTACAAGCCTGGCAGTCCTGGGGGGGCCCAGCAGCAAGCTCTTACCTCCCAGCAGCTCCTCCAGCTCTCTGTGTAAATTTTGCGAGGCCCGCGGCCGCAGAGCGTTGCCACGGGTTACCATGGCAATGCGCCGCACGGCACGCAGATTTACAGAGGGAGCTACTGGGAGGTAAGTAAGAGCTTGCTGCTGGGCCCCCCACAGTACTTAACAAGCCACCGGACCACCAGGGAATACTATATACTAAATTTTTTTTTTTTTTTAACATTTAAATTAAAAAAAAATGCCCCCCATTTTACACAACTTACATCTACACACACACACACACTGCATTATATACACACACAATGCATTCACTTTGCACAAACACTACTCAAATACTCACTGCATTCACTATACACACACACACACACACACTCTGCATTCATTATACACACTACACAAATACTCACTGCATTCACTATACACAAACACTAAACACTCACTGCATTCACTATATACACACTACACAAACACACACTCTGCATTCACTATGTATACGCTACACACTCACTGCATTCACTATGTATACGCTACACAAACACTCACTGCATTCACTATGTATACACACTACACAAACACACTCTGCATTCATTATATACACACACACACACTGCACAAACACACTCTGCATTCATTATATACACACACTACACAAATATACAGGGAGTGCAGAATTATTAGGCAAATGAGTATTTTGACCACATCATCCTCTTTATGCATGTTGTCTTACTCCAAGCTGTATAGGCTCGAAAGCCTACTACCAATTAAGCATATTAGGTGATGTGCATCTCTGTAATGAGAAGGGGTGTGGTCTAATGACATCAACACCCTATATCAGGTGTGCATAATTATTAGGCAACTTCCTTTCCTTTGGCAAAATGGGTCAAAAGAAGGACTTGACAGGCTCAGAAAAGTCAAAAATAGTGAGATATCTTGCAGAGGGATGCAGGACTCTTAAAATTGCAAAGCTTCTGAAGCGTGATCATCGAACAATCAAGCGTTTCATTCAAAATAGTCAACAGGGTCGCAAGAAGCGTGTGGAAAAACCAAGGCGCAAAATAACTGCCCATGAACTGAGAAAAGTCAAGCGTGCAGCTGCCACGATGCCACTTGCCACCAGTTTGGCCATATTTCAGAGCTGCAACATCACTGGAGTGCCCAAAAGCACAAGGTGTGCAATACTCAGAGACATGGCCAAGGTAAGAAAGGCTGAAAGACGACCACCACTGAACAAGACACACAAGCTGAAACGTCAAGACTGGGCCAAGAAATATCTCAAGACTGATTTTTCTAAGGTTTTATGGACTGATGAAATGAGAGTGAGTCTTGATGGGCCAGATGGATGGGCCCGTGGCTGGATTGGTAAAGGGCAGAGAGCTCCAGTCCGACTCAGACGCCAGCAAGGTGGAGGTGGAGTACTGGTTTGGGCTGGTATCATCAAAGATGAGCTTGTGGGGCCTTTTCGGGTTGAGGATGGAGTCAAGCTCAACTCCCAGTCCTACTGCCAGTTCCTGGAAGACACCTTCTTCAAGCAGTGGTACAGGAAGAAGTCTGCATCCTTCAAGAAAAACATGATTTTCATGCAGGACAATGCTCCATCACACGCGTCCAAGTACTCCACAGCGTGGCTGGCAAGAAAGGGTATAAAAGAAGAAAATCTAATGACATGGCCTCCTTGTTCACCTGATCTGAACCCCATTGAGAACCTGTGGTCCATCATCAAATGTGAGATTTACAAGGAGGGAAAACAGTACACCTCTCTGAACAGTGTCTGGGAGGCTGTGGTTGCTGCTGCACACAATGTTGATGGTGAACAGATCAAAACACTGACAGAATCCATGGATGGCAGGCTTTTGAGTGTCCTTGCAAAGAAAGGTGGCTATATTGGTCACTGATTTGTTTTTGTTTTGTTTTTGAATGTCAGAAATGTATATTTGTGAATGTTGAGATGTTATATTGGTTTCACTGGTAATAATAAATAATTGAAATGGGTATATATTTGTTTTTTGTTAAGTTGCCTAATAATTATGCACAGTAATAGTCACCTGCACACACAGATATCCCCCTAACATAGCTATAACTAAAAACAAACTAAAAACTACTTCCAAAAATATTCAGCTTTGATATTAATGAGTTTTTTGGGTTCATTGAGAACATGGTTGTTGTTCAATAATAAAATTAATCCTCAAAAATACAACTTGCCTAATAATTCTGCACTCCCTGTACACTGCATCCACTACACAAACACACACAGCTCCCCTGTCTAAACACACTGCATCCACTACATGTGGCATGTATATTTTGTGCATTTACCTTTAGAATTAGTTTATATTTTCAAAATGGTAAATGTACAGAATATCGGCAAGTTATTGGCTATCGGCCTGAAAGTTCAAAGATTATCAGTATCGGCTCTAAAAAAAATCAATATCAGTCGATCCCTAGATAACGGGGAGCGTATGCTGACATGTATTGTGAACTTTTTAACTCTGTTGGAATAAAGCATTTTCTTCATTCAAGCGGCTATACTCCGATCCTTGCCTACATTTAGTCCCATTGTGGACACAAGCCAGAAAAGTGAGAGCAGACTTCTTACTGCTCTCTTCTTGTGAGTTTGATTCCATTTTTTAGTTCCTTGTTATACAGTATTATGCGATGTTTATGTTTTGTTTTTCATGTCCTCATACATCTTTGAAAGAAAGTGTGATACCTCTATTTCTCTAGTAAGTGTTTTAAAGTATTTTAGCACAAAACACTATGACAACTTTGCACACTGTTTCAATATTATTATACTGGAAATACTTGAATGCACAGTGCACTGACACTTTCACTTTGTAGCACTTTAAAATTTAAAGGTATAGTGCACCTTTTTTTATCTTTTGATGAGGAAGAAATTACTATTACCCACACCTATACTTACAGAGGCCTGAAGCTCTGCCCCAAGATGGCTTAACAGATATAAGGAAGATGATCACCACAAAACAGTCCTTGACCACCGGACAAGATCACTGAAAAACTGCCACCAGACAGGATGCTAGCAACGGTTAATGAGGCACTATCCACAATCCTAATCAACACCATCACAGAGACAGATAGATTATATATACATGTTCATTTAGGCCACTGCATTAGAGGTTCTCCAACTGCCTGTCTACAAGATCAGGCTGAAGGAGAAATAATGCCCTCCTTAGAGAATGAAGCCAAGATAAAGGCAACATGTAAGGAAGTTATTAAGCTCAATCAACTTCACAGAGGTGAAAAGATCAAGGATAGGTACTGGTTACTGAGGTATGTCCGTACCAGATGCAAACAGCTAAGGAAAGGCTGACAGTACTGGCAATGATGCTAAACAGACACACCAGAGAAGCAGAGGCAAAGAGTCCTATTAACCAAAGAACCATCCAAGGTTTATACACCGCTGCAGGTTAGCCACAACATATCCATCAAAGACCAACAAAGAGCAGTACTGGAAGAACGAAGCATCACATAATACCAAGGCCCAGAGGCTACTAGAACCGAAAGCAGACCAGTACATGCTCCCATAACAAAAAAAACAGCCACTATGACAGTAGGAGATATCCAACAAGAAGTAGCCCATATGAAAAGTTGGTCAGCCCCAGGACCTGACATGATCCACACCTACTAGAAAAATAAACTAACAGTGTTGCATGAACATCTAGCAGCAAACAAACCAACCAGCTACTAACAGGCTCCCACAATGACTGGCTAACACAAGGCAGAATAATACTGATCATGAAAGGCCAGTATTTAACTGCCTTGTTAGCCATCTAACTACCGACCAATCACTTGCCTCCCCAGAACATGGAAGGTCTGGTCAGGCATCATAGCCTCCAAGATCGATGGGGCATATGAGTTAGTACATCAGCAAAACTCAAAAGGGTTTTTAAAAAAGCACCAAAGGATCAAACTAACGACTGGTAGACTAAGCAGTCACACTGGATTCTAATACCAATAAGACCAATTAGTGCACTGCCTGAATTGACTACAAGAAAGCCTATGACAATGCCACACACATGGATACTGGGATGCTAGGCCATATATAAGGCCAGCAAGACACCAAGAGCCTTCATCAAGAATGCAAGTGGAAAACCAATCTAGAAGCCAATTCCAGGACAATAACACAAGTGAACAACAAATGTGGCATATACCAAGGTGATGTTCTACATAGGTCTCCACCCCCCTAGCCAGATCATGAACAGTGGCTAAATATACAGGTTCAAGAGTGGAGCTAGCACCAGCCACCTACTCTACATGGACGACATCAAGCTGTATGAGAAAGCCTAACATGGACATCGGAATATCGTTTGGACTGGATAGGCATCGGCAGATGATCGCAAAAATAGGGAAAGTGATCAGGACAGAAAGAGTTAAAGTACCAGAAGGTCAAATAAGAGATGTAGAAAACATCTGAGATTGCTTCCCAGAAGAGTGCAGTTCTAGGAACAGCCAAGATACTGTAAAACCCTCAGACTCCCAAGCTCCCAAAAATAAATAAACACACACATATATAAATAAAAACATTTACAGATAGAGCTTTCTATTGAACGTTCATATGTATCCTTAACACCATAATTATTATATATATATATTTTTTTTTTTCATATTCAAGTAGAGATTGTAGCCGTATTATTCCAGTGATGTATATGTAAAAAAACAGATAAAATTCTTATCTTGTAATACCTTGAAGACTTGAGAAAGGGAGGTTCTCCCGAAAGCTTGTCATTAAAAAATTCTGTTAGTTCAATAAAAAAGGTATTGCAAGATAAGAATTTCGTGTGTGTGTGTGTATAATATATATATATATATATTTCACGCTGGGTCCTGCACTCCTGCTCCCAGTCTTGTTTATTGCCTAGGAGCTCTGACCTCAAAATATGAAATACCTTGTTGGAAGTGCACTCACAGGACTCTATACTGTTGCCAAAAATGTGCCATTTATTCAAGCTTCAAAAGTTGATTACATAGTGTCGACGTTTCAGTCCACTAGGGAAAAAAGTCCCTAGTGGACTGAAACGTCGACACTCTGTAATCAACTTTTGAAGCTTGAATAAATGGCACATTTTTGGCAACAGTATAGAGTCCTGTGAGTGCACTTCCAACAAGGTATTTCATAAAACACACACACATATATACAAATGAACATATGGGCTGCACTCACGGTCTTCCATATAAAGTTTCCTTTATTCCATAGAACAAATCAACAGATCAACATTTCGGTCCTCTCTGGGACCTTTCTCAAGATCAAATGGCAGGACTCTCTGCAAGTCAAGGCTAAATAGGGTCCTAGAATGAGGTACCTGTAACAGGGAGGGAGTCCCAGTAAGGAAGTATTTCCCAAGTAAGTGGATTACTCTCATAAGAGCAAGCATTAGGCTTCTACTAGGATAGGACCTGCCGAATATGGGGTACTTTGACGTAGTTGGCAGGCTTATGCAATGTATGATCTTATAATGTAACTAAAAACCCATCATTTTATGCCTAGGTGAGGTGTTTTTAAATAAAACTATTACAATCTCTAAGATTTGAAATCATTGTTTAGTGAATAAACGAGTGCGCTGGATTCTGTAATATATATATATATTCACTTATTAGTCCGGATTGTGAGAATTCCTCATATGTCTAGGATTTCAGTAACATTTCGAAAACTAGAAGACAAATGTCAAGAAGTGAATTACAGTTTTAAAGTTAAACCTTTGGAATAAACCATTCCAATGAATGACTTGGCAGCTGATCGTATTCTCTCATGTACGGTTTTGAAAATGACCTGGGTCTCCTCTAGATAAAAGGGGTAATCCAGATGCCCTAGGGCAGCATCAGCCACAGCTTACTGAAGACACCCAATGATAAAACAATCACCTGGAGTTTGCTATATCTGTTGTGCAGAGGGAACTTACTAGTACTTTATCTGCCTTATGGTCTGGTTTGCAAATAGCTTGGGTACTGTGATGGCACAAGTGAGCTAAAACTAGACCTGAGAGGGAACGAACAACAAACGAACACGAACACACACACACACACCTTTTGTCATAACAGAGAGCATGGCTATGCATCTGAAATTTGTAAATACTCACTAAGGATTCATTAAATGCTGAAAGGCAGCTGAATGGCATTTGATTGTACAAATTTGGCTGTTGCAGCCAAAAGTTTGGCTTGGGAAACCCACTCAGCTGTTCGCAAAATGCTAATAATTTTCCTACTCTACCCTGCTGCAATGGAGTTTTGAATAAGACTGACTAAAATCCACTAACCAGTCAGCAAAGAACTCAAGGTATCCTTCGTTTGGACTTTCCAGCTTCGGAGTTCCCATTTCAGCTTTAACTCCAACTAAAACATCTGTGTGACCCTAGAACATAAATTCAAAACATTACTTTTGTAATAAACATTATATACTTAATATTTATGGTTTTAATTTTAAATGTGGCCATGTGATCCATTCATTACATTACTTGTGGCAGTGATGCTACATAACCCAATTTATAGGGGGCACTTGCTTGCTGCCTGAAAAATAGTCCCCTCTAAATTCCTCTCAGATTCTGAAAGGTTTAGTCACTGTTTGGGTTTCTATGAAGCATCATGAAATCCTCTCAAAAACAAACAACAAAAAGCACCTGCCTCAGTGAGGTTTATGGAAAATATAGAGCTCTTCAATATAAGGTTTTATAGGGTGACCTGGATTTCTATTTGGATATTTAATATTGTGAAACTAATGAGTAGTGCTTTCCATACCATCAGTCTTTCTTTATATTGTATATACCACATCAATGTATACCATCATTGAATCGGTCTGATTTTTAAATAAATTATATTAGACTTCTGTCTAAAATGACATATATAACATAATTATGTTAGCAATTACTCCGGACCCCTAAAGCACTTTAGCTTGCTAAAATGATTGTGTGTGAAGAATGTGTCCTCTTTTCATTTTACAAAAAGTGCAGATTTAAAGGATCACTATAGTGTCAGGAAAACAAACTCGTTTTCCTGACACTATACAACCCTTAGGTCCCCCCCACCCTCAGGGCCTCCCCTTCAGTTACTTACTTTAATCCAATGCCAGGCTCCCTAGGCGCTGGTGACCTCTCCTCCCACTCTGATGTCAGCTACCGAGTGGAGCGGAATGCACATGCTCGCGCATTCAAATAGTCCATAGGAAAGCATTTCTCAATGCTTTCCTATGGACGTTCTGCACGCTGAATGCGATTTTCGCATCCAGCATCACAGAAGCGCCTCTAGCGGCTGTCAGGAATACAGCCACTAAAGGCTGGATTAACCCTGCAATGTAAACATAGCAGTTTCTCTGAAACTGCTATGTTTACATCTGAAGGGTTAAAACCTGGGGGGACCTGGCACCCAGACCACTTGAGCTGAAGTGGTCTGGGTGACTATAGTGTCCCTTTAGATAGAAATTGGCACTTTTAGAAATTTGCATTGTAATACCTCCTGGCTTTCAAGCAGACAAAGGGTCCAGTTACTTCCTGGTTTGTTTAGTTTAATTGAGCAAAACTCAAGAGGCAGCAATTGCAGAGGATCTGCCTTGCAAAGACATCTCAATAGAAAGTCTGTGATTGGACAGCCACAGAAAGTCTGGGCTGAGGAAGAACGGGAGGATCTGCAAACGTTATAAACAAGAAAACTGCAGCGTTTGAAAACAGTTTTTAGATAAACCAACATTTTTATTTGGGGCATATCTCCTAAGCAGTGTTTTTTTAATTTCTTATTTCAGCAGTCGAGTGTTCCTTTAAAGATGCACACCACTGTATTTTCTCTCACCTTGAAGCATGCAGATCCTTGGGTTACGGACAACAATCACTGCACACTGCAGTAAGAAGCCTGGGAGGTGACCTGAACTGCATGCAGTAGAATTTATAGACACATTTGCAATCTTCATGCTTTAAAGGGTCATTCCAGACCTCTAAAGCACTTTAGCTTACTGAAGTGCTTTTAACATGTAGAGTGTGTCCAGAGCGCCTTGCAAAGACTTCTCACAGAGGTGCAGGGCTGGGTTAGAAGGGAAGGGCTAGCAAAGAGTTCATACAAGAGACCTAAAGCTTTTGTATGCTAATTTTTAAATATACCCAGTACAATAGTTTTGTTTTTTTTGAAAAGCCTAATAAAATGCATGTACATTTCTACTGAAGTATGTCTACTAAATAGTGCTTATTCATTTTTTTAATTTTTTTTTTTTTTTAATATGGGTAGTGGAGTGTACCTTTAACAAACCCCCACCACCTATAAGATTTCTCTAGGAGCCTGATAATGCCAGATGGCCATTAGCATAACTCAGGGTATGACTGCAAAGATAAAACCCAATTTTTACACCAGAGATGGAGGGAGAGGGGTGTGTTTAACTGTTGCTTTAATTATATAAGTAAGCCTAAAAAAACAAAATGAATACAAAACATTATTTTGCTTCAACAGAAATTGTATTAAAATCTAATTCTGATTAATTTAAGACTTTTATTTTGGGTTTTTTCCCACTTGAGTGTTGCTTTGAGCTGAAACTATTTTATGGCAGAGGTCATACATTTTTTGTCCTCTTCCCACACTCCTGCTCATCAAGGACTTACAATTTTTACACGTGCAGACCCAGTAGTGTTTGAGACCACATCAGTCTCAACTTCAATGCACCGGTAGTCTTCACAGCCTCGGCCATCACATCGTAAATCATCCTGCACATTAAAACCGAAATAAAGATGTAAAATTTAAATATCACCTTTAAAACAATGGATGGCAAGAGCGTTTAACAGATAATGGAAGAGAAAGAAAAAAAAAATCAGTTCATTATGAGGGTAATTTTAGCGAAGGTTGAAGTTTTTCCATTTTACTTTTAGTTTAGAATAAATCAAAAGTCACAAAGTCACAAATCAATATTTGCAAAGTATACAAAACAATGTAAAATTGTTTTTTCCCCTTAAAAAGACACTAGAGGCTGGAAGAGAGTCCCATTGTTTTATTGCGCTGCACAAAACCCACTTTACAGACCAAGAAATGTAACGAGCTCATGCATCTTAATGAGGAGATGCGGATTGACAGAGTGGAGCTTGTTGCGCATGTGCAGTAGCCTTTTCTATGGAGAACCCTTGAATTGGCTTAGTCACTGTCACTGATGATTTCAGCCAGGTGTGGAGCAGCATGCACTGGAACAGAGGCAAGTAAAAAACTATTACGGTGAGGCCTAGAAATTTAAAAATGCAGGAGAACATTCTAATGATTAAAAACAAGTGTTTTTTCTAACATTACTGTGTTAGTTTCCCAAATTGTAACTTAATCAAGTGATCCCCAATCACTCTTGAACCATGTCAATCTTCAATTAAGAGAAAGAGAAATCTTTCCAAAACACACCTACTTTATTTTCTTTAAATCTTTTCACCTTCATCAGCGACTTATAAAATATTACATTTACTTAACTTATCATCTGATATTACTTTTTTAGGTCCAATAGAAATTATTGGTGGCCTTTTGGGCCAATAGCTGATAACTGGTACCGATATTCTGTTCATTTACAGTTTTATTAAAAAATGCAATTTCTACAGAAATCTGCCATTAACGGATCATGTTTATTATTTATTTTTGTTGTTGTAAATCTTTCTTTTATTGTCTCTCACTGCCTCTCCGCGATTTCCAACTGGTTCACTTCCTTAAACTCAACCTGTTCAAAACAAAACTTCTGGTCTTTCCTCCCTCTAGTGTTGCTACTCCCGGGTCGGTCTCCCTCCAAGTAAACGGCACCACCATCACCTCTATCTCGCAGACTCGCTGCCTAGGTGTTCTCTTTGACTCCGACCTCTCCTTAACCCCTCATGTCCAATCGATCGACAAATCCTGCCGCTTCCATCTCAAAAACATATCTTGCATCCAACCTTATTTAAAACCCATGCCACCATGCCATTGTTCTTTCTCGCCTTGACTACTGCAATCCCCTTCTCAGTGGTCTTACGTGTTCCCAGATTGCACCGCTGCAATCTATAACGAATGTGGCAGCGACGCTCATTTTCCTGTCCTCACGCACCTCCCATGCCTCCCCCCTCTGTTAGTCACAACATTGGCTTCCAATTAGATATAGGGCTCAATTTAAGATTCTGGTGCTGCTCCAACCTACCTATCCTCCCTAATACACAAATATGTCCCGTCGAGGCCCATGCGCTATGCCGAAGACCTATGCCTATCCTCTGTCCGTACTCTGTCCACATCTGATGCTAGCCTCCAAGACTTCTGCAGCGCTGCACCTTTCCTGTGGAACTCCCTTCTCTTCTCCGTTAGACTTTCACCCAGTCTCCACTCCTTAAAAAAAATCATTGAAAACACACTTCTTCAGGAAAACATATCATCTAAACTGTTAGCGGGTTTTCATCCCCCCTCGACTCCTCTCCTGCAACTGTCAAAAATAACCTACTAAGTTCTCAGTGATTACTTTGCTAGCAACCTATTTCATTACCCCAACTTATACCCTTTGTTCACTATACCCCACTCCCTCTAGCATGTAAGCTCATTGAGCAGGGCCCTCAACCTCTCTGTTTCTGTGCGTCCATTTGTCTGGTTACAATTATGTGTCTGTTAGTCCACCTATTGTACAGCGCTACGGAATTTGCTGGCGTTATATAAATAATAATAATTATTGAGTGGTAAGAATACTTTCAGACCCAGACAGGCAAGCAAGGACAAGAGCTAGAAAGGATGTGGAAAGTGAAGGCAGTAGTAGTCCCAGTTGTGATAGGAGCACTCAGGACTGGGACCCCCAAGTTGGGGGAGTGGCTTCAACAGATTCCAGGTGGGACCTCTAAGAACGCTGTCTAGAAGAGAGCAGTTCTAGGAACAGCTAAGATACTGCGCAGAACCCTCAGACTTCCAGGACTCTGGTAGAGGACCCGAGAATGAGTAATATATACCACTCAGGAAAGGTGAGAAAAAAAAAAAAAATAATATATATATATATATATATATATATATATATATATATATATATAATCACCAGGTGTATAGGTGGTTAGGGGGTGCTCAAGAAAATTATGGATCAAGGTTTAGACCCAGGACAAAGATACGTAAACCTCTATTTAACACCATAGATGCCAGTTCAGGCGATTCCACCTCAGATCCAGATTCCAGAGAAGATTTAAGAAGACCAACCCCAGATCCTTTTTTAGGCAGAGGTATACAACAAAACGAACCTCCAGATACAATAAGAGTCAACACCAGAGGCGCCAGAAGAGCCGACCAATACGACGAGGGAAAAGAAATTGGAAAAAATACAAACCCCATGGGCAAACCACCCAGGATGAGGAAATAACGGTTTTTAATTTGTCTAATAAAATACTTAACTCTGATCACTACTCACTTCTAAATAAAGGACTCTCTTTTGTTCCAGTCGCAAAGCCTGATTTGTTTCAGACGGAGGTTGAATTATACAAGATTCAAAGAATACTATATAGTAACGAGATCAAGAAACATCCAACAAAAAAACCTACTCATGTTTTTCCAATGAAAAACAAAAGGGATATTCGGACTGCTAACTCATCCATTAAAGCATTTATCCAGACGGTTAAAATGGATATAGAAAAAATTGTTAAAAATCCACCTCTGTTCCATCAGAATCTAAGTCCGGGAGAAAAAGCAGCATTGAAGGACCTCAGTCAAGACCCTAATATAGTAATCCGTGGGGCTGATAAAGGGGGAGCAACGGTGATACAATCATACGACCAATACCGGAAAGAAATACTGAGACAACTCAGTGATACCTCTGTGTATACGAAGCTTACGTTTGATCCAACGGCTAAATTCCAAAAAAGAATAAAAAATCATGTTGAATTGGGATTACAATTGGAGTACTTGGATACTCACACAGCTCAGTACCTCACAGTTGAGCACCCCAGATATCCGGTACTGTATACGCTACCCAAGATCCATAAAGACCCACTACAACCACCAGGAAGACCCATAGTTTCGGCTAGAGATGGCATAATCGAACCAATTGCCAAATATATTGATACTTTTATTAAAGATAGCATTATGGCTTTGCCTACATGCTTACGAGACACACAGGACTTTATGTCCAGAATCCTACAAACACCACATGTGGAGTCGACATCCTTATTAGTTACGATGGATGTCCAGAGCCTGTACACCATCATACCTCATAGGGAGGGTGTACAGGCTTTGAGGGAGATCCTGGTCAAATCTACCATATATGAAGGTCCGCCAATTGAATTCTTGTTGGAATTTTTTTTCCATTTAAAGATTTTTATTGGTTTTCATCTTGGCAATGCCGTAAACACAAACATGACATGGGGGAGGGGACGGGGTACAGAACGAAAGCGGGGGGGGGGGGAAAGGGGGTCCATACCAAGTTTTTTACATCAATGTTTACATTCACAATGTATAATTTTTGAGATCTCCGGGTGTGTCATTTTCCTACATACATTTTCTAAGTTCTAAGTTCGTACGTCTGACCACTTCTACATTTGTCCCTAACATGGTGTATTGTCGTTCGCTTGTCTATCGTTATCTGGTGATCGACCCTGGGAGTCGAGTGCGTCTAGTAGTTCAGCCGTCGGGTGTGTCTCCCGTTCCCCTCACTTCCCACAGCCTCCATGCTTCAACTGCTGTGTCTGTTAAGGGAAGGACCCCTCGGTAGCGGGTTTCATATAGGTGTTGTGTATCAATGTCCCTGCAGACCTCTGCCACCAGTGGTGGTCGTTGAGATTTCCACAACCTAGCTATTGCCCTCTGAGCTGTCAAGAGGATGTGGAAAGCTAATTTCTGTATCCCTTTAGGTATATTGCTTGGCATGTGTAGTAGGAGACTTGTTATGGGTGTGGAGGGGAGCTTGGTGCCTGTTGCGGCTCGAATCAGGCAGTGTATGTTGCGCCAGAAGCTGGTGACTAGTTCACATTGCCACCATATATGAAGTACTGTACCCTCTCCCTTTCCGCATCTCCAGCACTCCGGGGATGAACCTGGGTATAGTTTGTGTAAGCGAGTGGGGACCATGTACCACCTATATAGGGTCTTCCTATATTGCTCCAACAGCACCTCCGACTTAATTAGTTTTTTGGTCGTCACTATAGCCCGCTCCCACTGATCTTTACTTATGTGGCATTGTAGGTCTTGTGCCCAGTGCTTGGCTGGATTAGAATCTGCAAAATGTTGTGTGGGTCGGATGAGTTGATAACACCAGGATAGTGGCTTAAAAGTCGGTGCCCATGAACCTCTAGTGGTTGTTTGTTCCCATTTCGTCATACCGAGGGGGTTATCATCTGGGGCAGAGGACTGCCCTGTGTGTTTTCGTATGAATGAGCTTAACTGTATATGAGAGAATTGGGAGGCCTTTGGTATGTGGAATTCCTTTTGGAGAGTTGGAAAGGTTTTTAGTTTGTTATGCGCAAGTATTTGGTGCAAATGTGTGACCCCTTTAGCTATCCATGGCTTAGCGTTAAAGGTTGGGATGCAGTATGTGATAGTGTTGAGCGGGGTGGCTGGCGATAGAGGGGTAGGTGTTACCAGTTTATGTCTAAGCTTGTCCCAAGCCCTGACTGCTATTTTTAGCTGCGATGGCATCTGTGGAGTTTCTGGTCGAAATTTTTTAGGGAGCCACATTATGGTGGGTACATCAAAGGGTTTTATGGCCTGTTTTTCCATGAGCACCCATTGCGGTAAAGCCGTGTTTGTGAAGTGGGGAAGGGTTGTTGCTAATAGCGCTGCTTGGTAATATGTCTTGATGTCCGGTAAGGCAAGGCCACCCTGTCTCACCGGTGTTTGTAGCAGTATTCTCTGCACTCGAGCTTTTTGGCCCCCCCACACAAATCTATTAACGTCTTTTTGTGTGTCTCTAAGGTAGGACATAGGTACCTGAATTGGTAAGTTTCTGAACAGGTATTGAAGCCTCGGGAGTATGGACATCTTAACTGTTGCTACTCTCTCTGTCCATGTCAGAAACAGGGTGCTCCATTTTTTCATTAGTTGGCGGCAGTCTCCCCACACTCTGACATAGTTAGCAGGGAAGGTTTCTGTAGGGTTTTTTGTGAAGGTCAGTCCTAAGTATTTTATCGTGTCTGCCCTCCATTCAAAATTGTGGTCTTTTTTAAGTGCGGTGAGTGTTTGTTGGTTGAGCCGCACTCCCAGTGCTTGTGTCTTGCTGGCATTAAGGGAATAGTAGGACAACGTCCCATATTCTTTTATGAGGTCTAAGATGAGTGGGAGCGATTGCTCTGGTTTAGAAACACAGAGGAGTATGTCATCCGCAAATGCACTAATTTTAACTTCCCTGCCATGTACCTCAATTCCGCGGATACCCTCTCGCTGCCTAATTTGAACTAGTAGTGGTTCCAGGGCTAGGACGTATAGTAGCGGCGACAGGGGGCATCCCTGCCTCGTACCATTCGTTAGAGGGAATGGGTCAGAGAGAAAGCCGGCTTGCAGTACCCGGGCGGTGGGACCTGCGTATAAAGCAAAGATCTGTTTGATAAATATTGCGGGGATGTCATACTTTAGGAGCGTATGTTCGAGAAATGCCCAATTCAGCCTGTCAAACGCCTTTTCGGCGTCAAGGGCTAGTAGAAGCCCGCCGTGACCCGATCCCCTCATCTTCTCTAACACTAAGGAGAGCTTTCTGGTATTGTCTCTACCCTGCCTACTTTTAACAAAGCCTGTCTGGTCGTCCCCTATGATAGTTGGAAGGATGTATGCTAGTCTGTTGGCCAGTATTTTGGCATATATCTTTGCATCAGTGTTGAGGAGGGAGATGGGTCGGAAATTTTTGCAATTGTCCGTAGGCTTGTCAGGTTTCGGAAGTGTCACTACCGTGGCCACCAGCATTTCAGGAGGAAGGGAGCCAGTCTCCGTCGCTCTATGGTATACTTTGAGCAAGTGTGGGGTTAGTATGTCAATGAATGTCTTATAGTAGGTGTTGGGGAGTCCGTCTGCGCCTGGGGATTTTCCCGGGGGCAGGTTCTTAATTACCGCTCGGATCTCGTGCATAGTAATCGGTTCGAGCAGGGCTTTCGTGGAGTTTTGGTCCAACTTGGGGAGGTCTATATCACGTAAGTAGTTGCGTATGGCTTGTGTGTCTGGGGCAGTAGCGCCTCCACTTGAGTCTAGATTGTATAGTTGTTTATAGAAGTGTGCAAATTCCTGTACTATGTCCATGGGGTTCATGAGTTTGTCTCCCGTGTGCCCTATTATGTAAGGAATTCTATTTGCGGCCTGCTTTGTCCTGAGCCTGTTGGCTAAGTATTTAGATGCTTTACCACTGTGGTGGTATGTGGTGGCTCTTAGTCTGTGCAAAAAATACTTGGTTTTTTGGGCATTAAGGTTGTTAAGGTCTTGGTACAGGTCACGTAATTTGTCTGCTAGGGCTGGCGTGGGTGTCTTCTTGTTTTGGGCTGTGGCTATCGCTATTTGTTTGTGGCAGTCTAGGAGGGTGGTTTGGTGGCGTTTTTTTATGTACGCGGATTGTTTGATGAACTGTCCCCTCATTACTGCTTTATGTGCGGACCACACCGTGTATTCTGAGACTTCGCCTGTTGTGTTGGTGAGGAAGTACTCTCTGAGTTCTGTTGTCATTCGCTCAACGAACGGTTTATCAAGGAGGAGAGACTCGTTCAGTCTCCAAGTGCCCCTACCATGGGTTTGGTATTTGTCATCCAAGTCAAGGTATACTGGGCTATGATCCGACCATGTTATCTCTCCTAATCTGCAGTCGCTCAGTTGTGGTAGGGTTTTGTTATCTATGAAGAATGTATCTATACGCGTGTAGGTGTTGTGGACTCTCGAATGGAAGGAATAATCCCGATCAGTAGGGTGTAAGATTCTCCAACTATCGTATAGGTTGTACAAGGTCAAGGTGTTGGTTATGCGTGTGCAGAGGGCTTGGGTCCCTGTTTTGTGTTTTCCCTGCGGGGAGGCCGTAGTGTCAAGGGTCGGGGATTGAATGAAATTAAAGTCACCACCTAAGATGAGTCCCCCTTGTTTGTAGGTATCAAGTTTAGACAGGAGAGATTTGAGGTACGATGCTTGGTTGTCATTCGGGAAGTACGTTGTCCCTATGGTGTATTGTGTGTTGTTGAAAAGCCCCACCACTATAATATACCTTCCCGTAGGGTCTATATGGCTGATTTGTGGAGTGAAGACCACGTCTTTGTGCACTAAGATGGAAACCCCTTTCGTTTTTGATTCTGACAGGGCGTGAAACTGTATAGGGTATAGTTTTGAGAAGAGGGAAGGTGCAGTGGGACCCCTAAAGTGCGTTTCTTGGAGGCATGCTATATCTACTGAGTTCTTCTTAAGTTCGTGCAGAAGTAGTCTTCGTTTTTCAGGGGAGTTAAGCCCCCGTACATTATAGGTTACTATTCTCATTCTGGTGTGGTTTCCCTAGGATTCGCTGGGGTTGGTACCCGTGTATGTAGGCTGTCGGATTGTCTCTTATAGTGGGATGATTGGGATATGGACTTTCCTAGTGGTTCAGTGTGATTAGTCATTGTAAAAGGATGTGGTATGGAGGCAAGAGGGGGGTGAGGGAAGGTCAACCTGTGTCGTCTGTTTTCTGGCTTTTTCTTATAACGGGGGGAAAAGGGGGTAGGCGAGGGCATAGCCCTGTTAGGCTCCTTTGGGTCGAGCCTTAGTGCGGCGCCCGGAGGTCGCTCGCACGTTAGTGGGGTCGTGAAGTGGGACACTCCCGTCAGGAGGGAGTCACTCGATCCAGCACGCCCGGGGCACTATGGGTATAGGTGTCCTTAGCCGCATGTGTTATTTTTTTTTTTTTTACGATGCCCCAACTCCCTAACCTATTGTAATTGGGCAGTGTCAAAATCTAGCCGAGAGTATATCTCGTTAGCTACTGTAGTAGTTGGTGCGTGGGGAAGTCAGGGGGCCTCAGTATTCCCGTTTGCAAGCTATGGGTATGTGGTAGTAGTATAACAAAACATAAAATGTGAAACAGCATAATAACTAGTGCAACAAAATAGTTCATAACTTGGGTGAGCGTCTTACGTATACCGCATGGGTATGGAGGCTCTTTATCTGGATGCCCAGTCTTGAGTCAGACGAGGAACTTTCGCCGGGCCCGTTTTCGCCATCTCTGCCAGCGGGATACCCCAGTCTCCCATCAGCCGTATACCTTGTGGTGCCGACGTGATGGAGTGGAGGGAATCTTGGTGGTACACTAGCAGCTTGGCAGGGTAACCCCATCTGTAGCTCAGTCCCTGTGTGCGTAGCGACAGCGTAATTTGCGCCACAGATTTGCGGAACTGCAGTGTTTCTGCTGATAGGTCAGAGAAGATTTTTATGTTGTGGTACTTCTCAGGCATCCCTTTGTTTCTGTTTGCTCTGATGATCCGTTCCTTGGCATGGAAGAAATGCACTCTCGCTATGACGTCTCTCGCTGCGGTGGTAGGTAAGTGGCTGGGTCTCCGAAGACGGTGCGCTCTGTCTAGTAGTAGTTGATCTGGATGCAGTTCAGGGGTCAGCTGCTGGAACATATCTTGTAAATAGTGGTCTAGATCAGCATTTGTTACCGATTCTGGTATTCCCCTAAATCTGAGGTTGTTCCTCCTAGACCTGTCTTCCAGGTCTGCCAGCTTGATTTTTTGGGCTGTAATAGTGTCTTCTAGTTCCTGCATTTTGTCAGCCACACTGTTATGGGCCACTGAGAAGTCGTCCATTTTGGATTCCAGGTGTGCTGTACGGGTCCCTATATCATGCAGATCCTTTCTGAGCTCAGCTGTCAGTGTGAGCATTTGTGCCCTGAGGCTCCTCTGCACTGAGTCCGTTAGTTCTGTCATCATGCTCCTCATGGTGGCCACCGTGAGGGGTTGGTCGTCCACACTCATGTCAGGGGAGGCTGGGGAAGCGGGGGAGCCCTCCCGCGATCGCGGCGGGCCGCCATCTTGTTCCTGGGTTTCCCGCGTTTTCGTCTGTGCGGCTTTTAAGAAAAAGGACGCTTTATCCGCTTTCGCGGGTTTGCTTTTTTGCCTCTGGGACATGGTGGGTACTTGCGGTGATGCTAGCGGTGGGGATCGCTCATTAGACCGGTTGTTTTATTGCCCCGTGCGGCTCGATCGGCGGGAGCTACTCCGACATGCGGCCGTGCAGCTCGAGCGCCAAACCACGCCCCTCTTGTTGGAATTTTTAATGATTGCACTTACATGCAACTATTTTAAATTTGAAAACCAATTCTATGTGCAAGTATCCGGCACTGCGATGGGGGCGGCAATGGCACCATCATATGCTAATGCCTTCATGTACATTTTTGAATGTGATCATATTTTGGAAAAATTTGGACAACATATTCAACATTATTATCGGTTTGTAGATGACCTGTTCATGATTTGGACAGGTACCAGGATAGATCTGGAACAAATGATTCATGAAATAAATCAATCTTCTACACCTGTTATACTGAGTTATCAAATTGATGAAAAATCAATTCAATTTTTGGATGTCACCATCTATAAAAAAGAAAACAAATTGGAATTTACTTTATACCGTAAAAATACGGATCGTAATACTCTCTTATCTGCCTCCAGTTTTCATCCACAACAACTTAAGAAATCACTCCCGGTCTCCCAATTCTTAAGGACATTAAGATATAATACAGAAACCGAAAAACGAAGAGCCCAATTGGAAGAAATGTGGGAGAGATTTCGTATGCGAGGTTATCGTCCACAAACTCTCCAAATAGCACAAACTAAAGCTTTGAATATATGGAATCAAGAAAGATTGAATGATAAAACTAAGAAGGTACCAAAAGAACCAAAAATTTATCTTCCCATGACTTTTCACACTGGAACATCGAAAATTAGACAATCTATCCAAAGACATTGGGATATATTACGTTCAGATAAATCACTACCTCATACATTCATGAGTTCCCCTGTTATCAGTTACAGAAGAAACAAAAACTTAAAGGACCTTCTGGTGAAGAGTGACCCAGAAATTTGCTACCGTAAACCGAGGAGTATTGTGAAGAAAGGTTGTTATAAATGCAGTGGATGTGTGACATGTAGTCACATGGTCAGTGGCACGACCTTTGCTCATCCCCATAGCGGTCAGAGAATTAAAATATCTCATTATATCACGTGTACCACTGACCATGTGATATACATGATCACATGTCCCTGCGGACTTTCGTACGTTGGCAAAACCGACTTGACGTTGAGAGACCGCATAAGGGGACATCGGTCGACCATAACAACAGCATTTAGAGATCAATATAGCGATAAGCCAGTCGCTAAACACTTCCTACATATGCAACATAGACTTCCTCTGTTACGTTTCACGGCTATTGATCATGTCCCCCCAATGTCCAGAGGGGGTGACAGATCAAAGAAACTACTTCAACGTGAGGCACAATGGATCCATCGGCTGGACACAGTGACACCAAGAGGACTCAACGAGAATATTGTGCTCTCTATGTTTCTTTAATAATAATGTTCTTTGAATAATCATATGGTTTCCCTTTTTCTCTAAGTATATTTGTGATCCTTATTGGTTTTTTGGAGCCTTTATTCTAATGGCTTGTTTTCCCTTTTTTAGTCTGCTACCTTTTTTTTTTGTTATAGATTGCTTCAGCTAAATGCCTTTTAAACTTGACATGGTTGGTGAAATGTTTTTAACATAACATTCTTTATTTTTTTGATCACTTCTTTAGATATATGGTGACACTTTACACAGTATATTTGATCTTATGATCTTTGCTTATTTTTTTATATTAGGCTGCATTTTTGCGGATTTATGCACTCTGCACTTTAATCAGATTTCATCAATAGATTGATATTAGACATTTCACTTGCACATCTATGAGATATTTACCGATCTTATAATTAATTGTTTTCCTATCGGTATCTTAGCAACACCACATGATCACTTATGCATGGATCATGTGATCGTGGGTTCTATTTCCGGTTTCACTTCCGGGTGTGCACGGAGGGATTCAGGGGGTTCTTCACAGATTGGTGAGTACTTCTTTTTATGTCCTATATAAATGGCTTGTAAGCACAGGTACATTGACCTTGAGAAAGACCCGAATGGGTCGAAACGTCGGCAAACTTTGATGTTATACCTGCTGGAATAAATTAACTATTTTTTCAAAGTCCTGAGAGTGCATCTCTTTATCCTCTATATATTTTATCTACATGGGATTGCACCCAGGCGATATTGAGCTACACATTTGAAAGGGTGAGTGCCAAGAAAAACATTGCTTTATATATATATATATATATATATATATATATATATATACATACATACATACACACACACACTTTAATAACTCTGCTGCAGTGTTCTCTATAGATTTAACCCCTTAAGGACACATGACGGAAATATTCCGTCATGATTCCCTTTTTTTTCTGAAATTGTGTCCTTAAGGGGTTAAAGGGCTTTATGTTGTGCTAACTTTCATCACTGCATGCTGCTCATCAAAAAGTCTGTCATCTGGGGCCATTTTAGTGGCCCAGAGGGGACCCCCAGGTATCTAGCGAGTAGGGATTTAACCACACACCAAATAGTAGGGACGTAATGACACGTCTGAACGTCGTTAAAGTAACCTGTCATGGACATAGAAACCAACAAGCACGTTCCAACGGAGACTTATTCTACAATGATGTAGAAAATAACTATTTGATAAATCTCCTCTATCGGGGGTTATGTATAAAAGTAAAGTGTATCTTATTTACGACTTGTTTTGTTGTGTTTTTAATTTTTCTCCTTTGTGCCCCAATTTCCCTCTCTGCCTCCCTACCAATATTTTCTTATTATAGGACATAAGTAGACGGATTATCTAAATTCAGCAATTCTATGCCTATTTTTTTGCAAAATTTTATGCAGTTTGCTGCACTCATATTTACTGGAGGCACTTATTGTTGCGGTCGGTCCTGCAATGTCTGTATGAATATGCCAAACCAATAACAAACCTTGCCAATGTAAAAAGATTGACGTGACAGTTCTAAACATAGGAAAGCGGAAAATTATGGAACCAAATGAAGAAAAATAAAAACAAAAAAATATATATAAAAACCACACTTTTTATACAGGACATACTTGAAAAGAAGATAAAGCTCAGTGTATCCTTCATCATACATACATACATACATACATACATACAAACAAATATAACCACAATTGTGACTGTTTAGTGGCTGAAATTAGAATAAAACGTTGCTAATAGAAGCTCCTACAAAATAATGAATGGCATTTATCATAGCAGGTACCATTCAGCCATGTGATGCTATAAAGCAGGCTTCCCCAAACTCTGGCCCTCCAGATGTTGCTGAACTACAACTCCCATGATTCTATGAATGAAAAAAGATAGGCTGAGAATCATGGGAGTTGTAGTTCAGCAACATCTGGAGGGCCGGAGTTTGGGGAAGCCTGCTTTATAGCATGCTCTATCTGCCACCGTACCTGGACTCCATGCAGGATGTACACTTTCTCCGCCTCACTCAGTAGCACAGAAGCCATGCTGCAACCATAGCAGACCAAAATCGCTATCGTACGTCATCAGAAACCGACAGAACGTCATCACTGCGCGCCAGCCCATTGCTCACATTCTCCGTCTGCCTTCCTGCCAGTAGTTAACGTAATCGGTGTGCTGCCGAGTGCGGTGGGCGTGGCGGCCGTGCTTGCTCCTTGCTTCCTGACAGCTGCCCCCTGTCGCCATCTCCGGTAAGTGCGGGTGGAGCGATAACAACGGTGGGGCAGTTGGTTTGTCAAAAAAGCGGAAGGCGAGGGCATTGTCCGTAAGTGAGCTCAGATTTAACTGTGTGTGAAGCTATGCGCTACCTAGAGCCCCGGGACTGCAGGGTTAAAGGGGGATGACGGGATGCTGAATGTATTGAGACAGAGGTGGGTAATTATTAATGTGACCAATGACTGCAGCTGGCAGCACTGTATGGGCAGCATGGTACAAGTCTATTGTAAGACCGTCAGTGTGCTGATAACACATTGGGCAGTCTGCTAATATGAGAATACCAAACTGACAAGATCACTTACATGGATTTATGTGTGTCAAAGTGTATATGTGTTAATGTGTGTGTTTGTATCGGTTTGTCAAGCTGTGTGTGTATATGTCAGTGTATGTATCTGTGTGCATTCATCAAGGTGTGTTAATAATGTGTGTAAATACTTGCAATGTGTTGTTAAATAGTTGTGTTCTGTCATAATAAAATGTCATCTCCTTGTTCATACAGATTTGCTCTGTTTGTGTGGTGAGGGGCTCAGTAGCTGATGAAGCCACCTCCCTGAAATTAGTTTTTGCATGTTGGGATGTCTGACAGTATAGTGAATGTATTAGCAATAACAAGCACATGTGACCATAATTATAATTCTCCTTTTTAATAAATCAATAAATTGATAGAATATGGGGGTGGAGAGTTAAAACACTTGCAGGTTTTATTTACTGTATTGCTGTTTTTTTTGCACACAGGACATCTACGATTTATTGTGGCTTATGTTATAGTTTTGCTTTTCTGTATTTTTTTGTTTTTGTTTAAATCCATTTCTATGTCAGAGACATCTGCAATAAAAGAGGGTCTTGGCCTGTAGGAAATATTTTTACAATATGTGATGCTAGAAAACAAAATTGAAGTATACCAGTGTTGGCGAATATTTTTCCAGTTCCCAAATATTCACCCATTCTGGTTTTCTTCTGCCTTCCCTTTTTCATTTTTACATGTTCATTCTTCATTGGATTTCTCGCTTCTCCTTATTTGCGTTTCATCTCAGTCACGTCATATAAAGCTCTCTTCTCTATGTGACCTCCCATTCCTTCACTCCAAATTCTTGTGAATGGCTTTCCTTCTTTTCCACTCAGTCCCTACAGTCTTCATTTGAATATTACCCCACTCTCTCACTTTCATATTCCTCTCCACTGACTATTCTCCTGCTCTCAAAATGTACCCTCTATAACTTGCAAATATGTGTGCCTGTCTCACCTTCTATATAAGTATTCTTTCTTACCAAGCATTTCGGTTTTGTTCCGTGTCAGTCCTTTTGTCCTACACCAGATCAGTCTCTTGTGTAGATCAGTCCACTATACTCTATAGTGAAAGGGACCCTCCAGGCACCCAGACCACTTCTGCCCATTGGAGTGGTCTGGGTGCCAACTCCCACCACCCTTAACCCTGCAAGTGTAATTATTGCAGTTTTTATAAACTCCAATAATTACCTTGCAGGGTTAAGTCCTCCTCTAGTGGCTGTCTATCTACAGCCACTAGAGGGTCTTCCGTGTTCTTAGAACATGAAAAGTTTTTTAAACGTCACTGAACGTCCTCACACTATACATGAGGACCTCCAGCGTCACCGGAACCCTATAGGAAAGCATTGAATAATAATGAATAATGCTTTCCTATGGGGAGGTCTAATGTGTACGCACGCGACCACTGACCCAGTGCCGAGGGACATCGACGCTGTATTCAGGTAAGTCACTTAATGGGTCTTCAGCAACGTGGGAGGGAGAGGGGCACTGCAGGGTCCTGCAGTGCCAGGAAGATGGATATGTTTTCCTGGCACTGGAGAGTCCCTTTAAGTGATGCCATATTAGCTTAGATATTTCATGTGTCCTGTCTTTCCAACATGTGTCCTCTTCCCTTCCTGATAAACGTATTCTATCTGCTGCCTGATTCTGGACCAATAAACTGTTAAAAGGAGTATGCATCACTTGACAATAATTTTTTTTTTATATAATGAAACCAGCAAAAAAAAATTAAGAAACACTTAAATAAAGCAAGAAAAACATTGAAAAGTAAGTTATAAACATTTCTAAATGTAGTATAAACTTGGTCAGATTGCATTGTTGGACCCCCGTATTATCTAGGGGAGTTTCTTCAGCCCCAAGCCTCCTTTCCCTCCCACCCTTTACCAGTTTCAAACCTGTCCACTAATAGCAGAAACTGGATGTCATAGTGCAGCAGCAGGAAAGCGAAACCTGACACCAGAGCCTGCTTTGCATGGTCACACAGATCAGACACCCTCTCTTCTACCCCTGTCAGGATGTTGAAGGTGAAAAGACCTTCCATCTATCTGCACATGTGTAAATTTGTCAGGCTTGGCCAATGCACTTACTTTTCCAGCACTTCTAGGTATAGAACACTGGTTAGGTCGCTGTTGCTATGGAGTATGTGTGTGTAAAGTGTAAGAAAGAAGAAGCAGTTACACATGAAAACAAATTATATTTACCTACTTTTACTAGCCTGCAGAGTGAGGCAACTGACTCATGCAAACCTAAAGCTTTGGAACTAGATCGTTGTCTCAAAGTGATGTGTGTCCCTTTAATGTGCCTTCATACCATTGCTAACATGTTACAGGGTACTTGATAATGATATTTTAAGTGCCTTAGTATGCAACATTCCAGGTACCATTTCCTTTGGCAGGCACTATAAGTTCCATTTCAGTGACTTCTGCTTTCCACAGGTGGCACGTGCCATAGTTTCACTATCACTGAGCTTCACAGACATAGGGATTTCATGTTTATATGTCTCACAATACACAAGTGTTTTGGGATTCTTCTTATATAGTGTGACCTGGGCATGTGTCATGTTTAGGTGTCAGTTTAACCACTGTAGCAACTTTGCATGAGTACCATGCACTCGCTCTAAATGCTGAGGGTGACTTACAACTGCAGTGATTTGAAAGCTGCAGCTATAAACCAGCCCACCTGGCTGAGAAAAAAAAAACATATTGCTTTCTCTATCAACTAAACATTGTGTGTGCAGCACATGCATGCTGAACCCACAAGCTGTGCTGTATGAACGCAACATGAATTTGTAGTGGAGGAATTCGGATTGGGTGCGTGACTTACACCAGCAGCGTTCAGCAGGACGGGAGCATATCTGCAGGTTGCGTGTTGATTTAGTGTGCCACAGTTGGGGGCGTGTTCTCCTCAAGGTGCATGTTTGGAGTGGGGCTGCAGCGTCCAGGGCCGAGGTGAGGGTAGTGTTTTATGAGGAGATAGCCAGTGAGGGACAGGAGAAAGTAGGGATGGATAAAAGTTGGGAATCAATATTAGCTGGTAGCTGCTGGAGGTCAATATAATTCAGATTTCTTCTTAGTTGAGAGGGGTTAGGTTGAGGATGATGGGGTAAGGGGCTATTGAGAGCAAATTATAAGAGATGGTGATCTGAGAGAGGAAATGGAGTGTTGCAGAGATTAGAGATTGTATATTGATGAGAGAAAATAAGATCCAAGGGTATTACCAACTACATGGGTGGGGGACTTGGCCCACTGCGATAGCCCAAGGTAGGAGGAAATTGAAAGTAGTTTTGAGGCTACTGAGAACAAGGGCATGTTAATGGGAATTTGAAGTCCCCAAGAAAGGGATGGAATATTAGATTAGCCAAAGAGGCAGACAAGGAGCTGGCAACAGCAGACTGGAATAAAGAGTTTACTATATTTAGGGGGCAGGGGGGACTAGATGATGTTTCTAACATGTATTCTTGACCCTATATTGTTACTTTAAGTGTCAGGTTGTACATTAAATAATTCCAACTTCCGACTATTATTATGTTTATCAGTCTGATTCCCTATTAACCTCTTAAATACCAAAAACTAGTATAAATGTTTACACACAAATACAAAAGTGGGGCGGGTAGGAGGCATAACTAATCATTTCCAACACTAAGTCGTATTTTTGGGTGCAGAGGAGGGCTAGGGATTTAGTGTGGGGTACATGGAGGGGTAGGCATAATCACTCCACTGTAGAGACGCATATGTTTAGCAGTATGAAATCTAGTACATAAAGTCTCAATTTAAACTCTAGTTATTATTACCAGTCTGTAAACAGGGGAATGCAGTTCTCTGCCAGAAGACACTAATCACTAATAACATTATTAAGTTATTGAAAATGTGAGCTCACCACCTGCTTTCAAACAGTACAGGATGTTTCAGTGGGTGATAGCATTCTGACAGTCAGGAACGCGGGAGGAGTGAATGGATTGACTCTGCCTTTTCATTGTTGGCAGTACTGTAACAGTCCAGAAATTGATAACGATTTCTATAGCAGTTGTAAATACTTTTTTTCAAAATACATACATTTTCTGTATGTAGGCATTATGTATACGTGTGGGATTTTATGGATGTATGTCACTGTGTGTATAGGTCTGTGATTGTGTGTATGTGTATATCTGTGATATTGTGTGTGTGTGTGTATCTGTGGTTATTTGTGCATATGTATATACATGTGTATGTGTTTAGTAGATAGCTCCCTAATTTGGTATCCTTAAATATGACAATCCCACATAAGGATAACAAATAAGGGAATTATTTACTAAACCATTGAAATATCAAAATTAAGAAATTAGCTTTTAAAAACTATACATTGACTATATCATATATTTGATAAATGGCCCAAGACCATTCCTCTGCTCAATAGGCCTAGGAAAGCCAAAAGGTTAGAGACCCATGGTCTAATTCATTGCCACTGTTTATATTTATAAAGCAAAAAAAAAAGTAGCAATTGAAATGTATCCTGCCAACTGGGTTTATACGTGATACAAAGTATCTAATTCAAAATGAACAGATAGATTGTAGTAGACTGTGTCATAAGTACTGAAGCACTGTATAGAACAATGCCATATTTACCATATTTACTCAAATCTAATGCACACATTTTTATTTCTTAATTTTTTTTAAATAAAATAACATTTCCAAAATTGAATGCTCATTACATTCAGAGCAAAATTCACACAAGTGAATTTCATTCCAGCGAATTCAAACAGGCAAATTTTGTTCCTTTCGTTCATTTAACCCCTTAAGGACTGAGGACGGTTCAGGACCGTCATCGGCATTTTAGCGTTGCCGACCGCTGACGGTCCTAAACCATCACAGCGGTCTTATGTACTTACCCGATCGCCGTCGGCGATTGGCGGTGCTCCCAGTGTGTGGAGACTGCCTGCAGCTCAGACAGTCTCCCCATGGCGGATTAGGATCCCTGTGTCCATGTGTCTGCCTGCAGGGGGACTGTCTGTGTTGACAGGCAGTCTCCCTGCTAGTGTAAAATAAAAATAAAAAATGCATGTAAATGTTAATTAAAAAAAATATAATTGTGTGTGTGTGTGTATAATATATATATATATATATATATATAGTCATACTAAGTGTATTTTTATATTAATATATACATATATTAATATAAAAATACACTTATAATTAAATTACACGTGTGTGTGTGTGTATATATATATATATATATATATATATAACTATATTGTATATATTATTATAAAATACAAATAATAAGTAAATTAAATTAAAAATTTAAAAATAATAAAAAAATATATATGAAATTTTATTATAACTGTATTTTGATATTAATATATATTTATATCAAAATAAACTTAGAATGAAATTGTATATATAAATAAATAAAAATAATACGAAATATACATATGTCCATATACAAAATTGCATAAATAATTATATAAATATACATGTAGACTTCAAATAAATAAGCATATATATATTTAAATTCTACGTGCGTATGTATGTAATATTTTTACATATTTAAGTAATTTTATTGATTGCAAATTGAGGGACCCGCCTGACAACCCAGGCCGAAAGTCCAGAGAATTTAATTTGCTAGCACTGTATTTTACCCTATAACTTTCTATGACACCCTAAAACCTGTACATAGGGGGTACTGTTTTACTCGGGAGACCTTGCTGAACACAAATATTAGTGATTCAAAACAGTAAAACATCTCACAGCGATAATATTGTCAGTGAAAGTGACTTTTTTTGCATTTTTCACACACAGCACTTTTACTGATGATATTGTTGTGATATGTTTTCCTGTTTTGAAACCCTAATATTTGTGTTCAGCGAAGTCTCCTGAGTATAACAGTACCCCCCATATACAGGTTTTATAGCATTTTTGAAAGTTACATGGTCAAATATATGGGTCAGATATTTTTACATTGAAAATTGCCAGGTTGGTTATGTTGCCTTTGAGAGCGTATGGTAGCCCAGGAATGAAAATTACCCCTATGATGGCATACCGTTTGCAAAAGAAGACAACCCAAGGTTTTGCAAATGGGGTATGTCCAATTTTTTTTTTTAGTAGCCACTTAGTCACAAATACTGGCCAAAATTAGCGTTCAATTTAGTTTTTTACTTTTTCACACACAAACAAATATGAACGCTAACTTTGGCCAGTGTTTGTGACTAAGTGGCTACTAAAAAAGACTGGACATACCCCATATTGAATACCCTGGGTTGTCTACTTTAAAAACATATGTACATGTGGGGTGTTATTCAGAGATTTATGACATATAATAGTGTTACAATGTCACTATTGATACATTTTAAAAATGTATGTTTTGAAACCGCAATATCCTACTTGTACTTATAGCCATATAACTTGCAAAAAAGCACGTAAACACTGTGTATTTTTAAACTCAGGACAATATTTTTAATCTATTTAGCAGTTTTTTTCATTAGCTTTTGTAGATGAGTAAAAGATTTTTCATATAAAGTCAAAAAACATGTATTTTTTTCAATTTTTCATCATTTTTATTTTTATTTTATTTTTTAAATTAAATTAAATTACATGAGATTATATAAATAATAGTATGTAAAGAAAGCCCCTTTTGTCCTGAAAAAAAAATATATAATTTGTATGGGAAGAGTAAATGAGAGAGCGGAAAATTACAGCTAAAAACAAACACCACTCACTCTCCCACACCTGCCATGTGGTTTCAAATTTTTGTTTGGATTGTGCTGAAGGTAGGGATATTTTTTCATAGGTGTAGAATTGGTTCAGCTTATCAAGTAGTTGCGTCATGGATGGGCAATTGCGAGATTTCCACCCTTGTGCCAGGAGGCTTCTTGCCGCCATTAGTGTTAACACTGTAATCTGTTTTTCACCTGAGCTTAGCTGCGCAGATAGTAGTAATAATAGTCATACAGTGGGGGTTAAGGGAAAGTCTGGGATGTCCAGCATGTCTAATATGGTACGAGTTAGGGTCCATAAGGGTAGGATATCCTCACAGTACCACCAAATATGTTTTAGGGTACCTAGGGCATTGTCACATCTCCAACAGGTAGGTGAGGTGTTGGGGAATATTTGCTGTAGACGCTGGGGGACCATGTACCAACGGTACATACGTTTTCTGTGAGCTTTGATGTGTGAGAAACAACGGGTCCACTTACAGAGCCCGTTCAAAGCATGTAACCAATCTTCATCCGTTAGTGTCTCATTACAGTCTGCTTCCCATTGGGCCTTGTATGATTGGGGACAGTGGGGGTGATCTCTTGCCATACTTTATAGCATAGTGCCAGTGTTTTTTGTTTTGTCGGTGTAGACCAACACCTGTCTAGGAGTAGGTTAGGGGCAACCCATTTAGGGTCGGGTGTAGTAGAGCTGCGTGGTGTGTATGCTGTGAGGATGCTCTTCAGTTGTAAGTATGAAAAGATGGCCCGGTTTGGTAACTGCCATTGGGTCTGTAGTTCGGGGAAGGGGATCATTTCTTTCTTCCTCATCAGCTGGGATATGTGGGGGATCCCTGCTGTGGACCAGGTTGCTAATGGGATTTCTTGTGACACAGCTTTAATGGTCGAGATGGGTGCTCGTGGGTGGAACGTTTCTTTGTGGCCTATACAGGAAAAGAACTTGTCCCATATTTCTACGGTGTGTGATGTGGTCGGGAAGCGTGTGGGCTTTTGTTTCCTAAACTGTCGTGGTGTTCACATATAGTCTATAATTGGTTGGTCTGGGCATTGCGCTTTCTCCATGTCTGTCCACTGTAAGAGGTTGGGCTGGGGATGGAGGAGAACTGCATTTGTTAATGCTGCTGCTCTATAGTACTGTCCGATATTTGGTAGGCCCACCCCTCCCAGTCTGGGTGTGATTTGTAGGAGCCTCATTGGCACTCTAGGTTTTTTACCTGCCCAGATGTATGTACTACAGAGTTTCTGTAGGTCTTTACAGTATTGGTTGGGAAGTTTTAAGGGTAGCATTCTGAAAAAGTAGAGGATTTGGGGGAGGATCATCATTTTATATGCATTGATTTTCCCCACCCATGAGAGCATGACATGTTTCCATTTATTCATTTCAGTTTTACATAACAAGACGAGGGAGTTGTAGTTGAGTGTAGTTGTTGTGCTTATTGATGACGTTATTTTTACCCCTAAATATGTGATAAATGTTGATCTCCAATCAAAGCGGAAATTATCACATAGGGAGTCCACAGTCAGTTTTGATAGCCCTATGGGTAGCGCTTGGGTTTTATCCTGATTTAATCGGTAGTGAGAAACTTCTCCAAATCTTTGCAGTAGGGTCATTAGGAGAGGCAAGGATTGCTGTGCTTTAGATAGGGTTATGAATATATCATCAGCAAAGAGTGCTAGGCTATATGTTCTACCATGTATATCGATACCATGAATGTCAGGGTGTCCACGGATTTTGTGTGCCAGGGGCTCTAGTGATAATATGTAGAGAAGGGGTGAGGGCGGACACCCCTGACTGGTTCCATTTGTGATCGTGAATGGTTGGGACATAAATCCGTTAATGTGACACCCTAGCTGCTGGAGCACTATACAGGGCCATAATGCTTTTTATTATGCTTTCAGGGAAATTACATTTTTTAAGTAAAACATTATCTTTCTCTGCACCCCTGAGCCACCGCAATCTGAAGTGACAGAGCTGCTTTAAAGAAAAAAGACACAAACAAGGCACTCACACTTGTAGCAATGCAGGGTTAAATTGAGTAACATAATATCGTCTGGCTGTACAAATTGTAAAATAATATCCAAATAATATCACAACCCATATTAGACTTTTAGTTCACTATCCGCTCGTGCCAAAATCACATACATTACAGTTCCTCTTTAATTTTAATGCAGCATTAGGACAAATGTGTTCATGTCTGCCAGAGATTGATGGGAGTTACTCTGTCGTCTCTTGTTCTTACCTGTACCTGGAGAATCTCAGTATTTGTGTTTCCTGGCATGTCACTTTCCGTAGAGTGACTGAATTAATGGAACTGCTGCTTGGGAGTTTAACTCCCACTAATCTTGGGCAGGCCAGGAGATATTTCCTCAGTGCTGCTTTTAGATTAATGGCTTTACCCTACACAGGATGAGTCACACTGTGCAATACTGTTTTTAATGAATGGTTAAATGTCACTCACTTTGCAAAAAAAGATTTGAAAACCCGTTCTGCTTGCTGAAATAAGACAGATCAGCCAATATATAGCAATTTCTTGAACAATATATAACTTATTATTGCAATAACATAAATAATGAACCCAAAGAGACTGTAAATGGCCGTAGCTTTTATTGAAAGGGTTTGAGAGGCATTGCACATAACCATTCCATTAAAAACATAACCAAAATTGATTCAATCTTAAAATAACTTTAAAACCAAGCTTAAACAAATACAATCCGCCTTGGGAGCCATATTCTTATCATTCATTGCGCCTCTGTCCATTCTGAAAATTGGAGGCGACCGTACTCCTTTTCTTAAAGCCTAAGACAGATAATTGGGAGGGTGGGATGCTTGTCCTGGTAATTTGAAGGGAAATGATAAGGCTGCCAAAAATGCTACTCAATTTATAACAGTTTATATTATTTATATAGTTCTGCACAAGCTTGATGAACTGTAGCCAATCAGATTATCGTTCTATTTTTGCTGTGGAAATTTGATTTAAAAAAAAAAAAAAACACCCTATACCTAAACTACCAGACCTACATGACCTAAACGTAACCCCACTGCACACTATGTCCAACAATGGACAGTTACAGCGCTGGCCATAATGCCAGCGTGTTGCAATATTATTATTTGTCTTGGTAGATTTAACATATTTCAGTGACAGAAGCTCTTAAGGCATGCAAACAATGTCACAGAGGTGATCATGAATCACAGTGTTTGAAACCAATGCTGCAGGTTTTAAAGGACGAGAACTGGTGAGGTAATTTAATTCAAGTGATGTGTCCTGGGCGGGACAAGCTACTACAGGTGTATTGAGGAAGTGACTTGGTAAACTTTAGAATCTGCAGGGAGCTTCCTGGTTTCAGTCAGCAATTCTCAGCAAAGTTGTGTTGGAAGGATTTTCTCCACCCTCGCTCGAGCCAGGTGGCATTTTATGGTCTGTTCAACGTTAAGATTCAATTTAAGGCTTGCTCTTTTGTATTCTTCGTCATATTTTATTGCTTGTTGATCTTTGGATGAATGCTTTGTCTTTAAATTGGGCAACTTCCTGGGTTCTATATTTGAAACACAAGTGACATTATAGGAGCTTGGTTTCCTTTTCCAGTTGTAGTCGCACTTTGAGCTCTGAGTAACTGTACATCTATTATTCATTTATTAAAGGAAATGCATTACTTGGTGACAAAGATACTTTGTCATGATTGCATCACTACCAAGGAGATAGTAGGTAGGTGAAACAACGCTCTTTAACGGTGCAAGAGGCTGTTTTACTTTAATTTGCAATAGGTTATTGCTTACAAATAACAAATTGATGCAGAGTTTTTGCTTCTAGAAGATTTGCTTGTATATTCATAAATTATGTTTTTATATTCGAAAACTCCATGCGCTTTATAAAATAGAATAGGAATTAATCATAATATGTTTAGAATTTTTTCAGTTGTCTGTTTTACACATATTTAAATTGGTTGCAATTTTGTATGATTTCCAAATTCAACTTAAAACTTTTTAAATGAGTATGTAATAGTTCAATAAATTGTTAATGCCCATACAGCCACTGTCCAATTGACAGCCGCCTAGGGCCCACTGTATGTGCACATCAGCAGCTCAAAACCCTTGGTAGGCAAAATGTCTTGATATGTAAAGCTTATAAAGAGTGAACATGGGAAGGAAGCTCCTGTAAGGAGCCTCCATTGGCTCCACCAAGGTAAGCCCTGCTGTGCAGGGTGAGCTCATTGGATGAGCGTGTCAGCTGAGTTCTCTTGGCCAGAGAATGCAGCCCACCATGGGCTGTGCTTAGTTCTGTACAGGACTTTTAGCTGCTGAGGTAGCGGTGCTGGGTTACTTATGAAACTCTTCTTAAATGGTTTGACTACTACCTTCTGGCACCATAACCACTACAGCAGGCTGTCGCGGTTATGTTGCTTGGTGTGTTCCTTAAAATAGAAATAGCATGTATACAATGTATGTTGCATGTACTTTTTCTCTGATCGGTAGTTTTGGTTAAAAATACTGCTGAATAACATTTGGTAGTTATATGCTTTTGTAACCAAATGCTAATTATCCTGATATTCTCATAAAAATCACTTTCCATAGTTAAAGTGTCGGCATGTTTTTTAAAAGTCAATTTTCATAAATATTGGAGTGGTATTGTACTAGCATTATGATGATTAGGTTGTCAAAGCCTCCCTGTGGATACGTTGACACATGTGCAGGTGTTTATTGTGTAGCAATGGCAAATAACCAAATTTCTTAATTGCGATCTAAGTAGCTGAGCTAGAGACTTTACTACTTTGAACTAAGTTTGACGTTTGCTTTTCAACCTTTCTGTAACTCCTTATTTAATTTTATAAAGCACATTTTACATCACTGTTGTTTAATGTAAAAGCAATGGAGTTTATGTAGTGAATTAAAAACCAAATTGCTAAATTTAGGACAAAATAGCCTATTTGAACAAACTCTTCAACTGCTACAGTCCCAGCTTTAGCATGATTAAAATAAAAAAATAAAAATCATTTATTTATTGGTATCCTAATTTTTATAACTGAATACCGTCATGATATTGTATAATTTACAGTGGGTTTTGTAGATGGCTATGGCTTTAGTTTGTATCCATTGTATATCCAAATGTTCTGCCATAATGTTGTACTAATACCCGTCTCTCTTCCAGGATAAAATATGGACTATAGAGCATATAATGCTGAACCCAAGCCACCGTTATCGAGATATTGAGAGGACAGCAGAGTACCTCCATCCAGAGAAGTGCATGCCACCACCTATACGCAACTCCATGGATAAACTGTGGTTCATAAAGGATGGCTGCGGCATTGCATGCGCTGTGGTGACCTGGTTTTTGGTTTTCTATGCGGAGTTTGTGGTTATCTTCGTTATGTTGTTGCCATCCAAAGACTTGATTTATAGCACCATTAATGGCATCATTTTTAATATTCTGGCCTTTATGGCTTTGGCATCACATTTTCGTGCTATGATCACCGATCCTGTAAGTATAGCTGGTATTCTGTTTGAATTTTGTTTGTGCCAAACTAATGAATGATAAAGCACCAAGGAAACTTTAAAGTAGCATTCCCACCCTCATGGCACCTTCAGTTCTTTGAAATTGTTAACAGGCAGAAGTATCAGGGCACCATCAACCCTTCAGTTGTCAAACTATTCTGCAATAGTATAACCTCAAAGTTATATCGAACATCACAGCTGGCAACTAACTTTTTTCTGCCTCTGTAGTATGAGGAAGGTTTGGGTTAGCCACATGACCTGTGATAGGCTGAGAAGATATATAACATTCTTGAAGATATAACTGATGTGAGTGTGGAAACACTTGAGCATTATTATTAAATGTATTTATTTCTAACACTAAATTGTTAGGGATTGTTCTGGACCCCACATCCTCCCCCTTTCTTGTAAGAAAAGGTTAAAGAGTTAATCACTCATACCCAGCAACAATGTCCCTTGCCTCTCCACTCCTCCTCTCGGAAATCATCAGTAGTGATGATTTCCCACACAATCCAATTCTCCCTATAGAGAAGCACTGGGAGGCATGGCACATGAGTGCAATTGCCTTGCTGGGCTAGCAATGCTTCTCATAGAAAATGTAATTGAATCTGTGCAAAGCAGTGCCTTTGACTTTGTGCTTGGTAATACAAAAAGTCAGGAAGAGTACCCTCCTATCCAGAAGCCAGTACTTCTTAATTTATTAGTTTAAGAAAATGTGTTTGAGGTTTGAAGTGTTTATTTTAAAGGTACACTGTAGGCACCAATACAACTTTAGTTCAGCTAAGCTGTTTTGGTGCATAAATCATGCCCTTGCAGTTTCACTGCTCAATCTTCTGCCAGTTAGGAGTTAAATCACTTTTGTTTCTGTTTATGTAGCCCTAGCTACACCTCCCCTGGCTGTGACTCGCATAGCTTGCATGACAATTTTTTATTAATTTCTAATCAGTTGTTAACTTGCTTTAGAAGTTTTTACCTCTCTGTAAATTAACTCTGTACTCTGTAAATTAAACTTTAACAACGCACATAAGGATCCTGCAGAGTCTAGCAGGCTATTAACAGCAGGAAATAAAAAATTCTAAATTAAACTGAATATGCAGTAATAAATTAAGTATAAACATTAGATCTCTCTTTGCAGGAAGTGTTTAGGTGGACTGTGTAAGTCACATACAGGGAGGTGTGGCTAGGGCTGCATAAAAAAAAGATCGAACTCCTAAATGGCAGAGAATTGAGCAGTGAGACTGCAGGGGCATGATCAATACTCCAAAACTGCTTCATTAACCTAAAGTTGTTTTGGTGCCCATATTCAAAATGTAACAGTTCAGGAAAAAAAGCTACTACTTCAAACTGGGTTTTTTGCCTTCTTTTGGATCAACAGAAAAAAACAAATGTGAGGAAGGCTGAACTTGATGGACTCAAGTCTCTTTTCAGCTATGTAATTTATAAAAAAATAAATATATATATATATATATATTTTATATCCACAGGTTACACACAGGCCTGACACACCAATGCTGCCGGAGGTGGATTTAAATCTCTGGCAGCAGAGTAGTTAAACTCTGTATGTGCAGCGTTTTCTTGCGAAATGCTGCACATACAGACTCCAGGCACCATGAAATGGTTATGGTGCTTGGAGTAACCCTTTAAGGACCCAAGCAATTTTGGCATTTTGTGTTCAACCACCATTTATATCTTTATTATTTGTTGCACCAACACATATTATACACCATATTTTTAAAGGACAAAATGGGCTTAAAAATATATATTTTTAAAAAAGTAAAACACATTTGCCAAGAAGAGTGTGTACATAATTAGTGCAGCTTAAGAAAAGTCATTCAAAATAACTTAAATTTATTTGTTCGGATTTACAGAATACATCATGTGTAGGATTTTGGTTGAATTTTTGTAATTACAGGTTACAAAATATAAGGAGTAATGTATTTTGGTTTTGTGCTGCCCTAGGCATGACTAAACCTACGCACCCCCAATCTAAATGTACCTCACATCTGCCTGCCAAGGCCACACTTCTTCCTGTTTAAGATCCACCCCTTTCTCTGTAAATTCCACCACTTCCTCTTTTGGTCCCATCTCTTTCTATATAGGCTCCACCATTTCCTCTTTGTGCTCCACCTTTTCTTTTTTTTTTCAGTTTTTCTTTATTTCGAAAGACATGTAATGGGGTACAGAAAAGAAGAGGGAAGCATTCTGTAGTAACAAATCAGGGTTATATAACAATATGTGCATATAAATATACTTCCTTCCTTGCCTGAGACTAAGACAAACCCGGCTACAGTTAACTTTAGATTTATTGCATCATCTTGGGTACCGTCTTGCGGATGGTGCTGTTGTCTTTGACTAAAACCTATGGGGGGGTTAAGAGGTAACTCGGGGTAGCAACCAGTCGGAGGGGTTGGGGAGTAATGGGGAGTGGACTGGGAAGTGGTTCGAAAGGGGGACCTGCCTGGTGTGGTGGGTATTCATGGTCCTTGTGTTGGTTATGTATTCGGTAGTGTCTATTGGCTCATTTCCTGGATCTCTAGGTGGTCAATCTAGGAGAGCGGGGTGGTCTTTTCCCCTGGGGCTGTATTCCAGAACCCTATCCAGGGCTCCCATCTCTGGAGGTATTTCTGTCGTTTCCCTATTGAGGTCCAGTGGATGTCTTCTAGTTCTCTGGTTCGTTCTACCCTTTGTACCCACTGTTCTACGGATGGGGTGTTGGTATTCCGCCAGTTTAGCGGGATAAGGGCGTTTGCTTCCCCTAGTAATAGGTGTAGCAGTTGTTGTTTGTGGGGTTCCGTAAATGTGCGGGGCCAGCTTAGTAGTACTTGGGATGGTGTAAGTCGGGTCGGAGGTTTAAGTATCCTGGTTATTTTGGCGAGTATTAGGTGCCAGAAACTCTGAATGTCTCGGCAACTCCACCAAATATGTTCTATAGTTCCCGGTCCGGTGGAGCATCTCCAGCAAATGTTACTGATTGATGGCCATATAGAGTGTAATCGGGTTGGGGTCCTGTACCACCTGGTGATTCTTTTATAGAATGTCTCCCTGTGTGCTACACTGATTGGGGTTTTGATTCCCATTTCCATGATCCCTGGCCAGTCTTTGTCAGAGATATGAATTCTGAGATCTTTCATCCAATTCTGTTGAAAGGATAGTGGTTTGTGTTCCTCCATTGGGCTCTGGAGGATGCGGTAGACTTTAGATAAAGGGCGTCTGGGGTCTCCCTCTGGGCCACAGAGGTGTTCAAAGGGCGTGTCTGCTCTCTGTTTCCAGAGGGGAATAGCGGTTCTTTTCAGGAAATTCCTGAGTTGGGCTTTGCCTATCACCTCAATGAATGTGTCTTGTCTATGTGCTCCATATATGGCCTTGACCGTGGGTGGGTCTCCCCCTATCAGTTCGGTTATGTCCGGGGTAGGCGTTCCCACAAGGTGAGAAAGGAGTGGTCCCCCTCCACCCCCCTGAAAATCAGGATTGTCTGCTATGGGGAAGAACCTTGACAGTCCCGGTGACAGTCTCCATTGGTCTTTATGTCTTCTCCATATTGTGAGGACATTGTGTATGAGTGGGTGTCGTGTCGTGGTGAGTTTCGGTAGGCTGCAGATTTGCCACGGCAAGGTGTGTAGGGGGACAGGTGTAAAGCTCTGTTCTAATGTGTACCACGACTTTTTCCTTTTGGTGTCTGTCCATTCCTTTAGTCGGGTGAGCAAAACTGCAACATAATATTTGTATAAGTGTGGCAGTCCCAGGCCCCCCCTGTCTGTGGTGGAGGTTAGTGTGGTGAAAGCTATCCTTGCTGGTTTGTTGCCCCAGATGTATTTGGTGAAAATTGTCCGCATCTGTCTGAAGAATGTCTCTGGGAGAGGGACCGGTAGGGCCTGAAAGAGGTATAGCATTTTCGGGAGAATCATCATTTTCAGGATGCTGACTCGTCCCATCAGGGAGAAGTAAGGTTGGTCCCATTTTTGGAGGTCTCGTTTAATCTTGTCTATAAGGGGGGGATAGTTTAGTTTGTATAAGGTCATGGGTGATGCGGTGAGTAGTATCCCCAAGTATGTCAGTCCTGTCCGAGTCCATGGGAAGGTATGTCTTTGTTGAATTCGTGTTTTCAGGTACGGTGGTATAGCTATTCCCAGTATTTCGCATTTGTCAGCATTTATCTTAAAGTTCGAGAGGGAACCAAAGGTTTCGATCTCGTTTGTTATGTGTGGTAGTGATTTGGTCGGGTCTGTGAGCGTGAATAGGACATCGTCCGCAAAGGCGGATACCTTCACCTCCCCTCCCTGAAATCTATATCCCCGTACTTCAGCGCGAGACCTGATTGCGTTCAGGAAAGGCTCCATGGCCAAGACGAATAACAGGGGCGAGAGGGGGCAGCCTTGTCGAGTACCGTTGTTTATCTGAAACGGCGTCGATAGGTGGCCGTTTACTCTAACACTGGCTGAGGGTCCCCTATACAGGGTTTGTAAGACCAATCCACCCTGTCGAAGGCTTTTTCAGCGTCAATAGCCATCAGCAGAGTAGGTGTTTTAGTCACCGTTGCTCCATGGATGACATTTAGAATTTTCGTGGTATTATCCCTAGCTTCGCGGCCTGGCACAAAGCCCGCTTGGTCAGGGTGGATTAGGTGCGGTAAGAGGGGTTTAAGCCTGTTGGCGATCATCTTTGCCATTAGTTTGAGGTCTAGATTTATTAGTGAAATGGGTCTATAACTGCCACATTTAGTGGGGTCTTTGCCCGGCTTGGGGATGATAGTGATAGATGCCCGTAGCATCGGGGGTGGGAGGGGGGTGTCTTGGGTTAGGCCATTTAATGTTTTCAGAAAGTGGGGGGGATAGTTCTTGCGAGAGTGTTTGATAGTATCTGGCGGTCAGTCCGTCTGGGCCGGGGCTTTTACTTTTCGGCAGTGCCTTAATCGTGGCGAGTAGTTCCGTTTGTGTGAATGGTTCATCTAATGTGTGTATTTGGTCGTCTGGGATCTTGCGTGGCAGGTTTGCCGAGATGTATTCCCTCAGGTTGCGGTTCTGTGTTTTGGGGGGGGGTAGGTTATAAAGGTTTGTGTAGAAAGCGTTGAACACCTTGGCTATATCTTCTGTAGTGTTGTGTTGCCTACCTGTGTCATCTGATATTTTGTCTATGAACGATCTCTGCCGTTTGGCTTTCAAAGCTCTAGCTAGTAGTTTCCCACTCTTGTTACCATGAGCATAAAAGGTGCTCCTTGTCAGTTGAGTGGATCTATATGCCTTTGCGGTTAGTAGCGATCTTAATTCTATGCGTAGGGCTGTTAGCTTCTGGAAGTTATCATTCGTGGGATCTTGTTTGTGTGTGGCCTCGGCTAAGTGTATGTCTGCTATGAGAGAGTCCATTTTGAGGGTCCGTTCTTTCTTGATTCTAGAGCCCCATTTGATAAGGGTGCCTCTGATAACTCCTTTATGGGCTTCCCAAACCCAGGGGTCTGATACCTCAGTATTCCCATTCTCTAAGAAATAGTTTCCTGCCGTCTGTCGCAGGTCGTCTAGAAATCTGGGGTCATCAAGTAGGGTTTCGTTAAGTTGCCAGTGTGTCGTGGGTTTGCGTTCTCTCTGGAGAGTGACCGTCAGGAAAATTGGAGCGTGGTCAGACCACGTGATATTGCCTATGGATGCGTCTTTTAGTAGTGGGAGATGTCTGTGGCTAAGTAAAAACATGTCTATTCTGGAGTAGCTTTTGGCTGCCTGAGAATAAAACGAGTAGTCTCTGTCTTGGGGGTGTAGTATACGCCAGCAGTCTACGAGCTGGTGAGTACGTAAGGCAGTCGAAAATAGTGTTCTTTGGTGTTGCTTAGGGTCCGAGGATAGAGAGGAGCTATCTAATGCGTGGTCTAATACCATATTCCAGTCCCCGCCTACTAAAACTACCCCCTCAGCAAATGCGTCCAGTTTAGTCAAACATGACCGTATGTAGGATACTTGGTCAGCGTTGGGGGCATATATGCTTGCTAGCGTTATGAGGGTACCGTTATATACTCCTTTAACAAATACAAATCTGCCTCTAGGGTCAGTTTTAACCCCCGTTTCTGTGAACGCAGCATTGGAGGCTAGTAATATTGCCACCCCTCTGGTTTTCTTTTGCGTATTATTACTATAATAGGCTATATTGTTTCGTTTGGAGTGAATTTTTGGTTTGAACTCTCCCTTAAAGTGTGTCTCCTGTATGAAGATTATTTCGGCTCCCTGTCTGTCTATTTCTTGTGCTAGCATCGTGCGCTTCATAGGTGAGTTTAGTCCCCGTACATTTAGGGACATTAGTTTTGTATATATCATGGTGGTGGATCCAGCAGTAGAAGCATATTTAATGAGTCAAGGGTCATACCCGTGAATGATGTGCTTAGTGGTATTGTGGTGGCAGGGTTGGTACCCGGGGAGGGAGTTGGGGAAAAACAAAAACTATTTACATAGGGTTGAGATGAGAGGTTCATCTCAGGTGTTGAGATTGGCGCTGCACTTGTGGGTAGCTCTTCGTGACCACAAGTGGAGTCGGGGCGCCTCTCTGGGGGGTGGTGGTCGGATCTCCCGACCAGGGGCATCCAGGGGTTCCAGCGGGGCAATCATGAATGTCATACACTTACCCCTCACCCACCTTATCGGGGGGGTTATGGGGTATGCGGTGAGAGCGACCTCGGTTTAACCCCCGTGGACCCGGTCTCCTGAGGCCCAAAGGTTGAATAACGTTACTAAAATCCTAATGCAGGGCCCTAGAGCCCGGTAGCGGCTACTAATGACATTTTTAAATAAAACATAATATAGCATAGCAGTGTAACATTGATTACATAGTATAGAGAGTATTTAGTTGCATTGGCATGGCCTTTTAAGGTAAACATATCTGGCATAGTATCGACAGAGGGAAAGAGGGATAGCAGATATATACATAAGTGAAACATATGGAACATGAGTGTACGCTTATACGACCGTAACAGTTCTCAGGTTGGTTCTTCTCTGGTTGGAGCGCTTAGGTTGGTACCGGGGTGGTTCTGCCTGCGCCTTTTCCTCGGGGATTTTTGCCATTTGGGCTTTTGTGAGGCCTGTCTTGACGGGTTGGTTGCCAGCCCTGTCCAGTCTTCCACTTCGGACGGTGGGAGTTTGAGTGCCCTCTGGAAGTCAGGGACGTCCTCTGGTGAGGTAATAGTGTGGGTTTTGTTCTGGAGGTTGACTGTCAGTGCAAACGGGAAGTTCCATCTGAACTTTATTTGTCTCTCTAGCAAGGCCTGTGTGATAGGCCGCAAGGCTCGTCTTGCTTGTAACGTGGATGGAGCCAGGTCTTGAAAGATCGTTACCGGTTGGCCGTCTATCGTTAGATCTTTATTTTGGCGGGCTTTACGGAAGATTTCTTCCTTTAAGGGAAAATTGTGAATGCGACAGATGAGGTCTCGCGGTTTATCTGGAGGGAGGTTTCTGGGCCTAGCTGCCCTGTGAGCCCTGTCAAAGGTGATGGCTGTGTCTTGAGGTCTGGTTAGGATGCGGTTAAAGAGGGTGGTTAGAACCTGAATGGGGTTTTCTGTTACACCCTCGGCGCTCTCGGGGATTCCCCTCACCCGTAGGTTGTTTCGGCGTCCCCTGTTGTCTACATCGTCCAGCCTCCTTTGTAGGTACCTTATTGCCTCTGCATGTGTTTCCTGGGTGTCATAGGCTTCAGCCCCTCTTTTGTTGATGTGTTCTGCCTCCTCCTCTAGTTCTTGTACTCTGGCTCCAAGCTGCTGCACGTCCGCTGCCACTGAAGCTGTCCTCCAGTTTCTGGAACATCGCTGCCAGGTCTGCTTTTGAGGGCAGCTGTGTTAGCAGGGTCCGGATTTCTTGATCCTCAGTGGAACCCTCTGATGCCGTCGGGCTTGATGGCTGGCTCCCGCGTGTTTGTGCTGCGGGCGCCATTTTGTCCCGTCTGTGCGGGTCAGCCTGTTCGGCGAAGTACCTTCTCAGGGAGGTTTTTGCTGCCGGGGTGTCGACTGCTGGGGCTTGCCCTGTTGTGTTACGCTGTTTTTTAGCTGCCATTCTGGGTGTATTGGGTCCCTTACCCCCTTTATCTCCCGGTCGGGATCCGGAGCTCTCCGCTCATGCGACCATGTCCTCCGGCTTCCTGGCCACGCCCCTTTTTCTTTTTTTTATTGAAACAAATTTTTATTAAAATTATATATTCATATGTAATTTCATTCTTTTTTTATTTTTTTATTTAATATTTTTCCAGTGCATAGTTAAACAAACACGCTTGTACTGCCACAACAGCAGATGCAAGCAAAGAGAAGTACACATTTTAAACATTTTGTGGCATGCAGTTTCAGCACATTTTTTTGTTTTTAAGTCTCGAGTATTTACTGTTGATACGTTAGCTTGCTAGTTGGCTACTAGTTATGGCATTTAAGAGATAGGTAGCATAGATGGCAACAAGCCTAAAATAAAATAAAACATATACGCTTTTATACGCTTTGATACCGCTGGGTCAGCAGTCTTGAGTCAGAGTCCCTGTCTGGGGACTGATCTTGGCCTGCAGCCATCTCCCAGAGTCATGAAGTTAGCCGATTCCCTGGTTGGGCATCTGCCTTACATACGTGCAATGTCCCCTGCAGCAAGCCACGCTGTTGGTCGAGAGCGAAGTACTCCCCAGGCCCCAGGCCTGTTCCAGAGCCTGCACCTTGTTGCCACAAACTTGGGCCTTCTTTGAGTCCAAGTTGTTCCCAGCCGGGAAGTTACCAGGAGCTGTACCACGTTGGCTTCGGCTCGTTGTTCCCTCCTGCATGCGTGGTCTGTGCTTTGGGGGTATTCCCCAGGTGACTCTAGGCCCAGGAAGGCGTAATGTAGCGTGGTGTGTCTTTAGTGCGGTCGGTATGCCTTTGGGGGGGTCTCACTTGCCTCTTCTCATTTAGTGTCTGCTGTCTCACCCGTGGCAGCGCCGCAGGAAGCACTCGGTTCATCAGCTCAATTAGGTTGGCCCAGAATTTTCCGAAGGCTGCATCTAGTCGTGCTTCAAATTGACCTAGTGCTTCAGTAAGGTCGGCTGGATGTTGCATCCACGTTTGAGTCATAGGCGCATCCGCCATCTTGGGTGTCTCTGCACGGCATTTTGTTTGTCATGTGGGCAGCTCACAGTGACCCGGGAGGACCTTAGCATGTGGCCCAGCGGGGACCGGGATGACCCCCACCGTTTTGCCATCGGGTTTTCACACCAATGCTGCCTGTTTGCTTCCGAATCAAGGTATATCCTTGTTGGGTGAGATTGTGGGGCAGATTGTCGTGTTTTTAGCATATATATGCTTTAGGGTTGAGGAGCTCCCTCACCCTGCGTCCTGTTCAGTCAGCAGCCAGGCCCCGCCCCCCTGAGCTCCACCTTTTCATCTCTGGCCTCAAACAACTTATGAAAGCAATCTTTGCCATCAAACAGGTTACCGGTACCATCTTTGTCCCAAAACAACCTTACAGTGCAAGCTTTGTTCCCACCCAGCTTATCAATGCCATTTCTGTCCCCAAACAGTGTATTGGTGACATATTTACACCCAAACAGCTTGCCACATGCATCTATATCCACAAACAGTTTGCCAGTGCCATCTGTAATATCATGCCACTAAACTTTACATGCATAAACTTGGTATAACATGGCAATCGGTTATAACTGCATAAACTTGGTATGACCTGTAGAGCGCCTCACTCTGGAGTCGCTGTCTCTTAGCGAAAGCTGGGATGTAACATCAAAGTTATTCAAGCTGGAAAAGGAAAGGTGTAATGTCTAACTCACAGAATGCATCAATTTCCAGGAGCAATGTTACTGACGCAAAGTGGCAGAACTCTAAGGCATCCCTCTTTATCCACCATGGCCGATAAAGGTCACATTCTATATGTATAAAGATAGGCTCATTTATATATAGTGACAGCCATATAGTCTGTTTGTATAAAGATAGGATCATTTTACATATTGACATAACCATTGTGTGTGTCTGTGTCCATAAAAACACACAAATGAGTCAGCGCTAAGTAACCAAAAATAATGAACAACAAGGCAGCAACCCTAAAAGGGGATCCCTCTCAACCTTTCAAAATCTAAAAGAACACAAGAAAAGGGCTAAGGATTAAGTGTGTGTGTGTGTGTGTGTGTGTGTGTGTGTGTGTGTGTGTGTGTATATATATATATATATATATATATATATATATATATATATATATATATATATATATATATATATTTGTGCTCGGAATTTAAATACGTAATGGATAGTATCTGTGAGCAAAGTTGGTTGTGGTGTGCCGAAACCAACGTACGAGTGGGCCTGTGAATAAAAGAGGGCCCACCAAGGATAATGTAGTTAAAACAGGGTGTAGGTGGGTGGGGACAATCAGCTGAGCGGCAGCGGTGAGTAGGAGCTGGGAGCTTAAGTAGGGGACTTACTCCTCCCACAAATTCAGGCCTAATGGCCTTTCTACTTGTGCTCGGAATTTAAATACGTGATGGATAGTAACTGTGAGCAAAGTTGGTTGTGGTGTGCCGAAACCAACGTACGAGTGGGCCTGTAAATAAAAGAGGGCAAAAGATAAATTCGAGAAAATACACACTTTATTGCATTTTACAAGACCAAGTTTCTGAAAGCTTGGTGAAGCTCTTTCTCTGGTTGCGGAATATATGCGTTATATATGGAGGATTTCCATCGCCCGAGCCTTTTGATGATGTGGACCGGTGCGTTTGTGCTTGAGGCTGCTGAGGCGGCTCCTATGCCGAAGGAGTGCCCGGAGAATGCGGCCAGATTGTGTCCGAGCTTAGATAACAGGGTTCTGACATGTGACATCAATTTAGCCGTGGTAAGCGGGTGCCCTTGTAATGTTAAGAGCGGAGAGTCTGGCAGGTGAGTGCGAAAAGTTGACCGTAGTTGGTCGAGAACTTTCACCGGACACCAGGCATTATCAGTAGGGAAGAGAGGAATTATTGTAGGATGTATTGACCGGTTGGTTTTAGTGGTAGGGATAGAAAGGAGGTAGTGATCCTCTACCTTGGTGAGGTGTGAAGTTTTAAGGCATCGTGCGATATCTCCTTGACAAATCACTGTGAACTCTCTAGGTCTGAGAAAACCGTAGAAAGCGAGATATATGGCAGATTTTATCACCGTATTGGTGTAGCTATCAAATGGGGCTGTGTCAAGGAGATTGCTAAGAGACCTGAAGATAGGCCCGTCTATGGGTAATCTAGTGCTTGCGAGTGGTGGTGAAACCTTTGATATACCTTTCAAGACCTTTTTTATGGGGTATGAAGACAAAAAGGGGGTGCTGTTAGGAAAATTGATGAGGCTGTGGTGCTGAACCCCGGTGAGGTAAAGTTTAATGGTGTTGTGTGACAGATTAAGGTGTAGGTGGCAGAAAGAGGCAAAAGACACCATGGTTTGGATAGAAAAGTCACCTTGTAGCCCGAATTCTGCAGTGAATTTGTTAAATATGTTAAGTGCCCTATTGTAAGTGATAGCAGTGTTGGGTGATAATGCTTGGTGAGTGAGTGATCTAGCGTGAAGCAAGAGTGTGCTTAATCCAATATTAGTTCGTGAAACCGTGGTGTCCTGGATGGCTGATGGTGAGCCGCTGGGAGTGCCTGAGAAAATGCCTGGAATCGAGAACGAGAAAGAGCGTCAGCGGCGGTGTTGTGAATACCCGGGATGTGAGAACATACTAAGTGAAACTGATTGGATGCTGCCAGCCAGGTCAACTTGCGAATCAGCCGCATGATGGTCAGGGATGATGAGCGCCCTTTGTTAATAATATCGCAAGCTGCCGAGTTATCTGAGTAGCATTTTACTGCCTTGCCGGACCAGAGATGACCCCAGGTGTGTGCGGCCGCCACAATGGGGTAAATTTCAAATAGGGCTGAGGTCTCCCTGAATCCCGGCAAGGCATCCGTCTCAGTGGGCCAGTGGCCCCTAAACCAGTGGTTCCCGAAAATGGCTGCGAAACCGGTGTTGGCTGCTGCGTCTGTGTGGATGATGGGTGAAGAGGTGGAGAGAGGGGGGATAAACATGGAGATACCATTCCAGTCTTTCAAAAACTTCCCCCACATAGCCAAGTCAGCCTTGGCGTGGGGGTCCAAAGAAACTGTGCCGGAGTCCGGGACTCCATGGAGCAGGCAAAGAAGTCTGGAAATAAAAGACCTTCCCTGCGGAATGATGCGCATGGCGAAGTTCAGAGATCCAAGAAGGGACTGAAGTTCTCTCCTGGTGCAAACGTCATTCCGCAGGAACGTGTCTATCTCCCCTCTCAATCGTGAAAGTTTGTCGTGTGGAAGGCTAGCTCTGAGTTTGACAGAATCGAGCTCTATGCCTAAAAAGGTCAACTTTGTTGTGGGTCCTATAGTTTTGGCTGGGGACAAAGGGACTCCAAGTGTGGAAAAAAGTGCGGTAGTACTATTGATTGCTGTGGGTGTTGATGACCCTGGCTCTATCAGTAGAAAGTCATCTAGATAGTGAATAACGGAGTGACACCTGATGACGTTCAGAAGCAGCCAGCATAGTGACTCTGCGAAAATGTCGAAAAGTTTGGGGCTGCTTCGGCGAACCAAAAGTGAGTCGTGTTGAGAAGTAATAATACCCTCGCCATTTAACACCGTGTAAGTGCCAGAGTGAAGGGTGTATGGGCAGTAATTTAAAGGCGTTAGTGATGTCTGTTTTGCTGAGCCAGGGTCGATTACCAGATGTCATGATGGACTGTATGGCGTCGTCGATGGGGACGTACTGCAGAGAGAATTCGTCTGCTGGAATGAATGCGTTTATGCTTGGAACAAAAGAGGAGTGCGGTGCCGATAAATCGATAATGAGACGTTTTTAATTAGAATATTTGTGAATAGCAATACCAATAGGGTTAGTGCGCCAGGAGGAAAACGGTGAAGAGGTGAAAGGACCGATCATGAAACCGTTTGTGGTTTCTGCGGAAATGAGAGTGTCTACAGCGACTGGGTCTAAACGTGCAGACTGGAGATTAGGACATTCTAGTGTACCTGGGGGAATGGCTATTATGCCTGTGTGAAACCCTTGTGAGAAACCTGTGGTGAGAAAATCCACTAAGTGCCTGCTGGGGTGACACCTTAGATAAAAAACCAGGTTGTCGATATTTATGTCGGTTAGTCATTTGTTTGGTGACAACCTGGCTGGACACATGGTCTTGGTATGTGCCCTGAAACATATGGAGCAGATGTGCAATAATCTACAGGCGCTGAAACTGCAGGAGCCTGCGTTGAAATTATTGCACACCTGTGCTTTACCTAAAAAGGAGATGGGCCTACCCAGCTTATCCCGGAGACCACCCGCTGGCTTGTGAGGGGTGAAAGAGGAGTGAGGTGTGAACGTGGGGTGAGGGGTGAGAGTGGAGGTGGTGGGATCTGGTTCGACGGGACATAAGTCCGCCATGTGGGATGTGGAATTACAGATGGCACAAGCCGGGGGCCTGAGTCCGGCGAAGTGGCGACAGAAAAGTTCAGTGTCCATCTGACCCCAGTTCATTCTAATGTTGAACTGTTTGAGATGGGTCGCCGCCTTCGCTGAGACTGACTTGTGGTAGTCATAGAAGGAAGAGCCCCCGTACTTGATGCCTAGATCCACTACCTTGTGGAGATAGAGATCTAGCTCTTCTCTCCTATGGGGATACACCGTGCAAATGACGTTGCGGTATATCCAGAAAGCTATCACAAACTGTGGGATAGACAATTTTTTATTAAGCCTGGGATCCCTCGTTTTAAGCACAACAGAGATGTCACCATAATTGTATGCCTTGTTCTAGAGTACATCCTGAGAGGCTATGAGTAAAGACACCAGACACACATCCTTCCCGTCAAGGATATCTTTCCTGATAGAATCTGGGACGGAGTGTGCTGGTGACTCGAAAGGTGTGATGGCTGTGCCAGGTGCTGGAGGGGGGAGTATAGAGGGACATGAAGGTATGGCAGGTACAGCCGTGGTAGAGACTGGGACTACGGTGTTAGTACCTGAGGAGGAGATGGCGCTCTCCACCTTAGACAGCCTGCTATTGAGGGCCTGTAGATTGGCCAAGATATCTGCCAGGGTATCCTGGGTGGCCGTGCTGTTACTTGGTGGTTGTCCTTGAGAGCTAGTTCCCGGCCGAGGCTCGGGGACTTGGTGGGTAAGCAGCCTGTAAAGTTCTGCCTTTCTAGCTGTGGCCGGAAAGGGGATTCCCCTGAGCCTAAGCTCGGCTGTGATTTTGGGAATAGTCCATGCTCTCAAGGACGTGGGGGTTGAAAGAGTGAGTGATTCGCCTGGAGACACGGGTCTGATTGGCGTGAATGGTGCTTCTTCTGTCAGTTCTTCGGTTGGAATTGGTTCTTGGGACATTCTAAGAAGGAATGATTATGTGAAAGATATATTAGAAGGGGAGTGAGGTAAGAAAGGGGGGGGGTATGGGGAGTGGTGTGTCTTGAAGAACTGGACTTTAATGCTAGATGCCGAGGTGAAAAACTTAACTGTTGAATGACTGGATAGGTGAGGCCCTGCTAATGCCAAGTGGCGATGAGAGGCTCTACCTATGATTTGGCTTATGACGTAGGTGCCACAGACGTGGTGGCGGGATGTTGGCCTCTCGGTGACGATAAGAGAAATCAAAACGTGTGGCCGTGACAGGTGAGGCCCTAACTAGAGCCCTGTAGTAAGGCATGCGAGGCTTATAACTATGATTTGGGCGTGGGGCCGTACCTCCGTGTTGAGGTGGGGTGGGGGTGGTAGGCCTCGCGGGATCAGATTTCCTGATAGGGTGGGCTAAGGCATTAGCCTGTGCCATATAGCCAGTTCGATAGTATGCTAAAGGGTAAAGTTAGAGGACTGGAATGGTGTGTGGATACTAACCTTGACTGGTCGCAAATGGTATCTGGAGCCTCCTGGTAAGTGTAGAGAGTCTGTCTTAAATGTTGTTTTTGAGGAAGAATCCTGGGGGTTTAAGACAGATGTTTGATGTGTTTATACGTATCGTGATGTCGTATGAATAGTATAGGGAGAAGGTTTGTAAGGGGCACGATGTGAGATCCTGCATTGAGGGATCTGGGAGGTTTAGGTGTAGGAATGGGATGATTTTGGATATGAGTGAGAAGGCAGAATGAGGCCTTGGGGTAGCGAATGGACGTACTTGAGTAAGGATGTAAGTACCTGAAGGTATGGCTGAGTACCGGGTCAGGTTTTTGGTGTCTTCTTGAGCCTGGTGGCCGTATGACCGAAAGTCTGTGTAGACAAGTAGTAAAGAGATAACGTATCCTGGGCGTAAGCCTGAGGGAAGGTAGTAATGGAGTTGAGACCGCGTGAGGTCTAGTATTGAAAAGAGAGTGAACTATACCTTTGTTTAAAGTACAGAGATTGTTTAATCGTGGCAGGTTAACTGCGTAGAAACGGTGGAAGCTTAGATTAATACAAGGATCTAAGGGTTTAACCAAGACAAATTCCATAGTTAGCAATAGGTGTGGAGATAATTGATAAAACCTGATAACTCAAGGTGATAAAAACCATACCTGTTCCTGTAATAAAAGGACCTTGAAATAACAACTTTTAATGCAGAAAAGCAAGAGACCGATGCAATCTGTAAAAGCCAAAAGATGTGACAGCGTGATTTATGTGCAAGGAATAGTACGGATTATGTGTAAAGGGTAAAACTTGAAAATAGTGTTTAAAAAGACTTATCTGAGTGTTATTAGGAAAGAATGGTATAGCTTGAATTTAGACACGTATGAAGTTATGAATCGTGGTGAACATTATGTTTATTACAGAAAAATACTTTAAATGGTTTAACAAGGTAGAAAAACACAGGGCTGGTAGTTAACCATATAATGTAACCGCAAACTCATATGAAGGAATAAATAATAGTAGGACTGTGATTAGAACTTATGCAAGCTTAGCTTAAAAGAAAAGAAATAACCGAATGTAAATTAGTAAGATGGTGTACGTGAATTGACCATACGAATAGGTTGGTGCAGAAATAACCGAACGGAAAAGTGAATACAGATAATAATGAGCTTAAACATGAAATATTTATTCGGTTGTTTCCGTACGAAAAAGCATAAAATGATAGCGAAATGAGCCGAACGTTCGTGCGTTTTTTGGCGCGAATGGAGATATAAACGAAAGCGTGTATTCGTGAAAATGCGAAAGAGGGAGCCCACCCCTACGTTTTTAGGCCCGAACGGCGGGGAAATAGCGAACGCTAATTCCCACACCTTGCTTACGTGAACGCGCCGGTCTCGTGACCGGAAGTCGGGTACCTCGACCGGAGGGAAACGGAGTGGAAGGACCTCGGACGGACGGAGGATTGCACAGGGCGACTGGCTGCTGGAAACAGGTACAGTTCTGGCGGGAAGCTGGACCGGAAGTGCTGGTTGCTAAGGACAATCAGCTGAGCGGCAGCGGTAAGTAGGGGACTTACTCCTCCCACAAATTCAGGCCTAATGGCCTTATATATATATATATATATATATATATATATATATATATATATATATATATATATATATATATATATATATATATATATATATATATATATATATACAAAAAATGAATGGGCAAGGCACTCCTCCCAAAAATCCTTCTAGTAAAGGCTCAAATGCCTAGGTGCAATCCCGCGTTCCAATATATATAAAAATCAATAAAGGGAGCACACCAGGACTTCAGTAAAGTGCAAAAAGTATTTACTGTATCCAAAACATGATACAAATTCTGTGTAAAGAGAATCAACGTTTCGACCCTGCCGGGGTGATCTTGATAAAGACCCCGGCAGGGTCGAAACGTTGATTCTCTTTACACAGAATTTGTATCATGTTTTGGATACAGTAAATACTTTTTGCACTTTACTGAAGTCCTGGTGTGCTCCGTTTATTGATTTTTATATATATATATATATATATATATATATATATATATATATATATATATATAACAAGGGGGGATTGGCTGCACTCACCTGACCATGCATATGGGGGTGCAGCTGGGTGCCAAATTGTGTAAATATACAATACACAAGATCCAGCGCACTCACCTATCCACTAAACAGCAACTTCAATGTTGAAAGATTTTATTTGTTTGTTTTTAAAACACTTAATCTAGGCAAAAATAATGGGGGTTTAGTTACATTATATGATATATTTCATTATATTGGAAATTGAAGGCAGTAGTAGTCCCAGTTGTGATAGGAGCACTTGGGGCTTTTATATATATATATATATATATATATATATGCTAAACTCAAAGATCTAACACTTTTTCTATGTACACAAAAGGCCTATTTCTCTCAAATATTCACAAATCTGTCTAAATCTAGTGAGCACTTCTCCTTTGCTGAAATAATCCATCCACCTCACAGGTGTGGCATATAAAGATGCTGATTAGACAGCATGATTATTGCACAGGTGTGCCTTAGGCTGCAAATGTGCAGTTTTACTGTACCAGTCACTATCTGGTGTGACCACCATTTGCCTCACACAGTGCAACACATCTCCTTAGTATAGAGTTGATCAGGTTGTTGATTGTGATCTGTGGAATGTTGGTCCACTCCTCTTCAATAACTGTGCAAAGTTGCTGGATATTAACAGGACCTGGAACACGCTGTCGTATACGCAATCCAGAGCATCCCAAACATGCTCAATGTTGGTCTCAGACAGTCTTGGAGGTGAAGATGCTGGATGTGGAGGTCCTGGGCAGGTGTAGTTACGCGTGGTCTGCGGTTGTGATGCCTGTTGGATGTACTGCCAAATTCCCTGAAATGTCTTTGGAGACTGCTTATGGTAGAAAAATAAACATTCAATTCACGGGCAACAGCTCTTTGGACATTCCTGCAGTCAGCATGTACAGAATATTATACGTACATAGGTCTTCAAGGAGTTATACACCATTGACCTCAAAGATAAAGAAATAAAGACAACATAATAGTGAGTTACAGTATGTACCATGTATATGTGGTAGGTAATCTTGAGTCACTTCTACTCACATTTTTTTGAGCTAGCTCAGAACGCTGCTGTATTGCGCATGGACAGAACAATCCCTGTCTAAGAATATATATTGATGTAGTCACCACAGATGCTTTAACCCCTTAAGGACCAAACTTCTGGAATAAAAGGGAATCATGACATGTCATGTGTCCTTGACATATGTAGAGGTAAATACAGGAAAAAGAAACTCCAATGGTGAAGTAAGTACTGATGGAAAATCAAATGTATAAATAAAGTAATGTACTTACATTTACTAGAGCAGAATCTGCTCTAGTATAAACAGCAAGGGTGGTATAATCTCCACCTAAGGATATGATGGTACCAGGAAGCAGTTGGTGGATAAATAAAAAGGTGTATATATGTGTAAAATAAACGCTTTATTTACCAAAAAAACTATAAAAGCAGTACTTAGTCTCACTTTACGCTTTTCACCTCTCCAAGGCTTCTTCAGTCTGCTTCTGTCTGCTAAAAATTGCAGTAAATTGTTTTTGTTTGTTTTTTACAAACACAATCCTGTAGAAAAACCCTGATTATGATCACCTACAACTTCTGAGTACAATAATACCCCCAATGTATGCCTTTGCCACTATCGTGTGAAGCTACAATGCAATATAAATGCTCATTTCTGTTTTTACGGTTAGAATTTTCATAGATGGATTTGATGGCCTATATCTCATTTTGGAGCATTATAGCAGTTTGCCTGTTCAAATTACCCTGCAAAAACCTACAGTTTGTGAAATTAGTCACTCCAGTTTATCTCACATGGTGTATATTATGCCTTAATGTGCCACCATTTTTTTTTCTGGGCATTTTTCCAATCTGATATGTGCAACTGTGAATTGTGCCATTGTTGTAGTTTGACAGTTTAAAATGAATACAATTTGTGAAAATAGACACCATATCTAATATGGTATATTTTGAACCTCATTATAGAGTCATTTCAGCACCAATGTCTTTCAAAGTTTATAATGGAAATTTATTGTAGCGTTGTTATTTTTGTAATTTTGCACTTTTTTATTTTTTTTTAACAGATGTCCTGTGTGTTACTGTAAAAAAAACAAAACAAAAAACTATTTATAGCCTGCCTAGTGAAGTTAAAAAAAAAAAAAACAGCAAATTGAACACGAGCAATCTAAAATCCCTACGAAACAACATAAAAATCAGTGTTTAGTAAATATACCCGCAATGAAAACATGTATGCATTTAATTATGCATTTTTTTTTCATTTCACGTATGTGTGAAAACTGCTTGCAAAGCTGCAGATTTCTTGTCTGAAGCTTTTGTAAGCACTCCTTTTCTAACCCTGCTCAGATTTTTCTATGGCTGTCCAATCACAGACTTCCTCAATGAGATGTCTTTGAAAGGCAGGTGCTCTGAGCAATTGCCTGTCTCTTGAGTCTAGCTCCACTGAGCCAATTAAACCAGGTATTAACAGGACCAGTTGTCTGATTGATAGCCAGGGGAGTTTAAAGGAGCACTCCACACCCATAAAGCGCTTGCATAATTGCTATATAACTGCGGAGTATCCCTTTAAAATCCTCATTTATAAATGTGCCAATTTCATTGTTAAATTAGCTCTTTTTTCTCAGTGAGAGCATTTCCTGGTCCTGGTAGAAGAAAATGAAGGGGGGGGGATATTGGCTACACTTCGTTGACAAGGCCCAAACAATCGTCTGGAGTTGCCATATCACTTGTGCAGAGAGAAGTTGCTGGCATTTTGGTACAGAACTGCTCTTATGGGTGTGATTAGTCTAAAATGTCTTGGAACTGGTACTCTCTGTAATGGCACAAGTGAGCAAAAACCTTTTTGAGACCTGAGCGGGGATTTACCAAAGGGCAAGCTACTGAGTTCCTGTAAGTTTTTGTCCGTTCTCAGAGTTCTTATATTTGTGTAATTTTGTAAAAGGTGCCAATTTATATTGAAACCTTCACTTTTTGGAAAATGAGAAAATAGAAGACACACTCTTCACATATAAAACACTAAAGCAAGCTGAAGCGCTTTTGGCATCTGGAGTGTCCTTTTAAATAACTCCATAAATGCATGCAACTTACAAATGTGGACATCATGGGGACTCTCACATGATCTATTTTGAGCTTTATTGAGATGCTGTTTTTTTTCACTATTTTTTTTTTTTAAACTTTGTAATATTTATTTTATGTCCTATTTATTTTTCATGCACATTGTGTTTTTGCTGCTCATGTTTTTTAATTGCCATTGTAATAAAACTCCCTTGATTATATTCAGCAATACTTCATGTGTATACCTTCGCAAAGGATCAAAATTAAACCTCACCCTAATCCTATGCCTATCCTGTGGTCGGTGCTGGGCAACTGGCAAAGCCTAGCACCAATTATAATGGCATGGGGATGTGTATCAAGAGCTCAATAGATGTAAATGGCTTTATGCAGTGCTCACTTTGAATTCTGCATACAGTTCACCAGTTAGTCAGGGGCCACTAATTGTGGTTCCAGTTAACAGATACTTGGGTCTAACTGTGTGAGCATGAATTTAACCCTACTCTTACCAGTTTGTGCCATCTGTGGATTTACCTGGTCATAGCCATAAAGTCTACAAATATGGAGTTTACAGGAATTGTGGGGGCTATTTTTGGGCAGGGTGGATAAAAATCAGTGATAAAATTAAAGGTCCACTATAGGCACCGAGACCACTTCATCTCAATGAAGTGGTCTGGGTGCCAGGTCCATCTAGTGTTAACCCTGCAGCTGTAAACATAGCAGTTTCAGAGATTGGGGTCCTATATGTGTTTGTGTGGCGTTCCCTTGTGCTCAATATCTTATGCCCATGCCATAAAGCTCACTATTAGGGAAAGCTCCGTCTTAGTTGTCGAACTGTAGCAATTGTAAGTCTGTGTGACCCCTATGTCCCGATCGCTCATTGAGACCATACCGTCTATACTCCCAGGGTCATCATAATGAGTTTGTAAGTGTTATGTAACTTTCAGCACTTTGGCTTCCATTTACCCTATATAGAGGGTTAATCAGAGTATAAGTAAGAAAGAGAAAAGGATAGATTATTTTATGATTTATACTATTGTTTGTATTATTCACATCCATTTATTTGCCAATATAGCCTTTTTTACATATTTTATTATTAAAATTATGCTTTCCCCTTTAATTACCAAGTTCCCAAAGGGTTTCCTTAGTAAAGACTCCAAAAACATGGCCGTCACCATGTGGAGTCTAAATGCTCCATATCCTCTATTTTCTCATAGGAGGATATTCATTACTAGCTCCCATCCCCTTTTGGAAGAAGCTTCCTTCTTTCATGTAGTCTCTGGATGCAACCAGACCCCAGCTGCTTTACATTTCCCATGTCTCATTGCGCACGGTTACGTGACAGGCCCAAAATGATTGAAAATGGCTGAGGGTATGTGACTTGCTATTTTTGTAATTTTCTCCTCTTTACAAGCTTAGTTTTGCTTCCAGGTTTTATACACTAGTCCCTACTATCATTCTAGAACATTGCTGTCTCTTTTATATTTTTTATGATCTTCATACCGATGATACTTTGAACTTGCGAACAATGCTTCCAACGGTGTCTCTGTGAACATTCAGTGCCTTTGCTATCTTTTTTTTTTTTTTTTTTTTTTATGAACATGTGTTTATTTTACAGGGCCAAATTCAGTTTAACCATCTTAAACAGATTCCTGTACTGGGGGTTCATAACCATCAGCCCGCTCCACTTTAGCGCCAGTCTCATCGCCAGAAGGTTTGCCAGCACTACCACCTTCTCCATGCAGTTCCATTAGTTTGCCCAGCTCAAACTTGGGCTTTTTCAGCATCTTCACTTTGCTTACATAGACATCATGTAGAGGATAGATTGACTGGCAGGCCTTTTCAATGTCTTTGCCTATGCTGTCTGGAATCAGTTTAACAACTTCCTTCAGGTCATTTATCTGCACTTAACGAGTCATGATTTCCATCATCTTCTTGCGGATCTAACGGACCTGCTGATGTTGGGCATAGGATGTCTTCCTGATCTGATTATTACGCTTTTTGGTAAATCCCACACAGAACAGGCGGAGCAGATAGCCATCTGTGGTTTTCACATCAACATGGGCCTCAGTCATTGTCTGCCACTTCTTGACCATGGAGCACATTTTGTCATGGGTCAGATCCATGCCATGGAAGTTGGTTAGACAGTTCTTGCCCTGGATATCTTCAGTAATCAGCTTGAATTTACGGAAAGCTACTTCATCATTTTGCAGGTCAGCAAGGCTCACCTCAAAGACACGACCCTTGAGCCCATCAGAGGCAATTTTGGTTCCCTGTGTTCTGGTGACCAGAGTCTTCCCCAGGTTACGAATGTTGAACATTGCTGGTGCCTTAACATCATACCAATCTTTTTTGGAGAACGGGTCAACAATCTTCTTCTTGGCACCTTTTTTGCCACCTTTGGTCAGCCGCTTATTTTTGCCGACTGCCATCTTGCCGAGCTGGGTGAGAAAGAGCACCTTTGCTATCTTTTTGTATCCTGTTCCTTGTTTGGAAGGGCAATGATCTCTTCAGTTAACTTTATGGACCATTCTTTTGACCATATTTCTAACATGCAGTCAAATGTGACACTTAACAAACCCCTAGCCGGTTCAAATATTTCAAGTTTTCTAGTTCAAGAACACCTGGTGCAACTAATGAAGCCCTTGATTGCATCAGGTGTGCTTGAGACAACATCTGTTTTGCTTATTTGTACTGTTGTGAGGGATTCTATTCAGTGTATGGAATCATTTTGAGACAGGAGAAGTCAATATAAGTTTGCATTTTCAGTTGAATTTGGGGAAACCACTTGACGCATTTGTCGTGTTGAGTGATTTCAATTGCTTTTGTTTGATTAGTTCATTGCAGATAGCTGAAAGTCTGTGAATTTTGATAAAAATCAACCTGATTTTCCATGAATATATCTAAATACAACTGTATATTGTGTGGGGTGGTGGGAGCAAATGTGCATATTTTCTTTTTTTTATTATATAAAAAGGAACAAAACTTTGTCTCCCGTCCCTTATCTCTTTCTCAGGGAGGTGGGATACTGCAAGCCTGGTGGTATTCAGGAACTCTGCCTGCATCCTCTCGCGAGCTCCTCTGAGCCTTGCTATGATCCGCGTCAATGCTCTGACCGGCTTGTGGGTTGTGTATTGGACAACCCATGATTTAGAGGGAAGATAAAAATGAGAATAAAATTACAGTATGCATTTGCTACCAATATGGTTTACACAATGCATACATTGATATTCATAATAACTTGAAAAACTATTAATAAAGTGTCACCATTTCATTTTTTGTCATAACTACCTGCATACTAGGTGGTTAAAGGACCACTATAGTGTTAATAGGTCCCCCCCACCCTCATGGCCCCCTCCTGCCGGGCTCAAGGGGGGGGAAAGACAAAATAGTCCCTACTTTTTCTTATGTTTTAAAGAAAACTAGAGTAGACAGGAAGAAATGAAGAACAGATCTTGAGAGAGGGAGAGAAGAGGAAGCGATTGGGGAAAGGTAAGTTCGGCATGACCGGTCCGCTTTAAAGGAACACTATAGCATTGGGAATACAAAACTGTATTCTTAACACTATAGTGTCAACCCATTCTACCTGGTCATTTGAGGTTAAAAACCCTTTGAGCACTTGCCTCGTTCGAGTCTCCTACAGCGACGGCACGCCAATGGAGGAACCCAATGCGCATGCGCTGTGCATGCGTTCGAGCATCCCCAGAGGAAAAAAATGTAATGAATGCTTTACTAGGAAAATTTTGGAGATGCTGGATGTCCTTATGCAAATTGTGAGTTTAAACTACTACATTCCTAGTGGGTGGTGATTTTAGGAGTTATATAAGGGTTGTGGTCATTAGCGTGGCTGCTACATCTAAGTGCTGCTTCAAAGTGTGTTACTGGAGATATTCTGGAGATAAACTGGAGGTAATCTGAGGTATTCAGGAGGACAAAAAAAATTAAAGATTTGTTTGATTTAAATTATTCACCTCATTAAAATGGCAGACTTAGTTCAGTGTAATAGTTGTTATGCATTTGTTTCACGTTCCACTTTTTAGAGATCTGGATGCTGTCTAATCTGTAGACAGTTCTCTCTATTGCGTCAGGAGATTGTATTTTTGAAGTCTGAGATTTGTAAATTATCTGGTAAACAAACTCAGGCTGGAACTACTGCAAAGCCACGGCCGCTGAGATGTACTAGGAATGGCAGATGTATTACTGTAGGATCTGGTAGACTTATTGCAGAGTCTGTTGCTCTACATAATTAATTTTCAGCACTTTCAGAGTGTAATGGTGTTATGGAGACAGGCTCAGGCACTGAGGGTAGTGGTGTTGTGGAGACAGGCTCAAGCACCAAGTGTAGTGGTATTATGGTGACCGGCTTAAAGACTATGGTGAGGCCTAAAAGAAAGCAGTTGTTGTTGGGGGATTCTATCATAAGAGGTGTGGATATGGACAATGGTGGTTGTGATGGACCCCCTGGCACTCCGACCGAGTACCTCCGCCAATCGATGCTTCTAATGCTAGCCGAGGACTCCAAGCACTCCGACACCATCAGCACTGCATGGTGCATGAGCCAAGGCTTCAAGCAGGTCTGTTTAATGAGCACACAAAAGCAACAGCACTCATGCAGCAAAACAACTCCTCCTCAGAGGAAAACAAAATGACAGTTAAGTTCAGTCAGTGTTTGAATATATAACAGTTATTGGAAGTTGCAGAACTGTGCCAGTACCATTTAAAGGGCCAGAACAGTCTTTTAAAACACCAATAAGTCCAAATGGTGTTTCTAACGGGCAAAATCTCCCAGGGACCACAGTCATATGGCAAGAGGCTGGTAATTAGTCCTCTCCGGGCACAAGTGGCGAAGGGCACTTCGTCACACAGGTCTTGTGAGGTGTCTTCCCGGAGTAACTGCTCACAGAGACAGGAGACGTATTTGTAATATTGTTAAGAGAGCAAAGCAGGAAGGGGAATTGGATGTACTTGTCCATCTAGGGACATATGACTTGGCTTGCAATGAGGTTTCAGAGGTAAAGGAAGTTTTTTTGTGTTTTTGCCAATGATATACGGCAGGTTGCTTCCACACGGTCATTCTCTGAAGTTCTGCCTGTGCATAACACTCAGAATGGCAGGCGGATGCGTATTAGGGACTTTAATTTGTGGCTTGGTGAATGGTGTCGGGAGCAAGGATTTGGCTTAATTTCTTATGGAAGCTCTGTTTGGAATGAAAATAAATTGTAGAAAAAAGATGGTTTACATCTTTCTCAAAAGGGAACAAATGTTCTCAGGGAGCAGTTCAGAGGTTTTGCTAGGATGTATTTAAACTAGGAGGGGGGGCAAAAGGGTGATAAAACATCAATCCAATTGTCCCCAAAACAAGGACAGAAGGTGCCTGTAGCAAGTGTGTTAAAAAATGATTAGTCTACAAATGCTCGCAGTTTAGGGAGTAAGATTCATGAACTTGTGGCTATAATGGCAACTGATAATGGAGATTTAGTCGCTGTTACAAAGACATGGTACAATGAGAAAAATGACTGGGACATAGCAATACCAGGGTACTCTTTATATAGAAAAGACAGAGAAGGCAAGAAAGGGGGATGGGTGGCCCTGTATGTAAAGGATAGCATAAAATCTGGCCTAATAAAAGTTAGTGAGACAAACATAGAGTCCGTTTGGGTTACGTTAGAATTTGGTAATCGCACAGTAACTCGTGTAGGTGTGATTTATAGGCACCCAGGACAAATAGAAGAGTTAGATAATCTACTAGTTGTGGAAATAGCTAAAATGACAATGAAGGGGGAAGTTATCATGGGTGACTTTAATCTTCCTGATGTGAATTTGGAAAGCCAAAATAGCGATTTGTGACAGGAGAACACATATTCTAAACTCCCTATTGGGATTGTCTCTAAAACAAGTCGTTGAGGAGCCAACTCGTAAAAAGGCCATACTAGATTTAGTGTTAACAAATGGAGATTTGGTATCAGATATTAGTGTAGTGTAGGTGAAAGTTTAGGATCCAATGATCATCAGTCAGTGTGGTTTAATATAAGAACAGTGCCTGAGTCACACCACACAAAAACAAAAGTTTTAGACTTTAGAAAAGCAGACTTATCTAAAATTAGAATGTGTCATTATCAGACTGGAGCAATTTAAATGGAGTCCAAGAGAAATGGGATATTTAAGTTACACTGCTGAAGGCAACAGAAAATTGCATTAGGTTTGTCAGTAAATGCAAAAAATTCAAGAAACCACTGTGGTACTCCGCAGATGTGGCCAATATAGTAAAAACTAAAAGTTAGCATTTAGTAATTATAAAAAAAAAAGCAGAGTGAAGAAGACAGAATGATCTATAAGATTAGGCAGAAAGAGGCTAAGCAAGTTATAAGAGCTTCCAAATAAAACACAGAAGAGAAAATAGCACAGTCAGTAAAAAAAGGGGACAGAACATTTTTTTAGATGCATAAATGAGAAAAGGAAAGTAAAACAAGGATTAGTTAGATTAAAAACAAAAGAAGGAAGGTATGTAGAAGAGGATAAAGGTCTAGCTGACTGCCTCAATTAATATTTTTTGTTCAATATTTACACATGAAAATGAAGGAAAGGGGCCTCAGTTAGGAAAAAGGACAAATGAGTAATTTGTTACATGTGAGTTTACAGAGGAAGAGGTTCTATTTCAACTGTAAAAAGTAAAGACAAATAAGTCAATGGGACCTGATGGAATACACCCAAAGTAATTAAAAAAGCTTAGTGGTGTACTAGCAAAACCATTAACATATTTATTTAACCAATCATTGTTAACAGGAGTAGTCCCAGAAGTTTGGAAGTTAGCAAATGTTGTGCCCATTCACAAGAAAGGTAGTAGGGAGGAGTCAGGCAACTATAGGCCAGTAAGCCTTACTTCAGTAGTGGGGAAAGTAATGGAAACCATGTTAAAGATAGGATTGTTGAACATCTAAATTCACATGAATTTCAGGATCAGAGACAACATGGGTTTACTTCAGGGAGATCATGCCAAACTAATCTTATTGATTTTTTTGTTTGGGTAACTAAAATAATAGATCAGGATGGTGCAGTAGACATAGCTTACCTAGATTTCTGTAAGGCTTTTGACACTGTCGCAAATGGAAGGCTTGTCAATAAACTGCAATCTTTAAGTTTGGATTCAAATGTTGCTGAATGGATAAGGCAGTGGATGATGACAGGCAACCGAGGGTTGTAATAAATGGAGTATATTTGAAGCATGGGCTTGTCACCAGTGGGGTACCTAAGGGATCTGTACTTGGACCCATTCTCTTTAATATTTTTATAAGGGATATTGCAGAAGGTCTAAATGGTAAGGTATGTCTTTTTGCTGAAGATACTAATATATGTAATAGGGTTGATATTCCAGGAGGGATAAGCCAAATGGCAAATGATTAGGTAAACTAGAAAAATGGTCAGAGCTGTGGCAACTGACATTTAATGTGGATAAGATAATGCATTTTGGACGTAAAAACCCAAGGGCAGAGTACAGAATATTTGATAGAGTCCTAACTTCAACATCTGAGGAAATGGATTTAGTGGTGATTATTTCTGATGTCTTAAAGATAGGCAGACAAGATAGGCTCATGCCATTGTACAGAACACTGGTGAGAACACTTGGAGTATTGCACGCAGTACTGGAGACCGTATTGATACTTTAGAGAGAGTTCAGAGAAGGGCTACTAAACTGGTTCATGGATTGCAGGATAAAACTTACATGGAAAGGTTAAAGGATCTTAACATGTATAGCTTGGAGGAAAGATGAGACGGTGGGATATGATAGAAACATTTAAATGCATAAAGGGGATCAACACAGTAAAGGAGGAGACTATATTTAAAATAAGAAAAACTACCAAAACAAGAGGACATAGTCTTGAATTAGAGGGGCAAAGGTTTCAAAATAATATCAGGAAGTATTACTTTACTGAGAGAGTAGTGGATGCATGGAATAGCCTTCCAGATGAAGTGGTAGAGGTTAACACAGTAGAGGAGTTTAAGCATTTGTTGGATAGGCATAAGGCTATCCTAACTATAAGATAAGGTCAGGGACTAATGAAAGTATTTAGAAAATTGGGCAGACTAGATAGGCCAAATGGTTCTTATCTGCCGTCACATTCTAGATTTCTGTTAGAATGCAGGAACCTGTAAGCATCAAAACAGCTGTAGCTTAAAGGAACACTCCAGACCCCAAAAGCACTTAATTTGCTGAAACGTTTTGTGTGTGTGAAGAGTTTTTATTTTTTTCATTTTCTCAAAAGAGCAGAATTTGACACTTGCATAAATTAACCTGGCTAAACCCCCCTTGGCTTTCAAGCAGACAACCAGTCCTGTTACTTCCTGGTTTGGCAAGCGAAAGTCAACAGGCAGACAATTGCTAATAGTACCTGCCTTGCAAAGACTTCTTATTGATCTGCATTGGGAAGTCTATGATTGGACGGCACTAGAAGCGGAGGGCAGCTGGCAAGAGAACTGCAGCTTTTGCAAGCTATTTTTAAATATACCCCCAATGAATAAAATGCATACTCAAATAATGCAAGTTTTAATTTGGGGTATATCTTCTAAACAGTGTTTTCTAAATTTATTTTGTATTTGGGCAGAGGAGTGTCCTTTTAATGGAGTGGTTTTGTTGTATAGATCATGCCCATGCAGTCTCCCTGCTATCTGCCATTTAGGAGTTAAATAACTTGTTTATGCAGCCTTAGTCAGACCTCTACTGCACGTCATTTACATGGTTAACATTTCTTGTTAAGAGAGAGAAAATGTTTAAACTTAATTTATTGCAAAGATTGTTTAATTTAGAATTTCTTATTGCCTGGAGCAACCTTCTGTGTGTAATTAAAGTTCAATTAACAGAATAGGAGATAAACTTCTCAAGTAAACACACTATACTGTCACATCTGGTTGGAAATTAAACCTTTTTTTTTTTTTTTTTTTTTGAGAATGTGTGAGTCACGGGGAGGTGTGCCTGGGCTGCATAAACAGAAGCAAGGGATTAAACTACTTTTAAAGGGCAGTAAGATTTGCACTGAGACTGCATGGGCATGGTGTATACACTAAAACAGCTTCATTAAGCTAACATTGTTTTGGTGGTTGGAGTATCCCTTAAATTTTGCCTGATGAGGTGGCGGATGGTCTCCTCAGGGATCTCCTCCCAGACCTGGACTAAAGCATCTGCCAACTCCTGGATAGTCGGTGCAACATGATGTTGGTGGATGGAGCGAGACCTGATGTTCCAGATGTGCTCAATTGGATTCAGGTCTGGGGAACGGGCGGGCCAGTCCATAGCATCAATGCCTTCAACTTGCAGGAACTGCTGACACACTCCAGCCACATGAGGTCTAGCATTGTCTTACAATAGGAGGAACCCAGGGCCAACCGCACAAGCATATGGTCTCCCAAGGGGTCTGAGGATCTCATCTCGGTACCTAATGGCAGTCATGCTACCTCTGGCAAGCACATGGAGGGCTGTGCGGCTCCCCAAAGAAATGCCACCCCACACCATTACTGACCCACTGCCAAACTGGTAATGCTGGAGGATGTTGCAGGCAGCAGAACGTTCTCCACGGCGTCTCCAGACACGGTCACGTCTGTCACATGTGCTCAGTGTGAACCTGCTTTCATCTGTGAAGAGCACAAGGCACCAGTGGCGAATTTGCCAATCTTGGTGTTCTCTGGCAAATGCCAAATGTCCTGCACGGCGTTGGGTTATAAGCACAACCCCCACCTGTGGACGTCGGGCCCTCATACCACCCTCATGCAGTCTGTTTCTGACCGTTTGAGCAGACACATGCACAGGTCATTTTGCAGGGCTCTGGCAGTGCTCCTCCTGTTCCTCCTTGCACAAAGGCGGAGTTAGCGGTCCTGCTGCTGGGTTGTTGCCCTCCTACGGCTTCCTCCACTTCTCCTGATATACTGGCCTGTCTCCTGGTAGCGCCTCCATGCTCTGGACACTACGCTGACAGACACAGCAAACCTTCTTGCCACAGCTCGCATTGATGTGCCATCCTGGATGAGCTGCACTACCTGAGCCACTTGTGTGGGTTGTAAACTCCGTCTCATGCTACCACTAGAGTGAAAGCACCACCAGCATTCACAAGTGACCAAAACATCAGCCAAGAAGCATAGGAACTGAGAAGTGGTCGGTGGTCACCTCCTGTAGAACCACTCCTTTATTGGGGGTATCTTGCTAATTGCCTATAATTTCCACCTGTTGTCTATTCCATTTGCACAGCATGTGAAATTGATTGTCACTCAGTGTTGCTTTCTAAGTGGACAGTTTGATTTCACAAAAGTGTGATTGACTTGGAGTTACATTTTGTTAAGTGTTCCATTTATTTTTTGGAGCAGTGTTAATATCATATATACAGTATCTCACAAAAGTGAGTACACCCCTCACATTTTTGTAAATATTTTCTTATATCTTTTCATGTGACAATACTGAAGAAATGACACTCTGCTAAAATGTGAAGTAGTAAGTGTACAGCCTGTATAACAGAATAAATTTCCTGTCCCCTCAAAATAACTCAACACACGGCCATTAATGTCTAAACTGTTGAAACAATCAACGTTTCAGTTCATATCTCGAGCTTTCATCAAGCCAACATCTTCCTCAGCCTAATCCCCCTTGGCTAATATCACTCCCCCTGACCAGAAGGGGGGAAGGAGGATTAAGTCAGGGAGAACAGACTGAGGGGAGTTACACCACCCAGAGCAATGGGGATAATCTCTGTGCAATTTTTCAAAGTGAAATGCTGCACATACAGACTCAATGCACCATGACCACTGCAAACCACTAAACTGGTCATTGTGCTTGATGTAACCTTTTAAGCATATACCCCAATTGTCTTTCACTTTGTAAAGGAATTACAAATTTATGAACAAAATAACTTAATCTGGGCAGAGCGTATGTAGGTATGTTATTTCTCCCTATACTATACGCAAGCAACTTTTATGCACCAGCCATACTAAACTCCAAACCATATTCTCCCACGCCAATATCCATCGGCAGATTTATTTATCATCCCATATCAATATATGCCTCTATTTTGGGTGTTCTGGCCTCTCAAACTAAACACTCTTCCCTAGACTATGCATTCCTTGTGCTATTCAAATTCAACAGTCGTCACTGTCCTTGCTGTAACTATCCACTACTCTATTTGATGGGATCTACTGAAGTAAAAAGTTGGGTAATGCTGTTATATCCCTGCACTGAACCTCTGTAAGGCCAAAGGATAGATGACAGGCCTCAGTATGATTTGTGAAGAGGAGAGAAATTTCATGTCTTTCGGCAACCTGTGCCTGTTCCTTTAGAAAGCACAACCCTTCCCTCTAACTTGCATGTATTATTTCATTGATCATAAGCTATTAATCTTAAAGTGATCATTGGACTTGGGTAATGATTGAATGATGGAAGGGTGTTGGTAAACTATTAACTCAGCATGTAATTAAACTTAAAGGAACACTATAGTGTTCCTCTGTCTCCGCTGTCCCACCCCATCATACCTGATTTATCACCGCAATGTCATGGCAAAGGAGGTGTTAATGCGCATGCGCAGTGAGTGCCACTTGCACATTACGGCGTTCCCCATAGGAAATCATTGAATCAGTGTTTTCCTATGTGGATTTTCAAGATGCTGAACATCCTCATGCAAGATAAATTTACTGGCGTGAAGACATTTTCCGTCTTCTCACGGAGTTAAACTCTGCGTGAATCATGGAAGCGCCTCGAAGAGGCTGACTTAACTATGCAATGTAAACATTGCAGTTTCTATAAAACTACAATGTTTTACATTTCAGGGTTGAGGGAACAGGGGCAGGGGCGTATTAGCCGCGAGGCAAACAAGGCATTTGCCTTGGGCGGCATTTTTCAGGGGGCGGCAAAAAATGCCGCCCCCCAAATGCCCAGGGCAAATGCCTAGTTAGCCTTGCGGCTAACTGACATCCCGAGCGGGCGGCGCTGGCAGGCGGGCGGCTGGCGAGGGAGCTCTTCCTATGAGCTGACTGCTCAGCTCCCTGCCGCGCCCAGAGTGAGGCTGGGAGCGAGGAAGATGGCGTCATCTTCCGACAGCCAGCCTTACTCACTGGCCGGCGAGGGAGCTAACCAGAAACTCACTCAAAAAAGCTCGCTCCCTCGCCGCTCCTTTTCCTCAACCACTGGACCACCAGGGAGAGAGACTCCCCTCCCAGCACTCCCAAAGGTAAGGAGGTTGGGGGGGATTTAAATTTAAAAAAAAAGTTAATGTGTGTGTGTGTGTCTGACTGTGTTTGTGTATGTGTCTGTGTGTCTGTGTCTGACTGTCTGTGTTTGTGTCTGACTGTGTGTGTGTATGTCTGATGTGTGTGTTTGTGTCTGTGTGTGTGTCTGACTGTGTGTGTGTGTTTGTGTCTGTGTGTTGTGTTGGGCTGTGTGTTTGTGTGTGTGTGTGTGTGTGTGTGTATGTGTCTGACTGTGTGTGTGTGTGTATGTGTCTGTTTGTTTGTGTGTTTGTGTTTGTGTCTGACTGTGTGTGTGTGTGTGTGTCTGACTGTGTGTGTGTGTGTGTGTGTTTGTGTCTGACTGTGTGTTTGTGTCTGACTGTGTGTTTGTGTCTGACTGTGTGTGTGTGTGTGTTTGTGTCTGACTGTGTGTGTGTGTGTGTGTATTTAGAAGGTGGGGCGGGGGCAGGGGGGCGCCTGAGTTTTGTCCTGCCTAGGGCAGCACAAAACCAGGATACACCACTGAACAGGGGTCCTGCACCCAGACCACTTCAGTGAGATGAAGTGGTCTGGTTGCCTATTGTGTTACTTTAATAAATGGGATTTCCAAATGTGATTAAGTTTCAAAAAAATAATAATAATTAAAAAAGAAATATATAATTTACTGTTTAATAATGACTGGGTAGGCACTGGGCGGGCTGTGCTTCAAAGTATTGCACATGGCAACTGATGAAGAGTTTCAGATGTCCTTTTATTTATAGATAACTTAGGATAGGTTTTACAATGACCACTTGGAGATTACCAAGCCTTCATGCCTTTTCTGAATTGTGGTTATTACTCATTAACTGATGTAAACCACACCTCCATTATCCTATCTGAACTAGCCTAATCTCATTGAAACCTTCAGCACATGAGTTTACACAAGGAGTGGTCTTTATAACAAGATAGTCAAGAATCATTTCAAAGAACCCTTGAGATTCAGGAATTACTGGAAAGGTCTAATGCAGCAATACCTTATTGTGATTGTAGCCAATGGCAGAATGTAATCTTTGTATCTGAAATGAAATAAATATTTGTGTATAGTAGTCTTTTTTTTTTTTATCATTTGTTAATGGCAAGGAAAGATGTGCCATACCTTTTAATCTTGTTAGAGAAGATTTGCCCCATAATACAAATCATTCAAAATGTTTTGTTTTATCTCAATTGTTTCCATAGAGCACATTTTAATTACATCCCTTTAGTGCCTTTACTGGTAATTAAACATTATACTATAAAAACATAATGTGTCACTTTATAATTACAGGAGTATGAACATTTCAAAAATATCTACTTGTTAAATGAACTAAAGTGGTTGCTAAATTTTCTTGTCCATTATGATAAATTACTTGACCTGACACGCAAACTAATGTCAGAGTGCCCTTGCCTAGAACGCCGGACATTGACTAAACTTCGTGTTTTAGCAAGTTTAAGGGACGCTTCGAGCACCAATACAATTTTAATGGATATGATTGATTTTGGCCTCATTAATATGCTTTATTTTTTGCATGCTCAAATCTTTATAGTTTTTGCACACAAAAAAAATGATTAGAATTGACAATCTCCTATGGGGAAAGCATTATGATTGGCTGAGATCATCAGTTTAGATGATGTCAGCCAAGGATGCGGAGCCAGCGCAGTGCTTGAAATAAGATTAGTTTTTACTAGCTTTAAGTTAGCTAAATAGTTAGTTCAACACTATAGGGTCAGGCATATGTTATCGTAGCGATCCCTCTTCTTAACCTCTGGGAAAAGAGGGATAGCCATGATGTGGTAATTATGCAAGTAGGACCGTATACTTGTTTTTTTTCACAATACACATTAATAAGGGGAGTAACTATTTATTTAATTTTTTTTCATTTCTGCGACATCGGTGGGGAGCCACATGTTTTTTGTACTTTAGTGTGTCCCTGGATTTGCAGACAGATACTGGCTGGCATACAGGTTGGTTTGTGCAGCCATCACTCAAATATGTTGACCGACATAAATACCATCAACTAGTTCTCTGGCTCACAAGCATCTGCTGTTGTGATGCCAGGTGTAACTGTGTATAAGGGTACTTTAAGGGTAAAGTTTGGGAGTACTCCGCTTTCCTCTTGCACTGCGGAACTTCCTAAGCATATTCTTGTAGATGGGGCTCCATCACTGGAGGACTCTACTAAGGGCCAGAATGGCGTTGGCCTCCTCCACTGTATAATAGTTTAATTGGGTTGTCATGCAGACTCCCACTAGGCAATTCAACTGCTTTGCAAGTAGACAGGTTGGATGGCTATGCCACCCTAACGGCATTAAAGCCCACCTATTGTAGGACTGCACAGGACTCTCTAATGTCGGGAATGGGTTAAACATGCACTTTGCTCCCAACCTGCTTTTTTTTTTGTAGAGGTAGATGAATTTGTAGATTTCTATTTGTTTATTTTCCCCTTGGCTCACTTTACTTTATTGTTTGATTTCCTCATTATGGCATATGTTATTCAACTCCCACATGCTAGTTTATATGTTAATCATGCCAATACCTTGTATTTTTATCACAAATCTTATTGTACTTACACACACTAACAGATGCATATTTGATGCCAAAATTGAGCTGTCTTGCCAGAAAATAGTGTTAAGGTTGCCAGTATCTCATATTAAAATATATCTCATAAATAAATATATCCTTTTGAAGTCTATTGTGTTTGTCTATTTGCTGGAGAGGTATGGCAACTTTTCGCCTGGGGCAAGTTCAAATGAATTAAATTTTTTGTGCACAAAACACAAGTCGCAAGAGAGTGCTGAGAATGGACAACAGCTCAATTAGCTTGCTCTTCGGTGGGTTCCCTCTCAGTTCTCAAGCTGGGTTTAGCTCATCTTGTGCCATTACAGAGCGAACCAGGCTATGCATATCAGACTGATTCCACCCAAAAGGGAAGAACAGATCCAAAATACTGGCCAGCTCTCTCTGCATAAGAGATACAGCAACCCCAGATTTCAACCTTGTTAGGCATCATCACTGAAGTATAGCCAATACCACTCTAGGCACCGTGAGCAAGGGATCCACGTCTGGATTACCCTTTAAACTTAAAGAGAGCAAAAAACAAGTCGCAAGAGAGTGCTGAGAACGAACAACAGCTCAATTAGCTTGCCCTTCGGTGGGTTCCCGCTCGGTTCTCAAGCTGGTTTTAGCTCATCTTGTGCCATTACAGAGGTTGTGCACAAACCTCATGATTCCCTGCGATCCTTGGAAATATCCCAGTGGGCCAGTCATGGCCTGTTGGCCTTTAGCCTAATGTCAAACCTCAGTGCTGGGCTAGGAAAGGCTCTGTACATTTCCTGCCTGCTGCCTAGCTCCTACAGTACTCTGCAATTTGGCATTCCAGTGCACCTCCGGTTGCATTTTTTAATGACCGTTTTTTATTGAATTTTTACAAAATAAACAATATAAACATTGCAGACATTCACACATAAAAATACAAAATACATATTAACTTAATATTTTTAGTATTATGTTTACTTATCCAGTATATTTAACAATATATGTACTAACCTGTATTAATGAGGTTGGAAATATAAAATTAAACATGTTCATTCCACACTGCTTTATTTAGATCCATACTGAAACTGAGCATCTCCACCTTGTATATCTGTCAGTTGTTATAGGCTCTCCCTTTTGCACAATATAGAAATGTTTTTCACTACTCCAATGCCTTGTGTGCCCTGGCTGTGCCTGGATTCAATTGAGTTAAGAGATAATTAGCTAAATCTCTAGTAGATGTTAAAATGAACACTCCGGCCCCATCACCACATTAAGGGTAGGGTACATTTAGGGTTAATGTTTAGGGTAAGATCAGTGCTGCCATCAGGGCATGACAAACATGACGGTTTTAATGGGTGCCCTTACTGCTCTGGGAGTTCCGGCCTCACATTCCCTATGTGCACATATTTATAGTGATATTTTCTCTCTATCTATATGTATGTATGTATGTGCGTTTGTGTGTGTATCTGAAGGCCCCCCGCACCCTGTTCACAGCAGACAGGGCTCAGCTGACTTGGTTTTCACTTCCCAGCAGCTCCTCTGTCTCTAACTATCGTGACCCCCGGGCCATCAGAGCATTGCCACGGCTTACCATGGCAACACTCCGCGCGGCAGGCAGGCCGTTCTCACAAGAGTTAGAGACAGGGGAGCTGCTGGGAAGTGAAGACAGTTTGCTGGGCCCCCTCTGCTGTGAACAGTGTCCACAGTGACCACCAGGGAATGCGATCTCCCTGGCCAGGTAAGAAGCAGGAAGGTGGGACTAAAACAAAATGTTGTTTTAAAGATGTGTTTAAAAAAAAAAAAAAAAAGCTCTCCCCCTCACTAATTGCAGCCCCTATTATACACAGGCTACATGCCTACAGAAACTCACACTCTGCAGCCCGTGACTATACCCCTTTAAAAATGGCAACCGCAATTAGTGCTGGGAGGAAGTGACGGCCGGTCACTTCTTCCCAGCTTACTCCATGCGGGAGGGAGGAGAGACAGAGCAGACGCCATGCACCCAAAAGGTAAGAAACAGTAGGGTAGATGAAAAAAATGTTTGTGTATGTATGTTGTATGTCAGTATGTACAGTGAGGGAAAAAAAGTATTTGACACCCTGCTGATTTTGAACGTTTGCCCACTAAAAAAGGAACGATTAGTCTACTTGAGCCACTCCTTTGTTGCCTTGGCTGTGTTTTTTGGGTCATTGTCATGCTGGAATAGCCATCCACCAACCATTTTTAATTCACTGGCTGAGGGAAGGAGGTTCTCACCCAAGATTTGACGGTACATGGCCCCGTCCATCGTCCCTTTGATGCGGTGCAGTTGTCCTGTCCCCTTAGCAGAAAAACACCCCAAAGCATAATGTTTCCACATCCATGTTTGATGGTGTTCTTGGGGTCATAGGCAGCATTCCTCCTCCTCCAAAGGCGAGTTGAGTTGATTCCAAAGAGCTCGATTTTGGTCTCCTCTGACCACAACACTTTCACCCAGTTCTCTGAATCATTCAGATGTTCATTGGCAAAACGTCAGACGGGCCTGTGCATGGGCTTTCTTGAGCAGGGGGACCTTGCGGGTGCTGCAGGATTTCAGTCCTTCGCGGCGTAGTGTGTTACCAATTGTTTTCTTGGTGACTGTGGTCCCAGCTCCCTTGAGATCATTAACAAGATCCTCCCGTGTAGTTCTGGGCTGATTACTCACCTTTCTCATGATCACTGAAACTCCACGAGGTGAGATCTTGCATGGAACACCAGACCGAGGGAGACTGACCGTTATTTAGCGTTTCTTCCTTTTGCGAATAATCGCACCAACTGCTGTCACCTTCTCACCAAGCTGCTTAAAGGACCACTCTAGGCACCCAGACCACTTCAGCTTAATGAAGTGGTCTGGGTGCCAGGTCCTTCTAGGGTTAACCCATTTTTTCATAATTATAGCAGTTTCAGAGAAACTGCTATAATTATGAATGGGTTAAGCCTTCCCCCTAATCCTCTAGTAGCTGTCTCATTGACAGCCACTAGAGGCGCTTGCGTGCTTCTCACTGTGATTTTTCACAGTGAGAGCACGCCAGCGTCCATAGGAAAGCATTGTAAATGCTTTCCTATGAGACCGGCTGAATGCGCGCGCAGCTCTTGCCGCGCGTGCGCATTCAGCCGGCGGGGCGTAACGGAGGCGGAGAGGAGGAGGAGAGCTCTCCGCCCAGCGCTGGAAAAAGGTAAGTTTTTACCCCTTTCCCCTTCCAGAGCCGGGCGGGAGGGGGTCCCTGAGGGTGGGGGCACCCTCAGGGCACTATAGTGCCAGGAAAACGAGTATGTTTTCCTGGCACTATAGTGGTCCTTTAACGATGGTCTTTAGCCCATTCCAGCTTTGTGTAGGTCTACAGTCTTGTTCCTTTAAGAGATTGCTCCTAATCTCAGCTCGTTACCTGTATAAAAGACATCTGGGAGCCAGAAATCTTGCTGATTGATAGGGGATAAAATATGTATTTCACTCATTGACATGCAAATCAAGTGATAACTTATTTGACATGCGTTTTACTGGATTTTTTTGTTTTGTTATTCTTTCTCTCACTGTTAAAATACAGCTACCATTTAAAATTATAGACTGATCATTTCTTTGTCAGTGGGAAACGTTCAAAATCAGCAGGGGATCAAATACTTTTTTTCCCTCACTGTATGTCAGTATGTATGTATGTATGTGTGTGCCTGTATGTCAGTATGTATGTATGTATGTGTATGTCAGGATGTATGTATGTGTGTGCCTGTATGTCAGTATGTATGTATGTATGTGTATGTCAGGATGTATGTATGTGTGTGTATGTCAGGATGTATGTATGTGTGTCTGTATGTACACATGCACTAACACACACCGTGTCCACGTTACCCACACTGCATCCAATACACAAAAACTTCTTATAGCCACTGTATACACATATGGCATCCTTGTGGGCGGACCTGAAGGTGTGCCCTGAGGGCGGGCTTTGAGGCAGGCCCCTGGGCCCCAGACCAAGTTTTTCTTTATTCTTAAGCCCTTTAATAAAGCAATATATAATATATTAGAGGCACACTATTGGCACCCAGACCACTTAATCTGATTGGTGCAGCATGCCGTTGTACTGCATATGTACACTAGTACTTTCAAGTGAGAAAGTAATGTATTGGCTGAGATCATCAAGATGAATGATATCAGCCAAGGATGGAAAACTGTGCTGCGAGCGAGAAAAGGTAACTAAATTTCACTCTTCAAGCCCTCAAATAGGTGGAAGTGGGCATTACTACAGTTAAATTAAAGCTATCGTGTTAGGTATAGATGTTTTGTATTCCTAATGCTATAGTCGCCCAATAAAAAGAGAAACCCTCAAATTATGGTGGTTAAAAAAGAAAGCACAAATTCTAGGTTTTGTTTTGGTTCAGAAATTGATTCATTGCATCTGTTCTTAAGGGGTTAAATGTTTGCTCTTCTGTTTTGTGGTATACACAAATAGGTTGCCATTTTGAAATGTTTAATATTCAAGAACATTCATTTTTGCAGTATTGCACTGATCATTGCTGATTTGTTTGTTTGGTAACACTTTTGTCAATTTTCCAGGGTGCAGTCCCCAAAGGAAATGCCACTAAGGAATTTATTGAGAGCTTGCAGCTGAAACCAGGGCAAGTGGTTTACAAATGTCCAAAATGCTGTAGTATAAAACCTGATCGTGCTCATCACTGCAGGTAAAGAACTGGTCTGTAAACAAAAAAGAAAAAGTGTTGATTTCATTTGTTTTAGATGAGCAATGTGTTCTTGCATTTTTTTCATTATAAAATGTGATATTACACCTAATAATGCAATGTATAACCTTAATGAAAAATGTTCCTATATTTTGATCTGACCCAAACAATATAATATTGCTATATACTGAGAAGGCCTTTGCACTTGCTGTTAAATGAATGCTCTAAGCACCAAAACAACTTTAGCTTAACAAAGCATTTCTAGTGTATTTTGCAAAGACCTCGGGAATGGACAGATCCAGTGTGGATTAAGTAACAGTAGGAGTTTTACTTACCTCAGGCTGTCCTTTGCAGCCATTAACATTTTCATGTCGGAGGGCCTCTTTGGCTAATCGCACTTCAGTTGTCAGTGAGGGGAATTCTCAGTAGACAAAGCCATTTGTGATGGCTGCAGGAATTTGACAAAAGATGATGACAGAGCTCTGCCTTTTATCAAAATCAGGCTTTACCTGAAGTTATGATATGTCTTATTATATCTTTGGATTGCATTTGAATTTTAATGAATTTCCAATGCTGTCTTAATCAGTATTTCATAAGGATTTAAATTTTCTTTATGAAGTACTGAAAAGTGGCAGGTGTACTTTAAACTGTAGATCTGTCTTTACAGGAAATGTGTAGAGAGAATTTGTAGGTCACATGCAGCGGAAATGTGACTAGTGCTGCACAAACAAAGGGATTTTAACTGCTAAATGGCAGATAATTGGGGAGTTAGACTGCAGGGGTATGTTCTATATACCAAAACCACTCCATTTAGCAAATGTTGTTTTGATGCTGCGTATAGTGTCCCTGTAAATGAACACTTTTTTTTTTTTAAAGCACCATAAGAAGTACAGCACACTGTATTGGTTACGGTGCCAGGAGTGCCTAGACACTCCACCAATATAAAGAGTCTAACCCATTTATAACTGTTTGACTTCTTATCTGGAGTTCAGTCGGAGCCTCTATCTAAAGCCAATGAGCCATGCCTGAGAGTCAGCCTGTGCTAAGAGGGGGCATTCGAAGTTGGTAGTCTGTTATAAAAAGAAAAATCTAGATGTTTAGAAGTAGTAGTGGTGGGCCCATCAAGGGTAAGCCTGCAGGGTAGGGAAAACAAAGGAAGCAACCATGTCGTTAAGAGCATGGCTAGACATATTAATAGTGTAAATAGTCTTGGTCAGTATGCATTTAATTATATTCACTCCGGGCTCGTGTTCATAATTTTGGGATTAGAAATTGGTAGCAATGGTAAGTAGGGTAAATCATTTTCTATCATTGCTGCTCTGTGAGATCTAAGTCTCATTCCCATTTGGATAGGTAGGTAGAAAGTGAGGTGTCTGGTTATTTATTTAGGATTATATATATTTGCACGGCTGCACGTGGGTGTTGGGCCAACCAAGCATTCTCAAAACAACATGCATGTTTGGTGTAGCAGGTGCTATTGTGGACAAGATATGCGTGACAAGATCTGTAGTAAAGTAAGTTTATTCTTTCTCAGTAGTATTTGTCCTGTGATCACATTTTCACCATGTTGTATCTATATATTGTATTTAGAAATTATATCTGGTAGATGTGTGTCCTCTTTTAAAGAATAAATTACCTTATTAGCTTTTTTTCTCATCCCATTCCCAGCGTTTGCAAGCGATGCATCCGGAAGATGGATCATCACTGTCCGTGGGTTAACAACTGTGTGGGGGAGAATAATCAAAAGTTCTTTGTCTTGTTCACAGTGAGTATCTCTTCATTTGCATTTTACATCAGATTTTAGCATGCTGTTTAATGGGAGTACAGTGGTTAAGTGAAAACGTTTTATTCACTTTACAGATACTGGTATACAAACTGTTTGGAGCATGACTTTTCTTATTCACCTTAAAGATACTGGTATACAAACTGTTTGGAGCATATTCCGATATTCTTAAAAAAAATAAAAAATTATTCAGAGTGGACTTGGCTATTCTTTTGTACAGGGGGAAAAAAACCTTGAATCCACAAATACCAGAAATGTATCTTCCACACCTTTGGAAGCTAAGTATCTTCTTAATCAGATTTAACTCACTGACAAGTCAGGCCCCTCAATTCATCTCCTACGTCAAGTGTCTCCTGAAGTCAATGGGGAGTCTGCTCAACGAGAATCAGAGTTGATATGAGAATAGCAAATTTACCAAGAACATCATTAAGCAGCAATTCATCAAATGTTCTAATGACTAGAGTCACAATACACATCTGCCAACTAAGATGAGTTTTCTTTCAAATTACTGTTGTCTGAGAACCAGGTAGGTATGAGATTAATTAGAAAATCCCTCATGATAAGGCTTCTGCTAAATTATAGACTGGTGTGTCCTATTATAGTTAACTGCCAAAGTATGCAGTACATAAGGGTATCCTAGTATTTGTTTACCTTACCTTGTGAAAAAGAGAATTTTATTACCTTTTTATTGTCTTCAAATGATCCTTAAATTCATATGTAGAAGTCAAATTTAGTATATTAATTGTAATGTGCCTTTATTTCCAACAAAACATATAATACAAGGCACAGACATGAACATATGAATGTCTTCCACATCAACATGTCGCACAAAGCAACAACTTTGCCAGATCACAAAAACAGTCCAAAATACAAGAGTGGTGAAGTATTAATTGCTTGTGACTGTTATCCAGTAGTATGGCAAAAATATAATTTAGACACGAGGTTCCGTACATGTCACAACTATTCATAACCATGTAATTCTGACTAAATTAAGGCAAATTTTCTTGAATTAATAACTACATTGAAAATAGTTAAAAATTATGATACTGAACAAAATTATTCTATTGATATATATTTTTTACGTAGCTCTTTTAACTGGTTAATTTTTATGTCGTTTTCAATATGTGTTGTCTGTTTCTTTTTCAGATGTATATAGCCCTAATTTCCTTGCATGCCCTTATCATGGTTGGTGTCCATTTCTTGTATTGTTTTGAAGAGGACTGGACAAGTAAGTGATATATTAAACACAAACTAATGCAAATTAGTCATTATGTTCTTTTTTAAAGAACTAGGCATGTTTGTTTTTTTAAAGGGACACTCCACTGTTCAAATAAAAAATACATAAAAAAAAAAAAAATGTTAGTAGAAATGTCCCCAATGAAAGCTTAACTATGCATTTCAATATATTCTTTGGGGATATACCTATCCATTTGCAAAACATGTTGTTCTCTTGTCTGCAGCCTTTGCAAACCTTCCCATACTTTACCAGCCCAGACTTCCTGTGTCTGTCCAAACACAGACTGTCCAATGCAGTTGAGAAGTCTTTTAAGCAGTTGCTTTGGACAATTGCTGCCTCTTGAGTATAGCTCCATTTAGCTAACCAAACCATGAGGTAGCATGACCTTTTGTCTGCTTGAAAGCCAGGGGTAGTAACCAGGTTAATTGATAAGAGCGACAATTTCTATTGAAAATTGCACTTTATGCAAAGTGAAAAAATAGGGGACACTCTTCACACATTTCAGCTAGTTATAGTGCTTTAGGAGTCTGAAGGGTGCCTTTAAGGGACACCATAGTCACCAGAACAACTACGCTTATTGAATTTGTTCTGGTGAGTAGAATCGTTGCCTTCAGGCTTTTTGCTGTAAACACTGTATTTTCAGAGAAAATGCAGTGTTTACATTACAGCCTAGTGATAACTTCACTGGCCATTCCTCAGATGTCTGTTCGAGATCCTTCCTGGGTCATGGTTGCCTTAAATGCATCCAAACATTCAGTGTCTCCACCCTCTGCATGCAGACACTGAACTTTCCTCATAGAGATTTATTGATTCAATCCATCTTTATGAGGAGATGCTGATTGGCCAGGGCTGTGTTTGAATTGTGCTGGCTCTGCCCCTGATCTGCCTCTGTCAGTCTCAGCCAATCCTATGGGGAAGCATTGTGGTTGGATCAGGCTACCACTTCTGCTGATGTCAGCAGGCAGTGGGCAGGTCTAAAGGAAACAGGCACAAAGCATGCAGCTGCAGACTTGAATACAAGTAAGATTTACTATATTTAGGGAGGCATGAGGGGACCAGGGTGGCTCGATGGTGGTTTTAACCCTATATACATGTTTGTGTTCCTGACCCTATAGTGCTCATTTAATCTATACACCATACTGAGCGCAGGATTTGTTATGCTGTCAGATGTGTTTTGTATTTCACTCACTTTTTTACAGAGTAACTTTTATTTTCCCCATAAATTTATTTTAGGGATCTGGTCAGACAAGAGTGTTGGGTGAGTGTGCTTGTACATGCACACGTATACACATATGAGCTTTGTGTTAATGTCATGACATTTCACCATGCTGATGGTTTCAGTGACCAAGGTGAATCCATGGTGATGGCCAAGGTGATGACATGAACAGTAGTAGTTGTAGTCATGGAGTATAGGTTTCTCTTTGAAAAGACACAGTGCCATGGAAATTTATCATATTTGGAGTTTGTTTTCTAACAATTGGTGATGTATAGTGGGGGTTGGGATTGATCCTTTAAAAGAACACTACGGCATTAGGAAAACAACATATTATTCCTAACTCTATAGTATCCCTGTCCTTATTACATTAGGCCTCCCCCCTCCACCCTGGGTATATACAGAGTTTAAAATAAACTTATTTGTTTCACTTACTTCTTTCCAGCGCCAAGGTCCTTCTTTGTTGACTCTGTCTCCTCCTCCCGCAACGTCTCGCTGGTTAATTCTCTACATTAACACTAGCCTGTCTGTTTTTTTTTTTTTATATCTTTAGAATGTAGTTCATTTTCACCACCAACAACCGTAATCTTGCTCATCCTGCTCTGTTTTGAGGGGTTGCTTTTCCTTATCTTCACTTCAGTGATGTTTGGAACACAGGTACATTCCATCTGCACTGACGAAACGGTGAGTTTATTTTCACTTTTCCTTTATATCTCATCCTCAAGGCTCACATAATGTTTCATTTAACATAGTGTAAAGCATCTCTAGATAGAGTTTAATGTGTCTGCTACTTGAAAACATCTCTTTTCACTCAGCTTTTCCAGTGCACTCATTAGTTACCAGTTGTTGGTGCCAAATGCAAATTGTATATAGTCACAAAGTCATTACAGTATATGCACTTCAGTGGACATAGAGCAAAGGCTTGGGAGTGGAAGTATGTATGCTTTGTATATGTTCTTAGTCTGTATTAACTCCACAAGGACGGATATAATTATCCATGTTTTGTACTAAAACAAAACCTTGAATTTGAGCTGTAGGTTTGTTCTACCATAAATTAATGTCAAAAATGGCTCTTACTTAATATCCAATAACTATATCTAACACAAGATTACATGTGAAGAAAATGTTACAAATGGGAAACAAATTAATTTTTTTTTTCATATTTTTGCTTATAATAATCTTTTACACATCCAGCGCAACTAATTAAAAATAACTCAAAATAGATTAAAATATTTGTAATGATTATTAAATGTCTAGGATCTAAACTGATTTTGGTAGTTAACAACAACTCCTATACCAGCTTCTACACTATCGCCGTACCAATCATACCCCTTACCCACTGTTTACACAAACTCTAACCATAGCCTGCCCTAATCTTACCTTTAACAGTACGCTAACCATAACCCTACTCTAAAACTTACTCTAACCCTACCCTACTCTTACCCCTAAATATAACCTTAACACCAGCACTAACCAGAACCCTAACACTAAAGATAACCTATCATAAAGTCTGGGGCCACTAAAAAGGGCGCCAGCAAAATCAGATGAGTCCCAAGAATCCATTGATTCCTGGAGTTACTAGTGCATCACTGCAGGGTGCGCGAGGAAGCTTAGCAGGAACAGCTCAGAGAACAGCGCTCTGATAAAGACCAGAGCTTGGTAGAGAGACACCAAGAGGGGCTGAGGGGACACAAAGAGAAGGTGAAGACTGGGGAAGGGGAAAAAGAGTCAGATAGAAGCTTTAACTAAACTCATAAGATTTTAGTTGTGTCGATTAAAACAATTCAGATGATTAAAATACGACTAAAACTGTTTTGTAGTCAAAAACGGGTTTGTAGTTAACACTGGGAAACAACACCTTTCCGATTAAAGACTACCTACAATTTGAAAATGGAATGAAACAAGCTCAAAGTGCACTTTTAACGTTTACAGCATATCAGGATTCGTGCATATTATCTGTGGTGTCACTAAAAATGTCCCCAACTGACTAACAGGATCCCTAGGTATTCGTTGATGTCTGGGGTTATTGGTAGTTGCAGGGATTTAACCATGCTCCCAGAATTCATTCTTTTGTTAGATAAGCTGTAATTTAAAAAAAATAATTATTATTTATACACACTGTTTATCATTTTAACTGTTCTTTGAGTTTGTCCAAGTTAGGGCTCTGTTGACAGAAATAGACTTAAACCATTCGTGTCACTCTGGAAACTTTCCACTCCCAAATTAAGGTACATATTGACCGTGTCATGTTTTTATTTTAAATCTACTTTAATTAGGAGAAAAATGTAACAAAATATTCATAAGAATATGTACAAACATAACAACAATAGAGAATACAGCACATTTACATATTTTCCAAATAAACACAAATTTCCAAGTAAACAGAGAACTCGATTTGATGCGTGGAGCCTGTGTCATAAACATAACCTAACTACACCTCACACTCTCCTCATAACACTGATGTGGTCAAAGTGGGGGGGGGAAGGAAAGCATTAAAATAGTAACATTATTAGCTTTTTGTTTCTGATGTGTACACACACATTTAACAGGACACATTAAAAGCTTTTCAACTGGGCCGTTAACTCTTTTATTCTTTACATTGTGTTGCTTGTATGTTTGTTTTAGTAAGGTCATGGTAATTGTTCTATGGAAACTTGATTTTTAAATTAGGACTAGTTTTCCTAAAGCATCTGGGTCAAAAACAGAACAATAAATACATTTACTGGCCTGAACTCACGTTTTAGATACATGCAAGGCAAAAAAAAAAAAAAATGTAAACCAACTTGTAGGGAAAAATACAAAAGAAAATCTTTATTTTTGGATTAAAACGTTTGGCCAGTAAACAATAGAGGAAATGCACCAGACAAATGACACTAACACATTTTGCACCTTTCCATATTGTTATTGTACTCTTACTAGTGGGCTCATATATGCCTTTTTTTTCACATTATGGGAGTATACCAGTCTGATTCATCTTCCTTTGTCCTTATGTAATAACTCATTCCTAGGTATAATCTGTTTATTTATTACTTTATAATTGTTTGAGGTAAGGAACGCAATACAGTAGGAAATACAATTCTTAATCCCTCTCAATGTCCGCAAATGGGAGAATACTATAGTTGTGGCTGATGTCTAGACGTTAATACAGTATCGACAATTTTAACATTTTGGGTGGACACAAATATTTTTAAATAGACTTTAACACCAATTTAGTCTGAAATAACCAGTTTAAACTTGAGATACTCTAAGTAAACACTGCTACTTCTCTGAAAAGGCAGCGTTTTCAGTGATCAGCCTGCAGGGTCATGCTATAGACATCAGAACAACTACATTAAAGGACCACTATAGGCACCCAGACCACTTCAGCTTAATGAAGTGGTCTGGGTGCCAGGTCCAGCTAGGGTTAACCCTTTTTTTTTTTTTATAAACATAGCAGTTTCAGAGAAACTGCTATGTTTATAAATGGGTTAATCCAGCCTCCAGTGGCTCTCTTGACAGCCGCTAGAGGCGCTTGCGTGCTTCTCACTGTGATTTTTACAGTGAGAAGACGCCAGCGTCCATAGGAAAGCATTGTGAATGCTTTCCTATGGACTGGCTGAATGCACGTGCAGCTCCTGCCGCGCATGCGCATTCAGCTGAAGAGGAGGAGAAGAGGGAGGAGAGGAGGAGGAGAGCTCCCCGCCCGGCGCTGGAGAAAGAGGTAAGATCCTCCCCAGAGCCCGGCGGGAGGGGGACCCTGAGGGTGCGAGCACCCTCAGGGCACTACAGTGCCAGGAAAACGAGTATGTTTTCCTGGCATTATAGTGGTCCTTTAAGCTGTAGTGGCTCTGGTGACTATTTATTTATAAAATATTTTATTTTTTTATAAAATATTTTACCAGGAAAGATACATTGAGATTTCTCTCGTTTTCAAGTAGTGTCCCTTTAATATTAATACTGGTATTTAATGCAAATATCCTTATTTAAAAGGTTATGGCAGATAGTCTTCTGAAAGTTTAACATAATAAATTCCATTTATATGTAGGAATAAATGTACAGATTGAAAATATTGTAATTAATCTACTGTTTTTTCTTTATTCAGTTTTATGTAATGTTACTCCTTTGGTTAAATATTTTAAACAAGTATATAATATAAAATATAAGTTATTTAAATAGATTAAGCTATTCAGTGTGTCGGCAATCTACTGTTTGATATTTATCTACATGTTAATGACTGATGATGATATTGACATGATCACAATCACACCTTGTTTTTCATTTTGGCAACAAAAAATTCCATATTTCATTGGTTGTAGAGCCCTCTAGAATATGTTGGCTCTATATAAAAGTTTGCATTCAGCCTTAAAAGGACACGATAGTCAACAGAACAACTTTAGCTGTTTTGATGTATAGATCATGCCCCTGCAGTCTGCTCAGTTCTCTGCCATTTAGGAGTTAAATCACTTTATACAGCCCTAGTCACACCTCCCTGCATGTGACTTGCACAGCCTTCCTAAACACGTTCTGTAAAGAGACATCTAATGTTTACACTTCCTTTATTGTAAATGCTGTTTAATTTAGAGTTTATTTTCTCCTGCTCTTTTAATAGCCTTCTAGAGCCTCCGGTGTGTAGTTAAAGTTCAAATTACAGAGCAGAAGATAAACATTTTTTTAAGTAATTTAATTGAAAATTAAATTATTTTGATAATAATCTTAACAGCCAGGAGAGGTGTGGCTAGGACTCTATGGACAGAAAGAAAAGGGATATAACTCAAAATGGCATCAAACTGAGCAGTGAGACTTCCGAGGCATGATGTATACACAAAAACTGCTTCATTAAGCTAAAGTTATTTTGATGATTATAGTGTCACTTTAAGCAACCAGTAATACATTTAGAAAATGTTGTAAATTAAGTTACACTGGGTTGTGATCAACTTTAAAGTTTTCCTTGTCCATTCACTCTTTGGTGAATACCTGAGGAGACAGCTCTGCTCGGCGAGATTTAATCTCTATTTGAAAACATGCAGTGCAGATAAGGATTTAGCAATTGATTACTTGAACACACATAATTGGAACATGGTATGTTTGTTTTTGTTTATTTTTTTTCCTCTACCTTTCGTTTTCTGAATGTTATTTATTGTGTAAAACTTTTTATGTGTAAAATATATAATTGATATATATATATATCTTATTTTTTTTTTTTTTTTTGTGGACATATGTGTTTAGGTATCTTGAGTCTACATTACTAAAACTTAGCTTAAAGGATCACTATAGTGTCAGGAAAACAAAACTTGCTTTCCTGACACTTTACAACCCTTAGGTCCCCCCCACCCTCCTTTGACGCTGAAGGGGTCAAAACCCCTTCAGTTACTTTAATCCAGCGCCGGGCTCCCTCAGCGCTGTTGACCTCTCCTCCCACCTCGACGTTGGCTCCCGAGTGGAACGGAATGCGCATGTGCATTCAAACAGTCCATAGAAAAGCATTTCTCAATGCGTCACAGAAGCGCCTCTTGCGACTTTCAGGAAGACAGCCACTAGAGGCTGGATTAACCTTGCAATGTAAACATATCAGTTTCTCTGAAACTGCTATGTTTACATCTGAAGGGTTAAAACCTGGGGGACCTGGCACCCAGACCACTTCATTGAGCTGAAGTAGTCTGGGTGACTATAGTGTCTGTTTAATGCAGTTAGACCGAATATGAAATGCTTAAATAGCAAGCTGTGCATGTGCCTATTTTACCTTGTTGGTAATAAAGCTCTGTATGAAATTATGATACCATGTGGATTGCATTTTTGACATTGGTCACAATGATGTGTTTAGCTGCTCTTGGAGTGGGGGAGAGGGGATGTTTTCAAGGTTCCAGACAATAAATCACTATGAATTCCAGTTACTATTACTACTTATTCCATTGGTTTTAGTTGTGATCGCCCTCATGTTAGAACATTAATTTTCCTAGTAGTTTTCTAAATTGTCCCTGCTGTGCCATGTTAGTGTTAGATTTAACTAGCTGCCAGACTTTCTTCTTGTTCCACAATCAAAAGGTTTGATTGTTGATGTCTACAAGTGATTTGCTTCCATCTTAAGCATTTTCTGCAATACTCACCTTTCCATTTCTTCTCATCTATTGAAATACTGTACTAAAATCTGTTTTAACATGTATGTGACAAACTGATCTGTGGTGTTGGTGGCCTAGAATAAGCAATCTGCAATAAAGAAATACAATTTTCGGTGCTCATGGGCTTAGCTTTGTAACATGGTTATCAATAACACTACAGCATTTGATGAGTTTAATAGATTTTGCTCAGGATATTCTAATCTCCCTATATCCTCATCTTCAGCACATTACCCTAGAGCTCTCAGAATCCCAAGCTATCACAGGACATAGTCTGTAAATTAGTTTTGTTCCTGATATTAGTATTATATTGTCCTGCGCACTAAATTCAAAATTAGCCAACACTCTTGACTGCAAGTTATTTTTGTTGATCTTTTTTGTTTTCAGGGAATAGAACAGTTGAAAAAGGAAGAGAGAAGATGGGCTAAAAAAACAAAATGGATGAATCTGAAAGCAGTATTTGGCCATCCGTTCTCTATAGCATGGCTTAGCCCACTCGCCACGCCAGACCAGGGAAAAGCAGACCCCTATCAATATGTGGTCTAAGGAAATCTGTGCCAGCATTGTCTATACCAAAAACACAAAAAAGGCCAGAAACACAACCATTTACCAGCTTGACACTGAATGTTTCATAAAACACTATATTCTTCTTTTTCTTTTTTTTTTTTCTTTTTTTTTTAATTACTGGCTGAAAGATACTGTCGGGAAGAAATCTAACCACCAACATCCAGCAGTTCTGTTTTCTTCCAGTAATCTGGGAGCATTCACTTGATTTCTCTTTTCTCACATCTCTGCATTCTTTGTGACCACGAGAACTAAAAACGTGATTCTCCTGTGCCTCTGCTGCTTCCTGCTCTGCTAACATTACTTTGCTTTTTAAACTGGCCAACAACCTTCGATAGCTGTCTGTGCCAACAAGCCAGGATTTAGTTACGGAGACCTTTTGTATGTGCTTGGTTCTGCCACCACTCCTGGTGAAGGGGAATACATCTTAATAACTAACATCTTCAGAATAGTTTGAATTATTGATAATGCTACCCATAGCAAGGTTTATGAATGTATTTCTTTTTGGATTTTTTTTTTTTTTTTTAAACTTGTAGCATTTTTTAAATTTTACTCCTCATTATAAAATTGTTAGTTGAATGGTTTTCCATCAAAAAAATACTGCATGATTGTCTTGTTGAATATACTGTAATTAGAACCACTTTTTAAAGGAAAATATGTAGCATTTTTATCTGTAGGCTTTTGTTTATTACCTAAAATGCTGCCCATTTCAGAGCCTTAGTTCTTAGGTAAGAAAAGGAAAATAATCCTTGTGCAAGCTTACAAGGTATTTATAGAACCAAATTTACTTTTGGCTGCTCTAATTTGAAGAATATGGAGCAGTGGTGTCTATAGTTCACCCCCTGTACCACAAACAGCCATCTAGGATATATCATTCCTCTCAATGGTTAGGTGCTTCCTATGGCCTATGTTAATGCTGTTTAATCTCTATATGTACATTTTTAATATAGCGGTTTTATATTTATTGACCTAGTTTATAATCTGTGTGTAAAAAAGTGTTTTTAGGGTGCCTTGAGGTTGTTGTGTGGACATGCAAGCCTACTCCTGAAATCACTGTAGCCAAGGCCTGTGTGTAAATATGTTTAATATCATCCCAGAGGCATGCAGTTTGTGCATAAATTATGAGAACTGTTAAATTTGTTGTACTTCTTATAACGTAATCATTAAAGAGCATTCCAGACTGGCACTGATCATACCATGCGCACATTGTAGTAAATGAGATTTAAATAAAATATAATCAAAAAACATAAAGCATAGTGACTAATATCAGAGTAATGTACAAATATCAGTCCACCTTTCTTCATTTGTATCATGTAAACACCACTAAGACCAAGTATAAATAGTGATTCGGAATGTCAAAACTCCAATGGAAAATCATTTTAGTTCAATGTGCATCCAGTAATAGAAAAAGATGAATAGCAAGTGTTGTAGAGATAAGAATAGAGAGATAAGATAGAGAGGTTAGAGAAAAAGAAGTAGGAATAAAGAAGGAAAAGGCAGATTACAATAGGAAATGCCTTATCTAAACAACATTCAGGAATAGTCCTATATGTGCACTGTTTGCTCCATCTGGGCAGCTTAGGAACTAAAATACTATTGCATATAGGCCACAAAATAAAAAAATAAAAAGTCGCCAAATACCCAGCAGTAGGGTGAATTATAAGATAAAAACCCCTGAATATACATGGATATACAAAAAACCTTGTGCTATAGCAATGATATACATTATATGATGCTCACCCACTGCCTTCCTAAAACATGACAGCGATAGGGTCTAGCAACAATGGATCTACAAAACACCATACATTGAAAACAAAAAAAACCTTAACCCCTTAAGGACCAAACTTCTGTAATCAAAGGAAATCATGACATGTCACACATGTCATGTGTCCTTAAGTGGTTAAACAAGAGATGTGCCTGTAGGATGTGCTGCCTCCTACAAAGAAAAAGATGGCGCAGCCCCAGGTAGAGAGCTTATATCAATGTTGGTGGTATAACCACAGGATACTATTACAGAATATTGAGCAAAGGACTATGTCACAAAATTTAGCATAGGGTTAAGATACTTCAGACCACACTTTGTCTATGGCAGTACAGCAGAGACTGCTGATCCAAGTCTCACTCCAGACATGTAGACACACCAGTAGACAGGCAAGAGTGGAGTCTACTGGAATGTGGTAAAAGTTAAATCCACTGTTTTGGGGCTGTGCATGACAAATCTTGAGATCTCTCCGCCAATCCTGGTACATATCTGAAACTTAGCCTTCCATAAATATTAATTCTGCATGACTTTGAATTCTGTTCATCTGTAAAATCACCAAATAAATGGAATATTTTAGTAAGAAAAACCACATTGCTACATAAACATTTAATATGCTCTCTCACTTTTAATTCTAATGGCTTCCATTGTTCACTCTATGTTTAGTCTCTGGTCATGATTGTATTGGGTTACATATTATAGGCACATGTGTAATGTGTAAAACAACAAACAAAAAAGTGTCAGCTTTTTGTAGGAGGGATGCAAATCCTCAGCAATACAGATAATGTTACCTATAATATTTTTTCACCAACCCAACAGTTCTCTCAGTGGGGGTAATAAAATCATGCATTAAATGCTGAAGATTTCTGTTTTACCATAGTGTTGAGTTTGGACACGTGCTCTCCCCTCCTTTTCTGATAGGGTATAGTTGTAAATGTAGTTAGATAGCTGGTACGCTGCCTATACCTGCTCGGCTGCACTCCACCTAAAACAGATTCTCAATTAAGTGGGCTTACAGATGCAGCTTCCCATTATTATTTTTTTATTTATTTTTTTAAACCTGAGCAATATTGAACTAAATAATAACAATATCAACTGGTATTTGGGGCATGTACTGCTGTGAGGCTTTGAGTGGGTGAGGGAAGTATGTTTTGTTTCCTGACACTCAAAAATTGTGTTTTACTCTAAACAATTTTATAATTGTGTTATTCTGCCGACTGTTCTTTTCATTGCAGAAACTTGAAAATAAAAAATGTCTGTATACAGAGAATGTTACTGTACCTCCAATATTATTACGTAATGCGCACATGAAATTCAAAATTAACTGCACATATTATAACTCTAGAAAGCATTGCAGGGACATTTATTTTCTGCTTTTTATAAATTGTATTTGCAATATTACAATGTGTACAGATTTATATCAACATCCATGTAAAGAACTAGACACATTCCATTCACACACTGTTGCTGAATATTATTTGAAATCTATTTTGACAACAAATGTACAATGTATTTTTTCCTCTTTGTTCTGTATTGTGTTTTAAAGGTTTATTTGGGAGGTGCATGTATTGATAAACATGCTGATTTGACAGTCATACTTGAAAAACAACTTACACAAATTGTAACTGTTTAAAAAAGCAAACAAAAAAACCCTAAATTTTATGTTTTATTCTAGAATGTGAATTTCAGTCCACATCTTATGTTACCTCTGTAAATGCTTCCATGTTGAAGGGGAAAAAAAGAGAACCGCAACGCAATAAAAATTTATCATGCAAAAAAAAAGAATTCTATACAAATTGAGCAGTCAAGGCATGCTTTTGTATATATTAAATTAAATAGTGGTGTCATGTGATAGTACATCCTAGAGTTCTGTAAAACAAACAAACTATTATAAACATTTGCAGTGATCTTAGTGATGTCTTCCTTCCATTGTGATCTACCGTTCTTGTCCCTTGGTTCTTTACTGCATGAAAAATATGAACTTGAGCAAGCAAATACATGCATTTGTCACTCACTCCTATTGTATCATTAAGGAACAGGCCTCTTATAGAAGCCATTCCTAGCCTGATGGGAAAATCAGTTGTAAAGTTGTAGATGGTTTACTTTATTACTTTTTTATATATTATTTGTTAGATGTTTAAAAAGACAAAAGAAAATATTTTACATTCCAAGATTTGGAGATTTTTTTTCTTTTGTATGCAAACTGCAAAGAAGAATCGTGGGAAGCAACCAGACATGGTAGCACACTATTTTAGCAAACATTTTGCCATGGAGATTACAGGGAAAACAATGAGCGTTTATAAACTGGGGGCTGCAGCATATGATAGAGACTAGAGGGGGAAAATAGAAAGTACATTTTAAATTAAGACAGTGGGAGAGTGTTGATCATACTGGCTGTCGAAAGAGGCATCCATATGTGCATAAGTGGAGTAAATATAAGAACACAAAATGTCAGTAAAAAAAGGCATATAATGTCTTGGGAAATGAAAACTGATATTTGTATACTAGAAGTTTAAAGATTGTATCCACTTATTGAGTAGGAACTCCAACCATTGTTAATTGTTGTTGGGGGGATGATACTGTAATGGAGGACAGCCGCTCAGGTACAGAAAAAGAAAATCATACATTAGAAGCTGCAGGATTTTCTTAATTGATTTATCAAATGCTAAAAAAAAAAAAAAATTATATGAGCATGATCTCATCTGCTGTCATAAGACACTCTTCTGGGAAGATGTAACACTTGATGTTGAAGTATTGCTGCAAAGGTTAACTTCCCTTTTTAGTTTTCGCAATAAAAAATATTTCAAGGGACACTATAGTCACCAGAACAACAACAGCTTATTGTAATTAATCTGGTGAGTAGAATCATTCCCCTCAGGCTTTTTGCAGTAAACAAAGTGTTTTTAGAGAAAGTGCAGTGTTTACATTATAGCCTATTGATAACTCCACTGGCCACTCCTCAGGTGGCTGTTAGATATGCTTCCTGGGGCAGTGCTACGCATCTGAGGAGATGCTGAATGTCCAGGGCTTGGTTTAACTTGTGCTAGATCTGCCCCTGATCTTCCTCTTTGACCGTCTCATCCAATCCTGTGGGAATGCATTGTGATTTGCACACAGAATCACTTGTGATGATGTCAGCTGTAAGCAGGCTGATCAGGGGCAGAGCCAGCAGCTGCAGAGTTGTATACAAGTAAGATTTTACTATTTTTAGGGATGCAGTGGGGTCCTAGCTGGTGGTTTTAACATTATGGGGTTAGGAATACATGTATTCCTTTCAGACAATTAAAAAATGATTCCTGTCAAGAAGATATGAAAAATAACCTATCACTAACTAACCTGTCACTGGTCGTAATTATACCATCAAATTTTTTGCACAATAACAACACATAATAAAGAGATTGTATATGAATCCATGAACAGCGTTCAACGTAACCTAGAACAACACCAGTAGTCTGTAGTTTTAGAAATAGGTCTGAAACCTTCTTACCCTAGCCAATTATTCATTCTATAAGACTGGAGGGAAAAGACAGTAATTATCAGAGAAAACCTCTGTAATGATGGGGAGAAGAGGAGTGACCTGGACGGGTATTAACTGTGCGAACTGGGATTAGAGTTTGTATTGAGTGATTGGGTGCTTAGTGAATAGAATTTGGTGGAGATTCCAATTTGTATATTGAAAAGTATCATGTGTAGCTTGTTTCCTTTTGGGGGTTTAGGGAATTAATAAATGGCTGCCAGTTATTTGTCAACAATTCCTTATGATTACGAGTTTCCAACCAATTCATGTGGAAAGCATTTTGTAATCTGTTACTGTCATGGTGTAATACCTCAACACGCAGAGTTTAGGATAGCAAAGGCCAAGACAAGGACGTTTTAACGGGCCTTAGAATGGCCGGACTAAACGTACGAGATAAAGTGTAATCCGAGCTGAGGTCAGGATAACAGAGAGCCACCGAAAATGAGAACTTGCCAGAGTCAGGTTCACATTAATCAGTCAGAAAGGCAAGCAAGACAGGTAAGGGTTAAAGATAAACTCAGAGTCAGGAACAAAGCCAAGGTCAATACCAGAATAAACACAATAGATCAAGAAACGCACTAAAGGATACTGAAACCATGATAGGACTAGAATAGTTTAAATAGCATTTAATTAACATTTGATTGTCCCATGTCATGCCTTCGCCCCCTAAACGTGTGTGTGGGCCAATGTGAGCCTGAACTGACTTGTGGCTCCCGATCAGAGCACCCACTGCCCCTTTAAGAGTGGTCAGTGCACACGACCTGCTCAGAAGAGGAGATCGAGCCGCATGTGGCTCGTGTGGAGTATAGTTTTCCTGGCAGCCACTGCCATGACTAGAAGATATTTAGATGTGAGGGACATGGGTGTTTTTATCTTGAATGGCCAAGATGGATAGTAAGGTAGTAGAGTTTGTATTAACACAATCACCAATATGTTTGACTCCCACTCTAGCCCAATGGATATAGACTTCTATTCTAGCCCAATGCATGTAAGGGTAAGCTGCCTGTCTGCATTGCAATAAGAGATTGCAGAAAGGGCATAAACTTTGAACATTGCCATTGAAGACCCAGACGTATTTTGGTCAATTTCCATAATTTGACAGTGATCACCAGGAACCAGTTCTCCCTTACATCTTGAGTTCGGTCCATGTAAGGAGTATGTAAAAATTGTGACAAATAAACATCCTGAGAGAATTGTTAATTTAAGTGGCACTGCGTATACCAATCCTCCCCAGTTTCACCGTTTCACAAATTAATTTTACCAAGAATGCCTGGTCTTTCAAAGGTTCACCTGATAAGGCCATGGCAGTGGACTTATTGAAGTAAAACCCAGCAATTGTGCCATGAGTGTGAAGGACATGCATGGATCTAGTAAATTTTGCGAAATACAGAAGCAAATCACCAGCAAAAGCTGTGACCTTAATGAGTGAGAGCCCACCTGGATGCCTGTAAAATCCTAAAATTTAAGCATTAATTTAATAATGGGATCCAGGCACATATTAAATGAGAGGTATGGGGGCGCAGCCCTCATCCTATATTAGTTGATGTGGAATCCAAAGCATTAGTGGTCACACAAGTAATTAGGCAACTGTAAAGGAACTTAAAATAAAAGACGGGGATCCAAAAAAAAATGTGTTTTTAAGATCTGAAACAAAAGGGGTTAAGCAACCATATCAAATTCCTTATGGAAACCAAGAGTCATAGTTCCAGTCAGCATAGTTTCAGTCTAAAGTGCGCTGTTTATGTTTTACTCAGTAACTGGGTAAGATCTTGCTGCCATTATAGCCACTATTGCACTATGAATTCGCTGTATAGGGTGTTAGCCCCAGACAAAGCCCAACTGTAGGGGTTGCAATATATCTGGCAGGGAGCTATCATTTTTTATTTATTTTTTGCCACTATTTTAGTAAGAGTTTTCAGATCCTGTTTCAAAAGTGTAATGGACCTGTTTGATTCTCCCAGAACAGCAGCCCTATCTGGTTTAAATAGAAGAATAATCTGTGTCTGTATTAGAAATTGAAAAGGAGCTCACCAATGGCATGAGGTGTGTGGGGCCACAGATGGAGGTGAGAATCCCTGGTGATAGGCTCCCTTTTACTCTGCACCCCTTTACCCCAATATTCGCTGTTATCTGTACATGTAATCTTGCTGATGCAAATATCTTGTCGAAAACGACATACATATAAAGATGCATTGATTTAATGCATCTCTATGAGGAGATGCTGATTGAGTCAATGCATTTTATTTTACTTCGGCACTTTGTAACTTCAACACTTTGGAAATTCGGCAATTCAGCTATTCAGACATTCGGAAGTATCCAAATGTCCGATTTGCCCAAAATTCGTCAAAATTGAAATTTGGAACGAAACTAATACTGCACACCATTTAAAATGAATGTCCACGCACATGAGCAGATGTGCACAGAGGGATAGCTTCAGAGGCTTCTTAACAGTGTTCATTTTGTTCTCTAACAATTCTAGCCGACTAAAACGAAAATAATTCAGATGACTAAAACATGACTAAAACTAAAATGGCATTTTAGTTAAAAAAAACTGTGACTAAAACCAAATGGAAATTTGCAGCCAAAATTAACTCTGCACAGAGTGGACGTGGAAGGGGCAAAAGAGACAGATCATAGCTTGGATGAGAGGCACCTAGAGGGGCTTGGAGGACACAAAGAGACACGGAGAAACTGAGAAAGGGACAAAACAAACAGATGCTTTAACTAATCCCATTAGATTTTAGTTGTGTTGACTAAAATCTCCAGTAGATATAGTAAACTAAAACCTAATGGACATTTAGTTGACTAAAACAATTCACATTACTAAAATACAACTAAAACGCCTTTATATTTTAAAGACTATGACTAAAACTAAATTAAAATTTGCAGCCAAAATAAACTCTGAAAGAATCTTCTGGGGAAAGAGGGAAGGGCTTGCATATGCTGTAACGCAACCTATTTTAGCTATATCCACAGTGAATACATGCATAAAAAATACATTATTTTATTCTTCAGGGTTATATGTACTAAAAAAATGAATTTTACCTTGTTTTTTTTAGGTAACTGAGGAGTGTTCCTTTAAAGGATATGTATTCCTAACACCACAGTGCCTGGGCCAGCATTGCTATTGTTACAAAATGCAGTTTACTTGCCTTTTTTATTCTCAGCTCATTGCTGTCCCTGTTGGCGAAACGTTGGGTGTATAGGCTATGCATGTGTCCAGCTCTTAGGGCTTTGAGTAGGTTTTGTTAGGCAACTGTATTTGTATTAATGTATGAAGAATAGCCTCTGTTACTTTTTGGTTCTTTTATTATTTGTATTTCTACATGGTATTTTGTATTGTTTAATTAAGTATTGATTTCTTTGTGAAGGCTTGGTATAGTGCACATCCGTTTTGTGTATATATGTGACTGTTTAGGCACTTTAGGGATTCCTCTATAGGATAGCACCCTTTTGCTATTTATTTATGAGCAACCTTTACCATATCCAGCTGTTATATGTTAAAATTCACTGACATTTGCAGTACAGATCATTCGTCATTCTTCTGAACTTTGACTTATTGAATGGCTGTCTGCTTTATTTTTTACATCTGTTAGACAGGAGCGTGGCTGAAATAACTGACTACACTAATCACAAGCAATGGCTAGATACTTGTCTAAAGGATCACTATAGGGTCAAGAACAAAAACTTGTATTCCTGACCCTATAGCAGGGGTAGGCAACATTCGGCACCCCAGATGTTATGGAATACATCCCCCATAATGCTCTTACAGCTATAGTGCTGGCAAAGCATCATGGGAGGTGTAGTCTAAAACATCTGGCGTGCCGAAGGTTGCCTGTCCCTGCCCTATAGTGTTAAAAACACCATCTAGCCCCCCTGGGCCCATCATATCTCTTTAAATATAGCAAATTTTTACTGTATTCAAGCCTGAAGCTGTAGATCTGCATGCTGTTTGACTCAGAATAGTCAATAGTCAAAACCTGTCTGCTGACATTATCAGAAGTGGTAGCCTGATCCAATCACGATGCTTCCCCATAGGATTTCCCAGACTGACAAGGAGGCAGATCGGGGCAGAGCCAGCATGATTCAAACACAGCCCTGGCCAATTCTCATCTCCTCATAGAGATGAATTGAATCAATGCATCTCTATGATGAAAGTTCAGTGTCTGCATGCAGAGGGAGGAGACACTGAATGTTTGGATGCATTTTAGGCAGCCATGACCCAGGAAGGATCTATAACAGCTATCTGAGGAGTGGCCACTGAAGTTATCATTAGGCTGTAATGTAAATACTGCATTTTCTCTGAAAAGACAGTGTTTACAGCAAAAAGCCTGAAGGTAATGATTCTACTGACCAGAACAAATTCAATAAGCTGTAGTTGTTTTGGTGACTATAGTGTCCTTTAAATAAAAGGTGATTCTTTACATATTCCATAACTTTTTACTAAGGCATTGTTTATTTTATACGCACAGTTGCAATTTTCCCTTGGAACTTAAAGGGTTAAGGTGCTGTACAGAAGAAGAAACTACGTTTGTTTTGCCATATGCAAAATGTTTCCAATCTGTATATTTTTGAATCTGCATGAAAGCCAATCTATCTAAAAAGCAAATGAGCAGGTGCTGAAAGTATCCTTGATTAACAATGTATAATATACTAAACATAAATGGCTGCTCCAGCATCTGTAGTGTGAGTTTCCCCACTTTACGAATCATTTCTAGATCTTTTAAATAGTTTTTTTCCTTTTCCCAACAAAGTTTAACTTGTTAACAGTTTTCCGATCCATCCTTCCTTGTCACACTGGCAGATCTCAACCCTTAAATTATTGTCTTTGCTTCACCAATGCACAATGTTATTGATTACCTTCATGTTTAATTAATCTAGTTAACCCCTTAAGGACCGAGGACGGTTCAGGACCGTCATCGGCATTTTTGCGTTGCCGACCGATGACGGTCCTGAACCGTCCAAACGGTCTGGGGCTACTTACCTGATCGCCGTCGTTCCCCCGGCGGCGATCAGTGTTCCTCCGGTTGTGGGGAGACTGCCTGCAGCCCAGACAGTCTCCCCACTGCAGATTAGGACCCCTGTGGCCATGTGATCGCTTAACACAGCGATCACATGGTCACAATAGGTGTCCATAGTGCTGCCTGCAGGGGGACTGTCTGTGCTGACAGGCAGTCTCCCTGCAACTGTAAAATCAAAAAAAAAATTAAAGTTAATGTTAATAAAAAAAATAATAATAATTATATATGTATAAATATGATATATAGACATATATTATATCTATATAATATATGTCTATATATCATATATATAATACCATACTAAGTGTATTTTTATATTAATATGTACTTATATTAAAATAAAAATACACTTATAATTAAATTACACACGTATATATATAATATATATAATAACTATATATATTGTATATATATATTATTATAAAATATAAATAATAAGTAATTTAAATTAAATAATTTTTTTTTAAATAATAATAAAAATTTAAAAAAAAATTATATATCTATATGAAATTTTATTCTAACTGTATTTTAAAATTAATATATATATATTTATATCAAAATACACTTAGAATGAATTTGTATATATATCTATGTATATAAAAATAAATAAAAATAATAGAAATATACATACGTCCATATACAAAATTACATAAATAATTATATAAATATACACGTAGACTTCAAATATATAAATATGCATATATATTTAAATTCTACGTGCGTATTTATATAATATTTTTACATAATTCAGTAATTTTATTGATTGCAATTTGAGGGACCTGCCTGCCAACCCAGGCCGAAATTCCAGAGAATTTAATTTGCTAGCACTGTATTTTACCCTGTAACGTTCTACGACACCCTAAAACCTGTACATGGAGGGTACTGTTTTACTCAGGAGACTTTGCTGAACACAAATATTAGTGATTCACAACAGTAAAACATATCACAGCGATGATATTATCAGTGAAAGTTACTTTTTTTTGCATTTTTCACACACAAACAGCACTTTTACTGATGATATAATTGTTGTGATACGTTTTCCAGTTTTTAAACACTAATATTTGTGTTCAGCGATGTCTCCCGAGTAAAACAGTACCCCCCATGTACAGGTTTTATAGCATTTTTGAAAGTTACAAGGTCAAATATATGGGTCAAATATTTTACATTGAAAATGGCCAGGTTGGTCACGTTGCCTTTGAGAGCGTATGGTAGCCCAGGAATGAGAATTACCCCCATGATGGCATACCATTTGCAAAAGAAGACAACCCAAGGTATTGCAAATGGGGTATGTCCAGTCTTTTTAGTAACCACTTGGTCACAAACACTGGCCAAAATTAGCGTTCAATTTAGTTTTTTTACTTTTTCACACACAAACAAATATGAATGCTTACTTTGGCCAGTGTTTTCGACTAAGTGGCTACTAAAAAAGACTGGACATACCCCATATTGAATACCCTGGGTTGTCTACTTTAAAAAAAATATGTACATGTGGGGTGTTATTCAGAGATTTATGACAGATAATAGTGTTACAATGTCACTATTGATAAATTTTAAAATGTATGTTTTGAAACCGCAATATCCTACTTGTACCTATAGCCCTATAACATGCAAAAAAAAGCAAAAAAGCACGTAAACACTAGGTATTTTTAAACTCAGGACAAAATTTTGAATCTATTTAGCAGTTTTTTTCATTCGCTTTTGTAGATGAGTAAAAGATTTTTCAAGTAAAAGTCAAAAAACATGTATTTTTTTTCAATTTTTCATCAGATTTTTGTATTTTTTTAAAATTAAAATACATGAGATTATATAAATAATGGTATGTAAAGAAAGCCCATTTTGTCCTGAAAAAACAATATATAATTTGTATGGGAACAGTAAATGAGAAAGCGGAAAATTACAGCCAAACACAAACACCACAAAAGTGTAAAAATATTCCTGGTCGCAAATGTACAACATCGCAAAAACAGTCCAGTCCTTAAGGGGTTAAAGTGAAGACTGAGGTTGGATCATTGAGTGATGAGTCCTGTTTTTATTAAGCCAGACCTCAGATAAGGGGATCCATTCGTTGATTCTACAGTCCATCATCAGTTGTGTATAGCTTAATTTAAAAGGACAATGCTTTTTAGGGAGAAGGGTTTACCCATTTTCATAAAATAATACAATTTTCAGTGTTCTTGCTCCATATACTTTTCTTGTATTTAGAATTTGCATCTTTCTTTATTTGGGCTAGCTAATTGAATTTCTGGACCATGGCCAAAATATCCACAATACAGAAGCAGCATTTGACAGATTATTAGCTGATTGGAAAGGGTTCTGCTATGAGCTAAAACAGCACTGCTTTGTTTGAAAAGAAAACATTTTATATACAATCTCTGAAAAAAAACAAAAAAAACACACTCTCTCTCTCTCTCATTCCTCTTTAAGATAGCACCCTTTTGATATTTATTTATGAGCAACCTTTACCATATCCAGCTGTTATATGTTGAAATTCACTGACATTTGCAGTACAGATGATTCGTCTGTACTATATATTTTTTCCTTTTTTATATACATATATATATTAAACAATACACAAGATCCAGCGTACTATATAGAGAGAGAGAGAGAGTTGGGCTGCACTCTCTGTCTTTAAAAATCCAATCTTTATTGTCAAGTATTAGAAATTCAGCTTTTCAGTCCTCTTTCTTCAGGAACAAAATAGCTGAAGAACTATTCAACAATGTGCAATGTTAATCAGCAGTGGCTGAGGCCAGTAAGGTATTGTCATACATAAAAAAGGGCATTAATTTCCTGAATGAGAAAGTCATTTTGCCTCTTTATAAATCACTGGTAATACCACATCTTGAATATGCTGTGCAATTTTGGGCACCTGTTCTCAAGAAGGTTATTATGACACTAGAAAAAGTGCAGAGGTGGGGTACAAAATAAATAAAAGAAAGGAACATTTTTAGTTATGATGAAAGGTTAACAAATGTAAACCATGTTAGTTTAGAAAAATATTGCCTCACAGGGGATATGATAACATTATACAAATATATCCAGGGCCGATACAAACCCTTGTGTGGAAATCAAACCGGACTATACATAGGACACGAAGTCATGCTTTTAGACTGGAAGAAAGAAGATTTAGTCTAAGGCAAAGGAAAGGTTTTTTTACCCTAAGAACAATAAGGATGTGGAATCCTCTGCCTGAAGAAGTGGTTTTATCAGCGTCTGTATAGATGTTTAAACAGCAACTAGTTGCATACTTGCAAAAACATAATATTCAATGATATAATCTTTCAACTGTAGGGTAATAGCTGCTTGATCCAAGGATAAATCTGACAGCCATTTTGGGGTTAAGAAGGAATTTTTTCATAGTTTGTTGCAAATTTAGAGGTTTTTCAAACTTTTTTTTGCCTTCTTTTGGATCAACAGCAAAAAACAGATGTGAGGAAGGCTGAACTTAATGGGCACATGGCTCTTCCCTCCCACCCCCCAAAAAAATGTTTAAAAAAAAAATATGTATATATATATATATATATAAATATATATAAAACAAATTTCATAAATTGATAAACTGGCCATTACAAGTATAAATCCACTTGTAAACCAGAAGCATTTCCTTCTTCTTTATGTTGGATCACAAAGCACGTAAACAAGCTGACATCTGACATGCTTTAGTTGTTTGGAGTGTTTCTTCAAGGTTATGATGAAATCATTTTTAAAAGACTAGAGAGTAGAATTATAGAGGGGTTAAATTTACTTTACTAAAGTACAGGGTTTGTTTAGGATTATACGGGTTAAACCTAGGAATGCAATTAAGGACATGTTTGGGTTTTGGGGGTTATCACATGTTAATTTTTAATTTAGGTAAAGATGGTGTGGGAAATAAGTCTCCTAACATTTTTTGGTCTGTTGATTGGTATTTTTAAAACTGGTTAAGACATTACGAACAAAATAAAGTGATTAAAATTATCATTTAAAAAAAGGGAACAAAAAGACAATAAATTCATGTCCCAATGCACGTTACGCCATATAGTGGCTCTCCCAAGGGACATTTCCAGCAGTTAAAATACACATTATGGCAAGTTTTGTGCAGTTTTATGATACACACCAAACATTCTGGGCCAAAGAAATCTGATTCCAAATAAATGCTTCCTTTCTGAAAGAGTGAGGTTTGGGCATTACAAAAAGTATACAGATCACCTTTAACGTCCTGACAAAAAGTGCAGCTTTATTCTGAAAAAGTGTGCTGTTTTTTCCCCCCACATTTATTTTCTTGCATGATTTCTTTTAGGGTATTGAACGTCTAAAGAAAGAGAACCCTACCTGGGAGAAAACAAGCAGCTGGGAAGGGCTCAAGCAAGCTTTTGGGGGTAATTTCTCACCAGGATGGTTAAGTCCCTTCTCAAGTACCTTGTACCAGAAAGTTCCTTCAGACATAGAGGCTGAAGCATCCGAATTAAACCATGAATATGTCACAGGAAAGCTGGTAGGACATGTGGAAGTCATAGAGGTGGGCAAAGCAGAGGAATGTGCCAGCATCCGATTGACATGAGAACCGATTCCTGGAAACCCATTAGAATTCAAATGCATCAAATACATCTCTTTTAAATAATGATTCCTAATAAGCACTCTAGCTCTAACTGGAAAAAATATTTTGCACTGTTAACATCTGATAAAACATGTTTGACTAACAATGGAAATATTGGTTGTACTGAAAGTTTGCTTTATCCAAATTGCCTGAAATAGTGAAACTCTGTATTGTAAGTGGAATGCCCCTGTCAACAGTCCATTCCTCACTTTAATTTAGCATCTCAACTTGTTGCCTTTAACAAACATTTTTATATCAATTCTCAGCAGTGGTAACATGTGACAAAATCCAATCAATTCAAACTGTATTTCATTTAATCAGTTTATTACTTGTCTAAATTACATACAACCTTATGGGGATAATACATTTGATAGATAATGGAATATGTAGTAAAATTAGTTTTATTAGACTCTTTCCAGTCCATTGCAGCAAGGAAAGCAGTGCTGCTATAGTAACTAAATTATTGTGAGCATTTACCAGGGTGCTAAAGAGTATAATATGCACTTCTCACCATTGGGGACCAAATAAAATATTCAAATTGCTGATTCGTAATGGCAGAGACATGGGCTTTGCACAAGAAAAAAACAACATTATTAGCTTGTTGATAACCCAAGATGAGAGGCTACTAAGAAACACACACTGAGTTATTCACTAAAGTGATAATTCAAAGTGAATTCATATTTAAGGCTAAAATAGATCAGCTATGCATCCAGTTTGACTTACTTTTAAAGTTACTTTCAACTCTTAATTGAATGAATAACCCTTACAGAATTCCTATAGTTCTGTTATGAAAATGGAAAAGAAATAGCCCACGCCCAGATAAAGTCTTAGTTAGGTTCCATTCTATAAAAATAACATGAATAAATAACACTTGCACAAGGGAAAGGGATTTACGGAAAATGCGCGCTGCCTTTTTCCCTGTCGAAAAATCTGTCACTGAAGGAGTATCAGACCTGAGAATTTCCAGTAATAGAGAAAGGGTAGTATTATTTTTTTTTATTTATTTTTTTAAGGAGTGTAATTAAAGGAACATTCCAAGCACCATGACCAGTACTACACAGTCTACTCCCGGCGTAAGTAGTTTAAATGTTTGCAAACAACTTGGCCTCCAGGAGAGCCTGTAGATCCTAAACTGAACTTCCATAAGCTCCCCCCAGCTAAGCCCTGTAGCACAGGGCCAGGTCGTTGGCTGAGAGCATCAGCCAATGAGCTAAGGCCTATAAAGCAAGGAGCTTCCAGTTCTTCTGGGGGAGGTGACCATGCCTTGTAGACCCCAGGTAACTTGTCAAAATATCTGTAAATGGTTTGATTACTTACCTGGGTGGGGACTCCTGGTACCTTCACCACTAAAGCATGCTTGGTTATGATGTGAATATAAAGCAGCACTGTCATACTAAACTTAACTTTCTCCTATTGATTCCTCTTCTGTTCCAATCTAAGAATCTGTTCTTTTTTTCTTTATTTTTGATCTAGTTTTTTTAACACACAAGGCAAAGTAGGCACTACTTTATCTCATGTATTTTTCCAGTGCTTGACATTCTTTGACCAAAGCATCAGCTCCATTTCCTGTGTCAGAAAAAGTACTCACCCTTCTCACTGACACAAGCAATGGAGCTGACTTAAGTTCCTCCTTTGGTCAAAGAAAGTCAGGCCAAGGAAAAATACATAAGACAAAGTAGTCCCTAATTTATCTTATGTTTTATATAAAATTAGATGAGATAGGAAGACAAGAAAAACAGATTCCGAGAGAGGAAGAGAAGAGGAAACAATAGGAGAAAGGTACGTTCAGTGAGACAGTGCCGCTTTAAGTGTGTAGAGTACAATATGCTATGACTTTTAATCATAATGTGCCTTGGGAAAAAAACTTGAAAATTGTGCTTGAGTTGTTTTCAATGAACCTGTAAGATACTAACCTATTTTGGTTCTTTTTAATTAATGAGCAATATTTTAATTTCACTAAGTGCCTTCTTTATATATTTTAAAAAAAAAAGGAAAAAAAAAAGCGCATCAGTTGTACTCCCATCTGTTTATAAGCAGTATTTGATTGATTCATATCTACTTCATTACTCCACTCTCTTGTGGATTTAGATATAGTTGCAGAGCAATTGCTGAGCTTCTCATGTCTGACATATCAGCTTCAGTTAAAATGAATTTACATAACATATAATAAACATTCAGTTGACGCGTGAACAGCTGCTGGGCGGGCACGCTCACAAAAATACGCATTTGCTCTCTACGTCCTTAATAGGATCGCGTGTTACCTATGTACAAGCTATATTATACAATCAATTGTAAGAATCAGCTTTACATGTAAGAATAAACATTTTTCCAAGTATTTCAGGTCTGGTTACAAAATCTCAATCCAGAAATGTACTAAAGTAAATTGAGCATCAGCAATTAAACTCTCATAGAAAAGGGAATGTCCTACGGGCATTGAATTACGTGGCCGATTTCTTCAGTCTTTCCACCCCATTACAGCTTGCCTTTCTATAGTTGCTCATGTAAAGGTCTTTATATTAATATAAATATATTAGCATGCTATAATACCTTGTACAGTGGTATGAGGAGCAGTCCCAAACCACAGATCTTTAAATTGCATTCTTGTCTATTATTTTATTGAGTTTTCACCATCTCTTAATCATATATTTCATCTTCTCTTGTTGTGGCGATGATATCCATGGAGGATATTCCAATGAAATTATGCCTTAAATGTGAAGTGTAAGTACCATAACCACTTCATCTTCAGAAATATCCAGAAAAAGGGTGCCCATGGGACCCAGGTAAGTGCCAAACTGTTTGAAAACAGTTTGACTCCTTACCGTGGCATGGAGCTTAGACTATACCTTTAATCAAATTTAAATTCCACATAAATCAGACTGTACTTGATACATAATATATCTAATCATGTGTGTTCTAGATCAGAATGGGCTTTCTGCTTTATCATTCCATCATTAATCACTCTCGATGTCATTTATTCTTTGTATTATGCATGGCCATTGCTCATGAAAACTGAACATCACACTGATTCGGAAAGTTAATAACATTGTTAACATATAATGACCAAAATCAATATGTAATAAAGCAATATAAAATAATGGGTGGCCTTTATTAAATAATGTAATAATAAGTCTACAGGAGATGCATTTACTCTTCTAGCTCTGCACAAATAACAAGGAATATATTTATTTTATATAAATATGTATTTAAATTATTCCATCCAACTTTCTTGCTACTTGTTAACATATTTCAATATTGCTTCATCATTTGATGTTTACTTCTCAGTCTTCAGACTTTTGTGCTCATCTCAGTTGTATTAAACGTAGACTCAAGCAATGGGACATAAATGTAATAACACCACACTTTACAGTATTGTCACAATTATAAGCATCTTAGACTGAACTGACCATGTGATACCTCTCCAGATGTTCCTCATTGTAACTTGTTTTCCTTTATTCAGTTGACAACTTTTAACTGTTTCAATTTTAATAAAATATTTGAATATGGTATATTTTTCTTTATAATATCAGGTTTGATCCTAATTAAAACACATTGCATTACATTCAACAGGTTTGCTGTATTATTGAATATTTCACTAAAATGAACACATAATATTTGTTAAAGGTATACTATAGACAACGTTTGTTTAATGAAGAGGTTTTGTATAGATCATGCCCCTGCAGTCTCAGCAGCCCAGGTCACATGTGCAAGGGGTGTAACTTTCACCCCCAGCAAAAAGTACATATTTCTCTGTATGAGTGGTGTTTCAAGCAAAAACACTGCACATACAGATTCCTTGCTCCATGACATGACTACTTCTAAAGCAGAATTAGTCATGGATGTTGGAGTACCCCTTTAAGGTAGCATATCTTTTGCTAAAATATTATGCATTATATAAAAGGGCCCTTAATCCAGTGTGAGATTAACTCTCAAATCACTATTTAACCAATGTTTGCAATATCCTGTGGCCCAGGTAGTGGAACAAAACATCATGTTGACTTTTACCCGCAGAGCCAATTTGCAAATGCCCACCCATAACAAATGAACCCTGCAAACTAGGGAGGACCATATGGTGGACCTATAGCTATTGTATTGCAGCAGTTGTAGTGCTACAAAAGTTGTTGCTTTATCTTTGGTTGTACTTGCTCACATGAAGAGAAGATTAAAAAGAAAATATGTCCACCATAGTACAACTATTTATGCACTCTTCCAGTCAATCAACAGTTGCTAAGGCCAGTTAAGTATTGTCATGTAAAAAAATGGGTATTCTTTTTTGAAATGAAAATGTAATTTTAAATTTTTATAGGTCAATGGTAAAACCACATCTTGAATATGCTGTGCAATTTTGGGCAACTGTTCTAAAGAAGGATATTATGGGACTAGAAAATGTGCAGAGGCAGGCTACAAAATTAATAAAAGGAATGGAACATTTTAGTTATGAAGAAAGGTTAACAAAGTTAATTCTGTTTAGTTCAGAAAAACGGTGCCTCAGAGGGGACATGATAGCATTACACAAATATTTTTGGGGCCAACAAACCATTGTCTGGAAATCTATTTATAAACAGGACTATACATAGTACAAATGGTCATGCATTTAGAGTGGGAAAAAAGGAGATTTGGTCTAAGGCAAAGAAAAAGTTTTTTACAGTAAGAACAACAAGGATGTGCTATTCTCTGCTAAAAGAGGTGGTTTTATGAGAGTCTGCACAGATGTTTTAACAGCAACTGGATGAATACTTGCAAAAATATAATATTCTGTGATATCATTTTTAATTTTAATAGCTTCTTGATCTAAGGAGAAATGTCACTGCCATTCTGGGGCCAAGAAGGATTTTTTTTCCTAGTTTGTTGCAAAATTTTAAACGCTTCAAACTGTGTTTTTTTATTTTGGATCAACAGCAAAAACAAATGTGAGGTAGGCTAAACTTAATGGAAACATTTTCAGCTACGCAACTAGGTAACAGTTAGTATGAAACAGGAGAGACAAACTATACCAAGGTACATATTGACGTCTTGGTCACACAAAAAAATAGTCTACGTCAAGAAAACTCCCACCTTTAACCTAGACACAGTTTCATTATTGTGACCACCACTGCCATATTTATTTATATTCCCACTTCACCCTTGTTTCATTTGCTTTTTTTTTAATTATATTTTATTTAGTTTTATTTATTTTTATACCAACACCTTAACTTAAAGTGTAGAACTACCATACTCTACCTATTTTGTTTACACACATTTATTATCTTTTACTTCTTTTTTTTTTTTGGAGTGGGAAAAGATTATTGTTACCTTTTTTTACTGTAGAAAATTTTTACATGATCTTATAATTGCACCAAAGCCTTTTTGTTTACCCGTGTTTATTATTATTTTTATTTTTTTGGGTGGGATAAGATTATTCACTTTTTTTTTTGCTGTGAACATTTTTTAATAACCTGAACTTATAGTTGCACCAAAGCCTTTGTATTTGATCTATTCTTTTATTTTCCCCACTTCTTTGTTAAAATATTATGAAATATAATTTCATGAAATAAAAAAAACAAACTTATTTTTTTAAACAAATCTTCATTGCAGTTCCATATTTATTTCAATGTAGATTATCAATGAAAATTATTTGTATGCTAAATTATATTACAAAGGCATGGAAAACTTCTGTTATTTCTAGTTAGTAATTGTAATCATCTTTTCGGCTGAAATTCCTTTGATTTGTTTGGAAATTAGTTCAGCTACGATCTTCTTCTCTCCGGTTTTCTTTGGCGCACATATAATTTTGGAGCGGAATATTCCTCCGGGTCGTATATCCCTGCGAATTAGATTTTCATCAATTTATAGGAATTTAACAAAATAAATTGGATTACAGTTTTTAAAGGGAACCAATAATGAAAACGTCCAATGATGTCAATGATCTTTAATATAGACCATATAAAATTTTTTTTTTTTTTTTACTTATTTTGTTTAAAACCTCAATAATGCCTTTGGCCAAAAAACTGTTACTACATTGGAATAAGCTGACATGCAAGCAAAAAGACAGGACTGAGATTATTTACATGAGTAACATGGTCTGCCAGAAGCTGATAATACGAAACTTGGCATTGGCAAGTAGTAAATGTTATCTTTCTTAAATAATATATAAAGCGTTTAATTTTTTTCAGTGAAAATAAATAAATTAATAATTCTACATATGTTTTCTTACTTTTAGTATATAGGTAATATATAGAGCCAACCATCATCAACCACCCATCATCACCATGATGTGAAGGTAGTGTGTACTATTTCCCAAGTCCACAGTTTAATTAGGATATAGTTGACCTGTATTAATTAATTTAGTTCTGAGGACCACTGTGTCTTCTTGGTTATCAAGGCAGGCGTATATTTTTGTTTCAGGAGAGCAATCACAAGTTTCCTTTGGTAATATTTGGGGCCCCCCAAATTATTTTACTGTGTTTTGTTTTGTCCACTCGATCCTGTCCCAACTCACCTCATCAGATCTCTCTACCCTTGTCTTGTGCCTACCCTAACACACATCTTTAACTGCTCTCTCTCTTCTGGCACTGTTCCTGCTGACCTTAAACATGCCACTGTAGTACCTATCCTGAAAAAAACATCTCTTAAATCATCCTCCCCCTCTAACTATCGTCCCACAACCCTGCTCCCTTTCTCATCAAAGCTTTTGGAAAGACTTGCCTTTATCCATGTGTCTTGCTTCCTCAATTCCAACGCTCTCCTTGACCCTCTTCAGTCTGGCTTCCACCCTCTCAACTCTACTGAGACTGCTCTTATCAAAGTTACTAATGACCTAATCACAGCTAAATCCAAAAGGTCACTACACCATATTAATTCTCCTTGACCTCTCTGCTGCCTTTGACACCGTTGATCATGCTCTCCTCTTTCAAACTCTTCAATCACTCGGTCTCTGTGACTCTGTCCTCTCTTGGTTTTCCTCCTATCTCTCCCAATGCTCATTCAGTGTCTTTTTCCAAGAATACCTCCTCCCCTCATAGTGTCTCGGTTGGAGTTCCCCAAGGCTCTGTCCCGGGTCCCCTTCTATTTTCTCTTTATACTGCTTCTCTTGGCAAACTTATTGCCTCTTTTGGATTCCACTACCACCTGTATGCTGATGACACTCAGATATACCTCTCCACCCCGGACCTCTCCCCTTCCCTCCTGCAACGTGTTACTGCTTGCCTTTCTTCCATCTCTGACTGGATGTCCTCACGCTTTCTGAAACTCAATCTCACTAAAACTGAACTCCTTGTCTTTCCTCCTCCTTATACTGATCCTCCTCTCTCGCTCTCTCTTCAAGTCAGTGATACCCACATAAGTCCATCCTTGCAAGCGCGCTGTCTTGGCGTCATACTTGACTCTGGCCTCACCTTTGAGCCTCACATCCAGTTTGTTTCCAAATCCTGTAGGGTCCAACTTAAAAACATAGCCCGCATCCACCCCTTTCTTACGCAAGATGCTACCAAGGAGCTTGTCCATGCTCTAGTAATTTCCCGCATGGATTACTGTAACCCTCTCCTGATTGGTCTCCCAAAAAGCCGTATTGCCCCGCTACAGTCTGTAATGAATGCTGCAGCTGGACTGATCTTCCTCTCTAGTCGGTCCTCTCCCACCTCACCCCTCTGTCAGTCCTTACATTGGCTCCATGTATCCTATAGGAGTCAATTCAAAGTGCTAACCCATACATTTAAAGCACTGAACAATTCTAACCCCTCTTATATCTCTTCACTGATCCATAGGTATGCCCCTCCTCGTTCCCTCTGCTCTTCCTGTGACCGCCTCCTGACCGCTGCTCGCACCCGTACTGCCAACTCGCGCTTGCAGGACCTCTAGCCATCAGACTCTCCCCTAGTCTCCAATCATTTAAGAAGGGCCTTAAAACCCATCTATTCAGGAAAGCTTGTGGCCCCCCAAAAGTAGCCTCTACCTTACATACCTGTCTCTTGCTCTCTCCAATAGGGCAGTGCTTTACTCCCACCCTATTTGACTGATATTTGACTTTTACCCCACCTCCTATAGACTGACAGGACAAAATCCATCCATTACTTGAGATTCATGCAACAGTAGCTTTAGGATGTAGCCTCTCTGTGCATTATCCAGTTAGATGTTTTAAATTGTGCTCACCCTTGATCGAACTTCTCCAATTTGAATATGCCAAGTCCTTCCACATGAAGCTCACATTTTTCTAGAGGAATATGAAGTGTATTCTTAAAAGTAAAAGTACAAGTGAAATCTTCATTAATTTTTCCAGTTTCTGGCATCTAAAGGGAAATAAAAAATAAATTACGGATATTATTTTGAGAACTAACCGCATCTGAAGGGAATTAACAGACTGAACAGTGCAATTGTTGTTATACTGATTTTACTAAATGAGAGATTCATAAAAATATTTATTGCATAAATAACCATAAAATGCAGTACAGGAGATTTCAGTTGCAATATTGGGCCACTGGTGATATTTCCTGAAATTGTAAATCATTGAAAGGTACATGCAAACAAACAAATTTAGCCGAATAAAGTAGGAAATCTGGCATTTAAGATTTAAATCACTTTGCTAATGTAGCCTTAACAAGACCTCCCCAAGCACTGACTCATGTAGATTGCCTTCACACTTTCTTTAAAAAAAAAAGTTTTTTTAATTTCCCTTATTGCACAGTGTGTTTAATCTAGTATTTGTTAGATATACTGTTAGAACCTACATTGCCTCCTGTGTTATTAAAGTTCAATTAACAGAGCAGGACTTCTAAAGTAAACACACTGTGCTGTAAAATAAAAAATAAAAATTCCCATGGAGAGTGGTTTCACTTTTAAATCGCAAGGAATTTAGCAGAAGAAAAATGTAATGTACCGTTTTTTCACACTTTTCAACTATATTTACATTTTGTATACTGGGAATGTCAGTATGTAATGAAAACGTGTATTGAGATAAGACATCAATGTAAGGGCAAAAGGAAGGACATTGCAGAGTTCTGTCTGACAAAATCACAGGCTTTTGCTCTATATACTAGAACTATTTCATCTGACAATGAAGGGAAGTACATATCAGATAAAAATGTTTCTGTGAAAAAATATATGAACACCTCTGTGTAATTAGAAATAAAAAAATAGTTGATAAAAACCACAATATTTTCCCTTTATAAATAATGCAAGGAAAAATTTCAAGCTAAACATTGACACTGTAGGAAAAATATGTAAATTTTAGAAATAAAATTGTAAAGGATAAAATATATTTAATTTTTGATATTGTCTTCTGGTATTTTTTACTTAATTATTAATTTGCAGTTACAGGGAAAACTGGCTTATGCGCTGTATTTTTCTAATTTCTTCTGTATATTGTTCTTTAATTCTGTCCATTTTAGGTGGGTTGCTCCATGGCCCATCTAAGACTTTATTTGGTCTGTGTGACACCGATTGTCTTATTATATACTGTAGCAGCAATTTCTGAACAGTGGTTTTTTTTTTCTACAGTTAAGGTCAACAACCTGAAGATATGCAAAAAGATTTACCTCCACCGTGATGGCAGGATATGTGAATGATATAACCATGCTCTCGCTGTTTTTTTCATTTGTCTCCATGGTTTCACTTATAACATTGACCATTATAATGAGCTCGTCATCCACCAAAATAACAGACTTCATGTACAAGTCTGCAGCCACATTCAGGGGGATGGTGGCAGCTTAATTCAAACAAAGAAAAACAGGAAAACAAACATGTTATCATGATTCAAAGCAATCAAATGCACAAACAGCTACCATGGCCATAGCAGCAGTAAAACAAATGAATGCATCATTTGCCATTCTTTTAATATTTGTTAAAGTATATTGACCATTGAATGGGAAAGTGGTACTTCCCCCAAATAATGCCGGATTGTAGGGAGTGGAGTTTGGACACAGCCTGTTAATGACTGTTTGTGCAGTCTTATATTCTTGAGTTTAACACTCATCTTTGTCACACTCAACAGGGATTAAAAAGGTACTCTAGGCACCCATATCTGCAACATGTAGATTATGTTACAGTTAGTCTATATGGGTGGGTTTGTGTTAATAATCCCCTTTTGTTTTTTACCGCACTGGTTTTGGGGCATAACAATTCCTGTTACACACAATTTGATTTTTGTTATCCCATAAATACCGCTGTACATGATGTCATGTGTTTGAGTTCTAATTCATCTATCAAGGATCTACAGCAGGCCTGTCCAACCTGCGGCCCACCAGATGTTGCTGAACTACAACTCCCATGATTCTTTCAATTAAACAGAGAGCCAGGGAATCATGAGAGTTGTAGTTCAGCAACATCTGGGGGGGCCGCAGGTTGGACAGTCCTGATCTACAGTGTATACCTGGGAGCTGAACTATGGCTGAGAAAAACCTGTGGTGTTCTGGTGCCTTTGTAGCCACTATGGCACGGTTCCCACTATGACTCTTTTCCATTAAGTGGCTGAGTGATTAAATACAATTAGAGGAATGGCACTGGAGAAGCCTTCTCACTTCTTCCTCCATCCCATGAGCTGTAGGGTGAGATATTTATATCTGCATATAATTGGCTTTGGAATGGGGAGGGGTGCAACTAGTTAAGTGCCATCTATATTTTCTCTCATGCTGAATGTCACAAGGCAGCAGAAATGAGAGAAAATGTGTTAAACTTTCTTCCTTCATAACTTGTCCTAAACAAATATTGTCCTGAACCCACTGATCTGGTTCACCTGAATTAGACATTAAAATTTGTGCTAATCACATAGAATTGTATTGCTAGGTCAATACAAAAACACAAAATACTATTAGAAATGTTAAGAACGAACAGGTGGCAGCCAATAATGCCCTCTGAAATTTTTGGCTTCATTATGTGTTCCATATGACTAAGCACAAAACACTGGCAGTTTAGAATAAATAGTCATTTGAGCGAAACTATGACAGCTGATAATCCTAAAACATTCCGTAATACACCAAATATTGTTGTCACTGGTCTCAATATTATGCTATACATCCATGTGCATCTCATAGATTTGTCATTATCAATGTTTTTCATTAGTACCTTGTTTCCCTGCAACTTCAACTATCTGAGTGATGGATGCCAGTTTGGCAATGACTTTGCCAGTGTAGGTCTGTAGCTGACAGCCAACTATAACATTCACAGTCTTGGCATCATCGGATTCATTTTCAATTAAGATGTTCAGAGACATAGGATTCCCTGGCAGCAACTCCTTGTTGCCTGTGATCTGTAACTTAATCCCTGCAGGTGGGGCGGTTGGAGGAGCTGCAAAGACTAAGCAAGCATCTGACTTCAAATAAGAGCAGGCTGTTTGAACGGCTTTCCTTTCTTCTGGAGATCCTGAGTAACAAACAGAACATATATCAATAAATAGAGGATACCCAAGGAGAATTTTTTTTATTTTTTTTTAAATGTATTTTGGGCACATTTATCACTTCTTTTGCCTAGCGTAAAATTTGGAGGAACCAATAGCAACATGTAATTGGTTTCTTAATGCAGTTAATCATGAAACAGCCTGAATGAGATTAGTAATATTTTTGTTTGTGAAAAAAACAATATAATCTACAGCACTGTACAAGGTATAAATGCAAAATATGAGTGTAACAAAACCGAGCCAACCCCTGTCTTTAAAGTGGAACAGTCACTTTTCAGTTTTGTGGGGAAGTTTGATAATTGTTTGTCCCTCCGTATCCTCTCAATTTTATTATAAATATGGGAGAATTAATAGAACACTATAGGTACCCAGACCACATCTGCTAATTGAAGTGGTCTGGGTGCAGTGTCACAGGTCCCTTAACCCTCACAGGTCCCTTAACTTTAGTAAACTGCAATAATTACCTTTGAGGGTTAACTACACCTCTATTGACTACCAGACGGCCACTAGACACTAGAGTGACTCCTGGGTCAATAGGCGACTTTTGGTCACCTAACTGATGCTGGGCATCCTCATTTTATGCACATCAAATGAGGGAAGTACTAATGCGAACACTGATCACTGTTCATGCGCATTAGGTATCCCCCGCTGGCTTATGTCAGCGGTAAAGGAGTGGAGGCAGAGTCTGAACCAGACCCGATGGACATCAATGCTGGAATCAGGTAAGTGATGGAAGGGGTTTTTAAATCTTTCCTTCTGCACCATTGGTGGGGGCACTATAAGGAGCTATAGTGCCAGGAAAACAACTTTGTTTTCCTTAGCACTATAGTTTTACTTTAAGATACAAGGGGCATCAGGAAAGGAAAACTGAACAAAGCCATGCAATGTAATCTAACTAAAAATGGCAGCAGCACCCAGTACCATACACCAGCCAGACATTGATGAGAGTGTAGTCAATCACTACTAGAAAATGTGCAACCATGGGCTGTAACATCTAATACTCTCACTCCTTAAAAGGTCACTCCAAGAACCTTGGCCACTTCAATTATTTAAAGTGATCATAGTGCCTGGAGTCTGTATGTGCAGGCTTTCGCTATGAGATGCTGCACCTATGGAGTTTAACCTCTCTTCTTCTGAAGGTGTAACATCATCTCTAGGAAAGTCATTGTGGTTTTATCAGCCAACTTGACGCTAGAGTACGGACTGGCCAATGTCAATTCTGTGCAGCTTTCATTGCACAAAATGTCAGTCATTGGCTTAGAGTGGTCAGCTGATACTCTCAGCCAAAAAATAGAGACAGCTGGGGCTTCCAGTTTCTGCAGCTCTACAGAAGCCAGAAGTGTGTCACTAGACCAGAAGGGAGCCTCATAACCCAGCCGGGACCCCGGTACTACAGTGGGCGGTAGTGGCTATGATGATTGCAGTGTATTGTTTTTCTTTTTATCCACAGCTGAATGTGCTTTAACTGATATTCAGTTCTGTGTGTACAGTAAACCTAACTGTAATAAAACATAAAAAATTATTCACAAGTTGCGTGGATAATAACTTCCTTTTATAAAGATTACTAGGTTGCCCAAAGACACGTTAAATTATTATGCAGCCTATTTTTTTTTTTTAAAGAGTGGGTCATGGACTGTATCCATGATATGCTTTATTTCAGGTAGGTCCACTAGGTAGTTCTTTTTTCATGCACATTTGGTATTGTGACTTTTTTGTCTTTTTTTCAGGTAGGTGATGATCTAGCAGAGGGCAAAGAGACACTTTTATAGCATAGCGCTAGCACATGTAAGTACTTACCTCGCTTCCCTCCTTTGCATCTTCCCCTGGTGAAATCTCTTGTTCCGGTAATTTCAGTTGTGCCTGCCATGTCTTTTTAGCTGGCGGCGGCCATATTAGTACCCCTTTAATGACGCGGTGGCCACCTTGACACTCAATTTAAATCTATCCAGCCCCTGATTTAAAAATCTTATTTAAGTCTTATAATTTAGTTTTGTCTTATTTTACAATACTATTATTATACTATTTGACCTCTTTCTAGTCTCTTATTTAATATTGTATTATATTCAAGTTTTGAGTTAATCACATGATCTGTAACATCATCTAAACCATTTTTTTAAAATTTTGCTGCTATTTAAACAGGACCATTAAGCTGTAACACTTTGAAAAAGTGTTTTCATGCTGTATAAAAGGTTCTATTATTTTTGTCTTAAATAAAACAAATTTTTTTTTTAACTACACCTGGATCTTCCTGATTTTATCCTTGAAGATTTTATCCATAGGATTCACACTTTTATTTCCTTGGTGGGGAAGATACTACCTACACTGTGTATAATTGAGCAAAACCTATTTTTGCTCTCCTTATGTGAGTATACCTCCTTTAATTACTTTTATCTCAGCTATACAGAGACCACTATACTATGTTTAATTTTCATCCTATATACCGGTGAATTCCTATTGCCATAATGCTTCACATTGAAGAAGAAGACTCCTGAACACTTGGCATCAAAAGTGACTAATAAGCCTGGAGCACCACCCTGTAAAGGACAGGGACCATCAACGTATCCACAGGCTGGGATAATACCCCCAAGCGCATACAACTAGAACTGATCATAAGTAAATTGTAAGTTTTATCCATTTATTTAATTCATTAGTCTCCAAAGAAATACTACACTATATTCCAATTGTATCTTCTTTTCTTTTATACCTGCTCAACACTACAGGGATTTGAGGACACTCTGAAGGCACTGCTTCCCTACATCTCATTGCATACAGTATCTTTTTAAGGCCAGAAGAAGAGACTCAGGTTTGAGAATTATAAGCTGCCACACATATATCAGACAAGCGCCAGAAATCCTGTTGTTTTATACATTTAAGTATGTGCTTGCACTATGCTTTCCAGAGACAGTCCTATGGTATTCCCAAAAGCAGGACAACAGAGAACAAAGTCTGGACAACAGAGCTCTAAAATCGGGACTGTCCCAACAAAATTCAGATGGTTTGTAAGCCTGAAATTGTACCCACCATAACCTATCACTCCACTCAATTATTACTTTTTAAGGTACTATTAAAAATAAAATATAAAAAAGGGTTTTCTTTGAAGTTACTGCATAATCATCAATATGTGCAGTTTTCTAAAGTAAGCTCTGCTCAGAAAAGGTAGGTGAAAGCCAATATTATTCCCACTGCAGTGCCAAACATATTCTGTAAACCCTACACACAATAGCGGTGTATTTCAGTAATGTGTCTTCTGAGTCTGCTCTTACCCTATGATTGCTTTGGCAGTGAAAGAGTTACAGCAAGCAGCATATAACACAACATGAGGGATATTTTAACTAGCATAGAAAGACTAGCAGTGGATTTTATTCAATGTATTGTTGTAAATGGTTTTGTCAGCAAAATGCAGTAAGGATCTGCCAGGCAGAAAGATTCGGCTTTCATATAAGAACTATTTGCTAATCCCACATTATTACACATGACAAACCTTTCTATTTAAAGCAGTCTTTTTTATTCTAATAACACTATTTTCTCACACACCCCAAAACTGTACTTGTTTCCTGTAGAATTCATGTATGTACGTAGTGGGCATTGGATAGCATTCCCTTCATCCCCCATAAAACCATAACTTACCCCTTCAAATAACGACAGACAACTTCTTGGAGAAAACAGGCCACAGCATTTATTAACACAACCAAATACTGTATGACTCCTTTAACATATAATGAAATAATAAATATCATAAGTTAACATAAACAATTTGCATATAGTCATACAGTAACCAAAGAAACCGTCCTTGCCAATCTAACTTCCGCAAGGCTCTCACCTCCCCCCCTCGGCATAATAAAAACATCTTCCTTTTCAGGGCTCCCCACCAACTCGGTGGGGCCCAACCATAATGCTCCCCACTGGTCGACTTACAACCCAGTGGGGACACGTCCAACCTGGTACCTCCTCCAGGTTCAAGAGACAGGGGGAGGATGAGACCCGGCCATTATCCCCCTTTTTCATCTAATCTACCAAACCATCCCTTATTTGGCAAGGACACACCCCCGCCTCGCTGTGACAACCCCCCGGGCCCAAAGCAGCAAAGGGAGGGTGGGTGGGAAACTTGTTGCTGGCCCGGCTCCTAAGTGGCACTGAGGTCAGTCTGATCTGTCACCACCCACTTCCTCACATCTCAGACTCCCACATGTAGCATATAGCCAATCATGCATCATCCATCCCACACTCATACATGTGCCTCTGTCCGCTAAGCTGCGCACTCACCCTGGGGCCTGAATGCATTATGTAACGGATTTTCCTTCACTGCTCTAGATAAGACTGATGAGAATTCTTATTTTATTAAATATTAGAGTAAATTTGATTGTAATACTCAGATTTACTGTACTTAAAGGGTCATGGGGATCTTCCTCATGCAAAGTCCTTTGTGACTCTTGGAAATGTTCAAGCCACCCAAGCTGGCATGCAACCATACCATTATAGCAATTGGTTGTTTATGACTACAAATACCACTTATACATATAAGCCAACTAATCAGAGTGTACTGACAGGCATGTCACGCTTCTTTCGAGACTTGTGTGGGAAAATTTATATTAGCGCCTCTACTTACCGCCCATGGGTGAGGGGTTTCAGAGGAGACATTAGTCCCCCCCCTCAATTATTATTAATATTGGAGCCGCCACCCATCATCCATGATTGGTGGCTTGAGCGGCTCAATAGGTCCACCACAGGTAAGAGCTGGGGACACTAAATCCTACCCATTTATTATAATGACAGACATTTTCATTCTTACCATAGCTGTTATGAACGTGTGGCATATAGCAAATATCCTACAGTTTTTTTTTCCTCTTGTGCAACTGCAGTGTCACATTTGCAATGCCACATTTTTAGGCTGCTTGCAATATTCTGCCTCTACATCCAGTCACCCCCCACAGTGAGCTTCTGCTTCTTCGCTGTAGTCCCTGAGAATGAAGCTTGATCTCTACCATCTTCTCCACGCCTCACTACCTTCCCACTTGACCCTATCCCTGTCCCACATCTAACACCTTCTTTGTTCTCCACCCTCACATCTTCAACCTATTACATTCAATTGCTGTGTTTCCATCCTTTATCAAACAAGATCCCTCCAATAGGAGCCCACCCTTGACTCTAATTCTCCTGCAAAGCCCTGCCCTACATCACAGCTTCCTCTAATGGCAAAACTCCAGGAAAACTAGTTCAGGTATGCCTAACCCACTTCCTGTCCTTCAACTCCCTGCTTGACCCTCTACAATTTGGCTTCTGTCCCAAATACTTGACTGAAACTGCCCCTCACAAAAGGTTACTAATGACCTTTCTTCTAAAGGTTACAGTCATGGTTATTTCTCATTTCAGCAACATCTTAGCTGGCATTTCTTCCTTAATGGTCTCTCACCACCTAAAGCTCAATATGTCCAAGACTGAGCTCTTCTAATTCACCCATACATGTCTACTCAGATTTCTAACTTTTCTATCACTGTTGACAGCATCACTATTTCCCCATCACCCTAAGTCCACTGCCTCAAAGTTACACTTGACTCAAATTTGTTCATCATCTCCCACATCAAATCACTTTCTTCATCCTGTTTCAACCACTTACACAATAACTCTAAATTATGTCTGTTTCTGAGCTCTGACAGCACTAAGCAACTAAGCAATTTGACTATGGCAATAACCTTTTAACTGGCCTTCCTCTCTCCTGTTTCTTTTCCCTCAAGTCCTTCCCAAATGCCTTGGCCAGGCTAATTCACCTTAGTCGTTTTATATCTATTGCACCTCTACATAAGTCTCTACACTGGCTTCCTATTCACAGCTTAATTAAATTTAAAATTATCCTCTTGACCTACAAAGTCCTTATTATAACTGCGCACCACTATCTGTTCTCACTGATCAACAAATATACTCCAGCCCACCCCTTAAGATCTAACCATAGCTTGCTCCTTGGATCTTTTATTACCACTTCCCATGCTAGATTGCAGACTTCTCTCACGTGGCACTAAACTTTGGAACACAATTCCCCGCATCATTAGACTTTCCCGTAGTCTTAGACTTTCCCCTCCGCCAGAGCATCGTACTGGAAGGCCTGCGACTGCACTAGCCAAGAAATCCACCAGGGATACCTCTTGACTACCATTATTATTATTACCATTATTGCCCCACCCCCACCTGATTACCTCCCCAAATAAATTAAAACAAATACATGAAATAAAATGCATGTGGAGAGACTGTGGTTAACACAGCCTACACACATACTATCCTTTCCCACACTCAGCACCCTATACGTTGCCACAACTTACCCTGCCACAACCTTGTCACACTCACCATCCCTCACCCTGTCATTACCCTACCTCTATCACACTCACTCAAAGCCTTGTCACACTCACCACAATAATCCTGCAACATGCACCGGTCAACCCCCCCATTCACCCTTTCACAGTCTCCAAGATAGTCATACACTGTCACCTCCCACACATGACACAGCCTCAACATAAACACAACACACAAAGACCACACACAACTACAAACAACTACCCCGCACACATACACTCAAAGACACACATTCACACATAGAGATGCTCAGGCACATACACAGATATACAATGCCGGAGACACACTTAGTCAGAAATAGACACACACACACACATACTCTCAAGCAGATACACAGGTACATAATGTTAGATACATTGATACTCGTCTCAGTCCCCCCACACAGCTCTCAGCCTTCTCAACACAAACAGCACTCAGCCTCTACACACACTTTCAATCTAACAGAAACAGAGCCGAGGGCTCAATCTGAGACCATGCATAGGGCCATGAGAAACCTTAATCCAGCTCTGTTTGTCTTGTGTCAAAGCTCGTTAACCAGATTGAATGCAAGACCAGGAAAATGATCATTCGCCATCTCTTCCTATTTTAGTAAATGTAACCCCCTTGTTGGTGTTTGGATCATGTAGCCCAAGGCATATTTTAATGGTCATCACAGTTTTACACATTTATCATTCTATGGTATATAAATATTCACTTTTCTTACCCTCTTTGTGCTTATATTGCGATGTAATATCCTGTTTCATGTTCTTATTGAGCGCTTTGGTGCTGATGCACTTCCCAATGCAGCTTTTTTCCTCCTTTATTAGGGAGATGTCCTCTTGTCCATCTTTCTCTCTGACCATCCAGTGCACCCTGTCAGCATTGACTTCAGCAAAAATAAACTTTGCATCATATGGCAGATATACATCTCCATTTTTTATGGCTGTTACTGAACAAGGCCCACACTGAAAGACTCCTGAAATGGTAGAGTACCACATTAAAAAAAAATATATATATATATAAACAACATATCTATCAATAAACTTTGAATAATAATAAAAAAACACTATATTCACAGAAAAACTATATATTTTTTTTCCAATTCTCTCCCCTCCCCCCAAAAAAACCAAAAAACTTATTGAGACAAATTCCAAACAGAGTTTAGGCAAGCAACCACATTAATTGCCACTAATTTCAATATTATTTGTAAAGTTCCAAGCAATTCACTCATTAGTGAATAGCCCTGAGTATCAATTAATTTTCAATATCAAGAACAACATCAAGCAAAATGGAGTCAAGACTATTTCCCAATGTACTTAGACCCAGTGAGGCGGAGTTGTATTTATCACATGTCCTGTCACCTCACTGTATAAGATGATGAGGGGTGGCAAAAATAGATTTTCATGTTATTAAAAAAAAAAGAAGAAAGAAAAAGAAACTTGCAAAGCAAAATCAACAGAAACTCATCCACATAATCTGTTCTGCAGCACACCTGAGCATATGCAAATATTGAAGGGCTAACTTCCCCCACACCAAATACTGATTCCTACTACTGAAAATTTGGTAAATACATAGTACTAAGAAACTTACAGCACAGATGTATGATATTCTACAATAAAATACAATTTAGGAACAATACAAATACAAATACAATTTTCTGGTTCAATAGTCAACAAGTCAGCTATTACATGCCAGTGAGATAGCTCAGTGGGCTAATGCATCAACATTAGAATCTGTTCAATCCTGGCAGGGTTGATTCAGCCCTTCATCCTTCCGAGGTAGATAAAATGAGTACCATTACATTGGGTAATAGTAACAACCCCTGGCCTTCTGAGGTAGATAAAATGAGTACCATTACATTGGGTAATAGTAACAACCCATGGCCTTCTGAGGTAGATGAAATGAGTACCATTAAATTGGGTAATAGTAACAACCCCTGGATGTTGGGCTAAGGTAACATCTCCAGGATGTACTTGAAAACCAGAGTAATCTGAATGTGCCTTTCCTAGTTAAATACTTTGTTATTATTATTAGTCTTCCAAACTTTAGACTAGGGGTCCACAAACTCTGGCCCCCCAGATGTTGCTGAATTACAACTCCCATGATTCTCTGGCTATCTATGTAATTGAAAGAATCATGGGAGTTGTAGTTCAGCAACATCTGGGGGGCTGGAGTTTGAGAAGCCCTTCTTTAGACACACAACCTTCTGTCACAGGTCCTAGTATTACTCATGCTTACCATAAATACCCTGCTTTTTAATTACTTCTCAAATATAATTTTCAGGGTTTTTTTTACTAACTAATCAACTTCTCTAACTAGATTGTCCCACCTTGTTTATGCTTTTTACATTCACTACTTCAACACCATAGGAAAGTATTGCCTATCATGCTAAAAATAATTTCCTAGCACGGTTTGGAACATGTACTCCTACTTGGGTTAATATAAAATACCAAAACACAGACTACATCCTAATATTTAACATTGCTATGTTCACTTCTTAAAATGTGAAATGATACTGATCAGCCACAATATTAAAACCACTGACAGTTAAGGTGAATAACATTGACTGTATCGTTACAATGGCACCTGTCAAGGGGTGGGATACATTATTCAGTCAGGACCAAATAGTTATTGCTGGATGACTGGGTCAGAGCATCAAAATGACAAGTCTTGTGGAGTGTTGCCAGTATGCAGTGGTTAGTACCTACCAAAAGTAATGTAAGGAAGGATAATTGGTGAACTGGTGTCAGGGTCATAGAACCCCAAGGCTCATTGATGCATGTGTGGAGCAAAGGCTAGCGTTTATCATCGGATCACACATAAGAGCTACTGCTCAAATTGCTGAAAAACTTAATGCTGGCCATTATAGAACTGTGTCAGAACACACAGTGCATCACAGTTTGCTGTGAATGGGGCTGCATAGCCCACCAGTTAGAGTGCCCATGATGACCCCTGTACATTTGCCGAAAGTGCCTTCAATGGAGATGTGAGCATCAGAATTGGACCGTGGAGCAATGGAAGAAGTTTGACAGACCTGGGAAAGAGTTGGCAGTAGCATGCACTATAGAAGGCAGGACGGCGGCTGTGTTATTCTTTGGGCAATGTTCTGCTGGGGAAAATTGAGTCAATGTGGTTCCTTGGCCTCCAAATTCTCCAGATCTTAATCTGATCCATGGAGGTCCTATCTCGCAACTTGCAAAACTTAAAGAATCTGCTGCTATTGTCTTGGTGCCAGATACCACAGGACATATTCAGAGTTCTTGTGGAGTCCACGCCTCAAAGAATCAGTGCTGTTTTGGCAGGATGAAGGGGACCCACACAGGGCCGGTGCTAGCTGTTAGGCGGACTAGGCAGCCGCCTAGGGCGCCCCTTGGGAAGGGGTATCGCCAGGAGAGCCGGCCCCCCTTATGCTGCCGCAGCCCGAGCGCTCTGTAGAGAGCCTCAAGTGGCTGCAGCTTTGCCATGGCTGGTGCGTCCATGAGGGCGCACCGCCCGGGAGCAGCATGAGGAGAGGGGCTGACAGGAGGGAAGCGCTCAGCGCTCCCTCCCGTCACTCCCTCAGTGTAGCGTGGCCGAGCTCTGTATGGTCCGCGGGTACAGGGAGCATCTCCTGTACCCAGCCGGACTAACACTGAGTGTGCACTTCCTTTTAGTCCGGCCGGGTACAGGAAACAAAAGCTCCCTGTACCCGCGGACCGTACAGAGCTCAGCCACACTACAACAGAGGTAGGGGAGGGGGGAGAAAGAAATTGACAGAGGGAGGAAAGAAATGAATTGACAGAGGTAGGGGAGGGGGGAGAAAGAAATTGACAGAGGGAGGAAAGAAATGAATTGACAGGGGGGGAAAGAAATTAATTGACAGGGAGGGGGAATAAATTGAAAGAGAGGGAATAAATTGAAAGGGAGGGGGGAGAGACAGAAATTGACAGGGGAAATTGACAGGAGGGGGGAGAAAGAAACTGACAGAGAGGGGGGAGAAAACACTGACAAGGAGGGAAATTGACGGGGAGAGAAAGAAACTGACAGGGGCAGGAGTGACAGGGAGGGAGGGGAATGAGAGTGGAGGGAGGGAGTGTGGGAGAAGAGAGCGACAAGGAGGGGGGGAGAAGAGAGTACAAGGGAGGGGAGAAGAGAGTGCCATGGAGGGGGAGAAGAGAGTGACAAGGGAGGGGGGGAGATTGACATCCATCACACACACACACACACACACACACAATCACACACAATGCACCCTTACACGCAAAGACAATGCACCCCTTGCACACAGAAAAACACAATGCATTACACACACAATGCATTACACACACAGACACACACACACAAGCAATGCAACCCTGTCTATCTAACCATCCTTTACACACACAGAAACACACAATGCATTCCTTTCACACACTCAATGCACCCCTTACAGACGCACACACTGCATCCCGTACATACACAGAAACACACCTTGCAGCCCTTACACGTACAAACACAGATTCACACAATGCATTCCTTACACACATATCAGGACATCCCCTACACACTCCACCCCCTGTGAACAAACTCATTGGTGGAACATGAAGGTGGACCCTGGGACACATACCTTGAGCTGTGTAAAGGGCCCCCAAAAAATTGAGCTGCTTCCCGTTCTCCCAGAACATTGATTTTTGTGACCACAGTTACAAACAGCCTCCAGAGATCCTGTTCTACACCAGACCAGTGGAGCAGGATTGCAGCTAGAGCCCATCATCATCCTCATCTGGATGTAAGTAGGCAATCGAGTATATTATTCGTGGCACTAATCTCTAATTTACCTCACATTAAAGAAACACTATAGTCCCCAGAACCACTTCAGCTTAATGTAGTGGTTCTGGTGTCTATCGCCTGTCCCTGCAGGCCTTTTAATGTAAACACGGCGGGACTGCAGCACTGCCGTTAGTTAACATGGCAGATCATATGGGTGGGGCATTGTGATGTCACATGGGGGGGGGGAGGCGGCAAACTTTACTTTTGCCTGGAGCGGCAAAAATCCTTGCACCGACCCTTGACCCACATGATATTAGGCAGGTGGTTTTAATGTTGTGGCAATCAGTCTATGTTTATCAGAAACAAAATCCAAAGTGGGAAAAATAGGAGGGGGAAAATAATCTGTTTATAAACAATTACTTTGCGGGGCAGCTCCTGACCGCCATGATGATTGGGCACATTGCAGGAGAGGCTCCTGTAGAACCTGGCCTTTTGGGCAGATATTTACAATTTTATTAAAGACCCGGAGGCTCCTATTATGCTGCACTCTTTCTTTAATACCCTCAGCAGCAAAGAATACATTATTGAAGAAAATAAACATTTGAACTAGGTATAACATCATAGTGACAATGTCCGCCTAGCAACATGACCATCCAATCAGTGTCGTCCTTCTCCTATAGTAGGCGGAGCATTGATGACCAATTCCTCTTTCTTTGCTGCTTACCCTCAGATAAGTACACCTCTCACAGTTCTCTCACTGTGGGATCCTTTGATGTTATTTCCTTTCAATTTGCTATTTGTACTTCATTATATTTAATTGCTTTCCTTATATTACCCTTTATTCATGGATACCTTTCTGGTACTGACTACTTTGTACCTTTAAAGAATCTTTGACTAATCTTTTAATCCTTATTGTGTATTGCACTAGTTGCTTCTGTTTTAACATCACACTACTCATGGCTGACCCTTAATCTAACTGCCCTGCTATTCAGGGATTTGGCCGGTCTGAGGGTTTATCACTTTAATTTTGCCGGCATTTGCTCCGCCCGCGCATGCGCGCCCTGTCAGAACACCCCCAACAGCCATTTTCAGCTCCGGCTGTGATCGCGGTCGGATCTGATTCTGACCGCGCATCCAGCCGCACTTTTACTCTCCCTCCCCGTGCGGCTTCACTCTCCCTCCCCGTGCGGCGGTATAACCTTGTACCTTCACCGCCGAAACCGGCATACACTTATGCTTCCGGTTTCGCTTGTCGCGGCGGCCATCTTTTTGGTTCCAGCCGACACAGCGGCCATTTTCTCCTGTGTTTTTCCCGCCCTTTTGCTCTGGAACGCCCACTCCGTCCCTTGATCGGAGTTGGTGTCCAGTATTAGTGGCGGACGGTCCCCTTTTCTCCTGCTCCCCTCCATTATTTGATAAATTAGCTGTAAGTGATTTTTACTGTGTAACTTATTGCTTAGTTTATTCATAAATTAGCTGTAAGTGATTTTAATGTTTAACCTACTGCTTAGTTTATTCTAGTTACTTTCAGCTGGGTTACTTAACCCTGCTTTACAACTTTACTAATAAATTAATCAAATAACACCTGCTGTCAGTTACATTGCTTGCCAGTTCTTTCCTTGTTTAACTACCTGCCTGTCAGTTACACTGCACTAATGCAATCTGCTAATGACTTGCCTGGTCCCTCAGGGACAACAACTGACCCCCAAACTGCATTGGGTTTTCCCCCTATAGTTTCTGGGGATGACCTGGATTTCCCAGCATCAGAGGATATTCAGGCTATCATGGATACTAGTAGATAATTGTGGAAAAAGCCCTGATAACTCTTCCCTACTGGGGAATAACCCACAAATTGTAAAATAGAAAAAATAGTGTGGAACCAAAGGTCCCTAAGTGGAAGAGTTATAAATAAAAGGGAAGTCCCTACCTTTAATAATCCTAAGGGTGTAGGCAATTAAAATAGACAGGGAGGAAAGATAGGGCAAGGGAATAGATGTGTGAAAACACATACAGGTCCAAACAACTACTTGCAGAGAAATAGCCCAATTCTAATAAAGTTGGGTCAAAAAAGCTCCAAACTGTAAGGTTGTAAACAGATAGGTAATTAGAGGAATAACAGAGGAAGGAAAAAGGGGAAAGGGGAATGGGGAGGAACACTTCCTAACTGCACAGTGAGAATCACAAGTGCCTACCTATTACCCTTCTGCCTACCTGACTAAAGTAGCTAAAAATCGAATTAATTAAACTAATCCATAAGTGCTACCCAAGTGAACAAACTGTAAAGAAAATAAATAAATAAATAAAAACTCGACGCGCGTTTCAGCGTTCTAACACGCCGTCGTCAGGAGTAGTAAGCCTCTGCATAACTTTGTGCTCGTTTATATGGGGATTGTAGCAATCAACTTGAAACAGTTCACCTGTTGTGTGTCCACGCCCCGCCGTCTTGTCGGCCCATTGATTGGTCAAGAAAATGCCGTATTTGGATTGGGCCATGTGACTGGGGGGTGTTGCGGTTGATTGGGTGATACCCACGTGGGTGCAACCGGCTGCATATGGGGGGAGTGGCTTAGTGGTGTCAACTGGTGACACGGCTGTCAGTCTTAGTGAGACCTCCCATGTACCGTGCGGTCTGATTTAAGCATTCACAATCCCATAACGGGAGAATAATGCCGCATAGACAGGGAGTCACAAAGTGACACGGCCTCCCAAACTTAATGTGTCGAAACTGATAACCAATCTCACAGCATCATGGCAATACCATAATTAGGATGTTGTTAAAAAGATTTTAAACAATGCACCCATTATTAAAGGAATATTACACAGGCCATGATCAAATGACAGGTATTTGGTTGCACCCAAACACAAATAAAGAAAATATAGAGGGAAGACTTGGTGGTGGGAATGCAATAGAGCTTACTGTAAATATAAAGAAACACAGCTTTATTGATCTCTACCACCCTACAGAGTAATAGGTAACATCCTTATAACTATCTGACAAGGTGGATACAAGAGACTATCAGATTTATGATTCCCTATATTGCATCCCACTGAATAAAGTCCTCATGTAAGAAGACAATGGTTATAATATATAATCAGATGTTCAGCCTACTTATTATATACTCAGGACTTGATAGGGATATACCTAACTATAGATTACATCTAAAAGAGAGAATAATCATAAAAAAGCAGTAAATGAAAAGCCCTCATTCAGTCCAGCGGCTGAGAGGGTCTTCAATCTATAGATCCAATAGGACTCACGATGTCTCAGTTTCATATCCCAATCTCCTTTCCTTTGAGTCTGTGGAATATGCTCGATTCCCATGAACCTCAATTTTTTAGAGGAGTTTGAATGGTATATTTTTAAATGACGGGATATGGGAGTTTCAAGAGGTCTCCTAACTGAATTAACGTGTTCCCGGATCCGTAGTTTAAAAGGTCTAAATGTTTTCCCCACATATTTTATACCGCATGAGCAGATGAGTAAATAAATCACACCCTCTGTTCTGCAATTAAAAAATGATCGTACAGGGAAGACATCTGTATTATTACTGTCAGTGAATTCTTTGGAGTTCCTTTCCATAAATTCACATGCACTGCAATGTCCACATTTGTATGAACCCTTCGGTAGATAATTGTTAAGGCCCCTTTTCCGGGGTGCCAAGTGACTCTGTACCAGGGTATCTCGAAAATTACTCCCCCTCCTTGCCGTAACTGAGGGGAGAGAAGTAATTACATGTTTCAAATGTGGGTCGGACTTAAGGATCGGCCAGTAACGCCTGAGTGTATCCATCATATAGTCCCACCCCGCATCATATGTGGCAATGCATCTAATCAGTTTTTTATCTTCTGATTGTGCATTCTCATCAGTGAGGAGTGTGTCTCGGTCGGTTTTGATGGCTCTAGCGTATCCCCTCCGTAGAACCCTATTCGGATATCCCTTATCCTTGAAGGCTTTCCTTAATTCCCAGGCTTTGGTCTTAAAGTCCTGTGTGGACGAGCAATTGCGTCTTAGTCGGAGGTACTGGCCGATTGGAATACCAGCCTTGAGTGGCTGTGGGTGATAACTAGTCCAGTTCAAGAGACTATTCGTAGCCGTATGTTTCTTGAACAAGGTTGTCTGTACCAGTCCCCCTTCCTTTATTGTGATGGTAATGTCTAGGAAGTTAATTTGGTTACCACCTAGCTCACTAGTAAATCTCAAGTCAAAATCATTTTTGTTCAGGATTTTGACAAATTCCTCGAAATCCTTAATAGACCCCGTCCATACAATTAGTACGTCATCGATGTACCTTTTCCAGCATGCTATTGACTCTGAATATTTCCGTAAGTGTGGTACCTTTAGGATTTGATTCTCCCAGGTTCCTAAATAAAGGTTCGCATAAGAGGGGGCACAGGGAGTCCCCATAGCTGTCCCTTTTATTTGTTGGTAAATATTACCATTAAATAGGAAAATATTTTTAGTCAGTACCGTTCTGAGTACATCTGAGACGAAATCGATGTAGAGATGTGGGGACTGAAGCTCTTGTTCTAAAATGGTTTTGACATTATCAATACCTTTCATATGTGGTATAGAGCTATACAAAGATTCCACATCCAGGCTGCATAGCAAGGCTTGCTTTGGTATGGATAAGTCCTTCAAAAAGTTTAACATCTGCTTAGTGTCCCTTATATGAGAGGGTAATTTTGACACAATAGGGGACAAGATTTTGTCTAAGTATATACTCAAATTCTGAGTCAGGTAACACACTTACGGAAATATTCAGAGTCAATAGCATGCTCCGACTAAGACGCAATTGCTCGTCCACACAGGACTTTAAGACCAAAGCCTGGGAATTAAGGAAAGCCTTCAAGGATAAGGGATATCCGAATAGGGTTCTACGGAGGGCATACGCTAGAGCCATCAAAACCGACCGAGACACACTCCTCACTGATGAGAATGCACAATCAGAAGATAAAAAACTGATTAGATGCATTGCCACATATGATGCGGGGTGGGACTATATGATGGATACACTCAGGCGTTACTGGCCGATTCTTAAGTCCGACCCACATTTGAAACATGTAATTACTTCTCTCCCCTCAGTTACGGCAAGGAGGGGGAGTAATTTTCGAGATACCCTGGTACAGAGTCACTTGGCACCCCGGAAAAGGGGCCTTAACAATTATCTACCGAAGGGTTCATACAAATGTGGACATTGCAGTGCATGTGAATTTATGGAAAGGAACTCCAAAGAATTCACTGACAGTAATAATACAGATGTCTTCCCTGTACGATCATTTTTTAATTGCAGAACAGAGGGTGTGATTTATTTACTCATCTGCTCATGCGGTATAAAATATGTGGGGAAAACATTTAGACCTTTTAAACTACGGATCCGGGAACACGTTAATTCAGTTAGGAGACCTCTTGAAACTCCCATATCCCGTCATTTAAAAATATACCATTCAAACTCCTCTAAAAAATTGAGGTTCATGGGAATCGAGCATATTCCACAGACTCAAAGGAAAGGAGATTGGGATATGAAACTGAGACATCGTGAGTCCTATTGGATCTATAGATTGAAGACCCTCTCAGCCGCTGGACTGAATGAGGGCTTTTCATTTACTGCTTTTTTATGATTATTCTCTCTTTTAGATGTAATCTATAGTTAGGTATATCCCTATCAAGTCCTGAGTATATAATAAGTAGGCTGAACATCTGATTATATATTATAACCATTGTCTTCTTACATGAGGACTTTATTCAGTGGGATGCAATATAGGGAATCATAAATCTGATAGTCTCTTGTATCCACCTTGTCAGATAGTTATAAGGATGTTACCTATTACTCTGTAGGGTGGTAGAGATCAATAAAGCTGTGTTTCTTTATATTTACAGTAAGCTCTATTGCATTCCCACCACCAAGTCTTCCCTCTATATTTTCTTTATTTGTGTTTGGGTGCAACCAAATACCTGTCATTTGATCATGGCCTGTGTAATATTCCTTTAATAATGGGTGCATTGTTTAAAATCTTTTTAACAACATCCTAATTATGGTATTGCCATGATGCTGTGAGATTGGTTATCAGTTTCGACACATTAAGTTTGGGAGGCCGTGTCACTTTGTGACTCCCTGTCTATGCGGCATTATTCTCCCGTTATGGGATTGTGAATGCTTAAATCAGACCGCACGGTACATGGGAGGTCTCACTAAGACTGACAGCCGTGTCACCAGTTGACACCACTAAGCCACTCCCCCCATATGCAGCCGGTTGCACCCACGTGGGTATCACCCAATCAACCGCAACACCCCCCAGTCACATGGCCCAATCCAAATACGGCATTTTCTTGACCAATCAATGGGCCGACAAGACGGCGGGGCGTGGACACACAACAGGTGAACTGTTTCAAGTTGATTGCTACAATCCCCATATAAACGAGCACAAAGTTATGCAGAGGCTTACTACTCCTGACGACGGCGTGTTAGAACGCTGAAACGCGCGTCGAGTTTTTATTTATTTATTTATTTTCTTTACAGTTTGTTCACTTGGGTAGCACTTATGGATTAGTTTAATTCATTCGATTTTTAGCTACTTTAGTCAGGTAGGCAGAAGGGTAATAGGTAGGCACTTGTGATTCTCACTGTGCCGAGGTATTCAGTTAGGAAGTGTTCCTCCCCATTCCCCTTTCCCCTTTTTCCTTCCTCTGTTATTCCTCTAATTACCTATCTGTTTACAACCTTACAGTTTGGAGCTTTTTTGACCCAACTTTATTAGAATTGGGCTATTTCTCTGCAAGTAGTTGTTTGGACCTGTATGTGTTTTCACACATCTATTCCCTTGCCCTATCTTTCCTCCCTGTCTATTTTAATTGCCTACACCCTTAGGATTATTAAAGGTAGGGACTTCCCTTTTATTTATAACTCTTCCACTTAGGGACCTTTGGTTCCACACTATTTTTTCTATCATGGATACTACTGTGTCCAAATCTGTCTCTAAAGCTCTGGCATCTGCCATGGACATTATGTCCTCATCTATTTCAAAATCTTTTACCCAAGCACTAAGGCAGGCCCAACGTATGGTCCCTCCGACCTCTATGCCAGTCGCGATACCATCCATTTCCAACCCATCACGCCCCGGCCACAAAGCCTCGGCAAAAACCAAGCACTCCTCCAAATTGACGATGGACAGTAAAACACCTGTCATAGATGGCGCGAATACTAACCCACCGCGCAAAAGAGCCTCTAGCCGGGCAAAAGCGGCTAGACATTGGAAGTGGGCTAAAGCCCAACCTGATTCCACTGAGTCAGAACTCAGTTCAGATGAGGAGAGTGCCCCAGCCCTAGACTCAGAGCAGTCTCATGATTTGTCCGACTTAGATTCGGAATATGACATGGATGAGGTTTGTAATCCCTCTACTAAGATAAATACCGCAAGCTCAGATTTGATTAAACAGGGGAAAGTCCTTGACCCGCAGGGCGAACCACTGTTTGAGCCGGATGACTTGCGTCATCCCCGCTCTGCGGAATGGTCACCAGCTGAGCATGTGGCGCAATATGTCGCCTCACGGGTCCGTAAGCCTCTGGACAAGGCAACACGTAGTAAACTGAGGGCTGAATGCCCACGCCCCACCGTACCAGACGACGTCTGTAAGACACCCCAAGTTGATCCCAAGATCATACAATTTTTAAGCAAGACGGGTTGGAAACCTAGGAAAGGTCTAGACTTTTCGCTTTATAATTGTCAAGACAAAGTCTTGGATATCTTAGGTCCAGCGACCAAAATATTCGAAGCCGTGGAGGAATCCTTGGCACAAGATGACGCTTTAGATCGCCTCACTATTAGAGGTTGGATTCAGAGGGTGATATGCCTCATAGGCAACGCCAATACCGCTCTGGCTACAGAGCGTCGTAAAGCTATTCTAATTAAAATAGAACCAAAGCTTGTAAATATGGCAATTACTGAGCCTGGGGCCCTGGCAAAAGGGTACCTTTTTGGAGAATCTTTTGTAAAAGACCTGGGATCTTATGTACAAACATTTACGGCCTTAGATAAGGCACAATCTAATCTAAAAAGGGTGTTCCACCCAAAGGTTTTTGGTGGGGCCGGCAGAGCAAGGGGCCGTCTGTCCGGCAGAGTCAACAGAGGCTCACGCCCGAGGCGAGGCTCCTATGCGGGGAGAACCCCCTTTATCGACCAAAGGTCCGCTCCGACCTTTTTTCCCCAACGAGGCAGACCGTGGGTGTCGAGAGGTACACGAGGCGCTCCCTCCGGAAGACGTCCTTATGGTAAGCTACCTTTCTCAATTTTCTTCACATGTGACGATTGGGGGCAGACTCACACATTTTTCCCATGTCTGGGCTCTCATTACCTCAGATGCCTGGATACTAAGGGCTGTCCACGGCTACCTAATAGACTTTATATCCCTCCCCACCCAGCACTCCCCACCCAGGGAGATTGCTTTTTCCCCTCTAGACACGACCCTCGTCTCCGAGGAGGTCCGAGACTTGGCGCTCAAAGGTGCCATTCAAGAAATCCCGATGCATACCCCGGGTTTTGTGAGCAACCTATTTATTGTCCCAAAAAAGGGGGGCGGATCCCGCCCAGTTATCAATCTCAAACACTTAAATACTTACGTAACTTACCATCACTTCAAGATGGAGGGCATTCATTGCTTACGAGATTTGCTTCAACCAGCCGACTGGATGGTCAAACTCGATCTTAAAGACGTGTACCTCACGGTACCCATTGCACAGGAGCACCAGGATTTCCTGCAATTCACGTGGCAAGGAAGGAAATGGCGGTTCCGCTGCCTTCCCTTCGGTCTGTCTTCCGCACCTTGGTGTTTCACCAAGCTAATGAAGCCCGTGGTTGCTCTCCTACGCAGTCAGTCAGTCTCACTGCTGCAGGTTCACCTCGGTTGGACCACAACCTTGCTGCAGAATTTGGGATTCATCATAAATTGGGAAAAGTCCATCCTAGCCCCCACTCAACAAATAGAATTCCTAGGTCTCTTGGTGGACTCAGTTATGCAAACCTTGTATTTACCAACATCCAAAATGAAAAATATCAGGAAAGAGATAAGACGAGTTCTTACCTGTCCACATATATCTCTCAAACATCTGGCCCGCGTGATCGGGCTCTTAGCAGCCTCCATACAGGCCATTTTCCCGGGCCCCCTTCATTACAGAGCCCTTCAACGCCTACAGGCGTCATACCTGAGAGGCGGTGCCTCATACGAAGATACTCTGACTCTAAACGCAGAAGCGAAAGAAGAACTCCGCTGGTGGCTCATGCACATGGAGGCGTGGAATGGCAAAGCCATCTTCGGCTCGGCCCCAGACGTGGTCATAGAGTCGGACGCGAGCTCTTATGGTTGGGGTGCGCGCTGCGGAGATATTTCCACAGGCGGACGCTGGTCGGCGGCGGAGTCCACACTGCACATAAATTGCCTGGAACTCCTTGCAGGGTCCTTTGCCATTCGCAGCCTCTCCCCGACACTGTCCCAGTGTTCAATCCTACTAAAGATGGACAACGTATCGGCTGTCCGTTATATCAACCACCTCGATGGCACGAGATCCAAAATCCTAGCGAATTTGGCGAGGGATTTTTGGCAGTTTTGTCTGCAACACAACATGGCGGTCAGGGCAGAATACTTACCGGGGTTGTCCAACACTACGGCGGATTGGTACTCCCGCCATCTGCGGGATTCTAGCGATTGGCATCTCGACCCCCAAATCTTCCAACACATTTGGGACCTGTGGGGTCCTCTGGCAATAGACTTGTTCGCCTCTCGTTTGAACACCCAACTTCCGACCTTCTTCAGTTGGAGGCCAGACCCCAAGACTTCGGCTATGAATGCTTTCTCCCAAAACTGGTCGAATGCCAGGAACTATGCCTTCCCTCCTTTTGCCCTCATTCCGCGGTGTCTTCTCCACCTATGGCGCCAATTGGGCTGCTTGGTAATAATAACCCCCTTATGGCCGTCACAACCCTGGTTCCCTCCTCTTCTGGAGATGGCCATAGATCACCCGCGGCTCCTCCCGGATACCCAATCTCTACTACGAGACCCCGATGCGAACCCCCACCCCATGATCCGTCAGGGACTCCTCCGCCTCATGGCGTGGCTGATTTCCGGGGACCCTGGTCGATCGAGGGAGTTTCGCAATCGACTCTCCAACTTCTCGAGGGCGCATGGGCACCCGGCACGAGACAGTCTTACAAATCTGCTTGGCGCACATGGGATGGTTGGTGCATTGCACGGGGTTTGGATCCCTTATCAACTCCTGTGACAACAGTCCTGCAATTCTTAACGTCCCTTTATGACGACGGGAAGGCTTACAGGACAGTAAACCTCTACCATTCAGCCATATCGGCCGGCCATACCGGCATCGATGGGGCCCCGATAGGACGACACCCAATTGTCTGTCGCCTTCTCCGAGGCATCCACTTTGCAAGGCCGCCCCAACCTCGCTATTCCTCCCTATGGGACGTCTCCCTAATATTGAATTTCTTGACACGGTGGCCAGACAACGAGTTTCTATCGTTGAAACAACTATCAGCTAAACTAGTTATGCTGTTATGCCTAATCTCATGCAAGAGAGTGTCAGACGTTAGAGCACTCGATGTCAATGCCCGATCCTTCTCTCCAGAAGGAGTAGTCTTTGACATCTCACGGAGGACGAAATCGTCATCCCGGACGGTCCTGTATCCAGCGTTTCCAGCACAGCCACTCCTTTGTCCGGTAGCGTGCCTTCGGGCGTACGAAGCCCGTACCGCACCCCTTCGGACGGGGTCAGACCCCCAACTCTTCATCTCCTTCCGGAAACCACATGCTCCAGTTTCCTCTCCAACCTTGGCCCGCTGGGTGAAATGGCTCATGTCTTTGGCAGGTATTGACACCCAAACGAGGCTTACGAAGCTTTGGTGAATGAGGCCCACTCGGGAGAGGAGCGGAGTGGAAGGCCGCTGCCCTGCTCTTCTACCTGGGACAATCCAACAGCTATTTGGTACTCCTCACAGGTCCCATTCCCCCCACCCCCCTTTGGACCGGTGGGGGTTATCTTGGTCCTCACTGGAGGGATCGGACACCACAAAGCCAAAACCCAGATGGCTTACTCTGCACCCGGAATCCTGTCCGGCATTAAAATGGCTGCCACTCAACAACCACTGGAAAAGACCACGACTTACCTGCAGGCAGCTCCATTCACAATGCAGTTTGATGGTATCGGTTCCCCCACCTGGACTGTACTGAGTCGGAACACCACAGCGACACCTCAGAAGTCAGCGGAGGTCTATCGGCAACTAGGGCCTATGATCTCCGTGGCCACCTTCCTGGGCCTCGAGCCATGAAGAGATGTCCATCGCATTGCAGCCCAACTCCTGGGAGGATCATTCTTTCCGGGGACTCTGATGTTGGCTCACAAGAGAGCCGGATTTGAGGGCGATTGATGCAGGCCTGAACAAAGACCCGGGGGTCAGCAGAGTGGAACACACCAGGCTTGCCCATCTATCGAGACACCTCTATACCCAGACAGGCCTGTAGTGGGAGTGGGCTGAGGCCATTTTGTGCAATTTGGGAAGCTTAATATGTGGGGCTCCAGTGGCATCTCCTAGCATGTTTTAGCTTATTTTTTTTATTTACGTTCCCCTTTTTAACACATGTCTAGCCAGCCATTCATGACATCTGAGTTTGATAAGTTTACCTATTTGTGCATAATTGAGTCATATAGTTCTACCTCCTTGAGCCTTGCACTATAACCTACCCTTTTGATTCAATTCAAAGAATATGCAGTATTTCCAGAGGGTCACCTAACTCATTGATACCCTCCTGTGACATATTCCTAGTTATTTAATATTTTACTGAGTGGATGCATCAAATAGCCTTCCAGCTGAAGTGGTAGAGGTTAACACAGTGAGGAAGTTTAAGCATGTGTGGGATAAGGCTATCCTAGCTATAAGATAAGGCCAGGGAATAATAATGAATAATGGGCAGACTAGATGGGCCGAATGGTTCTTATCTGCCGACACATTCTATGTTTCTATTTGCAAAGATCCTCCCAGGTACTGTTTGCAGCATTGTAGTGACTGGAAGGAGAATGGAGATACATTGATATGAAACTCTCTTTTCTTTAGTTACGTAATAGATTTTGGATTTTTTTTTTAATTTTCACACATTCTCTATGTCTCTTAAATGTAAGAGTATGTAATTTGGCTTAAAGAAAAAACCTCTTCAACTGAAAGAAAGGGTTCCACTATAAAAACCCTTTAAATGCAATAAGAAAGTAAAATATTAGATTAGAATCCAATAAATTTCAGGAGTGGTATTCCTTTAAATGGGCAATATATGAAGCAGATATTGAATAACTTGTAAAAGACAATAATAGAAATCTAATACAAATAGTACAATAATTCACCTTTTGTTACCATGCATTAATTAAAACATGTATCTGAAATATGTAGAAAATATATATAACTTAGTAGTAGAAATGTCTCTGTATTGATACAATAGTCTCTTTCAAAATGACACTGTGGTCTGTGATTTGTTAGCTGTTTACAGCTTTCTCCAGTTATGATCGAACTGGAATATGTTAGCTGAATGAGCTAATTTAGCATTGTACAAAATTATATAGATAAGCCAGTTTGCAGTTGATATATAATTGTATGTACTTAGTAAAAAATATAATAATAGCTAACAGATCATGGTTAATGATCTGTAGTTTAGTAGATAAGTTCCATGTTGCTCACAGAAAGTGAAACAAAATCCGAAGTGCTAAGTGCAATAAAATACGTTTATTGGATAAAAAAGAAAAGTTGTGCACTTACAATAACGCAAAGAGTCTAAGTGCTTAACTGGAATCTGGAGAACCTGGTGTTTGCAGCTTGTTCTTTTCGGTCCGCCGGCAGATGAATGGACCTGTGGATAGCCGCGTCCGTGTCACCGATCTCCTGCGTTCCAAGTGAAGCCCGGTCTTCTTTGCGATAAGTGCCACAAAGTGTTGAAGTCCTTACGCGTTTCGTGAGTCTAATGCTCACTTCATCAGAGGATATTGTGCAAGGAGAACCCACGGGTTTAAATAGCTGATTGCTGCTTCAGTTTATGTTAACCCTTTCATGCTTATGTTCATACTTGCTCTAATTATTAAAATTGTTTTAATACTGTACATATATATTCTTATAATAAATTTGATCTTTGAGGAATATATTTCATCATATAAAACACATTATAGGAGAAAATTCTAAGAAGTTATTATAAAAAGTTATAAAAAGAATTATAAGAAAATTTAACACTTCACTAAAAATATTTCATTAGAAGATAACATTGTTTTTAGAAAATGAAGGTGACATCATTAAAAGGATATAATAATATTATGTGGTGTAACAACATGTTAAAAGTAGTATAACTGCATATTAAAATGATAATACAGATATCTTAGAAAATTATACAGTGTTTGTTTATGCAAATGAAGATTAAGACTTTTGATATGGAGAAAACTTTCATCAGTAGTATGAGAATGAACAGTAAATAAAATATATGTGTAAATATTGAATATTAAGATGAGAAGATAAGAACAGGTTTAAAAAGATAAATATTTTAGATTTTATAGGAATGCTCGCAACTCAAAATCTATATTAAGTCCTTTTGGTTCTAGTGTATCTAATTTAAATATCCAGCTTGCTTCTGCTTTATCTAATTCTTTATTTAAGTCGCCTCCTCTCCATGGGATGTTTACTTTCTGTATTGCCATAAATATAAGGCCTTCAGGATTTCTCTTATGTTTGACATCAAAGTGCTTTGAAAGATTGTGTGAATAAAGTCCATTTCTGATATTTCTAATATGTTCTCCCATTCTTGTTTTAAATGCTCTTTTAGTGCGCCCTATGTATAATTTCTCACAGGGGCATTTTAACAAATAAATTACGCCAGTAGTGTTACATGTCAGTTGTGATTTAATTTTAAATGAATCTTGTGTTTGGGGATGAGCAAATTGTGTTGTTTTAATTGGTTGATTTGGATTATTTTTGCAAGCTTTACATTTTCCACATTTCCAAAAACCTGAAGATTTGTTTGTGGTGATGGTAGTATTTTGTTGTGTTTTTTCTTGTTTAGTAGTGGGGGCTAATAATAGACTTAAATTTGGAGCTCTAGAATATATTATCCTAGGTTTATTTTCTAGTATTAGATCTAATTGGGGATCACCTTTTAGTATGCTCCAATTTTTTTGTAAAATTTTTTTGAATTCCTGAGTATGATTATTATATCTGGTTATAAACGCCGGAGCTTCTAAATTGATGTTAGTGCTTTTTGGTTTTGTTGCTAAAATCTGTTCTCTTGTTAGGCTTGAGGTTTTGGATAGGGCTTCATTAAGTATGTTTGTTGAATAGCCTTTAGCTTGGAATTGTGATACCATATTTGTAGTTTGTTCATCACAAATATTAGGTTCTGAGCAATTTCTTTTAATTCTCCTGAATTGGCTGAATGGGATATTATTAAGCCAACTTTTTTTATGAAAACTGTTGTGAGGGATAAAACTATTGCATGCTACTACTTTCCTAAATGTTTTAGTTTCTAATTGGTTGTTCTTGATATAAATCTCTAAATCCAAAAATTCCAATTTTTCCGTGGATTGATTAAAAGTGAATTTAAGATTGTAAGGGTTAAAATTAAGGTATTCTTTGAAATGTTCAAGTGTTGCAGTGTTTCCTTTCCAAATAAAAATGCAATCGTCTATATAACGATGCCATGAGACCAGATTTGCGCCATATGGGTTATTGGACCATATATGTTCATCTTCCCATTTGCCCATAAATAGGTTTGCATAGCTTGGCGCAAATCTGGTCCCCATGGCTGTGCCTTCAATCTGGAGATAAAAACGTTGATTGCCCGAAAAATAGTTATGGCTGAGTATAAAGGCTACACATTTGACAATATATTCAATTTGATCATTCTTTAAATCTGAATGAGTTGCTAACGTATATTGAATAGCTTCACATCCCTGTAAATGTTCTATGACAGTGTACAAGGATGTGACATCAGCCGTAACTAGGATAAAATCTTTGTCCCATTGAATATCTGATAGAATTTTAATTATATGAGTTGTATCTCTCAAGTGGGATCGTAGTTTTGGAACAATTATTTGAAGAAATTGGTCAACGTATTCGGATAAGTTGGACGTTAGAGACCCAATGCCAGAGATGATGGGGCGTCCTGGTGGTTTTGTTAGGGTTTTATGAATTTTTGGCACATGATAAAATATTGGCATTCTTGGAAATTTACAATATAAGTAATCATATTCCTTTTGGTTTAAAATACCTCTCTCTTTACCTTCTTCTAATAGTATCTGTAATTCTTTTTGGAACTCTTTGGTAGGGTCATTAATTAAAATCTGATATGTTTGGATGTCTTGGAGAAGTCTAATATTTTCCACTCTATAATCTATTGTATTTAGCACCACTATGCCTCCTCCTTTGTCTGCCCCTCTTATAGTAATTTGTTCATTGTCCATAAGTCTTTTTAAATCAACGTTTTTATCTCCAGATTGAAGGCACAGCCATGGGGACCAGATTTGCGCCAAGCTATGCAAACCTATTTATGGGCAAATGGGAAGATGAACATATATGGTCCAATAACCCATATGGCGCAAATCTGGTCTCATGGCATCGTTATATAGACGATTGCATTTTTATTTGGAAAGGAAACACTGCAACACTTGAACATTTCAAAGAATACCTTAATTTTAACCCTTACAATCTTAAATTCTCTTTTAATCAATCCACGGAAAAATTGGAATTTTTGGATTTAGAGATTTATGTCAAGAACAACCAATTAGAAACTAAAACATTTAGGAAAGTAGTAGCATGCAATAGTTTTATCCCTCACAACAGTTTTCATAAAAAAAGTTGGCTTAATAATATCCCATTTAGCCAATTCAGGAGAATTAAAAGAAATTGCTCAGAACCTAATATTTGTGATGAACAAACTACAAATATGGTATCACAATTCCAAGCTAAAGGCTATTCAACAAACATACTTAATGAAGCCCTATCCAAAACCTCAAGCCTAACAAGAGAACAGATTTTAGCAACAAAACCACAAAGCACTAACATCAATTTAGAAGCTCCGGCGTTTATAACCAGATATAATAATCATACTCAGGAATTCAAAAAAATTTTACAAAAAAATTGGAGCATACTAAAAGGTGATCCCCAATTAGATCTAATACTAGAAAATAAACCTAGGATAATATATTCTAGAGCTCCAAATTTAAGTCTATTATTAGCCCCCACTACTAAACAAGAAAAAACACAACAAAATACTACCATCACCACAAACAAATCTTCAGGTTTTTGGAAATGTGGAAAATGTAAAGCTTGCAAAAATAATCCAAATCAACCAATTAAAACAACACAATTTGCTCATCCCCAAACACAAGATTCATTTAAAATTAAATCACAACTGACATGTAACACTACTGGCGTAATTTATTTGTTAAAATGCCCCTGTGAGAAATTATACATAGGGCGCACTAAAAGAGCATTTAAAACAAGAATGGGAGAACATATTAGAAATATCAGAAATGGACTTTATTCACACAATCTTTCAAAGCACTTTGATGTCAAACTTAAGAGAAATCCTGAAGGCCTTATATTTATGGCAATACAGAAAGTAAACATCCCATGGAGAGGAGGCGACTTAAATAAAGAATTAGATAAAGCAGAAGCAAGCTGGATATTTAAATTAGATACACTAGAACCAAAAGGACTTAATATAGATTTTGAGTTGCGAGCATTCCTATAAAATCTAAAATATTTATCTTTTTAAACCTGTTCTTATCTTCTCATCTTAATATTCAATATTTACACATATATTTTATTTACTGTTCATTCTCATACTACTGATGAAAGTTTTCTCCATATCAAAAGTCTTAATCTTCATTTGCATAAACAAACACTGTATAATTTTCTAAGATATCTGTATTATCATTTTAATATGCAGTTATACTACTTTTAACATGTTGTTACACCACATAATATTATTATATCCTTTTAATGATGTCACCTTCATTTTCTAAAAACAATGTTATCTTCTAATGAAATATTTTTAGTGAAGTGTTAAATTTTCTTATAATTCTTTTTATAACTTTTTATAATAACTTCTTAGAATTTTCTCCTATAATGTGTTTTATATGATGAAATATATTCCTCAAAGATCAAATTTATTATAAGAATATATATGTACAGTATTAAAACAATTTTAATAATTAGAGCAAGTATGAACATAAGCATGAAAGGGTTAACATAAACTGAAGCAGCAATCAGCTATTTAAACCCGTGGGTTCTCCTTGCACAATATCCTCTGATGAAGTGAGCATTAGACTCACGAAACGCGTAAGGACTTCAACACTTTGTGGCACTTATCGCAAAGAAGACCGGGCTTCACTTGGAACGCAGGAGATCGGTGACACGGACGCGGCTATCCACAGGTCCATTCATCTGCCGGCGGACCGAAAAGAACAAGCTGCAAACACCAGGTTCTCCAGATTCCAGTTAAGCACTTAGACTCTTTGCGTTATTGTAAGTGCACAACTTTTCTTTTTTATCCAATAAACGTATTTTATTGCACTTAGCACTTCGGATTTTGTTTCACTTTCTGTGAGCAACATGGAACTTATCTACTAAACTACAGATCATTAACCATGATCTGTTAGCTATTATTATATTTTTTACTAAGTACATACAATTATATATCAACTGCAAACTGGCTTATATATATAATTTTGTACAATACTAAATTAGCTCATTCAGCTAACATATTCCAGTTCGATCATAACTGGAGAAAGCTGTAAACAGCTAACAAATCACAGACCACAGTGTCATTTTGAAAGAGACTATTGTATCAATACAGAGACATTTCTACTACTAAGTTATATATATTTTCTACATATTTCAGATACATGTTTTAATTAATGCATGGTAACAAAAGGTGAATTATTGTACTATTTGTATTAGATTTCTATTATTGTCTTTTACAAGTTATTCAATATCTGCTTCATATATTGCCCATTTAAAGAAATACCACTCCTGAAATTTATTGGATTCTAATCTAATATTTTACATTCTCTATGTCTGTTTACATTTTTAAGGCTTTACTATTTGACTATTTTTAGATCATTAAGTTGATATTTAATATTTTTTTAACATGAACCTTGTTTTAATACCTTTATATATTGGTTACATTGTTTGCTTTTTTTTTTTTTTTTTTTAACTCGCTTTGAAAATATTTTTTTGGTACTTGAGTGCCACCTACAGGGATTGAGGAAACATTTTTTTGTTTAACATTGCTGTACGGCACATTTTATTAGGATGTGTACATAGTTGGCATTTATTTTTCTTACAATATTTATTGAAAACCCAACCTTTTAATAGGTAATTTATTTGATTTAAAAATATATATTTTTATTGGTTTTACAATGTCAATATAACAACCGTTCACTGCTCTAACCTGGGTCCAACAACCCTCCAACGAGGCAATAAACTCCCCTCTCTTTACCTTATGTTGCTACAGCCTTGGCAATAGGTTCTCCCATTTCTCCCATATCTTGTCAAATCTCTCTCTTTCCTCTCTAGAGCTAACACTCATTCTTTTGTATATATGGCCAAACGCACCTTCTCTATGAGATTTAGTATGCTTGGGCAAACTGCTTACAGTTTAGGACAATAAGCTGTCTAGGAGCAAGAATAAAATGTTTAGCTAGTGTCCTCATATGTCTGAGGAGTGAGTTTGGGAATAGCAGTAGTAGGTAGCAGGATGGCGTAAAGGGTATGCAATCAGTAGACATTTGTGTATACAGTCTTGTGACTTCCTCTTACAGTGGCAGCAACACCCTGCACTCCAATCAAATATGTAGCCTGGTGCCCTCTTCTACCCCACACTGCTAACGTAGAGGGGGTGAAATACCATCTACATATCAATTTTTTATGAGCTTCCATTATGAAGAGAAGCGGGACAAGTCACCTAGGGCATTGAAATACTCCAGCCAAGACGGTTCTGATAGGTGCGTTCCACATCCCATCTCTTCAGAAAGCAAATGGGCTAGCAGGAACTTTTTCTTCTAAAGCTGTGTAGCACAGTGACAGGGTCTTTCCCAGCACCTATGTATGAGCACTTTAAACACTGCGTTAGTCTGATAAGCAGGGTCTTGTGGTGTTGTCACCTGAGAGAGAATTATACTTTTTATATGTAGTGTGATCCTTGTCTGCAGGTAGCACGGTCCTCTTGGGCACAAACATGCACAGTCTTTTAAGGCAACTTAATTCCAGGCACTTTATTGTTAAACTCCACCACAGATACAGCAGCAAATAAAAAAAAAACCAAACAGTAACAAATCCCTATAAACAAAAACCTAACTCGGTCTGAGCACTTACTAACATCAAGTTCCCTATCTCTCAAGGGTTTAAACTATAACAGAACAATAATTGGTTTCACCAACCTAGTGCCTTTGTCAGATCTCTGCACTCCACACTCAGTTTGCATGTGCCTTCCATTCCTTCTAGAAAAAACAAAAATTCTCTCTCTCCTTTCTGCACTCCAGTGCTCTCAGCTAGCCTGCTGCTTTCCTTTCTGCACTCCCAGTGCTCCAAGCCAGCCTTGACTGCTTCCTTCTGCACTCCCAGTGCTCCAAATGAGCCTTGACTGCTTCCTTCTGCACTCCCAGTGCTCCAAGCCAGCCTTGACTGCTTTCCCTTCTGCACACCCAGTGCTCCAAGCCAGCCTTGACTGCTTTCCCTTCTGCACACCCAGTGCTCAGTCTCCTTGACTGTCTCACAGGAGAGAACAGCGTCTCTCCTTCCTGCTTCCAGAGAGGAAGCCAGCAAACCCCCTTTTACCTGCCTAGCAGGGAGGGGTTTATTTCCACTGCTGCAGCTGATTATCTGCAGCTGAGCAGTGGGTTGGAGACAGATCAAAACTCTGGCCTGGAACTTATTTCTCCCAGTTGTATGCAAACTGCGGAGTGGAGCATTGGCCCACCCTGCTCTCCAAATGCTCCACCCCAGGGGCCCTTAACTAAACTTAGGTTTGTGTTGCCTACAACACATACTACACATACTCCCCCTGGGGTTAAATGTTATAGGCCTATCTGCCTTCACTTTATCACAGTAGGTGGGGAACAATTTGATTTTGTGGAAGTGCAAACTTGGCTTGGATATCTGGGAAATGTAGTAGTGTGCTCTTCGATAATAGTGAATCTACCTAATCTTCCCCAGCCTTAGCCCAATGTTTCAGGGACAACCACGCACTCAGAATCAACAACACTGACAACAGGTCAGCAGACATGTATTTCCTCCCCACCGCTGTACCACTCTGTGATTGCCAACGATGTAGAACTGTAATACCACGTATGTGCTTTCCTCAAATGTCTCTGAGTCCATTTGGTGTCAAGCACCATTGGGTTTAGCTGTTGGGATATCTCCTTTTCATTCACTGAAATATACCACTCGATGATGCACAGCTAAGGCCACCTGTAACAAGCCCATCCTGTAATATCTTTCAATGTGTGGCAGTCCCATACCGCACACACATACAGTCTGTGTAGTGACTTGTTGAATGTCAAGGGGATCTTAATGGGTAATAGACTAAAAAGATACAATATTTTTGGGAGTAACATCATCTTTAATGTATGAATTCTACCTGCCCAGGGATATATATATTAAATAGTAAAACTCATAGGCTAATACTAATAGCATAAGGTGTCCCTATTTGGCTAACTCCTTCCTACATTTATCCAGAAATAGTAGGTAAAATCAGTTGTGTATTTTTGGTCAGTTTGATGCTAATGGTGGTAGTTCTCCAGTAAAATCTGTATGTACTCATTAACTCCTCAATCACTCTCCCCAGAACACCTTTAGTCAGTGCCTGTGTTTTGCTTGATTTCATTTGTAAATTGAAAATTGACCTTAATGGGCCATCAATTCCAATAGTGCCGGTATTGAGCAGGTAGAGTCGCTTAGTGTTAATATTAATGTTAAGATAATATCATGTGCAAAAATTGACAGACAAAAGTCCTGGTCCCCAATTGTAATGCCCTGCATTCATATTTCGATCCTGCATTAAAGATTATGGTAATGGTTCTAAGGACAGTGTGAACAAGAATGGGGAGAGAAAGCACCCTTGCCGCATACTTTCAGAGGAGTATGAAAACTGCCTGTATGCCCTGTTGACACATTTTTTAACCCCAATGGGACAAGGGATATGTAAATCACGTTATTGAATAAACCTATTAATATGGGAATTAAATATTTTCAAAAACTAAAGAGTGTGTTTATATAACAATAAATACATCAATAACTAACTTGTATAGAGTAAAATAATCATCTTACCTTGACTAGGTTCCTGTGGAGTGGAATCAAGTGCTTGCCATCCATCATATCCACTGGGCAGATCAGGCCTCTTCATCCACACTTCATTCCAGACATGAAAATTCCTGCAGCAGTAGAGGAGAAAAACATGTAGTTTTATAATATTGAAGGGACACCCTAAGCACCAAAGTACTTTATTTTATTTACATTGTTTTAGTGTAAAGAATATGCTCTTGCAGTCTCGCTGCTCAATTCTCTGCCATTTATACGTTAGATCACTTTTGTTTCTGTCCATGCAGCCCTAGCCCCACCTCCCAGTCAGCAGAGTCTGTTTACTTTAGAAGATTTTATCTGTTAACGGAGCAATAGAAAAGAAATTCTAAATTAAGCAGACTGCGCAATAAAGAACGTTTAAACTTTAGATCTCTCTTCACAGGAGGTGTGTCTAGAGCTGCAAAAACAAAGGGATTTAACTCCTAAATGGCAGAGAATTGAGCAGTGAAACTGCAGGGGCATGATCTATACACCAAAACTACTCCATTAACCTAAAGGTGTTTTGGTGCTTACAATGTCCCTTTGAACCGTAATGGGACATATATTCCAATAGTGCTGGTATTGAGCTTTACTCATGGATTCAGGGCCGCTGTCTATCCTCTAGGTGGATGCCTAGGCTCCACCTCGGGGTTAAACCTTGTTTAACTCGATCCAGTTCAGCTAAGTAATAGCAGAGCTTATAACAATGATTGACAGGAAGACAAGATGGAGGTGCCCAAGTCCACAAAAATAGCAGAATACAATATTGCTGATTTCTATATATAAAGGTTTACTCTAGGCACCATGACCACTTTAGTAATTTGAAATGGTCATGGTGCCTGAATCTGCATGTGCAGTGATTTGCATACTGATTTGAATCCCTTTGCTGCTGGAGGCGTAACTCCACCTCTGGCAGTATCATTGTGGTTGGTTATTGTCATTTCTGCAGAATGTCATTCATTGGCCGAGAGAAGTCAGCTGATGCTCTCAGCTAATGAATGGCAACAGGATCGGTATGCAGCTTCTTTAGCTCTGCGGAAGCCAGATGCATATCCCCAGACCTGCAAGGAGGTTCTGTGCTAGCCTGAAAATCCCTTTTAAAGTAAAATTCAAATAATAAAGTGATTCACAAACCCAATGTGAGTTATTTCACATGTAAGAACCATTCCATGAAAGTTAAACTACAATATTTAATATGTGCTGTGCTTGTCAGTATGGATTTGTACATACCAAACAGAGTCAGAGGTCCAGTCGTCTAATTTTTCTCCTTTGTCATTTAAGTAAATATCAACGTTTAAATTTTCTTCCGTATCGTGAGCTGAAGCAAAGTTAGTAACACTTCTAGCTGGGATACCTAAGCACCGCAACACTATCAATATAAAGGAAAAAAATACATTAATTAATTAATAAACAATATGGCTTTAGAAATAAATAAATTTGTTTAACTGGCATTATAAAAGACCACTCGGAGCTTACAATTTTTCTTGTATCGTCATTGCTTACTTGTAGGTGGAAGAGGTTTGAAGGTGTGGGAGCAACCGGTGGTGGATTTCCAGTGAAGAACTTACAGTTCCCACAAAATGCATATGAAGTGCCATCTAGCTGGTTGTTTTCAAGATGTAGCAAATGAAGCTTAAGCTACCTCCTTTAGGTGTAGTCCATATGGCCAAACGAGGATCGCCCAAAACCAAAAATATGGACAATATTCAAATGTATGAGATATTTAAGGGGATTGAGTACACTGTGATATACACACCTTGATGAAAACCTAGTATCGAAACGTGATGTGCTGTACTGTGTGGTGGCTTTTATTATTAAAAAACACCACTACTTTAAGTTTTTAAGTACTTTACAAGAAAGTCTTTTGAGTTTGCTCAAATTCGTTCCTTATCATATGCTCCAGTGTTGACTTTGGAGTGAATGGGTAGAATTTAAGTTGAGTTGAAGCCCAATTTCAAATGCCATATATTAGAGCCAATATTGCTGGCTCTGATAATTGTAAGTCATATACTGCATTGTGGGAAGCTTCAATTTATATATACATATTACATTATGATATTTGCTCTGTGTTATCTCTTGTAGATTTACCCCTGTTATTTTGTACCTGGAGGGTAACATTTTATTTGTGCTCATGTGCACTTTCACGTTTTTATTTGTGCAATAACCTTGTATATGTCAAAGCAAGGATGCATTTTTGCGTTTATTGCAATGGTAGGGCTCTTTATAATTGGTCTCGGGGTTTAATAAATGTAGTTGTCTATCTGTAGCATATGTGTGAGCAGCGATGTATGTGCCGTGAGGCTAAGTGGGTAGAACTTACGGGGGGGCGGCAAAAAAAGACACCACCCCCCCTCAAACACCCTGGCAAATGTCCTGCCAGCCTCTTGTCCTGGGTGGCCCAGGAGATGACCAGCTGGCCAGCTCAGGGCCCCCCCAAGGCTGGCATGCGTTGATAATTACAACTCTCCCCTGAGCTCTCCCTGAGAAGATCAGAGTTCCCTCGCTGCCCGCCTCCCATGTGCCTGCCAGCCCGACCGCCCGCCTGTCTGCCGATCTGCAGCCAGCCCCACTGGACACAAGGGAAGAATCCACTCCAGCACTCCCAAAGGTAGGGAGGCTGGGTGGATTGAACAAATAATAAAAATAAAAAAAACATTGTGTGTTAGTGTCTGTGTCTGCTACTAAGTGTGAGTGTGTGTGTGTGTGTCTGTTATTGAGTGTGCTAGTGTGTGTGTGTGTTAGGGAGTGTGTATGTGACTATCAGAGAGTGTGTGTGTCTGTCACTGAGAGTGTATATGGTTTTTGTCAGTGAGTGTGTATGTGTGTTTGTCAGTGAGAGTGTATATGTCTTTGTCAGTGAGTGTGTTTGTCAGTGTGTACATGCATGTCTGTTACTGAGAGTGTGTGTCTGTCAGTGTGTATGTGTATCTGTTGGTAAATGTGTGTGTCTGTCGGTGAATGTGAGTGTCTAACTGTGAGTGAGTGTAACAGTGAATGAGTGAGTGTGTATGTCTGTGAATATGTAGGTTTCAGTGAAAGTGTGTGTTGGTTAAACAGTGTGTGTAACAATGACTGTGTATCTGTCAGTGTATGTGTAATGGATCGCCTGGCACCCCGACTGGGTACCTCCGTTGAAGGATGCACTTCCTGAGGACTCCAAGCACTCTGGCAGACACCACAATCACCGAACCGGAGAAACAAATAAATTCTCCCAAGCATATGAATGCTGTAGACAGTTGAATAGGAACCATACGAATAGGTTTACTCTCCTAGCAGTCAAACTGGAACAGCATACAATAAATCCTTCCCCCAATAATGAGACGACACTTCACTTTGAGGGTTAAAACAGGAACTCTCTGTACTGTCACATACAGTCTCTTTTATTCCCAATCCACAAACATAGTACAGCCCACAGGGCGTTACAAAACAACCAATCAATCCGTACAATACACCCAGACACTCCCACACAAAATCCTCCCCTCTGGCAGGTGATATGATTACTGAACACAATGGGTAATCTCATTATCACCGGCAGAGGAATACAGTTTTTACACAATATTTATAACTTCTAAAATATACATGTCACAAACATAAAACATACATTTTCATAATCAATCCATTCAGGGGAACAACATATTAAAAAATGGCACGAATCAGACCAGGGGTTCAAAAGTTAAGGGAAAGTCCTTTGTGACTAAATGAAGCATGGTTTTTCTGCCCAAAACCAGTTCCACAGAGTCTTCTATAGTGGAGATAATTGAGAAGTAATTCAATTATCTCCAAGGACAGAGGCAAAACTCCATTAGCCACATGGCAGACAAAGGACAATAAAAGACATAAAAATACAATAAAATATACAAGGTTACATTTATTACATAAAATACAGAGATTCTACCTATCCCCAGATAGCTTAGATCTGAGTGCACATTATTACCGGATGGCGCCCAGATCACATACATATAGTTCAATCGCCATGGAGCCAAAGTCTTTCATACAGTCTTTCAGTATACTGCTGGGCTCCATGGCATAGCTATCTGGGGTAGCATGGCTTTAACAGTCCGCAGAAAGGCACAAACCAGCCTTTCTGCAGGGAAAAAGAACAGGGGCCATAGTCTAAAGGCAAGAGGCGGGCAAACAGCCCCCTCCAAGGACACGTGGCGAGGCCGGTTTCGCCACAGTATGTATGTCAGAGCATGGATTAGTGAGGGCGTGTGTCTGTCAGGAAGAAAAATTTGGAACAGAGGAGGTGGTGCCCGAGTTTTGTCATGCCTAGGGCAGCACAAAACCAGAATACACCACTGTGTGTGAGTTATTGTAAATGTATGTGTGAATAAATGTAAACGTATTTGTCTAGTGCAGGGGTTCCCAATTAATTAACGCCTTTAGGACGAAGGCAATTGTACGAGTTCTGATCAAACAAAATGTAAACAAAACCTGGAATTTGTGCTATATGTTGTTCAACCATAATTTACCTCTTTCATATTAAGTTCCCTCACACGTATTATATATAAATTTGTACAGTAGAAAAGCAGCTTTCATTTCATATCGCATATTTACATATGAAACATAATTTAATGGGAATAAAATCTAAAAAAGTGTGAAACATTGCAAAAAAAATTTATTTTTCAAATTCTGCATGACATTTATTGCAATAAAACAAACATATTTGTGTTCAGCGATGTCTCATGAGTACAGCAGTGCCCCTCATGTACAGATTTTTGTGGGTTTTTGAAAACTTACAGGAGTCAGTTATAGGGCTTTCTCCTTTTCCATTTTTGCACATTGAAATTTGCCAAATTAGTTTGCTTGACCTATGTTGCCTTTGCGACCATATGGCAGCCCAGGAATGGAAATTAACCCCATTATGGAGTACCATTTGTAAAAATAGACGACCCAAGGTATTCAAAATGTCTTTTTAAGTGGTCACTTAGTCACAAACCCTGGCCAAAGTTAGCGTTTATATTAGGTTTTTTTGCATTTAAACTGCCCTTTCACCAATGATATCATCAGTATTATATATTTTACTGCTCTAAAACACTCATATTTGTGTAGAGTAATGTCTCATAAGTACAACAGTACTCCCAATGTACAGGTTTTATGTATTTTTTTTTTAAACGTTACAGGGTCAAATAAAGACTTGCCATTTTCTGTTTTTGCAAATTGAAATTTTTCAGATTTGCTATGTTGCCTTTGAGACTGTATGGCAGCCCAGGAATGCAAATTAACCCCGCCATGGCATAGCATTTTAAAAAGAAGACAAACCAGAGTATTCAAAATGGGGTTATGTCCAGTCTTGTTTAGTAGCCACTTAGTCACAAAAACTGGCCAAAGTTAGTGTTCATGTTTGTTTTTTCGCATTTCTTTTACACGAAAACTGCTCTTTTGCTGGTGATATCATCGTCGTGATAAGTTTTACTGTTTTTGTGTTCAGCGAAGTCTCCCAAGTACAACAGTACCCCCCACGTACATGTTTTATGGTGTTTTAGAAAATTACAAAGTTAAACATAGGGCTTCAAATTCAATTCTCTGGACTTGCTGCCTGGGTTGTCAGACAGGTACCTCAAATTATAATTAATAATATGACTTAATTATGTAAAAAGATTACATAAATATACATGTAGAATTTAAATATATATACAATACAAATACTTGTATTTAAATTCTACGTGTATATTTATGCAATTATTTATGTAAATTGTAAATTATTGATTTATATATATATATATATATATATATATAAAATACATTGCTAAACACAAATACACACACCGGTCAAGCCATTAGATTTGTTTTTCCCCCAGAAATCTCACTTTAACAATGCTCTCACTACTGCAGGGGATTCTGGGTAGGCATATGCAAATTAGCTTAACAAAGAACCACATTTTTGCCTCGTAATTCCACTTTATACATGGATTCCTTGGAGTATGTGTCTGCTGTATACAACAGCTTTGAAACACAACTCAGGAAGAGGAGCAAGGCCAGTGAACCACTCATGGACAGCTGTTTCATTGCTAATGCAAACTCAGCTTGCTATGGAAGCATGGCTTTACTTGTAAAGTACATACATATATATATATATATATAATACCTCGATGGAGAACACTCACAGGACTCATAATGATGATAAGATGCTTTTATTCAGCAAAAGTTCATAAATCAAGTGTTAGTGTCATTGATTTATGAACTTTTGCTGAATAAAAGCATCTTATCATCATTATGAGTCCTGTGAGTGCTCTCCATCGAGGTATTTTATACAAAGGCCAGGCGTTGCACCAAGACATAGACAAGACTGGGAGCTTTGAGTGCGGGACGCAAGGCATTATATATATATAAAATGTCATTCTAAGTGTATTTTGATGACAATATATATAAATATTGTCAATATGAAACCAGGGGGCTGCACTCACCTGAACATGCATAAATGTGGTGTCTTGCTGGGGGCCAATATATACAATACACAATTTCCAGCGCACTTACTCATCCACTAAACACTAAACAGCAACTTCAATGTTGACAGATTGTAATAGTTTTTTTTTTTTTGTTACATTATATGATCATACATTGCCTAAGCCTGCCACAACGTCAATGTACCCCATCATTGGCAGGTCCTACTCTAACAGCCTAATGTCTGCTCTTATGTATTGTACATTGCCAATATAATATAATATATAAATACCAAAATTCTTTTAGAATGAAATTACATATATATATAATTTAGAAAAATTTATTATTTAATTAATTTATTTAATGTATTTTAATTTTATTAAAATATATATAAAATGTATACAATTACTGTATATGTGTGTGTATATATATATATATATATATATTATACTGTATATGTGTGTGTATATATATATATATATATGTGTATTTTGCTATTGTTTTATATATATATATATATATATATATATATATATATATATATATTATATCTCAATATCAAAATAAACTTGTTATGGATTATATATGATATGTTATCCCACAACATAACATTGTATTAACTAGATATTTGTATCTATGTGTATATATATATATATATATATATATATATATATATATGTGTGTGTATTTTTCTGACATATGGTGGCAGTACGTATGGGGTTGTGCTTCCTAGTTGGGACAGTCATCTGCAAGAAAGGAATTAAGAAAAGTACCTCCCCCATTACCCTATAAAGGGCTTCCCATGGCAAACCCACCTCAGTTCTTCCTTGTCCCGGCATGGGATGGATCAGGCATCTGTTGGAGGTGAGGCACACGGGTTGATGCCTGGGGGATGCGGCCCGATAGCTCCCGGGTGGCAGGCTGAGTGGCCAGTCTCCTTCCACGTACGGAGCTTCAACACCAGGATCTTTGTATGCTGAGTAAGTACCGGCTTTGGGAAGAAAGCGTGGCGAGGACGCAGTGAGTACATGGCTGGACCTGCGTCTGCGCACAGCGGTGGAACGCACGCCCGGGTGGTGTTGCGTTTCACCGAAGTTCCAGTTGTGTTATTGCGCATGCACGAACCAGAACTTCCTGGAAACGGCCGAGTGCGGATCTTACTGCTACCTTGCGTACCCTGCTGTGATTCCAGGAGCTGCAATATGACATCACTCCAGCCCTGGCATCACTAAACAGTGCACGAGGGAGCAGTGAGGAACTGGAAGATTACAGGAGCCACTTGACCCGAGGGAGAAGACCCACACAAGCTCTCCCAAAAGCAGGGAAGTCTGGATGGGCCTAAAAAATTAAATAAAAACACAAGAAATAAAATTAATTTGTGAGTGTGTGTGCAAGAATGTGTAAATCAGTGAGTGTGCCTATCTGTGTGTGGGTGTCTGTCAGTAAGTGTTTTAAATCAGTGAGATTGGATGTCTGTCATTAAGAGTGCCAGTGTGTCTGTCAGTGAGGTTGTCCATCAGTGAGTATTTCAAATCGATAAGTGTTTCAAATCAGTGAGATTGTGTCTGTTAATGTGTCTGTCAGTGAGTGTGTTTCACATCTGTGAGATTGTGTGTCAGCAGGGCCTCCATCAGGGGGTGACAACCATGATGGTTGTCACGGGCCCGGCGGTCCATGGGGGCCCGGACTGCTCTGGCAGTCCCGGGCCCCACTTTCCCTCTCTATCTCTTTTGCTATCTATGTGTGCATCCACGGGCCCCCTGCTTCCTGTTACCGCATAGGGGGCCCAGCACACTGCCTGTTCTCCTCTCTTCCAATAACTCTCGCGATACCCGCGGCCTTCTGAGTGTTGCCATGGCAACGCTCCGCGCGGCAAGCAGGCCGCGGGTATCGAAAGAGTTATTAGAAGAGAGGAGAACAAGCCAGGGTCCCCCATGCCACCAGACCACCAGGGAATGGAATTTCCCCCCTCCCTGGACACAGGTAAAGAGCAGGGAGGGGGGAGAAACATTTAATTAATTTAATATAAAATTTATTTGAAATTAATGTGAAAATGTCCCTTCCTCCCCCCCACCCCCAGATTGCACATTTACACACACACTGCATACACTAACACAACACACACACTCCATACACTAATACAACACACACACTCCATACACTAACACAACACACACACACTGCATACACTAATACAACACACACACTGCATACACTAACACAACACACACACACACTGTATACACTAACAGAACACAACACACACTGCATACACTAATACAACACACACACTGCATACACTAACACAACACACACACTGCTTACACTAACACAACACACACTGCATACACTAATACAACACACACACTGCATACACCAATACAACACACACACTGCATACACTAATACAACACACACTCTGCATACACTAATAAAACACACACTCTGCATACAGTAGTACAACACACACTCTGCATTCACTACACTAACACACACTCTGCATTCACTACACATTAACACACTCTCTGCATTCACTACAATAACACACACTCTGCATTAACTGTACACACAACATTCACTACACAAACATCCTGTATTCACAGTACATAGATGACATCCACCACAAATTGAAACACTCTGCATTCACTATACACAGACACTGCGTCTACTAAACACATTTAATCTAGTACACACAAACACAACATCCACTACACAAACACACACTACATCACTGTACACACACTACATCCACTACTCAAACACACTCTGCGTTCACTATACACACTGCATCCGCTACACAAACACACACTCTGCATTAACTGCACAAACAGTATCTAATACACACAAACACTACATCCATTACACACATTCTAATTCACTTCCATTATACAAACCACATTCAGTCCTGCATTATTGTCAGCGGACTAGGTAGGGCGTGGGCGGGCCCAGGGGGGGAGGGGGGACCCAGGCCTTGTGCTTTGTCAGGGGCCCCAAAATTACTGATGGCGGCCCTGTGTGTCAGTGTGTATGTCAGTGAGTGTGTCTGTCAGTAAATGTGTTTCAAATCAATGAGATTGTGTGTTTATCATTGAGAGAGTGTGTGTGTGTGTATGTGTGTCTGTGGGTGTCAATTCAGTAAGTATGTGTGTCTGTCAGTGAGTGTATCTGATTACAAAAAGGGGTGGGGCTTAAAGATGGAGAGATGGCGTCATTGACATAGAAACATGCACGATGGACTGCAAAGGGGTGGGCTTATTAAGGTGAAAGGGGAGGGGTTATTAAGATGACCACACCCACCCAGGCATCCCCCCAAAACAAAATCTGTGACTAGGGTCAACAATGGTCTCTCATATTTCCTCTCACGTGTGTCTCCCATATTTCTCACCATATCTTTCTCTTCACAGGTCTCACATTTCTATGCATGTATTTCAGTTCATATGTTTTACTTTTTTAGTCCATATTTCAATTCCCACCTGGCTAACCCCAAATCAAATGCGCCAATGCTGTAGCTGCTGATAACATGTGGCATGGCTGAGCAAGATGCTCTCCGTCTGTGAATCTGGCTCTGTGCATTCCCTTGCAGAGCTGTTCTGCAGCAGCGTCCTGTGTGTATATAACTCCTCGTCATCCCAGACGAAGTTCAGAAGTCCCTGCAGGGGAGTGCAGGTAGAGAGAGAATGCATCTGTCTGCTGAATGTTAAAGTGCTTGGACTCTCCATAAGGCCCACGGTTTTCACTGGTGCTGGCCACTCAGTCGGTACCATAAATTAAACACAATAATGGTGAACTGACTGGGTACATCCCCACACAGTTTCTACATCTATGATTCCTGGCCTACCTCAAATCCTCATAGATTTAAAGTTTTATTGACCAGGGACTTATTTGACACTAAATAGTCACTTTATTTAAATCTAAAGTGCTGCAAAATATGTTTTCATAATATAAATAATAATACAATTAGTGGCAGAAAATGTGATATAATTTTAAATTTTGAGTACACCCTATAACACACAACACAATATTTTATTTAATTTTACCTGTGGTGAGAACTCCAGAAAACACCCAGCACTGCCCAAAAAGAACAGGTTTTTTAGTTTTATAGTACTTCTGCAATATAGTGCTGCTTCCTGTCCAAGTGGTAGGAGAAGTGCCTGCAGAATAATTACCAGACCAGTTCCCACTTAGTACTCCTTGGTCATCATTTGAGTTAACCTGAGGAAAAACAATACCCTTTGCTCAGTCTCTTGAAGAATATTAAGTTAAAGATACTGGGTCCAGTTTCAAGATCTTAAATATTGCATTGTAATACCAAACTTACTAAGGCAGATAATTTCCTGGATAAAATCACTGGGTCCCTCCTCGCTGCAGATTTAAGTCCACTTCGATCAAGAAGGTGCATGCAACAATCCAGTACATCAATTTCATGCTGGGAAAAAACCCAAAACATTTAAATTAAATAAAATTAGACATGAGTAAATATGGGATTAACCATATAGGTGGTACTGGAACTAAAGTATCAGGGGTGTTTTAACATGTACAGCATTCATAAACATCAATTAAAAGCAAAATATAGCATCCCATTTACCCTAGAGACCTTGGCTTGCTTCTTAGGAGGACTTGCCTGGTAAATGCCCTTATACTGGTTCTTTGACTCAACAATAGCTTTTAGAGGCATATATTTGTTATGACTGACTATTTAAAACAGCGTATTTGTTCTTTGTATTTCCATAAATTCTGTGATTATACCCACAAGAAGATTCAATTAAAAATAAATAAAATTATTATGATGTGTTTTGTCATGATCCATTCCAAAACAATTTTTGCAGTGTGGCACGGTGAATTATCCTGCTGAAATACACCACTGCTATCATGGAACATCATTGTCATGAATGGGGTGTACGTGGTCTGCAACAATCTCTAGGTAGATGGTACATCTATGTGAATGCCAGGACTCAAGATTTCCTAGAAGGACATTGCCCAGAGCAAAACACTGCTTCCGCTGGCCTACTTTCTTCCCACAATGCACAAGCACCCGACCATCCAGCTGATCTAAAAGAAACCGTGATTCATCAACAGATAAGGCAACCTTCTGCCATTGTTCAAAGGTAAAAATCTGACGATCATGTCCCCATCAAAAGTGCTTTTGACGGTGAACAGGGGTCATCGTGGGCACAATGATCGTCCTGCAACAACGCAGTCCTATATGCAGCAAACTGTGATGCACTGTATGTTCTAACACCTTTCTATCATGACCAGCATTAAGGGTTTTAGCAATGTGAGCATTAGTTGCTATTCAGTGTGATTTGACCTGAAGGGCTAGCCTTCACTCCCCATGTGCATGAATGAGCCTGACACCGGTTCACCAGTTGCCCATCCTTTTGGTAGGTACTGTAACAGAGCTCCCTGTACCCCTGGCTGGGTACCTCCACCAAGGACTGCTTGCTAGCTGGAACAGGGGACAAACCGCAGCACTTCTGCCCACTGTTGCAGTGGCTTAACAGGGGTCCTGGAACCGCTCCCTCCTGGAGCCGAAAGGGGAATTCGCTCTAGACACCCCCAGGCACTGGACGACACTCAGTTCTGGGAACTCTAGTCCTTACAAGGATTTTCTCTCTGTTGAATCCTCCACACTGAAACAGTGATTAAAGAATAGCCCTTCCCCCTCCCAGTAACCAGACAACACATAGTTCTGGGAGTACAAGCTGGAATTTTTATTGGCAGCCACAACTGGCCTTATATGCAAGTCCCCATCAGAAGGGCACCGGACCTGAGAATAAACCATAGTAGAAACAAATACACAATTACATTGGCTCTCAAATCCAGGACACTCCTATACATAATAAGATAATCCCTCCCCTGTGTCTGGGAGATAATTCAGTCAAGTGCTGTATTAAACTCAATTATCTCCAGGTACAAAAAAACACACATTTCCCAAACACCCAAAAGTACCTAAAAATGACATAAAACCCAACAAAAGTTACATCCCCTGTTAGCCCCGATCTGGATGACCACATATCCAAAAATCACCCAGATCGGTTCAGAGGTTCAGGAATTTCCTGGAAGTCATAATTTGACTGACTGCATGCATGGTCCCTTGCCCAAAACCATTCCAGAGAATTAGGGCTTGCGGTCGATCTAGTTCGGTGGTTCACAAAACCAAAAAACTTACCGACCATAGTCAATGTTCTTACCCTGAAACTTGTTCCCCATGTTTGCGGGAACGTTTCCACCGAACAGCGCCTTTCTAAGTGTTGTAGAACCTAACCCAGGTAATCATGGAAGTCCAGTAGTGTTCGGGAGTTTCAGTGTCCGAATATAGTTCCATGTACTCGACGACCAAACACCGCTGCCTGTTTTTATGGGAACAAGATATCCGCCACCTTGTGGTCGTCCATAGGAATTGCGGCCACCCAGACAAACACTTAGAACACTGCGGTGGAAATTGCTACAAAGTATCAGTTAGGCTTAACAAGCTCCAGGGTGGTCTCCGGTTCGTGCCACTGTTCGGTTCCCAAACCATATAGTCAAAATACATGAACGGAGACTTTTACATCACATATTACAGGGTCCATAGACTGTGGGCAGGAGGCTAGCGGGCAGGAGGCTAGCAAGCAGGCTCCTCCGGGAACTCGTGGCAAACTCACTTGGAAAGGGGAGTTTGTCACAGGTACTAACAATTGCATACTGGGAAAACTCCACAAGACTTGCCGTTTTGGAGATGCTCTGACCCAGTTGTCTAGCCATCACTAGTTTACCCTTGTAAAAGTCACTCTTTTTGTTTGCCCATTTTTCCTGCTTCCAACAAATGAAATTCAAGAACTGACTGTTCACTTGCTGCCTAATATATTGCAGCCTTTGACAGATGCCATTGTAATGATATAATCATGTTATTCACTACACCTGTCAGTGGTTTTAATGTTGTGGCTGATCAGTGTATAGCAGCAAAATGGTGTTAAAAACTGTATTCTGTATTTCATTTAAAAAAAACTAACCTTCTCTGCAGTTTACTCTATTGCTTGTATACATGTTGAAAGCCGTGATGTGGTTACTAGTGGTAACCTAACACTTCGTAAATGCATTGTTTTAGCGTATGAAGCTTTTCCTTTTTTTTAATGTAAGCTAAAGATGGGCACAACTAAGCCAATCACTTTTAGTCCCTTTTGAGCCTGGATCTTGGACTGTGAGACTAATGTTCCAGGAAAACATTAATTGCAGGAGACTGAAGACCAGTTGCAGCTAGTGAAGTTTAAAGATGGTGGGGCGATGCCTTTCCCCAACTAAAATACCACCAAAGGCACCCAGGGCACTTCATCTTAATATGTGCACCTGTGTTCAGACAGTGTTTGCAAACTGACCGTTAGTCTCTCATTTATTGAGTGGTATGTGCTTCAAGTATAAGAAGACATATAGAAGGGGAAAAAATGGTCATTTAGTATAATACCTCAAGACACCATAGATTATGCATATATAAACATAGGGTCATTGAAGTAGACTTATTTAACCAAATCACATCTGTGATATGCGCCTAAGGTCAAGATAATTCCTATCAAACAAATTTAAGGCTATTAAATCAGATCTCTCTCACTGATAGAGTGTATCTATCGGCCATAAGATATAGGCTGTGTAATGTGCTAATGTCTGCTAAAATATGGCACCTCCTTTAGGTGTTTAACCCATATCCAAGCAGTCGAAGAGGGTGGGAATGTATGGTAGTGGCAAGAGATTTGTGTTGTTTAAGTAATATCACATAGTAGCTCAGACGCCTCGAGACCACCCTGTGGTGGTTCAGTGAATAGCATAAAAATAAACCATAATGAAATACAAAAGCAAATCATACTTCCTTCAAAAATTTAAACTATGAACACTTATGTCACTGAGTCCTATCCCCCTCCAGGAACAAATGGTACCACATTTGGGATATCCCAGGTATAGTTCAGTGCAGGTCTCGATATTGAAGGAGACAAGTCTTCCAGGTCTAGGGCTGAGAGCAAGGCAAGAACCTCCTCGGGATATGAGGCATTAAAAGTCTTTCCTTCATGGTGAACAACCTGCGTCTGCAGGGTATTTAATGGGTCTGTGGTGGGTGGGATATTATGTTTGTATTTTTTTGTATTGCTGTTCAGTCTCTTGCATTGCTGTTCAGTTTATTTTATCTCTGATGAAGTCCACTGCGTTGGACGAAACGCGTTAGATCTGTTTTATATTTTTTATACATTATTCTTATCAGGCAGTTGTTGCCTTAAATAAATATATATTTTTTTGCAAGTGAATTCTGACTTTGCATCCTGAAGCACCTGGACCTGCTGATTATCTGTTACCCCTAATGGTGGAAGGCAGACCAGGATAATCCACTTGTGGATTTCAAGGCACTTATTTGACTTCAATCCTGTGAGTGCAATCTATGATTGTTGCGTGCTAGCTCTGTATACTGTACATCACTATGTGCTGTTTGTCTTTTATATTCAAGCACCTAGCTGTATCCCTGTTTTTATCTGTATCCATCTGACACTACAGAGACTCAAGAGGGAAAAGCCTCTAGGGAAGCTATCAACATTTGTACTAAGCTAAGTACATTATATTTATCTGCTATTTTTGGTGATAAGTAGAATTGTTTTCCACCTAACCCTACCCCTACCCCTAACCCTTACCCCAACCTACCCCTAACCCTTACCCCAACCTTCCTCTAACCCTACCTCTAACCCTAGTAGGGTTAGGGCTAGGGTTAGGAGTAGGGGTAAGGTTAGGGGTAGGGTTAGGAATAGAGTTAGGGTTATGGGGTCGGGTTATGAAAATGCCAAAGTCTCGAAGTCCCAAATTTCGGAAGTGCAGAACCGAACTGAAGTGACAAATTGCCGAAGTCCCGAATTGCTAAAGTCCTGAATTTCATAAGTGCCGAACCAAATTTTTTGCCCATGCACATCCCTAATATTTAAAAGAAGGAAAACTTCCACAACAAGAGGACATAGTCTTAAATTTGATGTGCAAAGGTTTAAAAATAATATCAGGAAGTATTACTTTGCTGAGAGGGTAGTGGATGCATGGAATAGCATTCCAGCTGAAATGGTAGAAGTTAACACAGTGAGGGTGTTTAAGCATGTGTGGGATAGGCATAAGGCATAAGAGCCTAATGCAAGTATTAAGAATATTTGGCAAACTAGATGGGCTTAATGGTTCTTATCTGCTGTCACATTCTATGTTTCTATCTACCTTGCGTCTCCAGGAGCAGAATTTGGTGTCTTCTGTGTTCTGCAGCCCATCTCCGACAAAACTAAATCTCTCCTGCAAAACGGTGGGTATTCACTCCAGTCTGCTGAATCCTCAATGAGGTCCACAGGTGTTCCGGTCTGAGGCTTCTTCATGGCCTGTGTAGCAATTTGGTATGCGAGGTGAAGAAAAAAAGCATCTGTGTGTTCTTCAGGCTTCCCTGCAGCTAAATTCAGCACACTCAATAATGGATGGTGGGAGAATTGACTGGATTCAGCCCAATTAAGGCACTAAAGCTGGAGCAATAAATTATGGCATCTAAGCCGCATGGATGCAAGGCTCAGCCCCCCCAACAGTTAGTCTCTGTGGTCTACTGTTTAGGGAGTAAAAGAAGTGAAGCAGGGAAGATAATATAGACTGTCGATTTCCAAACACTGTCTGACCAAAGATACATGTATATGGCTGAAGGATCCTGTCGTATTCTAAAGGTAGGGAGGAGTTCTTCTGATTTGTTTACACTTACCTTATTTTTTTAATGTATTTCCTTTCAATACTTGATAAAGGGATTATTATAATAAAAAATAATTTTTGAGGTGACAGTTGTCCTTAAACAAGACACTTTTCTCATCATAAAAAAAAATTATGAAAAGAGTAGTAACTGTAAGAATAAGATTACAGGTTTAATCAAGCAGCATATCTTATTTTGGGACATACTTTGCAATAGTAACAGCAAATAAACATATACCTGTCCAAAGTTCCATGGTCTTGCCGAGATCCTACTAGCAGACCCTACATAGATATAACCCGTGTCTTTCAGAACGTACTCTTTCCTTTCATCTTCATTAGGCATATATACTTCGTCATCTAGAAAACAAGGAACATGCAGCACAAAGCACATGTGATTGATCTTATAATGTACAGGTGATCATGTATTTCCCACTGTTGACAAAAATGTTCCTTATAGAACAAGAGAGAATGAAAAATGGCTTACAATTCTGGTAACAGTTGTCATCAAATTAATGGGATATTATAACCATTTAATGTCACTAAATTGGTTATAGTGCGAGGAGTCCCATGGCTGCTATTTTCAAGCATTTTAACACTAAATGGGGGCCCTGGCTGCAAACAGTATCACTATAGGTATGGGAAAGGCAGAGATTGCACTTTTTATTCTAACCACACCAATTCCTACTAGCAATGGCTAAAAACGCTCCTCTGACACTCTCAGCCAATCACTGTTGCTCAGGCTTATGCTTCATCATTAGCTGCAGCAGCACAGAGTGGAATATTTCTTAACACTGAAAGGAAGGATAGTGCCAAAGGACTCCAGACATCATAACCACTTCAAGAAGATGAAGCAGTTACAATGCCTCAAAGGCAGAGGTGTAACTAGAAACCTCGGGGCCCAGGGCAAAAATTGCCCTGGGCGCCCACCATAGTCTTCCCCCCACCCCATATGTCCCCACCCCAATACATCTACCCCCACCCCATATGCCCCCCCCACATGCAGACACACACACATACATACAAACACACACATATACACAGAGTCCATACATACAGACACACACGTGCGTGCGTACGTACGTACGTACGTACGTACATACATACATACACACACAGACATACAAACACACACACACACACATACAGACACACATACATACAGAGACACATATACACATAAAGGCACATACATACAGGCACACACACACACACACACACAGACAGACATACAGATACACACACACACACAGATATACTGATACAGACATTCTTTATCACACACACACAAACTGTGAAAAAAATGTAGTGACTTCCCTGGGGTCCAGTGGCTGCCTCATGCTGATGGGAGTCAGAGCTCCCACTCTCACTCCCTTCTCTCCTCCTGCGTGGTGCTCTGTTGGCTGGGAGGAAGTGACGGCTTCCTCCCAGCTCTGAAATCATCACTGGGGCCCGGTCGCGCTCTTAAAGCGTTGCATCACTGACCGGCCCCAGGAAATCCATTGCCATAGGGTGGCCCCAAGAGCATGGGCCACCCGTAAGTCTCCTTCAATGTGGCCCCAGGGTAATAATGTGGTATCTCTATATAGAGAACGGACCTGTTATCTGTAGGCATAAGAGGTTTTAGAAAACACTGGTTTTCTTCAGAGTACCCCTTGCTATATGGGTTTACCCCCCAAATAACAAAAAAAGAACAGCTAAAATGTATCCCTGTGCCAGTGCCGAATTCTAGTCCCCCCCTGCAGCCCAATCCTCCCCAACTTTGGTCACTAGTTCAGGGCTGGCATATGGTGCTATACCAGCTGCAGCAGAGGGGTTAATCAGCAGTAAAATGCTGCACATACAGACTCCAGGTATCATGAGCAAAATACTGACATGGTCATAATGGTGCTTGCAATAACTTTAAGAAAATATGGAATACATGATTCCTATGCTGATACAAAGTATCTAAATCTGGTGCCTCTAATGAAAGCATGTCAGTGATGGAGTGAATGGGTAGTGCCTGTTGAAGATAGTCTTTCTGTGTTTGACTCGAGTAAATCTCTGCTATCCACTTGCCTCATATTTGCATTTGTGGTGTGAAGATATAGGGCATTTGTTCCCAAAGCAGTCCTTAAGACCTAGCACCTATCCAGCTTTTGTCAGTATCTCCATTGGAATAGAAAAGTGAAATGCTTAAATTGTGGACTGTTGCTGGACTGAGGACTGGTTTGGGAAACACTGGTGCAGGGTACTTAACTGTACACGGTAATGTTTTTTGTCTCTGTGATTAGTTTTGTTTATCTAATACATCCTGAGATATTCTCCTCTTGGACAAAATGCTATGTCCTGGGATTATAGGTCCTAGTTTCCTGCAGGTTGGTCGAACAGGGCCAAGCCCTTCCAATCATGATATGTAGGCTACACAAATATAGAACATTATTAACAACTTCAAAGGTTTTCATACAGACTCTATTCTGCCTGAACAATTATAGGTTTGTTGTACTGCATTACTAAGACTTACCTCCAGTTTTCCAGACAAATTTGAATCGTGAGTGTTCCACGAAACTTAAGACCTGCACAAGACTGATACATAGTAACATGCATGACACTATTCATGACAATAACAGATTACCTTCACACCAAGGATTGCACAGGATATATATGGGACTGTCCTCTGGCATATAAACAATTCCTTTTCCTGTTATTACACTCAAGGCGTATTTTCCAACAATGGCATTGGCAGGGCTGTTGACAGTAACCAAGTACTATAAAAAAAAAATAGTTATTATTTTTTCGTTTAAGAATATATATATATATATATATATATATATACACTCTGACATACTATGCAATCAAGATATATAGCCTGCATAGTATGTCACAGTATACCGTACATATATGTACCGTATGTATATGTACAGATATTTGTTTGACAAAAACAATAAAGTAGTGTTTTTGATTGTACTTTTGTAAAGAATGGAAGATCTACAGTAATTTTAATATTTTTCATTTTATGAGAATTGCATCTATCAACTTAAATTAAGTCAATAAATTGAAATAGCACACTGTAGATCTAGAGTAATCAGCAGATAGACACACAACTATTAGTGAATGCACTCTCACATCTTACACACATTCCAAACTTTAAATAATTAACATTTTATTTATTTAAACCTCTCAGATTAGTATAAAGTCCATATCTTTGCCTACAATCCCCACTGAGGCCCTAGTTGATATGGATTCAGAGTTTTTGGAGGAGGAGTTTGCCTCTGCAATCTCCACTTTGAAAGGTCACAAGACTCCTGGGCCAGATGGTTTTTGTGGTGTGTATTATAAGATTTTTTTAGGGAGGTTCTAATCCCTTACCTTACTAAGTTGTTTAATAAAATAAAATGAAGCTGGTGGCATTGTACTTTTGCCAAAGGAAGGGAGGAACCTCATTAGAGTGGAAATTTATATATCTATATCTCTAATTAATATAATTGTAAAGTTTCTGGCTCACATTATGGGGGCTAGATTGAAGTCTTTACTGTACAGACTTTTCCACCCTGATCAGGCCGGATTTGTTCCACAACATCAACTTTTTGAAAAAACTAGATAATCTGCTGATCTTATCTGGGTAGTGAAGACCAAAGAAATACCTACTTTACTTTTGTCTTTAGATGCTGAGAAGGCATTCGATAGGGTCAATTGCACTATCTATTTGGCTTGCTGAGGCGTTGGTACTACCCTTCTTCCTTTATCTAATCAGTTTCTACAATGTATGATGACCTGCAGGCTCAAGAGAGACGGCTGCACGCAGATCATGGCTATTTAAATTGAGTAATTGCACTAGGCAGCGGTGCCCCCTCTCTCCTCTTTTGTTTATTTTGTCATTAGAACCAATTTCGCAACAGATTAAGGAACATCAAAATGTTCACGAAATTCAGGTGGGTTATGACATATATAAAATATCAGCTTATGCTGATGACATTCTTCTTCCAACTAAGAACCATCTGACAACCTTACCTTCCCTATACAGATTGTTGGATGAATATGGTATACAAGCAGGGTATAAAATTAAATATGATAAATCAAGTGCCCTTCCTCTGAATCTGTCAGCCACTGAGCTACATATTATTAGGTATACATTTGGTCTCCGCATACAACGGACGGGTTTGATATATATAAGAAACTATCTTACTTCTGAACCTGCCTCACTCTTTCGTGTTAATGTTACCCCGTTGTTAGATATGCTTAACCTTAATATGGCTACTTTGGTGAGGAAATCCATCTCCTGGTTGGGTATGATACATTCTATGAAATTTTTTCTCTGAGGGATTATTTTAGGTTCCTTCAGGTTTGAAACTTTGTGGATAAAAAGGAGGTCAAAAATGGTGCCAAAAGAGCACTATGTTTGAAAAATTATTCAAAAGGGAAACTACTCAAAAAGAAGTGATTTCACTTATATATAACCACATATGTTTTAATTCTAGATTATGGCTTGAACTGGCCTAAACAAAATAGTGGGAGGAAGATCTGGGTGGTACATTGTAAAGGGATGATTTGGAGACCATCTGGAAGACTGCAGTCTCTATTTCGGTTTCTGTGTTTTTACAGGAATCTATGCAGAAAATCTTACACAGATGGTGTGACAGAGCTCCTGTACTCCAACCGAGTACCTCCGCCCAATCCACTTCCTAGCCACTTTCAGGAACCCTGGAACACTTCCCCCCCAATCGCTGAAGCTTCACTGGGGTCCTTCTGGAGCTCTTCCACCCGACCAGGCTGCAGCTCTCTTCCAGGCAGGTATCTTCCCCTATGCCTTTTCCGCTGCAGCTTTCCTTCCAGTGGATCCCAGGGCTGGAGGGATCCTGCAACCAGCAAACAGGTCTGAAGACTCTGTCGCTGGGATCACTAAAAATCCACACAGGACACATGTTTCAAAAGGAACTAACATGCCAAGCTTTATTTTTATTTTGGGACTAGCCTAAATGATTATAACATAAAGATTGCAGTGACAAACTTAATAAAATACAAATAACCAAAACATGTCAGAAAATATGCAAGGAAATATAATTAAAATATCTACAAAGGGGTAGGGAAGTCAATAACCAACACAAAATATCTCGCCTGCCTGTAGAATTAGCAATATGCAAATCTACCCAAATATGCAAATTAGCAAGCTTTGCTATTCAGGTAGTGCATATAGCTGTTGCTAGATCCTTGCAACCAACAGGTGGTGCTGTACAGGTTCCACAGCCAAATTCACCTAGTTGATTGCAAGCATTAGCAAGACAGGAGAACACACTAACAATAATCATAAACAACTACATTACACACACACCCTGCACCCACAATGGACATAGGGTGACTTAAACATTGGAATCACTCAGATACCTAATTGAATTGTCCATCTTAAGCTCTTAGTGATGGTGACTACCGTTACAGATGGTATACCACCACGGTCAAATTATTCCGAATGGGTAAAACCTCTAGTGATCTGTGTTGCAGGGGATGTGGACTCAAAAGGTTTATATATCCAAATGTGGTGGGATTGCCCTAAAGTAAACATGTTTTGGAGTCAGGATAAGGGAATAATGGGTGATGTATCCCAGAGATTGATAGAGTTGAATTCCTGGTCCTTCCTTCTTTTTAAACTGGTAAAGGGTCTGAGCAGATATAAGCAAAAACGATATGATAAGATTACTTTAGTGGCCAGATGGTCACTTGTGACCAATTGGATTAATTAAGAGGTTCCATTACTTAGGGAGGTCAGGTCCATGATAGGACATAAAACATTGATGGACTAGCTTATGGCAGTGGTAAGAGGTGGGGAAACTACCTTTCAAAATTTGTGCATGGTAGGAAGAATTGTGAGTATAAGCTTCTGACCCGACAGCAGATGGCACCCCTGTTTCCCCTTCCCTTACCATCTCTCCCTCCTTCCTTTCATTTTTTTCTTTTTCTTTTTTGTCATATGTTTGGTTCAGAGCTCCTCTGCTATTGGAATCAGGTAATGTCTATTTTTAATTATTATGTGTAAACAAGAAAAATGGCATATATAGAGAAGAGGATATTAGCTATAATCTATTATTGTACTGACAGGTAAGCATGTCCTAACTCTGTTATGGCATCCTCAGAAAATATCTAAATGTATTTATATTATATTCTTTCTTCAGTTTGTTTATTTTAATTGTAAAATATGTGATGTTTATGTATTTTTTTTCTAAGGATCTTGTACATTGTAACCAGGGGTCAAGTCCTGGGCAAAAAAGTGTGGGAACTTACTCAAGATCCACCTCCCCCCAAAAAACTAATTATAAGCTTGTATGCATATATATAGCTAAGTGAGGGGTGACAGTGTGTGGGGGCTGAAAGTGATTGGGGATGGTGATATTGTATGGAGGGGATGATACAGTGTGTGTGGGGGTGACAGTGTGTGTGCGTGTGTGGGAGGGTGACAGGGTGTGTGGGGAGGTGACAGGGTGTGTATATAGGGAGAATGACCGGGTGTGTGTTTGGAGAGGTGACAGGATGTGTGAGGGGGCTGTGACAGGGTTTGTGGGGGGGGGAGGCTGTGACAAGGTGTTGGTAGGAAGACTGTGAGATGGTAGGGGGGCTGTGAGAAGGTAGGGTGTTTTAAGGTGGGTAGGGGGGCTGTGAGGTGGGTAGGGGTTCTGCCAGGTGGGTAGGAGGGCTCACTGACTTACTGACAGACACACACACTGACAGATATACACACACAGACTCACTGACAGCCAGACACACACACACACTGACAGCCAGACAGACACATGCACATCTCACACACACACACACACACACACTTCCCTCCAACACTCACAGATTATTTTTTTTTATTTAAATCCACCCAGCCTCCCTACCTTTGGGAGAGCTGGGTGGATTTTGTACCTGGGATCCAGTGGGGCTGCTGGCTGGGCTGTGCAGGCAGGAAGGCCGGGCTGTCCTGCAGGAACGTGTTCCTGCAGGACTCGAGCCCTGATTGTAACCCAATTTTTCACAAGTCTTTAAAATAAAGATTTTTTTTTTAAATACAAATTAGGGATTATTTTTTTATTTTCAATTTTTTTTTATTTATTTTTTTTAAATTCTTTATTTATCGTTTTTTCAGATTATTATGAGCAGCGTATGGGGTACAGAATAGAATCAGGGGGATTGGAGTAACAAAATACCGTGCATTGTATATCTTCTATTTTGCCTTTTTCCATATTTTGTACAATCCTTATTTGTATTTTACACATAGATAGTTATTAACTCTTGTGGACAAGCTGTGAGCTGCATATCTCGGTGGTCTATTATGTCCAGTCTCGTCATAAGGTGTCTTGTGTGTCTGTAGGTCTTGATCTGGGGGTCAGGGGAAACTTGGGGGTCTCAGTCCGATTCCGGAACCGAGTTTCGAATCGTCAGTGCTCTCAGGGAGCTTAAGATAGGGTGTTTGCGTTGGTTATCGCTTTATGAGTGTGTGTGCGGTGGGAGTTTTCCTTTCGGGGGGTGTGTTCTGGTATCAGTATTTTCAGTACTCTTAATTTTGTTTTTTTTGGTGTGTGAGTCTGTGTGAGTGGTGTCCGTGGTGTAGTTGAGGGTTGACAGGTTGCTGTCGGGTAGGGGAGAAGGTTGTGTTGTTTTGCAATGCAATGTTCGGTGGGTGGGGGATTGTGCCCGGGGCTGGTGTTGTTTGGGGGTGGGGGGGAGAGAGGGTGGGCTGGTGATGGGTAGTCAGTTATGTGTGGGCGATTTTAGGTGTGAATCAAGTTGTTTATGATCCATGGATCCCAGATTTTGTTATGGTTGTGGGTTGTATCATGAGGTAGGGCTGAGAGTTTATCCATCTCTCTGGTTTCCTCCGCTTTACAGAGTACTGCCCCTATGGTGGGTATGTTTTGATTGTACAATAGTTCAGCTATTGTGTGCCTGGTAGCTAGTGCGATTTTGGCAAGCAGATGGTTCTGTGATCTGATTAGAGCGGCATGAGGTTTAGAGAGCAGCCAGACCCACGGGTCCATGGGGATATCCGTATGGAGGAGTCAGGACATTAGGTTGCTACAGCCTTCCATAGTTGGGCTATGTGGGGACATTCCCACCATGCGTGGATGTAGGTGCCCCGGGATCCACATCCCTTCCAGCACCTGTCCGTGGTTGAGCATCTCATTTGACATAGCCTTAAGGGTGTCAGGTACCGTTTTGTAGGCTTGCTCCTTGTGATTGACACATATTGTAAGGGATGCCATAGTCTCCCATATGTCATCCCAGTCTGAGGGGTCTTCAGGGGGGCCTATATCCCTTTCCCATGCCTTTGTGTAGGAGAGTGCATCTGTTGGGCAAGCAGAGTTTAATTGGAGATAGAGGATATTTGTCCTTTTTGGATTGGGTTGTGTATTCAGTTCTTTTCAGATTGGGTCAGGTTGGTGGTAGCTGTGTTGGCGTGTCGGGGGTCTTGGAAGAAGCTTCGGATGTATCTGAAGTGGTCGAAAGGTGGTCAGTGGGGTGTGTCTGGGTAGGTCTGGGAATTGAAGCAGTTGTTTGGATCTGAAGAAATGGTGGAATCGTGTGAGTCCGTTGTCTTCGGAATGCGTGAAGTCTTGGGGAGTCATTCCTGGAATGAATTGATTGTTTCTTAGGAATGGGGTCAGAGGTGATGGTGTGTTGATGAGTGGTATCTTATTTGTGATCTTGTCCCACACCAGGAATAAAGTGCGTAGGGCTAGGGTCGTGTGTGGGGTGTCGGGTCTGAACTGTTTCGGGAGCCATAGGAGTAGTGAGGGGTGGTCCCCCCCTAGGCGGTCGTGCTCGAGATCCACCTAAATTTTGAGGCCTGGTGGGGAATGTAGTTGATGTATTTGTGCTAATTGGACGACTTGGAAATAGTTATAGAAGTTGGGGAGTCCCAAACCTCCTGTTTTTGTATTTTTATACATTGTGACCCTCTTTATTTTGTTTTTTGTTAGATGCAGATGAAGTTGTCTATTTTGGTTTGGAGTATTTTGAATTCGTTTCGGGGTATTGGGATGGTTAGTGTTTGGAAGAGGTATAGGAATCTGGGGAGCAGGTTCATCTTGATGGAGGCTATCGTCCCTAACCATGAGATGGGCATGTTGTTCCAGTTCTGGAGGTCTGTGAGTGCTTGTTGGAGTAGGGGGGTGTAGTTCAGGGTATATGTGGAGTTGAGGTTAGCGGGAAGGAGTATTCCGAGGTACGGAATGCTATGTTCGTTATATCTAAATGGGTGCGAGGATCGAAGGTTATCGAGAGTCTGTTCCAGTATCTCTATCGGGAGGACTTCTGTCTTGTCAAGGTTTAGTTTGTATCCCGAAATGGCTGCGTATTCTTCCAGGAATGTTAATAGAGGTGGAATGGATTGGGTCAGGCTAGTGAGTGTCAGGAGAATGTCATCGGCATATGCCGCTATTTTCTATTCAGTTTGTCTTACTTTGAGGCAGCTTATTGTTGGGGAGTCTCGTATCTTCTGCAATAGCGGTTCAAGGGAGAGGGCGAATAAGAGTGGGGAGAGTGGGCATCGCTGTCTGGTACCATTTCGGATCTGGATTGACGTGGCTTTTGCATTGGGTATGAGGAGGCTGGCTGTCGGGTTGTCATAGAGGGTGGTTAGGGCCGTGATAATCGGAGTGGGAAATCAGAATGTCCGTAGGGTGGTGAGGAGGAAGGGCCAGAGAAGGTGATCAAACACCTTTTCCGCGTCCATGGAGAGGAAAAGGGGTGGGATCTTCCTATGTAGTGCCACACAGATGAGGTCTAGTGTGCGTCTGGTGTTATCGCTGGCTTGTCTGGATGGGATAATCCGACCTGGTCAGGGTGGATCAGTTTCGGGAGGAAAATTTGTATGCGGTTTGCTAGGAGTTTGATGAATATTTTGGTGTCGACGTTGAGGAGAGAGATAGGTCTATAATTTCCCGGATCAAGATGTGTTTTGTTTGGCTTTGGAATCAGGCAAATATTTGACCTTAGTATGCCTTCCGGTATTTGGTCTCCTTGTAGTAGTGAGTTGAATAGCTTGGTGAGGTGGGGTAGGAGTGTGTCTGAGAATGTTTTGTAATAAAGACCCGAGAATCCGTCCAGTCCTGGGCATTTGTGTGGTTTGATCGATTTTAATGTTTGTGCCACTTCTTCTGTGGTGATGGGGGCTGCAAGTTGTGTTCTTGCGGCATCATTCAGTGAGGGAAGGGGGATGTCTCTGAGTTAAGAGTCTATGGTTCGCTGTATTTTTTTATTTTACATTTTTAATTAAAATTTGTAATAAAAATCTATTTGGTCTGTTAAAATTAGGCTCAATTTCAGTTTGCTTGCCTCATAAAAAAATTGAATTTATCATGGATTTACTATTTATTATTCAATAAATGTTTGCATGTACTGAAAAGCATACATTTCTTGTGTGCACACCCTAATGAAATGTGCTTCTAATAAATATATATTTGTAACATACTGAAAATTTATATTTTATTAGTTGATGCAAATAATGTAGGATGAATGCCCACTTTAAGATTCCTTAAACTTATTCTGGAGGATATTCATTTTACATTAATCCATTTTTTATAATTTCTAATTAAGTAAAACATATTACTAATTACCTCATTGGTGTTGCTCAGTTGCACGTTAGTGCTCCATTGTTTTGTCAAATTTGAGGTTAAATTCATGTCAACAAGATTCATAGTCCCATTTTTTGGCACTGGTTGAGAACCTAGATGGAAAATGTGTGGATTTAGTGGCACATCATTCTTTGAGATGTATGAGTGTTGAATATCACGAGAGGTTATACTCCAGACTCCTAAAAGCACTTTAGCTTGCTGTGAGTGTGACATCTTTTATCATTTTACAAAAAGTGTATATTTCAATAGGAAATGACACTTTTACACCCCTTTGCTATCAATCAGACAACCTGTCCTGTTACTTCCTTACAGTTAAGCTAAACTCAAGAGCCAGGCAATTATTCAAAGCACCTGCCTTGCAAAGACCTCTCATTGAGCTGCATTGGAAGTCTGTGATTGGACCACCACAAAAAATGCAAAAATTTTTAATATGATATAAAAGAAAATGGAGCATCTGATAAAAAAAAGTTCAAGACAAGTTATGGGTGATTTTTTTATATTTTATTCCATATTATAAATTCCACAGATGCCCCACCTTTTAATAGTGATGGATATACTTCTGGTGTCTTTATCTCTACAGAAGCAAAAAATGCTTCGGAGCCTTCCCATCTAGGTAAGATGGAAAAGAGTTGCAAAATTGTTTGCTCCATTATCAGGAAATAGGACCAGGCTACCCCTGGCGTCATAACTACTACAGCAGCTGTAGTGGTAACAATATGTGGAATAACCCTTTAAAGCAAAAATGGTCAAAATGATTATCAGGATTATTCACTAAAGTGAGAATTCTAAGTGAATTTAAAATTGAATTTCAAATTTGAGGCCAAAGTGGGCAAACGGGAAGCGCAGTTGACTTGGAGAAAGTTTCCAGTCTGACAATTTTTCCTTCAAAATTACTTAGAATTCTTACTATAGTGAATAGCCCTGTGTATATGTTCTGCACAAGCCTACATTTAACTGAGGCTTGATTTATGCTCAGCCTATATGGTAAATTTATAACTTTAATCCATGATATTTATTGGTACCAATTGTGGACTCTTCTGACCCACCACCCATATGTTCTTACCAGTAGTAAACTGCAGCATAGCACGGTCATTTTCAGTAAGTGACCTATTAAAGTCAATCTTTAATGTGAACACTTGTCCTCGTCTCACAGTAAGATTTGGGATGTCAAACTCGGAGGTGTGGTGCTCACGTGCATTCTTAGACTTGAGAAGGTCAACTTTAGTGGCTCTCAGGGTCATTTCAAGGATCAAGAAGTGATTTGGTATTCTTTAAAGAAATATATCTGAGAAAATGTATTGGAAATATTTGATAAAGGTTATACCTCTCATTAAACATGTTAACATTGAAAAATAATGTAAAAAAAGTGATGTAATTTGTTTGTATTTTCCTGCCTATTTTTCGGCCCTTTCAAGTATAGATGTATAATAATCTCATGGTAATTTAACAGAAACAGAACAGAAGGAAGATCTCATGGATCTCGTTACTATCCTGCTGATTTCTCTTTATGCTCACCAAAATGTTGACTATATACATACAGTACTTGTATATTAGACTGTAGTGTAAAAGTATATGAAAGCATATTTGACTAATATGTGCTCTGTATTGGCTTTAAAGGACTCTGTAGCTTAGCTTAATAAAGCAGTTCTGGTGTATATATCGTGCCTTTGTCACTGTTCAGGTCTCTGCAATATGGGAGCTTAATCACTTTGTGTATACAGCCCTAGTCACACCTCCCTGCATGTAACTTGCAAAGCATAATAAAAATTTCTGTAAAGTGAGATCTAATGTTTATGCTTCCTTTATGCAGATTCTATTGATTTAGAATGTTGTATCTTAATGCCTTCTAGACCCTGCAGGTGCCTCCTGTGTGTGATTAATGTACAGAGCAGAAAATAAAACTAAATCTAAATCAAGTTAACATCTGATTGAGACAAAAAAAACAGAGGAAGGTAGGGGTAGCACCACGGTATAAAGAAATATAGAATTAGCAAATAATTAAAAACAATTGGGAAGCTATAGTATAGTGCACAAATAAATGAGTATGATAAAGTCCCAAGAGGAGTACAAAAAAAAAGCTAAATTTGTTTTAGTGCCTATAGTGTATCTTTAACCCCTTAGTGACCAGGCTGTTTTTCAGTTTTCTTACCGTTAAGGACCAGGGCTCTTTTTACATTTCTGCAGTGTTTGTGTTTAGCTGTAATTTTCTTCTTACTCATTTACTGTACCCACACATATTATATACAGTTTTTCTCACCATTAAATAGTTTTTCTAAAGATACCATTATTTTCATCATATATAATTTACTATAAAAAAAGTAAAATATGATGAAAAATTTAAAAAAAACACACTTTTTCGAACTTTGACCCCCAAAATCTGTTATGCATCTACAACTTGAAAAACACCCATGCTAAATAGTCTAAACATTTTGTTCTGAGTTTAGAAATGCTCTATGTTAACATTTTTGGGGAAAGTTATAGGGCTATAAGTACAAGTAGTACTTTGCTATATACCTAAATCAATTTTTTTCAAAATTAACGCACGTTACATTATAACACTGATATCTTCCAGGAATCCCTAAATAACCCTTCAGATGTATATTTTTTTTAAATAAGACTATCAAAACTTGGGGTTTTGATTCTTTTCATGCAACCACCAATCTATGCCAAATTTAAAAAAAATAAAAATAATAATTGGTTATTTTTTGACACACATACCAATTTAAGAATACATGTACATGAACTTTAAGGGTTACTGCGAAAGAACACACCAATATGTGTTCAGCAACATCTCCTGAGTACAGCGATACCACCCATGTATAGGTGTGTCGGGTTCTCTGGGGGTTAAAAGACCTTATTTGGAGGGTGCACATTCCAGTTTTCCAACTTGGAATTTTCACAGCTGGTCATCATGCAACCATGTCCCATTTGGAAATTTTTTGAAGCAGGCCAATGTAATTTAACCCCATCAAACAATATATTTTTGAAAAGTAGACACCCTAGGGTATTTCAAATGGTGGTATTTTAACACTTTCCATGCACTAATTCTATGGATTCTCAGCTCCTATTAGGTGTTATTGCCAAAGAACACCCAAATATGTGTTCAGCAATATCTCCTGAGTACGGTGATACCACCCATGTACAGGTGTGTTGTTTGGGGGGTGCAATGCCAAACGTCTGACATTTTTTTTTCAAATTTTACTTATCTTCTTTGCCTACTTATTTTATTGCCATAAGCGTGCAAATACTTGAAAAGTTGACACCTCATGGTATTGTATCTTTAGCTTGGGGCTGATCACGTACACCAGTTTTCTTTATTGAAAGTGTATATATTTGAAACGTAGACACCCCAAGGTATTGTATATGGAGTGCTTTGATGCAACTGTTTTAGCCCCAAAAATTGGAGAAAGTGTGTGGTGGCAATTTTTCAATTGTCATTCTTACACACACATTGCTTTTTAATTGTGATTTAGGAGAGCCTGTTGTTGGTTATTGCAAGAAAACACTCCTGGTTGCTTTCTTCAAGGCCTCCTTAGTACACCCATGCATAGGGTAAATGTAACAAAAAAATAATAAAATAAAAAAAATATATATATAACTGAACCGCAAATGTTACAAAAAATAAAAAATGGAGTGTGGTATCGTTTGAAGCAGTCCCCAATGCAGAGTCCAGGCTGTCCAGGGCAACCAGGACAGTGATATATAGTATCTTTTCTCTGCCCCCTCTTAAAACAAACTCTGCATCTTTTTTGGGAATTCTGCTTGGCTGCAGTAGAGGAAAAAATAAATAAAATGTAACTCTGCTCTCTCCCATCACTGCCCGGGGAGTAAGTGCATCACGGTACAAAATCCCCAAAATGATCAGGAGCTGAAACTGTAAAAAACTCAGTTGCATTCTGGGGTTTGCTTTTTTGAACAACAAAAAAGCATTGTGGGTTGCTGTCTGCATTAAGCAGTTTGCAACCTTTTTGTACCAGGCCCTTGTCTTGCGTATAATTAGGTAGGGCTGCAGCAGCTGATCTGCCAGATGAACCAAACCCATATGCCGGTTATAGGCCTTGATGGCTTGCTTCCTTGTGCTCTCAGCTCTGCCACATACAGAGACTTCCAAAGACCTCTCAGTGTGGATGGTGGTAAGAAGGTACACATCCTTCTTGCCTCTGTACTTAACTGCCAACAGCTCCTCTTGGCGCAGAGCTGAGGTCTCCCCCCTTCGTAGCCGGGTGCGTGCAAGTTGCCCTGGGAAACCTGCGTGGTTCTTTTTGATTGTACCGCAAGCTACTGTATCAAAACAATACAGTAGCTTGAACAAAGGGACACTTGTATAAAAATTGTCTGTATACAAGTCATCTTGCCACCAGTTCCCATATGTTCTGGGCAACCTGGAGGGACAAGATGGCTATCCTTTCACTCGTACACCCGGAAGGCCTGAGTATACCCAGTCTTGCTATCACAGAGCTTATACACCTTTACACCATACCTAGAGCACTTAGAAGGAATATACGGCTTGAATCCCAGCCTTCCCTTATACTTCATCAGGGATTCCTCCACGCATATATTCCTTCCAGGTGTATAAGCCTCTGCAAACCTGGCAGCGAAGTAGGTGATTAGGGGGTGGATTTTATGCAGCCTGTCAAACTGGGGATGCTCCATAGGGTGGCACAGGCTGTTATCGCTGAAGTGCATGAAATATAGAATAATTTCATACCTCTTCCTCGACATACATTGGGAAAATGGGGTAGAGCAGATGGGCTACTGCTCCAGTAGGAGCTGATGGAGGGCTTCTTTATTATGCCCATCAGCAGAGTCAATGCCCAGAATCTTTTAAATTTTGGCACATTGATGGTGGCCCATTGCTCCTTTGCCAAAAAAAGAGTCAGGCTTTGCAGCACGGAACTGATCAGCATATAAATTAGTTTGGGCGACAATGTTACCCAATACATTATCGCCCAGAAACACCTCCATTAACGGCTGAGGATTAAATCATGCGACATCCAAATTGATGCCAGGATTTGCAGTGAAGAGTGGGATATCTGGCCTCTGGCGATGAGACACTACCCACTCCTAGCAGTACTGCCAGCTGGAGCAGCACGTCTCCTTCTGGCAGGGGGACTAGCAGGCATAGATACACCATAACTAGATACATCACTAGCAGCAGACACTGTATCTAGTGATGTATCTGAGCACCTGGCAGAGTCAAAATCATGTTCGGAGTCAGACACAGACGCGTCAGACTCTAGCGCAAGGATGGCATACGCCTGCTCAGCGCTATACGACCTGTGACATGATCACAATCACTTTACCTAGTGATCTGTCACAAAAAAAAAACCACATAACAAATTAACCCCTAAATAATGCACAGACAGCAAAATAAGTGTTGCTGTGCAAGAGCCTGTGATCAATACAGTGATCACTGGCAGGATATGGGGTTAATAGCTCTGAAAAGAGCTTTTGGGTCTCACAAAAAAAAAAAAAAAAAATGAACCCAATCTCTGATTGGATGTCCCTAGCTTGCCCCTATGATGAGGCAGGCTAGGGATACCCCCAGAAGCCCCATGATGCACCGCCTTTAGAAAGGGAGCACCATTTTGAGAACCACATGGCTGAGGGTGGGTAGAGGGGTTTATAGGACTTTATATTCAATTTTTAATATATATATATATATATATCTCTTCGCTGAGTGTCTCGACCCCTCGAGGCACTCAGCACATGCAGAGCATCGGAAGCCTGCCCGATGGTTTCCAATGCTCTGCTTAACTGCCAGGAGCCACATGGAGCAAAAATGAGCAGTATTGCACGATGCCTCAACATCGAGGCATCGCAGCAATACTATCAAAGCGGCTGGAAGCGATCAAAATAGCCACGGACGTATCGGGTACACGATCAGGAAGGGGTTAAACAAGCTGATACTAGGTTGGAGGTAGGCAACCTTTGCCACTCCAGATGTTGTGGACTACATCTCCCCTGATGTTTTACCTGCATTATGGCATTGGCTATAATAAAATTATGAGAGATGCAGTCCACAACATCAGGAGTGCCAATTGTACCTTTGTACTAAGTCGTAAAATTATAAGTTATAGAACGACTCCTAGCTAGGATGCATTTAATCAATCTACACCTACATGGCTATTCACTAAATTGAGAATTAAAAGTGAATTCAAAGAGAATTTCAAATTTAAAGCCACAGAAGCTAAACTGTAATTGTACATTACTATACAGATTTTATATTACATAGATTGGT